GTCAGAAAATATAGCTGGAATACTTTTCTGAGATTTTTATATGGAAATACAGCAGTCTTAAATTTCACAATGTTATCAAAATCGAGAATTTTGTGTTTTAAATAGCTTTCAAACCAGCAAAGAGGGAGACCCCTGATTCCATAAGCATATAGTTTTTAGGGTAATATTTCATCATTTACAGTATGAAATGCCTTTGATCAATCGAGGAAGACTCCACAAGATATTTTCTTTTTATCTATCGCCTCTTTTAATTTGTCAGCAACCTTTAGTATGACATGTTTGGTAGAGAAGTTCTTTCAGAAGCCAAATTGACACCTATATAGAATTTCCTTTATTTCTAGGAATGAATAGAGTTGGTCATGTACCAATCTTTCAAGAACTTTACTAAACAGTGATAAAACTGCAATGGGTTGGTAATTTCTGGGTTCAGTCATTATACCATTTTTTATAAACAGGAGTAACTTGAGATATTTTGAAAATATCTGGCACTACAACAGTCTTGATAGACTCATTATGGTACCAGAACAGCCAGTAATTATGGAACACGTTTGTGCTATACAAATCTCAAGCAATTTACAATTCTCTACCAAGGTCTGAAAATTTGGAACTCTCTCCCTGTTTCAGTCACTCATTCATCAAACATTCTTAGCCTTAAGATGAAAGCGCAAGAGTTTTGACTTAGACTCACTGAATTGGCCAAGCTGCACTGATTTGCAGCACTTTTCCTTTACTTGATTTATTATTGCAAGTGAGGTGGCTTTTCCATAAGCCCAGTGGCTTCCTGGGTCTCCTGGCCTTCTAGCTGTTAATGCTGTAAATAAATTTTTGTATTGTTAACATAAAGCAAATAAAGATAATGGTTATAACTATATGTTAAAAGGTTTTGAGAGATCCTCAGCAGCAATCCATATCAATTTATTTGGAATGTGAAGTGAAGTTTTGCTATCATTTAATAAAGATAAGAGATCACAAACCTGTACTTACGTTACCTCAGATAATAGAAAACTTGAGGAAGGAGAAGATTTTATGTATTTAAGGGGGTTATCATCATTATATAAATGGAAAGATGAGTAGCACAATCACCATACCCACTTCTGTAACATGTATGGAAAATGTGAAAATTGCTAGTTTGGGACAAAATCACTTCTTTAGGTCTGTTTTAAACTCACATTTATTATTAAAACTGATTTATTTCAAACTATTTTATTTTTGTCACATTTGATTCAAATTTGTATTTACCCATAATCCCTTATAGGTGTGTTTTTTTTCACAAATAATCAATTTCGAGTTCACTGACACAGTAAAAAGTAGAAATAATAACATTTTGTATTACATGGAGGCTAGTATCTCCCTAGTGAGATCAACTGGCACTCTAAAAACTGACTTTCTGCCTCTTTTTACAACTTGAAGATCACATCACCATTTTTCTCTTGGAAATTCAGCTCTCTTTTTGCAATTCTTTTCATTATAGATTCCTTAGCCTATTCTTTTCCTGCTTTTTCCTCCTCCACTCTTTGATCCTCGCAAGCTTTTCTTCCTTTTCGTTAACCATATCTCTTTTCAAGCGCACTTGTCGTGACCGGAAGCGAGTTGTGTTACCCTTTTATGTTACGTGCATGAACTGATTGCGAAACGCGTGATTGTAACAATAGGCTATTCATCTTAAGGATAAAATATAGAATTACAGACAGATGAGATCGATTTTGGAGAGAGAATACCACGACGTGTACCCACAAAGTGAGAGCTGTAAATCGTGAGAAATATTAAATCTGGTGAAAATCTTCATACGCGAGAGTTTCCTTTGTCGGCGAGCACCATTTCCCGACACACTTGAAGCGATATTTACAGATGGCTAAATCTCAGAAAAATTATTGAGCTTGAAGACCCCCGACCCTTGATAACGTCGCAGAAACCAAAATAGGAAAGGTTACCAAGATATTTTCGACACGGAGATGAAAAGATGAAGGCGAAAATGGCGGAGCAAACAGCAGATTTCATAGCGCTTTTGGTGGCATTTGTGGCGAGACTCCGTTCTCAATATGGCGTCAACATGGTAAAAAGCGTAGCGACTTGGTCAAAAGTGAATATTTTGGCCGTTTTTAAAGATATGGACCCGAAAACTTGGAAATGACAAGAGAAACTTATGAGCATTGAAGTGTAATCGATTTCGAAACCCGACTTTGCCGTGTTTGAGGTATATTAGCGAAGGAGAAGGTAAGTTGATGAAAAATATTATTGCGTAATCAGGTTTTACAAAACCGTAGCGACTGTTTTACACTGATATTTCTCCGTTTATAGTCAATCCTTTAGACTGATTTTTCGCTATTTTAGAACACCAAGTATGAGCATTTGGTTAATGTGTTTTTGTTCCCACAGGATTCCAGTTCAGTCATTCTGCGGACAACAACTTGGTGTACTTCCAAATTCTGAAACCCAGCGTTACACAAAGGATACTTAAGAATGATGAATCTTTTCTATGCGTTTTAATAAACTTGAAATGTCAAAGTTTTGCTCAAATGTAGTGTTTATTGTGTGTTATCATTAGGTGTAATTTGTTTGCTCAAACGAGCTTTCTTTTCAGTGAAAAATGTATTTAAAAAATTTTACCACTGAGATTGTGTTACGCGTTACAACCAAAATTGGCTCGATTTTTCATCTTTCACGGGTATTTTCTCAAAGACAGTAATGTGGTTTTCTGATTTTTTGCTTTTACTATAATCAATAAGAACAATTTTACCTGTAAGCAAAGATTTGGCTTCAATGAAAATGTAAAACAGAAGAAATCATTGAAAGTTTGCAGTCAACCCCCTATGGGCATGGTGATTGTGCTACTCATCAAAGTGTAGGGCCTACATTAAAATATTGGTGAAGTTGATCATATCAATATCAGAATTTGTTGTATAGATTTAATTGTTGACAATGAGTTTTGTTGGGTCGGATTGCCCTTTAGTTTTACAATGAATAAGAGTTCCAATTAATTTCCTTGTCGAATTCATGTTGTTTTTACTCAAATTGAAGTGTTTGCGACAGTATAGAGTCTTGCTTTGTGACTTAAGCTTGTTAAGCTTAGTTAAATATATTCTATATTCGTCAACTTTGGATATATCATTTGAAAGAAAATGGGTTTTAAACATTCTTTGTTTAGTTTTTATTTTTTATGTTTATTTTGTTATCCACAGTTTTGTAAATTTTTTCTTTTTGTTTAGGCCTACAAATATATTTTTTGGAGCATGCTTGTCTGCAGTTACTGTTATAGCTTCAATACTTTTGGTGGCAAGCTCTTGCAAGTTGGCACATTTGCTTTGAATAGTATTCCAGTCTAATATTAGCTCAGATATCAATTTTATATAATTCTTCATCACAAAACACTGGTAAAATGGTCAGAAATGTCTACAGTAGCAATTCCAGGGACTGTTTGTTGGTTAAAAGAATTTGTACAGATATGATCTATCAAGGTTGCAGTATGACTTGTTATTCTGGTGGGTTTTGTTATTTCAGGTAACATGTTGTTGGTATAGAGCATTTCTAAGTAATCTTCAGTTAAAGAGAGGCTATTACATTTGAGGAAATCAATGTTCATATCCCCCAGAATAGAAACTTCATATTTTTTCTGATTAAGATTTTTCAATAATACATCTAGTTTGGAAGTAAAATCTTCTATATTAGCTGATGGGTGTCTATATATACAGCCTACTATTATATGAGCTTTGTTGTTACATGGATCAATTTCAATCCAGCATGATTCTATTAATGGCATATTCAGATGTATATCAGGTCTGAATAGAGTTTTTAAATTCTTTTAAATATATCAACCTGCGCCACCAGCTCCTGTTGGTGAATCATTATGGAAGAAGTTATAATTTATGAGATCAATATTTGAAACTGAGTAACTATTACATAACTAGGTCTTACCTCTGAAATTGCTATTACATCTGGCCTGTCATTCAGACAGTACAGCATATCATTTAACAACTTTAAGTTCTTGGAAAGGCTTCTAATATGGTTGAAGTCGATCAATTAATTCCTCCACAGAGAATGATCAGAGCGGACAGCGTGTCGTTATTTAATTATCATTACCCCGCTCCAGCGAATAGATGATACCATTTGTTTTTGATAAGTGATGCATCATACATTGTTACCTTGGGAGAGAATGACGATATGAAATTTGTGTATCTACTCCTGTAAATCATAGGAAGTAAATGAAGTGGGTGGCTATCAACCACGTCGTGACTGCTAAGTGTTTTTTTTCTTGTGTCACGCAAAGTACTACACATTCTAGCCCGCCTAGTTTCCCTTCTTTAAGCAAATGTATTTCAAGTCTTTTGTAGCTGAATCATGTTTTAACCTCCTTAAACAGAGTCTTCTGATTACCAGGTGAAACTAATGATCTAGCTGTATTAGTGCTGAACTTCCCAAACTTTTATGTATGTGTGTTTTTTAAAAAAATTGATACAAGTAAATGGAAATCAGGCTTCTCAGTCATTTGCGTATTTAAGTCTTCCTAGGTGCTGTCAAACTAAAAAGCTTGAGAAGTAAAAGGATTATAAACTTTTTGTGTGAAAAATCCGTAAATGTGATTTACATGAGGATGCAGGTCTTGACATTTTCCAACTACTCGTTCGACCCGCTATATAGGTCGCTTTTGCCAAAGGGGCTAAGATCAGAGTATTTCAGGTATTTTTGTACAATTTCTACTCTTATAAAGGCTTAAGAAAAACGCATCTAAGTTATTGAACACCAATTCCTTGCCAGAAAAATCATACCCACATAACGTGGAATGACAATTTCTAAATATTATTGAAAGTGATCTGTTTTGATCCTCTCCTCTTAAATCATCCATCTATCCTATTTATATAGGACAGATGGATTGTATATTAGCTATATCTGTCTTTTGTAAGATTAACTGTTCACTCCGTTGATCTATTTCACAGTTTGGGTTGCAGTCATGAGGTAAGGAAGGTCCAGTAATAGATCCTGCCTCAGGTTTTCCTTCTTTAAAAATGGCTGCCGCTTTGGACCCAGATGAGGTGCTTCGTTCTTCGAAAGGGAGAGATAATTATCAGCGTCTGGCTCGGCTTTTGATAAGTGGAGGTACTGTGCTATTGAGGGAGGCTTTTGATATCAAATGTCCACCAAGTAATCTTTCCACAACACTTCAAAATCCAGCCACGAAGAAGCTACTTAAGGCAGCAAAGCTCACAAAGCCTCAGAGGGACTGCCTGTACCCTTCCCCAGGAATGTACGGAAAGTCAACAGACTTTGATATAACTCTCCTTTTCCGGTTGCTGAGGACAATATGCGGCCTTGCCCCTCCTGTCACGGGCTGGGATGCGCTACCGGCAAGTACAGATGACAGTTTAGAAGCAGATTTAGCTAGAATCAAATATTACCGCAATTCGATATATGGTCATGTGACCGAGAACATGGAAATCTCAGATGACGAGTTTTTAGTTCTTTGGAGAGAAATCAGCGGGGCTCTGGTGGGAGTTGCGGGTCAAATCAGCCCTGCAAAGGCAAAAGAATGGCAGAATGCTATTGATACATTTTTAAAAGATCCCCTCACAGAGGAAGACAAGAGACACGAGCAGGAATTGCAGCGCTGGTACCAGAATGACACAGAAGTAAAGGAATGCCTGGAAAAGGTAAAATCTTCAATGAAGAATTTGGAGAAAGAAGCTCAATACTTAAGACAAGAGGTTCGAGAAGAAGCCCAAGATATTAAAGATGAGCTCGGCGGGAAAGTAGAATCTACAGCCCAACAAGTGCAGCGCTTAGGACAAGACATCAAAGATGAGCTCGGAGGGAAAGTAGAATCTACAGCCCAACAAGTGCAGCGCTTAGGACAAGACATCAAAGATGAGCTCGGAGGGAAAGTAGAATCTACAGCCCAACAAGTACATCGCTTGAGGCAAGAGTTTCGAGATGAAGCCCAAGACATCAAAGATCGATTAAAACTGGGTGGGCGACCCACTTCCTCAGCTGGAGGTCAGCTTGTTGATATTTACTGTATATCTATTACTTGTAAAGCATTTTTCCTTTTACATAAGCACTTACGTAACGCACAAGGGTCACATGTACGGTGCACATTGTACACTTTTTATGACAGAAATGGCTTCATATATTTTTGCAGCGGAGAAATGTCAATTATTTATCGTTACTTGACTATAGCCGGACGACCATTCATATTAATTGCCTGTTTTGCCTCTGTTGTGAATGGTTAGTCGCTGCAGTTACTGACACTTTTTCCCCTTACAGTTAAAATTCGAATGAGGATTGATTGTGAGACCATCCCAGACCCTCATCCGCCACTTGAGACATCAGAGACAGTGGTCATAGCCAGTCAGGGTACCCAAGCTTGTGGCGACGAGCTGGTAGTTACTGGAACGTCAGAAGGAACGTCTGAAGACACACAGGATACCCAGGCCGGATGCCACGAGATGGTAGTTACTGGAGTTAAGCGTAAGGCAGTGGAACCTGTTGCATCTGCTGGTCTACCACTCGCGGGAAGAACAGAAAGCGCCGAGGAAGGAGGTTCTCAAGGAGTTATGAATTTCATCGCGCGCAAGTACTTTCAGACGGTTGACACAACCAAACCTGAGGAATTAAATGGTTTTCTACGGTTTTTAACAGATGTGCGCAAAGTTCTAGTCCTAGACGCACAATCAGGAAGTTTGTTATTGACAGCACTATGTAGCTCATTGGAAATACTGGATGCCCTGTGGTATGACTATTGCACAGGTCACCTGAATGACATGGCACAGAAATATCTTGTGACAAAGGAAGTTCTGAAGGAGTTTGGCTTGACTGAGCTGAAACTGACAACAACTATTCAGGGGGAGGAGTACATGGCTGCACGAAAGTTGTTTCTGCAGGGTTCAGGTGAGTACACAGAAAATGTTTCGGAGAGTTGTCTTTAACCGAATAAATAGGGCATCGTCGTCGTAAATGGTTTAAAACACGTTAGCATAGGTTTTCATGTTTTGTTTTTTTTTATGCTTTCTCATACATGTTTACAAATTTGTTGTTTCATCACATTCAGACAGGTATCATTCATGAAATTTAATTATCAGATTTAATACTTGTGCTCTCTTTATTTAATCGAGAGATGGGGATCGAGGACAGAGGGAGGCGACGCTAAGACGTCCTCACGACCTTTTGACATTTTTAGGAAACTGATCCAACTCCTTATATCGGGTTAGCCCAAAGTAGTAAATATCTTGTCAAGTCAATAGTTTAACAAAATGAACAAATTTCTTTGAATAGCCTGCTAAGAAATGCATGGTCGTCAATTTGCAGAATTGTTCTCTATAAATCACTGTAAAAAAGGAAATTTATGTGACCCGAGCACTCAATCTGGCTATCCTTCTCTCATACTGATAGACAGATTCGTACTGGGAGTGGCTAAAATGATCGAAAAATGCTTTACAAAGATCGCTTGAATATATTTGCGATGGATAAAGCTTACAATAATCAATCATTCAAACAATTTATAAGGGCGTCTGATGATGCTACCTGCTCTATCATCTCTAATCTTGAACGAAGCTGATGTAAATTCTTTTCATATTTGCTTTCAGATCAAGGTCCACTTGGAATGACAAGTAACAGAAGTATCGCAATCGGCCAAAAGTCGACATCCTGTGAAAACCTCCACGCTATCGCACCAGGAACAATGGGAAAAGGTTCTGTTGGCTCACCGGAGAGTCTACTTGAAAAACTTGAAGGAGTTCCGGACGATATCCGTGTTTTCAAGGGGGAACTGGAAGGAGATCTTCCCCCTGAAACGTTGTCAAGGCCACCACGACGGCTAAATCTTCGAGGTGGCGGGCAAATCTTTGTAAAAACATTGACTGGAAAGATGATCACTTTGGAAGTGGAACCGTCAGACACCATTGAGAACGTGAAAACAAAAATTCAAGACAAAGAAGGAATTCCACCGGAGCAGCAATATTTAATCTTTGCCGGGAAGCAATTGGACGATGGCCGTTGTTTGAGTGACTACAATATTCAGAAAGAATCAATACTTCACTTGGTTTTAAGACTGCGTGGTGGCATACAAATCTTTTTAAAAACATTGACTGGAAGGATAACCATTTTGAAAGTGGAACCGTCAGACACCATTGAGAAAGTGAAAAAAAAAGTTCAACACACAGAAGGAATCCCTCCAGACGAGCAACGTCTTATCTTTGCCGGGCAGCAATTGGAAGATGGACGTTGTCTGAGTGACTACAATGTTCTCAGAGAGGCGACTCTTCACTTGGTTTTAAGACTGCGTGGTGGTGGCATTCAAATCTTTATAAAAACATTGACTGGAAAGACGATCACTTTGGTAGTGGGCCCTTCAGAGACGATTAAGAACGTGAAACTGAAAATTCAGGACGAAGAGGGTATCCCACCAAGCCAGCAACATCTGATCTTTAGGCGGCAAGAACTCGAAGACCACCAAACGTTAAAAGAGTACAAAGTCACAAACAAATCTTCGGTACATTTGCGACTCGAGGACGAACTTGATAGAATACTTATCAATGTGGAGTTTCCAACTGGAAGGAAGATTTTTATAAATGTTTCACCAAAGGATGATTTTGAGAGCGTGAGAAAGATGATCTGTGATAGAGAAGGGATTCCAGTTGATCAACAACGCCTCAGCTTTGTTGGCAAAGAAGTTGTAGACGACCACCTTCCTCTGAGTGAGTACCACAATGAGATTGAATTATCTTTGCAACTGGATGTGAAACAACAAAAAAATGAATTCCTTCTTCATGTGAAGACACCATCTGGAAAAACAAAGATCAAAGTTGAAGCTGTATCAGGAGATACCATCCAGGATGTGAAAAGGAAAATAATGGAAGAGATTGGAATACCGCAACATCAGCAACTACTTATGTTTAACAGTCAGGAAATTGAAGATGAGCGCCGCACGCTGGAAAGCTACGACATCAACAGCGACTCCATCATTGAACTGGTTATCAGAAGAACACATAGCAACGAAAGGCATATTTACGTGAAAATGCCTAATGGTATAAGAATCGTAGTAGATGTATCACTGGAAGATACCATCGCGGATGTGAAAGAGAAAATAAAAGAATTGATAGGAACGCCGGTCAACAAGCAGCTAATCACTTTTGGTGACACAAAGCTCGAAGGTGACAACAAACTGAGTGATTTCGGTGTGGAATATGGATCCACAGTTTCAATGATCACCAGTTCTACTACTCTGAAGAAGTGCATCGTAAGTTAATTAAACTAGGCCTAGCATAAATCTCAAAATGGAGTGCTTAGTTGTAGAAGACAAAGCGATTTGACAGCTCCATAAAAGAAGCAGACAGACTTTTCTTCAGTTTGGGAACGAGTTAAAATGCGATGTTTGAGAGAATCCTTTCAGCTCTTTTCATAGATCTGACAATGCAGATACCGCTGATCATTGAAATTATTGAACCTGGAGTTAGTTCCAAGATGGCCAGTCACCAAAGGATGACAGATCTTGCGCTAGGCTTTGGCGCGCAAAACGGATTTTAAGTCGTTTGCGCGTTCGATTTTCTATTTTGTTGCTTGTAGGCGTTGTTTCCTTGCCGCTTTTCTCTTAAAGAACAACCGCCAAAAATTAAGTTTGTACACCCCCCTAAATATTATTAAAAAACAGAGCCATTTTTCCTTAAGAATTTCATTTATTGAAAGGCATCAGAATCTTGAAGCATGTAAAACATGTAGGAATGTAAATGACGATAGGCTTTTTATACGAAGATATTTATACCGATAACTTTTTCCAGCATTCATTTCTGAGCTTCAAGATATCACGAGGTAACTATGTAACAGTCGTTTTGCTCAACCATATGCCTTACGTGAAACTCTTAGACCCTATCGCAACCTCTCTACAGGACGTCACGCCATTCTTCCTCGCGTGACATGCGAGGGAGGCTGTGATAGTCTCAGATCAGGTAAAATCTGAGGTGAACTTTCCTTGATCAGAATTTTGATCATCCCACATAGCAAACAGTAAGCTGTTCGTAAACATTTTCCCTGCAGGTTGCAAATCTATTTGAAGAATAATAGACACGATACTCGGTATATTTGTCTTGGAACATAAGCTGTTCCTCAAAGCTCACAGCTTTCCTCGCGCTGTTCGCATCTCGTAACAGATAGTGTCCGCGGACAAGTATTTTCGTGCCAAACGGATGCTATTGTTTTTATATTTGCAATATTCACTCTAGAATCTTAAGATACCGAGAAGTAACTACATAGCAGTTTTTCATTTAAACCATATGCCTTGCGTGACAGTCTCAGACCCTTTCGCAACAATTTTAAGGATGTCGCGTGACATACGAAGGTTAAGTCACACATAATATGGTTCTTCTATATTTTTAACTACAAACCAAACGCAATTTATAGAAAGATTTTTTACGAATTTGATGCTAAACGAGGTTAAGATGAAAGGTTTTCATGAAAAACCTTTTTATTATAATTTTAAACAGGATTTGTTTCCAAATAACCACCGTTTTCCTAACTGAAAATTTGGCTCCTTATTTCGGGTAACGTAGCAAGGGGATGGTCTTACTCCCGTCTCACGCAGGGATTTCAGCAAATTCGCGCGTAACGAATTTGAAAGGGAAAACTTCAAATCTCACCATCCCCCGCCTATTGTAAAATTTACACGTCACGTACTATATTGGGCTTACTCACGCGTTACGTGTAAACCCTTTGTAACCCTCTTTTAAGGGTACACGTTACACATGTGAGAAGTCTCCAACAGTTTTCAGCCTTGAGTAATATAATATCCCACGGGTATCATCCTTTGATAAGTGGTGTAAAAGTGTTTTTGTTCAGTCATTGTAACTATGACTCATTCACAGGAAAGATATGAGTTGCACATGACTCTTCAATTCGTTTTATATAGTCAGTAGCGTAAAAGTTGCGAAATGAGACAACAGGTGTTAAATGTACAATTTTCTATTTAAGGCATTGAAGTTCTTTTAACAAATTCTTAAGCTTTTTTGGATGAGAAATACGAGATTTGAAATACGCCTTACGTTTACGTTTACAAGTGTTGGAAACTTGGTCCCAGGCACCTCTCTCTCCCTCCTCGGAAATATATGAAGGTAGAGGAGCTCGGGAACAAGGTTCTTATTTTCGTTGCGAGGCCTTTTGAAGGAACTTTTGCTGATTAAAAGCGAATGCAATTTAATGCAAAATAACCTCAACCCTCCAAATAAAAATCATCCCCAGCTAGTTACATGCTTAAATTTTGTGGTGCTGATAGCTGTTGATAACATCGAGTTCCGCTTATAGGTAAGTTTATTCCCTCTAAATAAAAAGCCCACGGGGTAAAAAGTTTTTGCGATGTTATGTTGAAAATTACGCAGCCTTCTTGATCAAGACAGCAATATTTGACTTAAAACTGACTTGAAACATTAGAATGAAGATTAAACTTGGTGTAGAAAATCGATGAAACTTTTTTGTTCCAAGTAATTTTTTTCTTAGATCCAGAACGTGGTTAATTTCAGTAATAACGAAAACTATATTCAGCTTAACCGTTCAATCGAGTTCTTGTTTTATCTCCTGTCATATCAAAAACGGATACTCTCTTAGAGCCCACACAATAATCCCCGGGAAGCTTTTCGTCAAGGAAATCCTATTTTCTCTGAAACTGGGAAAATCTTTCGTTCTCGAATTTTTTCTTTTCAACCGACTCGAGACGCGCTTGGAACGATCTACAATATTGCTTACATGTAAATTTGCTGGGTTCGTCTAAACACGTTCGTGTTTATTAAGTCTACAGGGAAAAAAAGAAAGCTTTTCTTATTAATATTTAGAAATTTCACGCAGTTTTTTTTTCTAGAGTCACGTATTATGTGGAATTTTTCGCCACGATAGCGTTATCAAGATTTTCCTCAATTCTTTGTTTCGAACGTTCCTGATAAGACAGCTTTTTTCACGAAAGCTTCTCTTCGCCCGTAAATTCCTTGCTCTGTTTAACATTATGCTTAAGGCACAATTTTCAGACTTCGACGGCTCTTATTACGATCAAAATAACTCTTAAAGCCACTTTCTTCAACAATAATGTGTTGGTTAACTTTTGTACGTGTGGGTGCATCCTATTTAAGCTCCGAGCGAATAAAATTTTAAAGGCCATCAAACGTAATGATGAGTTAAAATTTTGCGTGGTCGTGAGCAGAATAATCCTTTTATCAATTATAGCATAATAAGTCATAACGTCAAACAAATTCATATTATTTATTCTGAAGTCAAAGGAAGTCTTGAAGTCAACACCGAAAAAAAAAGGGTGTAAATGGCTTTTTCTGACGTTCTCTCTCGAAAACATCGTTATCCCCAATATTTACATCACATTTCAATTTCCCCCCGACCACCGCTCTTCGACCCACAACGATTTCAAGATCACACGTCGACCAATAAAAAACATTGGATTGCAATCGGAACGTCATTTTTTGCGTGTTTTTGACGTCACAAGACGAGCACGTATGTCATGAAAATAGAAACCCGAGATCTCGGCGTTTAAATACGAAATGCCAAAATCTGAGAAACGAGAGGAGTCAGCGAAGTGAAGGTTAGACGCACCTTGTTCGAATTCGCGTTAGCTAAAAATGGGGAAGCGAAAACACAGTACCGATAGCGGAGATGAAAGCGACGATTCTTGTAAGCGGCTGAAAAAACAGGTACGATTTGGTGAAGTTACAATCTACCATTTCCCAAGAAAGCAAGGTTTTGTTTCCGTGCCTTCATCGGGAGGTACTACTTTGGGAATGGCGAGAAAACATGTATTGATTGAGAAAATCCAAGTCAATTTTGAAGTGGACGGTGTTACAATTGGCGATCGCAAACCCTTCGCACCGGTGGCGCAAAAAGCGAGGAAAACTATTCTTAAAACTGCCGGCGTTCGCCGGATTCTCAAGAAAGAAGAGCAAGATTGCGCTCAGCTGAGATTATCACGGATCATTTGTGGTTGTAGCTGTGGGGATATTTGTTACCCACAAACATGCGAGTGTATTTTAAGTGGAATAGCCTGCCAAGTTGATTACGGACGCTTTCCCTGCTCTTGTCAAGCAAATGGCTGCCAAAACAATCACGGACGAAAACAGTACAACCCCAGCGTTGTTGAAAAACATTATTTTGAAACATTCTCGCGACTAAGAGGGCAAACTACAAGCAAAACTGTTCTCCATTACGTGGGAGTAGCGTAAAAATCGGAAAACTGAAAAAATTATTATTTTGAATTGTATATTTCTCGATGCATATCGGATTCATTGATATGCTAACAAAAGAGCGACATTCTAAAGAACTTAAGTGGTTTGATAATACAACTTTGTTGATTAGGTTTAGACCTATTCCTTTGTTTCCGTCGTCTCGGTTCTATGGCGTGTTGTGAAGATATTTATGAAATTTTTGATGCGAATTAGAATTATTGTCTGAATAAAACAATCTATACTCGGTCAAATAAAGCCATTTCTGAGTCAAATGAAGTTATTTTTAGCCAGACCTTACCATACAGAGATTTCACCGGGAATTTCCGTTTCCTGTGGCGACGAACGTGAGCGTTATTTTTACACCGGAAGTGAGCGAACTGACCAGAAATGTCACGAAAAGTCACGCGTTACAGATCTTGTTTAAGTTTGTTTCACTGGAGAGGTAACAGGGTAACGAGCTCGTTTTATATTCATCAATAGATAGACCAATTGTGCGATTTCTGAAGGTCAGTTACGAAGAGATTTCGATTTTATTGGTTTCCAAGATTGGGAATATTTTGGAATTTTCCAAGAAGGCGGACATAATACCACCACGGTAAAACATTCCAATACGTGCTCGGACTCGCTTGAGTGTTTTCCTAAAAATGGAATTGTTATCGTAGCTCACGCGTAGCCGTACCCTCCCCGCAAGGAGTGACCGTTTCTAATTGGGGGGGAGGGGAAGGAAAGGCTTCACGTAGGCTACTGTCGCCGATGGTGATGAATTTAGTCGATTTCAAGGAAAGAAGTCTCGTTGCAAATCAATATTCAACAGAAAATATAAGAACCTTAAAATGGCTCGTTATTGGAGGAGAGTCGAAAAGAGAGTGGAGAAAACCGAAAAATAGCTCGTTCCTCTTTATATAAATTTGGTGCTCTAAAAATTGCAACACAACGAAACTAGAAAACGGGGCTGTTTGGCAAGCGTTCGTGAGCGGACCTTCAAGTTTCATTTCTACTGTTTCCTCGTGTCTGGTCCTCGATCCCCCGTGGGAGGAACATTTCGTAAGGTGGGGGGTAGGGTAGTGGAGTGGAAAGCGAGCTCATTCCCTGAATAGCGGCTGGAAATCGAGCCTTGAATAGGGGATTATCGGATTATGGAGGAAATGGGAGAAACTGGGGAATCCTATCAAGGATCGCGTTACTTCTAAATAAGGAAAACCCCCTAAATTTACTGTAATATCCCTCTCCACGCAAAGTTACAATTTTACTTTGGCATAAGCAAACATTAATTTGTAAGTCGCAGTAGCCACAAGTACCTTTCATGATTTAGTCCACAAAAGTGGCTATTGGACACACGTGAGACTAGCGTTGATGAAAGACGAGTGAGTGCGCACCGCACAGGCTTCTGGGGGCTTTTCTTGGTCATGCAATTTTAAATGCCAAGGATATGTTTACATTGACACTAAGTGCTTGAGCTTGACGATAATCTTTGACAGGTTGGCTTTCACAGATTTAGACCTATCACCGGATTGTTTAACAAGATTAAGGATTAAACATTATCCGTTCCTTTAGCCGATCAAAACTACTGTCTGTGAAAAATTGGCTTTCGATTGTAGTTCCGGTGCGCGCATATCTTTTAATGGCAACCGGTATATGCTAACAGAGATGATAGTTGTTCAAACTTTAAGGCTTTCAGATGCGCCTGTGCTAATAACGTCATCGTATTCTCATAAATAAATATGGAGTGGACGCCTAAGCGTAGGATTTCTTCTGTTAGGACATGTTGCATCGAAAAAAACCAAGACTTAATGATGGAAAAATGCGGAACTTTTAGGAAACGTCAGCGAAGTCAAGTCTTGCCACTAACGCTCTGACGAAAGTAAGAATGACGAGAAAATTCGAGAAAAAAAATTTCAGACCGTAACTGGTAGTAAAATTCCAGTCAGGGAAACAAAGAACTTGCTAAATTTTGCCTCTTTATTGAGTTTAGCTCAAATTTATTTCACAATTTGTTTGTTCATGACAAGGAAGTGAAGCTGTCTGCGGTCATTTTAGTATCCAGTGTAAATAAAAGGCTTGAGGAAAGCAATTAAGCTATGATAATAATGTGAGTTTAAGCTAACAGAGTTACGTCAGAGAAATTTTAAATCACTAAGAAACCCAGAAGAACTAGGTTGATCTGTAAGAAAAAATATAAACTTTTTTTTAACTTCCTCGCCGTTTTATGAATCAATTAATCTAGCGATTGTATCATAATCGACTTTGCAATTCTTATCAACCGCGAATTTCAGTCAGAAGGTGAAAAGTATATCAAAATTATGCCCAAAAAAAAAAAAAAAAATAATATATATATATGAGGAATTGTAGGTTCGAAAGAACACCAAAGAGGTCAGAAATAGAATCCAGAAGGAAACAGAATTGTTGACCCAGTTACTTCTGGAAATGTAAAGTGACGCGAAAGAAATTTTTCCTTTCCATAATAATACATTTTCAAGCAAAGAGGAAATGAGAAGTGAGAAAAACATCTTTTGTCTTTGTTTGATCTAAAGCTAAATTCTCAGAGCCGAATTTTTGAAGACTGTATTAAAGAGGTTTGGAAAGTTCATGTCTTGATCTGAAAGGGATAATAGTAAAGGTGTCCACCGATTACTCTGATTGATAAACTTGTAGGATAATATTTTTAAGTTGCCCAAAACCGTGATGTATCTCCTTTCATAACTCTCACGATCAAACCGAAGATTATCACAAAAATAAAATGAAATGAATATGTATGTAAATAAATAAATAAATAGCATGTGATTAAGCGAATGGCCAAGTTCAACTATGAAATGAAATTCAGCATTCTCTCAAGCTTTACACTTTTCCAGTTTTCGTCTTTGTCGCCTCTATGTTTATTTCGATATGGGTTTTGTTTATTACAATTTTTTTCGTAAATAGTCTAAGCAATATCGAGTCTTTTCCATAACTTTTCTAAAAAATTCTAGGCCATTGTGAATTAAATCGCTACGTATATTGCACGGGATCATCAAACATCAAAATACTCATATCCTATCAGATTTTCCATCCAAGCTGATTAAATAATTATAATGTTCCAGTGGTTAAATTTCTATTTCATGTTGTGTCTTGCAGCTGTTCTGATTAATTTTTCGTGAAAGTTCCATGAAAGTGGTGAATCCATTCTAAATGCAAATCATATTTGTCGAACCTTCCATCGAAACGTACTGTTTACAAACACAGAAAACTCGTTTGAAAACTTCATTGTTTCGCCTTAATTTCCTGGGCTTACAGCGGCTACAAGGGGTAGATAGAACAATTTGAGTGAACTTAAGAACGATTATGATTGTACGCTATATTTTGCCTTTGTCAATTAACCATTTGTGAGGAAAAATGGTTAGCGTTCGCATGCTAATGCAACACGGCGCATAATGTTGATCACTCGCCTTACAAACCTCCTCCTTAAAAATATGGCCTGTTTATTTGGGAATCGTCGATTGTATCTGACGAGTTTAGGAAAGGAAGACAGTCTTTCCTGAAGGAATTTTAAATTGAAGTTAATTTGCATCGCTAAACAAGCCCGCTTGAAATCCACTTCCTTCTATATTTACTGTTGTCACGTGATGCATTTGTCACGGGCTAATACTTTTGTCGTTTTCCACAAAAATACTTCGCTTCCTGCGAAATTTGGCTTCTACGTGGCGACGTGTGAAAAGCGGTTTTAGTTAAATCTTACTCCGTGGGGTTATCCCAGCCGTCTGACAAACGGAACTTCGATATTTTGTCAGTTTGGAAAGTCGGCGATTGGTACAGGATTACTCGGTGAGTCCATTTTGGAGCCAACCGCGTCGGCCATTTTCCTTGTGGTATGGAACTTGCTGGGACAAATATTGTACACGTTGCATTGTGCATTGGCACCATTTGGGAAACCTAATAAGCTAGCGAATACTAAGTTTAAGAGCCTGATTTTCTGTGTTTCTTTATAAACTTATCACGTTCCCAAATTGTTTTGGATAAGATGTTTTAATACTTGTACAAGCTCCATACAAAACAAATTCGACGCACAGAGTTTCTGAAGGAACAACATAGCCACCGGAAACGACGTTATTTCTTTCGATGGCTACTACAAGAACTGAATACGGCAAAGAGAACAGATTCCGTGCTCGTCGTGAAGTGGCAAGTCGTCCAAAAGCGGAGAATGAAAGTTCTCGGAGTCAAAGCTCAACCGTACCTCCCCGCAAAAATCTTGTTGACACTAAAACAAAGCGAACAACGGGCAGTCCTAACACAGGGGATGTTAAAGAGGAGAGACACAGAGCGTACAACAAATTTGGAGCACCTCCGAAAAAAATTATCTCTACTGATAAAACGTATATTTCCCCTCTTAAAAGTGACAATGTGGTACGAACGACGAAAGCCCGCGACGTGAAACAGGGCATAACGCGAAAACCGGCAAGAGAGACTGAACAGGAAAGTGACAACGATAAAAGCAGCGCTGAAGAGATCGTTAAACCTAATGTAAGCAAACTGAAACACATTTTTGATGAGACTATTGCGAATGAGGCTATAAAAGCACAGCAAACGTACAAGAAACCCAGGCCTGTCTCTGAAGCTTTTGACAGAGTGAAGGCAAATCATGCTAAAGAGACATCACAAGGTGAAACCACAGAACGATGGTCCTTACCCAACTATTACAAAAAAACCTTACCCCCCACCCCTTCACACAAGCCACATGTGTCTTCAGGGATTGCTGCCAGGAGGGCTATGTTTGAAAGTGGAGGCTCAAATGAAGATTTACAAAAGAAGGAGAAACGATCACCAAGTTTGCAAGATCTTGTTCCAGATTTGAAGGAATTAGATGTGAGTTTGCTTGGCAACAATGATCCTACCCCTGTGCAGAGGTCTCGTACAAGATCTGATCCAGGAACCAAAAGACCACTGTACTTTATAAAATCCCGTAAACGCTTTCCATCTGACACTAAAGCTATGAACGGCGAGTACCATGGCACTGTTGACAAACTGAAGCAATCTCGAGATGACTCTGTTTTGAAGAAACCATCACTTGATACCAGACGCCTCTATAAGTCGCACAGTGTTGATTTTATCCAGGGAAGTCCATTGATATCAGATTCAGACATAGGAATGACGATGGAAAGCTTGACGAAACAGCAGCCCTCTTCTACAATTGAAAGAGAAGAAGAGAAATCCTTTCCACTCAACAAAAGCAGTGAGGCTAACACAGAAGTCAAAGCTGCTAATCCTGAGAAAGTATCTTCCAGTGTTCCTAAGGGATTAAAATCCCAGCAAAAGGAGGAACCACAGGATGATTTATTTGATGACATCCCAGGGCGAATCCGGGAAGCATCTTGGATAGATGAAGAAATTCCAAAAGAGGAAACTGCTCCAGTAGAAATGTCACCCATAAGCATTACGCCTGGGTTCACATCAGTACCCAAATCAAATGTTCTTGAAGTGAATTCAGAATCTCACCCAAAGCATGACAGTGTTTACTTCCTAAAGAATGAAGAAACCCAATTGCATAATGAAGAAACTGAAAGTTCTGGTGATGAAAGCACTGGAAGTGTTATTGAACACAGTGATGCTGATGAAGAAGATCCTGCACACCTTCAAACAGTGTCCCCTGTATCATTACTTTTCTCAGCTAAGCCAGCATTATCAGCTTTGTCCAAAGACAAGACGAAAAAAGGAAGAAGGAATGTTGGTTTTAATATGGATAATCCTGATCTGTTTCTGACGTACAGTGCTGAGGAATATGATAGAGGCAATGATGGTATTGATCCAGTTACTGCATCTGCAGAGTGGGAACTGGAAAAAAGAGTAGAAAAGATGGACATATTCTCTGTGGACCTGAGCAAAGGTAAGATTGATTAGACACTGTAACACCCTTAACTTTTAACTTCCAGAAGTGATTAACATGGACCTTCTCCCTATAATATCAGTACTTTATTCAGGAAACTGGTAATAAGAATACTCAAAGTCAGCAAGTAGAAGTTGTTATCTTGATCTGACTCTAAATTCCTGTAACCAATTTACAAGGAAATGAATGCAGTCAGAGAGGAGAATTAACAATCAGATCTTGGAAGTTAAAGAGATAAATCTTTTCACTCTTGAGAATTTTCTCTAAACAATATCAAAGAGTTTCCAATCATAAACGTGATGAAAAAAACAAATAACCAACTTATTCCTCCTCTGTCCCACTTCAAGAGTGGCCTTTACTTGCAAGCCTCCATCTTTTCTGAACTGGAGCTGTCTTCACTAAGGGTTATACTGTGATTGAACAAGAAATTCTCAGAAATAACGTAATATAAAGAGTATGGTTTACAGTAAGGAGAATTAACATCCAGAGCTTAGGAGTGAAACAGTCTAAGAAGTTCCATACTGATCTTAGTTCTTTCCAATGTAAGACATTTTTTTTTATTTTCAAACTGTAGCCCATGTTTTTATTGGTCTAAGAAATTTCCATTGTTAGGAAATTCTTCTAGGGCCTCCACGGGAAAATTCTAATCATGAAGATAACTGTACAAACTCTTTTTATGGTCATTGTTTAATGTTACAATTAACCCTTTAACTCCCAAGATCTCATTAGTAATTCTCCTTACTGTCTGCCATACAGTTCTTCTGATGTTAGTTTGGAGAATTTGGTATTGGATGAATTTATAATCCCTAAACTGATATTTTTCTTTATTCTCATCACTTGTCTGTTTGATATTGTATTGATATTGTTAGGAGAAATTCTGTATTGGTCACTCATGGGAGTTGAAGGGTTGAAAGACCCCTTTCTTTCCCTTCCTGACTGGAGTTCCAGTTGTATTCTTAGAATATTATACATATTTTTTTCTGTTTTCAGATGAGAGAGGTCTGGGATTGAGTATAATTGGTTTAGGTGTTGGTACTGACACAGGGGTTGAGAAGTTGGGGATATTTGTCAAGTCACTTACAGAGGGAGGGGCAGCTGCAATTGATGGAAGGTTAGTTTTACTTTCTACAGTCACTATTTGTGAAATTTCATGGGTAACCAGGCATTATAGAGGGGAATGGAAGTGGTTAATTTGCAACCACTGGAAAAATTCCAGCATACTCAAGAACTAGTTTTACAGGCAAACATGTAGTAAAACTTATGTTTTGGTGAATTTTACATGTTGGTTTTAACAGAGGGAAGAATTCTGGCGAAGTGATTAAAAAACCCTCAAATTGGAGAGGAATACTAGCTACAAATTCAATCCAGATGTTACATGAAACCTGATAATCAATTCTGACCACGGCAAGCTCACTATCTTTCTATCTTGTTCCCCAACAATTTTGTATTTCTACAGTGCTTGTATCAAATGAATAATTCTTCAAAATTATATCCTGATATTGATTCTCTTTACCCTGCCAAACACTGCTATCACCTAGTACAAGGTTGGTGTATCTACAGTCCAATAACATAAGCTGTATGCTCCCCTATCAGCTCACATACAGTACCAAGTATATACATGAAGACAGTGATCAATGAAACATCTTTTCTCTGACAGAATACAAGTGAATGATCAGATAATAGAGGTTGATGGAGTTTCTCTTGTGGGAGTAACACAAATATTTGCTGCACAGACTCTGAAGAACACAAGTGGACTTGTAAGGTATGAGGGCTGCGAAATTTTTCCCAGTAACAAATGGAAGCTGTTGTCACCGTGATGATTAGCAACAATTTAGGACAATTGTGGATTTTCTCTTAGAAGTGTCCCTTGTCAAAGTTTATTCATGTAAAACTGAGCCATGGTTTCCTCTATCCTTATTTTGAGCCCCTCCACCCATAATTTTTAGTCATCATACAAATTAAGAGTGCTTTTATCAAGGTAAAAAAAAAAAAAAAAAAAAAAAAAAAAAGGTTGGGGTGAGTTGGGATGTCATTTGGAATTGTTAATGATTAATAAAAAAGTTGCTTTAAGCATTCTGTCAAATTTTGTATGACTTTCCAATATTTTCATTTACTCAGTAAAAAGGTTTTTTTGAGTTGGTAGCCATAAAGTAGATACTTATTCCTGGACCTCTTGATTTACTTGCAATGTGCAGATGTCTGTAAAATGGAACTACAATGCCTTATTTGGATCAAACAATATAAGTTGTATGATATCAACAGTAATTTCCTGAATGATTGCTTTTGTACAGGTTTCTAATGGGCAGAGACAAAAGCAGAGCTCATGTGTCACACAGGATTGACCCAAATGTTGAACAACAAATTGAGGCACTCAGACAGAAGCTAGCTGAGGTGGGTATAACAATGTACACATGTAATGTACCTATGTTTGTACTGTAAATCCCTTGTATAGAGTCTTTTTTCTTATTAAAAGTTCAGGAGAAGAAGTTTTGTCAGAGCCACAGTTATTAATTTTACAAATTTTAACAAATTCACAAAGTAGGCATTTATAGGGGATGAAAAGATTTCAATAATTTTAATCTGAATAGATATATTATATTTTTGAAATGTCTTTCATCACTCCTCCTAAAAAAAACCTAGCTGTCAGACCTTAAGGATGTAAGGCCAAATAATGGTGATTAAGAATGGCCAATACTTTGAATAATAGCAAATTTATTTTGTTGTGTAATAATTTTTTTTTTGGCAACAAAATATGGGGGAATGAAGCACTTAATTGTGGGGGGCTGGGGAAGGAAGCAGAGTTAATTTGCTCTTTGTCAATTGGTTTTACATATCTGTAGGGTTATTAATTCATGGAAAAGCACCATATTAATGTTTTATGTTACCTTTATTGGTTTTGTAAACTTTTTTCAAAATTTAGTGTCTGTCATTTTTTCATAGACTGAAACCAAAGCTGAAGAAGCAGAAAAAAGAGCTTCCCTGGCAGAAAAAATGGTTCAACTTCAGAATAATATGAAAAAACCTGTGAGTAGGTGTAGTGTACCTTTTCTGGAATTGATACCAAGTCTTTCCTGTCTTCCTCTTTTCTTCATCTGCAGAATAATTATGACATCACCTTAGTTTCGAAGGGATAAAGGTGATGGTTTTTGCAACAAAGTTCAAGAGGTTCTGGGCAAAGATGTTAATTTATGCTAGAAGACTGCCTGTACAGTGTTTCAAATGTTGCTGATGTAATGCATTATGAAATGATAATCTTCAAATAATTGTGGGGAAGGATATCCATTATTTTTATAGGAATGGATTTTTTTAGCTAGAAAAGCTTGCCATTTACTGATGTATTATTATTTCTCTTATGAGTCACTGTACAAAAAGTATGAAGTTCACTGATTACAATCCTTGCATTGATCCTGTAGGGAAAGTATATTTATTTAATTATTTTTATAGGAATTGATTTTTTCAGCCAGAAAAGCTTGTCATTTTCTGATTATTATCATAGCGGAGCTCACAGAGCATAGCCCCATAATTATACAAAATAGTAGCAACCCATCAAGCCAAAAAAATTTGGATGTACAACTGTATGACCATATGGCAGCCAACTGTACCACGGGCACTATCTTATAATCAGTCCTCTACACAGACACAGAGAAGTTGCAAATGAAAATCCATTAATATTACCATGCACTTTATCCATAGTAGGGGCTTTAGTTTTGTTGAAGAGATGTGCGGGAAAAAAAAATGCGAGCTCTGCTTTTAGGCTGGCCTAAATCTATATATTATCTTTTATGAGTCACTGTTCAAAAAGTATGAAGATCAGTGAATACCTTCTATGTATTGATCCTGTAGGAAGTAACTGGAGAACAAGCCGATGATGAAACCAAGAAAACACAGAAAGCTTTAGAAGAGATGAAAGAGAAAGTCAACTCATTGGAATCAGATTTAGCTGTGTCTGAAGCAGAGAATGAAGACATGGTCAGGCAGTTGGAAGAAAGCAAAGGACTGTATCTAATATTAGAGAAGAAATACCACATTGCAAAAAATAAAGTGAAGGAACTTGAAGACAGGTAAAGTTTCATGGTAACGTAGATATAGTGCTTCTAGCCATGTGAATTTCTTGTATGTTGTGGTTCATTGATTCACTTGTTATTTTATTTAATGCTCAACTTCAATGGGAAATGATGTTTCCCAATGGCTCACATACAGTACTTCGGACTGGGAGGTGGGCTTAGTTCAAGTCCTGAGGGCATCGTTGTGTTCTTTACCAAATATTTCTCCATGGGCACAATGGTAGAGATGATTATTCCTTTATGTGTATGCAAATGACCTTTGTTAACCTTGCTTTGAAAGTTCTATTCTTTTGAGCCATGTTACTGAGGCCAGGAAGGCTTAGTTACATTTACACATGGAATTACAATTACACCTTGTAAGCTTGCCATTTATGAGAGAGTTGCAGGCCAGAGAATGTGATAAATGTACTGTGCAATTATGTTATCTGTTGTTCTGGCAGAGAGCAAATGTTGTTTCCCAATAGCTCACATACAGTACTTCAGATTGGGAGGTGGGCTTAGTTCAAGTCCTGAGGGCATTGTTGTGTTCTTTAGCAAATATTTCCCCAAGGGCACAATAGTAGAGATGATTATTCCTTTATGTGTATGCAAATGACCTTTGTTAACCTTGCTTTGAAAGTTCTGTTCTTTTGAGCCATGTTACTGAAGCCAGGAAGGCTTGGTTACATTTACACGAGAATTACAATTACACCCTTTAGGCTTGCCATTTATGAGAGAGTTGCAGGCCAGAGAATGTGATAAATGTACTGTGCAATTATGTTATCTGTTGTTCTGGCAGAGAGCAAGCAAATTCTGTGACTGCTGAGAGATCTGCGATTGAAATAAAGTTACTACAAGATAAGGTGGGTACTTGTGACTTGGTTGATGTTAAGTTAGTCCTTTAACTCCCAAGATCTGATTGTCAATTCCCCCCTCTAGCTACTAAACATTTCCTTGTAAATTGATTATGAGAATTTGGTGTTCAATCAAGGCAGTAAATTGTACCTGATGAGTTTGAGTATTCTCACTACCTCTTTGCTATATAATGTATGGATATTATTGGGAGAAGTTACTGTACATGGTAATTACTTCTGGGAGTTTAAAGGTTAATAACAGTTTGTCATTGAAATAACAGTTTATGTAAAATGTGTTTCATTTTGCATAACTGAAGTTATGCTGTTTGCATAAATTTGAGGAGTTCAAGCTGCTCTTGTGTTTTGTGTGAATTTAGACAATTTGTGATGTACATGCAGTAGCAAAGTGCTACACTTACAGTAGGCTCTTCCATCAAAGGCAACCTTATTTGCAACTAAAACCTCACTGATAGCTAACAAAGAAATTTTTGTTGGCAAGATGGGTGTAATAACATTTTCACTCCCAAGATCTCATTAGTGATTCTCTGTACCGTCTGTTATACAATTCTAAGGGTTTTAGTTGGGAGAATTTGGTATTGGATCAACTAAGAATCCCTTAATTGATATTTCTCTGACTGTATTCTTATCACCTGTTTGCTTAATATTGTATTAATATTGTAAGGAGAAATTCTGTCTTGGTCATTCATGGGAGTTGAATGATAAACTCCTAGCAGAAGGTTAAACAATGTGCATTCCTGATGCTCAGTTGTTTTTACTTGAATCATCTGCTCATTTTTCTATTTCATTTTCACCCAGGTGAATTTTGAGTTGTATTTAAGGTTTCAGTCAATGAATCATCTGTCATTTTTCACAGGTCAAAGAACTGGAGACCCAGTTGAAAATGGTTCAACAACAAAAGTCAGAAAAGGAAAGAGAAGTGAAAAAAGAGGAAGCAATATCAACTCCAGTGCAAATTGAAGAACAGAATTCTATGCCTGATGGCAAATGGAGAGAGGAGGTTCAGGAGGAAATTGTAGAAAATGGACTGGCTTTTGAAGTAGAGCAGGCTTTGTCAAACTTCCAACTTAGTTGGGATTCAGCTGGAAAAAAAGATGTCATAGGTAACATGTGAGATCTGATTAACAAATGGATTCTGGTGAGGCATCATTCCATGAACACCTACCAGCATTCCATGTATAGGAGGAGAAAGTTATAGTTTTACAGCCCTACACTGTACAATCACTTACTTATATTAATCTTGAGTGTATGTATACTTACCTGCTAATCAAAAAGATATGCAGGACATTAAGAAACACCCAGGACACAAGGAAGAGCTCAACTTCAATTATAATGATGATACAATGTATGTGGTACCTTGAACTCTAAAATGTCACAATTCATATGGGTAATAAACTCTTTTTTCTGTCAATTAGAGCCCGATTTGGAGAGCTTATCAAAAGATGATTTGGATCTAAACAGCATCCCAGCCACAAAAACACTTAGTAATGAACATCTTTTGGAGAAAAAAAGACTCGCTGAAGCGCAGCAGAAGAAATATAAACCAACTCGTGCAAGCTGGGGAAAGTCGCTGGATGATGATTCTTATGACGTAAGACATTATATCTTTGATTCAAGCGCGTATGTAATTTTCCTTCAGCACGCGTGGAACTTTCTGTTTAAAGGCGCGTGTAATTGTCGCGCGTTACATGTGCTAGACGCGCCTGAAGATGCTAAAGTACGGTGATGTGACTGGCTAAGGTTCTAAGTGGTTCTAGAACACTCAATCATACAAAAGTATTTTGCATGATTTTAACTCTTTAACTCCCACTTGATCTGATTGTCAATTCTCCCCTCCAGCTACTTCACATTTCCATGTAAATTGAATTTCTAACATGACTTTCTATTTAGATGTTTGGAGGTAATGAAGTGTCTGACGTGGAGGACGCTGCTTCTCAGAGTACCTCCATGGAAAACGAGTCCCCTAGGGCTCCCCCTAAGGGACCAGGATTCGTCCTTCCAGGTTTGCCTGTCGGAGGATTCAAACTGAGATCCACAGGGAAAAACTTGTACGATGAATCAGCTGCTAAGGGAAGTGAGTCACCTCCTCAAGAGACACGAGCCAGCTTCCCTTTGTCGCACAAGGAGGAGACCCGGAACATCGTGGTGGAGAATCTCCTGGAGAAGCAGCTGTCTAAGGCTGATGTGAAGGTGACATCTTTGCCGACTACTGCGCTTGACCGAGCGGACAGAGAGGCGCGTCGTGCGGTGGATGATCAGGAGTCGGAGTGTTTTTCAGGGTCCACTAATTCTTTGGATGAGATTGAAGAAGCCGCGAGAAGGGTGAGAGAGGGTTGAGTTTTCTTTTTGTCTTTTCGGCTCTAAACCATAACGCTTATCCGGTGAGTTTACTCAGTTGCAAGGGCAAATGAAGCTAAAAGAGTCATTTGCGGAGACGTGAACATTCTGAAGAAAATCACATAATAATTGTTTGGCAAGACGGAATGTTCCAAAAAGATTATGGTAAATGTACAGTGCGGCTGGCGTGTACCATAGCATTACACGCGCTTGACGCGCGCGGAAGGTGCTACCGTACACGCGAGTGGTGTACAGAAGCAAGGATGGTTAAGAATGGAGGAGATTGGAACGGATTGAAAATGACCAACTTGAAAACTTGGTCTTTTTTATTGAAGTTTCCCATTTGTGTTCAATCAGGAAGCTCAAATGGTGTTCCATGTTTTTTTCCAATTCCTTTGCGACTTAACGTTTTCAATTGTAATTTTTTTTAGATTGACTCCGACTTGGCCTCTTCCCAGGCCTCCTCTCGAGGTTCGTCTCCATTCCTCCCTCCTGCCATGCCCTTGTTACAAGTGAAGAGTGTTCCCGTGATGGAAAGCTATAATGAAGCCGCCATTGATGTTCCCCCGGAACTGCTTGCAGCCAGCGGTCAGCGAGACTTCGATCAACGATCTGTAGGCACAGGGTCAAATGTTGACGGGCAGTCTTCTCTTAGTCCTGGGTCAGACTTAAATTCATCGGGAAATTCACAGCTGATTTCAGACTGGGACACAGATCAGGTGAGTTGCAAGGGGATACACGTAAACAATACAGCAGAGATACATTTAAAAAGAAGTTTTGCATACAGAAAGTTAAGCAGACCCAAAGTGTGGGAGTTGCGTGACTGACTGGTGGTAGACAGATAGACCGACTGACAAACGTACAGACGGATGGACGGACAGACAGAACGACAGACAAACAGACAGATAGACGGACAGACAGGCAGTCAGACAGATGAACAGATGGACGGACGGACAGACTGACTGATAGACAGACCGACAGAGACGGACAGACAGATAGACAGACAGACGGAAGGACGGACTGGCAGAGAGATAAACTGACAAACACAGGCATTATCTGACTGTAAAATAGGGAGTATCAGACCCCCTGATAACTGGCTAGGAGGTAGATACAGACGAGAAGACAGATAGACAGAAGAATGAACGGACTGATAAGAATCTAGTGCCAGTTTTTCTTGCAGTCGTTGGATTAAACTCATACAAAGGAAGTGAGCAAACAAGCTATCATTTGATTATGTAATTTTCTTTTTGAGTTCACGTACCAATATGTTACCGTAATCTAAACGGACTCATGATTTTTTCTCTAAATTGTCGTTTAGGTGTATGCGTGGTTAATCCAAAATGAGTTGGACGAGTATGCCGATGAGTTCACTGCTAAAAAGATTGATGGAAAACAACTATTAAATTTAGATGGATCCAGACTCAAGGTAGGGTTCTGTGCCTTGTTTCAGAATTTTAATCTTTATCCCACCTCTCACGGCGCCTTGAATGGCTGACTTCTAGATTTTATGTCAGTTTGCCGCAGAATAATGAAACAGTTTGTAGAACTGAAGAGATAAGTTGCTCAATTTTCAAGCGCGAAAAGGAGAGAAATTCTCTGCAGGGAGACTGCAGGAAGACATGATGTATCTGGTTCTGGTTTTTCTTCCCTCCCACTCCCCCACCGCCATTTTCCTCCCAGAGGGGCATTTTGTTGCTCCCCAACCTTTCTTCTCAGTTTTTCTTCTGTAACCGCCATTTTCAGCAAGACAATGGAACAGTCTTTATTTTATCGCCTGTGGGGGAATAAGAGGGGTCAGATTAAACTAATGTGAAGAGGTTTGTTGATCTCTTTATGAAAATTGATGCTCTACATCTATCGGAGAATTTTTAGCTCTGCCTGGAAGCTCAAACACTGTTATGGAACAGGACAATATTTCACCTGATCACTCCTCATATTCTTTTCCCATGAAATTGGGATCACATGGGTTCTTGGGGAACGGAGTGGGAATTGGGGATCAGTTGTTGCCAACTACCAGTGAGGGGAGATGATAAGAATATCTCTGAACCTTACGGGGGATCGGGTAAATTTTTTCGAGACACAAACATCATCCGACCCCCTCCCCCCCCCTTCCAGGCGATTTTATGAATAATGACCAGTCCCTAAGTAACGGTTTTTTTTAACTCTCGTCACTAACCTGCATAGCTTTGAACGGGAAATTTTAAGAGAAGGTGGACATTGATCACAGTTCGCTTTTTTTCAGGCAATGGGAGTGAGTCAGAACCACAGAGCTGTCATCAAAAAGAGGATCAAAGAGCTTAAGGCTGAGATGGAACGAGAACAGAAAGCGAGAAAACAGAGAGAAAAAGAACAGAGAACTGGCAAAAAGGAAGGAAAGTTGGAAAAAATGGGATTCATGAAAAAGAAAGGAGTTTATAATATCAACTAATTTCTGCAACGCGGCGTGAGATGCTGTTTGGCAGGTTTTTCGACTTTTAAAAGGCAAACACTCCTGAAGAAGTAGAGACCGCTAGCCTAACAACCGTCGTTTGCTCGTAAAAACTTCGGAAATATTCGGCATTGTCGGGCTTTGTGCGCAATTGGAACGCGCTTGTGGTACTTCACGTTCGTCGTTTACAGTGTATTATAGGTAATTTTGTAAAAAAAAAGAACAAAAGTATAAAAGAGATAAAAACGATTAAAAAGAATACAGCAATGAACTATTAACATGAATTACAACTTGAATTAGCAAATCGTCCTTTGAAAATTGTGCAAATCTGGAAAGTTAATTTAATTCAACGTTTCAAAACGAATTGAAATTCAATTGTAAAAGAGTTTTTTTTACAATGAGTTATCCACCGTGCCACGCCCTAAAAAATATTCAATTTTTGTGCCAGTTGATCACAGACGTTCTAATCTCTACCAGATAAAATATTGTATCAGTGTCAGTATCTTAGCTGCTACACACCTACCCCTCCCTTAATCCAGTGTTAACCTTAACTTGTTATCAGTTGACTGTGGTTAGTTTAGGGGAGGGGTAGGTGCGTATTTGTACAGAAACTGACATTGATCCAAAATATTTGTAGTACCTCTGTTACTTTCAAGAACAAGTGAAATTCGTTGATTTAAGAGATAAAGGAAAAACAAATTCTTGTGTATTTTCTAACTGATAAATTCCTACCATCAGAATTATACTTTGTTAATATTGCCTGCATTTTTATTCCAATTTACAGTCAGTGGTTTTTTTTCACAATATCGCAAAATGTTAATTTTTTTTTTGTCGAATTGGTGAAATGATCGAACAGGCTTATACTGAGATGTGAATTAGTGTTGAGCAGTAATCATTGGTGTAAATTAAATGGGTTAATGGATTTAAATTTGTGACCTAGAATATTATTTGACGTACTTTCTACGTGGTAAACTATAGAGCTGAAATTATTTGATAAATAAATAAAGCTGAAGATTTTTTTTTTAAATCTTACTTCATATTTTAACAATAGAACAGTATCAAGTATTATTTGTCTTTTATTCACGTTGACAGACCTGTAATGTTTTCGTTTGAAAGTTGATATTATTTCCTTCTCCCGTAGTCAGGGTTAAACAGACAGTTTTTAAACTACCCAAAACATTTGTATTTCAGAACCATGTGCTTGTCCATTACCAGTTCACAACAAACAGAGCTGTCAAACAGCTCTAATTTGGTATAAATAAACACGGGTAAATTTTTCAAAAACAAGAAAATTGCACGAGAAGAATCTACAAGTACGTATTTACACGAAATTGCACGCGATTGATAATAATTAACACGAAAAACAGCACACAGTTAAAGAGAGAAGGAAATTGACAGCGCCCGCGCTGTTTGAAATTTTCACGCATGTTACAACTTTCCTATAAGGGTTATAAGTTAACATTTTCAGGAAATGTATCTTTGAACACTAATGAAAAGTGAATCTAACTCATTAGGCGTACTAAGCTGCTTATATCCTCAATGAAAATCTCTAGTGATGTAAAAGATTGCTCCAAGAATATCATTGTCCTTGACTGAGGGGTCCGCTCGAACAGGAGTTGGAGCCAAAAAGGGGGGGGGAGAGGAGTCTAGGCTACTTGTTGAACTTAAATTTCGCTCAGTCACGCGGTGGTTTCTTCTCCTTGCCTGTTTTCAGGTCTGTGATGGTCCTTAGAAATATAAATCAGAAGAAAAGAAGTGAAAAAAAATTAAAATCTAGTTTAGGTCCACTTAAAGTCATCCTGAGAACGTGAATACACTGTTCTACCTCCCTACCCATGGGACAAACGTTGCGCAGGATTTTCCTCCTTTAGCATCAGCGATGGTGATGCATGCTGGGAGAAATGGCAACAGTTGTTATACTTACATGACACCATAACTGAAGAGCGCTACAGCTATCAAAATCGCAGTGACAGAGTCCAGGTAACAGATTTTCGGGTTGTTTGAACAGATGACATCACTAGCCACCATACCGAGGGTCATAATAGCACCAGCCAAAGAATTAATCGCTAGAGAGAATTGAAAAGGTAAAAAGAAACACATAAGGTTAGTGAAGACATTATCTAGGATGTTTAGTAATTAATGCATCAAAGCAGGAATTTCTCGAGCGGACCCTCGCAATTGCGGCTTTCCAAGTGAAATATTTGAGTAAATTCAAGTCTTATCCGTTAACCTTAAACGAAAGTTCGATTTGTGGTCGACAGCGCGAAAAGTTGAGTACCATTCTGCATTTTCTGCGTGACACGAGCTCCAAAAGATGTTGTGTGATGATCAAGTGGCTTAGTAAAGTTCTTGGAAAGCAATTTGATCGCAAAATTGAAAAGAGACGAAGAAAACACGCTTTATCATCCATGCTTTGGTGGAAAGTATCGCTCTCGGAATATTATCTTTTACTTCACGAGGCGAGAAATTCCAAAAAATGAGAATTTATCAAATTTGAAACGCTAGAATGAGTATTCCAAACATTTCATGTATGTGTTACCATCTATCCTCATTGCTCGGCTCTCGAGTTTTTCTGCTATTATACATTTGAAAGCCGTCAGAAATACCAGGTAAACCAAGCTGCTACCTGACAATATCTCCATCAAAAACTCCTGCAATTGACATAAAATTCACTGAGTTCTACGCATTTATCAAAAGCTAACGGCTTTTGCAGTGTAACTGTATACAACAAATCCTATGAATCAGAAAACAGTTTTTTTCCCATGCTAAGGAGGCACGTTAACCCTTTACATCCTAAAATTAACTAAAATTAAATGTGATTAACATGTATCTTCTCCCATAATATCCATACATTATCCAGATTACTCAAACTTATCAGGTAGACGTTACTATGATAGAACACCAAATTCTCATAACTAAATCACAAGGAAATGTTTAGAAGCTCGATGGGAAAATTGACGAACAGAACTTAGGAGTCAAAGCGTTCAAAAATTTTTGATGGGTGTTTTGATATAATTTTTTCTCTTGCCTTGGTTGGTATTTTGTCCTTCAGTAAGGTGAAGATGGTTTTTGCTGCTATGGCAAATGCTGAGAGGATAAAACATATGGCTATCGCTAAACATGCCCTACGAAGTAATAAATGCAAAAAAAAAATTGATTTCAAAATTTTTTTCAACTCCAGTCACGTGCCTTGTGACCCGTGCAAAATTTATTTCAGGGAATGTCTCCTGTTCGGGAAACAATTAAATTAATTATATGACAATAAAATCTTTAGTGCTTGCATGGCAGCTGTATTTCATGAGCAGCCGGTTCCAGATTCCGGTGTACATATTTGGAGTGCCTTGCACGGGGCCAATCAGAGCGCGGGATATCGTGCGCAATATTGTCGATCCTTGTGGCCGATGAAAAACGGAGGTTCCCGAAGTTTTGCAAGAAGCTAAAGCGATGTATACGAACCTTCGTTCTCGTTCCAACGAGTTTGAATCCTTCCGGCTTTCATTGAAGGAAAATCTCCAAAGAACTACTGCTGAACTGAAAGAGTCTAACACGGCTGCAAGCTGCAAGTGAATCAACATTTTCAGAGAGGAAATTTCGATAACTTTAAAGTTATTTTCAGTCTTTAACAATGTCCATCTACTTTCATAAAACGGGGAATAAGTCCAACGGCAGAACAAGCCGTAGACAAACAAGATATTAATAGAGAAAGAGAACCCTTTTGTTCCCGAGAAACAAAAACAGAAAATTTGCAAGACTTTAGAGCCTTGTGCTGCGAATGAAAATGTAACTCTAAATGTCAAACCTTTAATGAAAGATTTGGTTTATTACCAAGTGGATTTTAGAGAATATTTCTTCTCGATGACTCTCACAGCATTTATTCTTTACAGTTTCTTTAAGCCTACACATTTAAGTAAAGCAGATGACGGAAACTCCGTTTTAGCATGATTCATCCACCAATCTTTTTCGAAACACTGCAATTATTAGTGATTTGGAACAGTATGTCTTATTTTATGAAGAATTATAGACTTATTTACACAAATGCTTTGCTCCTTGAAATAGCGACCTGTAACCCTGAACATACATACAAAAGTTTTTATACTGTGAAACCCTTGTGGCTTCGGAGTTGCCCTACATTAGTTTAAATACAAAGCTGTTTCGTTTGCTGAAATATAGATCACGAACAGTTTAATTTTTTTTCTTATTTTAACGTGGCTTAGTTACTTTTTTGAAATTACACACTAAAACTTAATGAGCTTTTCATTTACGTAGGCAGAACAGAAACGTCAAGTTTTGTTATAATTAAAACATCAGCTGTGTTTGAAAAGTCTAACAGCTAATTAAAGCGACCTCCAGGAGTGTTTTTCTTCACACCCCCTCAATATACAAATTTGCAATAGTTGCTTTTGGGTCCAAACTGAACGGAGACTGTCAAAAAGCGCAAGAACAAAGCTTTATTCACCTGTTTGAATTAATTTCACCAGCCGTGAATAAAAAAATAGTGTTAGCATAAAGTGTTACTAGCAAAGTTATATAATGATCTTAAATAAAAGACACTTACGGAAAATCCAAAGGCCGCAGGACTACCAGCAATTTGAGAAAAAACTGTGAAAAGAATAACAAGGATTTTTGATTAACGAGCTAAAAATTGTGATTTGAATACTACTTAACGACTCTATAGACAATAACTGGTTATCCACCATTAATTTGATGATATTGAACGACTTAAATTAAAAGGCATGATGTATTAATTTTGAAAAAATGACTTACCGAAAAATGTTCCTCCAAATCCTGTGGTCAAAATGATAGACGCACACGAAACACAAATGGCCGCTTTTCTCCAAAATGCGTAAAATTCATCTCCTTTGTCTGTTAAATAGAGAATACCTTTATGAAAATAAGCTTGTGTTTATGTAATTTTACCATTGTCTTTTGTACTCTCCAAAACCAACCCTCTCGAAAGAATTTTGTCCAATGGTTTCCAATGAAAATTATTTTTGTTTTCCATAGTATAAAATATTAAAGAAAATGAAATCAGAGGAGATTTCTGGAGGAGTTTCCAGGATAAGAAATCTAAGGAAATAACATAGTGAGCGGGCTAACTAGTTCCTAAATTATAATCACGCCAATTATTTTGTAAATTAGTTATTTTCAAACAGTTTTAGTCCGAAAACACGCAATAATTTTACTTCGAGGTCTACAGCGTGGTTTGAAACCTTTTCATTCAATGTTTCGATCGATTTATTTAACGGGATGGGTATTCAATCCTCTCAACAGTGTTCTTAACGATTTCAACATCAATCATGAATGCTTATTGAGTTTCGTTATCTTTCTTACTGATCTCAAATTCATAGGCGTTGTAAAATGATGGCGTCTTGATAAACCACTCATGTTTAAAGACACGCTTACCTGTGCTTGAGTCTTCACTTTTTTTCCTACTGATTCCATAATTGTTCTGTTCGTTTTCAGTCTGATTTACTAGTGCTCGGAGTTCTAATTCATCGCCGTTTTTTTCGCCCATTGTTCGTCATCATCAGTTAAGAGAGCTTGATATTTTTAATGAAACCTTTTAGGTCAAATCGCAGTGAAATGAAAGATTTCTTCGCCCGAAACCTGTGGAGGTTCTAAATTAAACTGCAGTTATATACGCTCTTCTTGTAATTAGAGGCGTATCATATCAAAATATTGTGATGTTTATAATACTATGCGTGTAATAGATGACTGTCAGCGAATTCTTTTCTTGTGTGTATTGCTACCTAGCCTACGCTGTCTCTCTGTGATGTAAATCCTAGTTATCTTGAAGTGGTCACAAGAAAATAACCATAGTTTTTACTTAATAAATTCTGCGATTCCTGGAATTGCTATTAATGGTTTGTAAAGGGAATTGTAAAACAGATTTTATCAAGTCACAAATCTGAATGCGTTGTGGGGTCTGGTGAGAAATTTTTAAGTGAATCTGGGACCGACAAAGGAGGGGTCTGGGTAAGCAAATTACCGTTCCCCAGGGGAAACGGACATTGTAACAGACAAAACACTGAGTGAAGTTGGCCAAGTCCTATAATAGGATAATTTAGTATTATCGAATGAGTTGATAACGTAAATTGGCCACCATAAAAGAGTTTAAAAGCTGACGTTTCGAGTGATAGCCCTTCGTCAATCGCTCAGACAAAGGGCCGAACGTTTGAAAGGTCAGCTCTTTAACTCTTTACGCCGGCCAATTCACGTTATGACTCGGTTGATAATGCTAAATTACCCTGCTACACTCTCCCACCGACGCAGCACCAGTTTCTTCGGAAACCTCCCCCTTTATTAAGTCCTATAATATTACGTGGCGACTCAGATAAGGGGCTCAGCAAAGAGCCTTCCGTTTATGCAAATGAAATTGCAAGGGTTCTGAATGAACAACAACGACTTCGTCGATGAATGTTATAATGTGTAAGAAAGGCCTCGAGCATCCGAGGCCACATATGACTATTCTTTTGACTCCATAATGTCAGTGATAGATTTAGGAAACTTGGGGATTCGACCAAGATCTTCGCAATCTGCTAAAAGTAGGGAAGCATACAACAGCCTCAAACCGTTTCTGAGATCAACACCATTTTTGCGACAAAAGCACATTGTACGTATTCTACCGTGTTTACATTTTATTCATTTTTGCATGGTTTTTGCAATTTTGGTGTTATATCTTACTCGTTAAAACTGTAGATTGAAAGCTTAGGGCTCCCGCCTTGGAGACAGTTTTTTTCTAACTAGAGCTCGAGAATGCTCTTTCATATAGAGATAAATTTTAACTCTGATCACTATTGTTTTTCGAACTCAGGCGTCCTTTAAATGTTGGTGTGGTATGGAAAGCCGCATGAAATATCTTTACAAAATTAGTCTTTTCTCTCACACCTTTCAGCTGTTCAAATAGAGAATGATCATTCTAACTCTTTTAAGACTATTCAATAGTTGCACTGGAATTATACCGAGCCTTTACATTGAAGTTTTAAGGTCTTCGAAATTCGCTCTTAAATTCAACGGCATTCTCAAACAAGTGAAAGCTTTCCTCAGCTTTCTTGAGTTCTGGAAAGCTTACGCAATCTTACTGGAGCCCTTTTTATCGAAATTCTCTGATTTTGGTGATACCTTGGCGGAAATCCCTGATTGTTTGCACGTGTTACGTAGCCCAACTAATCACGGCTAATGTGCCATTTTTTCAGCCGATAAAAGATTAGTCCAAAAGGACATGTGACTTGGCTTATGCGCGTTTTGCCGCGCTTGCCTCTCATAATTTTTCCCGCGATTACCATCGGTGACATATCCTGCCTTTGGCGCTAGTAATAAGTTCTGCTGCACTGGAAATCAAAGTAAAAATTAAAGAAAAAATACACACATTTTTATTGTTACCACTAGGATACAAATTCTGGCTTAGCGTCGTTTCACGTACCTATAAACTTTTACTTATTGCTATTAATAGTTTATGCATGTACAAGCATATTTTGACAAAGTAAAAGCGACAAATCATAGGAAAAGAAAAAAACTGTGCTTAGCCGTTCGATGCTTCATTACTCCGAATGTGCTATTAGGAAGCGAGAATCGACTGTTACTAGCAAAGTAGCATTGCGATTAATTTATTGATAATAACATTATGATTAATTAATAACATTACAATTAAATCGAAAAAACTCTTCTTGTTATTGTTCAGAAACAAGACAATTTTTCCCCTCCCTTGTGTTACCGAAAGTCTTCATCCACTTTTACACTTCAGACGGGTTAACGAGAAATGTGGTTACGTCATACGAGTTCTTATTTTCGTTTGGAAACTATAAACAATTCAGTATGACGTTGTGGATAGACTGGTAACTAATATGGCACATAGTACTAAGGACGGATTCAATACACCACGTTTTTTTCATTCCCTTTGCTCAAGTAATTTGATTAAACTTCCAATTTTTCCAATTAAGTAATTTTCTCAGTACTTCAGGGAAGGAAAAAAACCGTAAACGATTGGCTAAATATTTACGCAGTCACCGTAATTTACCACAAAAGTGATTGGTCAGTAATGAATCGCGTGGCAAATGGGCGCCACAAAAGGCGCTCTGGCTCAAAGAATTGACTGACCACGTCATAGCCCGCCGCCGCTACGATCCACGGGAATCTCACGTGTCAAGTGTTTATGATGGCGGTCTATAATGACGGCAAACCGATTGTTGGCGACTGCTCCAGTCTTGATAGCACTCATGACCTGAAGCACAGAAAAAATTAATAATTCTCGCACCATCGTCCGCTTCATTTATTGATGTTAGTAGTAAGAATTTGATACTGCATCAAAGATTTTATGAAGTAGGACACGCGAAAATGGGAAATGCGAGGCCATGCAAGGAAAATGGAATGGAAAGCCGACTTTAAGAAAAGTAGTGAAAAGAACAAATAAAGAACTAAGGAACTATTGAACGGTCGAAAAAATGAACGAAAGAGTCGATAACCGGAAGAACAAAAGAACGAGGGGTTATGAATAATCCTTAATTTACTGAAAAATACTTTTTTTTTACCTGCAAAAACTCATCCAGTTCGACACACGAGTTTCTGTTGGTATCCACCTCTGCTATGACTTCATGGAGATGTTCCTCTGATACATCTTCACCCATAGCTTTCAGCATGTTCCTTAAATCGACCGAGGTCACACACCCCCGCTTTGATTTGTTGGCTTTTTGGAAAATTTTCTCGTATTCTTTGATTTCGTCGTTTTTGAAATTGACTTCCACGCGTCGGACGTGGTCAAGAACTTCTAATCCCATGGCTTCGAGAAACTTGTTAGCGTCTGCTATCTCAGCCTGGAAAAAGAAATGTTATCATCTGAAAAAGTCAATGATACACGCACTTTGATTGGTTCTTCCTTATGATCTATTGGCGGACAGACGCATAAATGACGTCACTATAAGCAACAAACGTAGGATGATAAATCGAAGTCACTTCGGCTTCTCCTGACTGGAATTCTCGTGCAATGCAAAAACCTATCTCCCATGATAATTCATCAGTTACCTCTTTCTTGGCTTTGGACCACTTCAGTTCCTTCGCCATGATATCGGCAATCTTCGGAATGGCGTCCGCGGCAGCCTGCGCGTTTAAAAACGCTAGACGCGTTCTACGGGCGAGAAAATCAACCACCGTACACGCATATTCCTGCACGGCATATTTAATTTCTGCTTCAATGTACGGGAATTGCTCCAAAAGGCGTTTCCCCACGACTGGCCACCGACGTCCAGTTATGTTGGCAAGCTTGGCTACTTCTGGTGCTTTGTTGCCGTAAGTGTGGGAGAGATGTTTGGCAATCTGTATTAGAAACATGAAATGAAAACAATTACAAAAGTAAACAATAAAAAATTCTCCTTGGAAATTGATGTTGCTCCTTCAAGAGCGCTAAGGAGAATTTTACGAACCTCCACTTCGAGACCAAAGTCCTGCACAAGTCGTATAAAGTCATTCGGTGAATAACCTTCCCCTCCCTCGAGAAAAAGTCCATCTGTTTGACACTCTCTGGCTGGTTTGAGCCCGCACGCATTTATAGCAGCCTCCATCGTGTCCACAGCCATGGATCGGTAAGTTGTCCATTTGCCGCCGGCAATAGTCACCAATCCACTTTTGCTGACAAGAATCAGATGGTTTCGAGCGATGGATTCTGTGTTTTTGGAGTTGGGATCGATGACCAAGGGCCGAATCCCGCTCCAGGCCGCTAGTACATCACCACGGCGAACTGCAAGAAAGTGTGAAAAAGATAATTGGATAATATAACATACGCAATCGACCAAAGATGAAATAGAGAGATACACTCGTTATTGACCAAACGTCAGAAAAGAATGGAAATTACTTTGCAAAGTTCTTTTGCATCTTATGGACTGAGACCGAGTGGAAACATTCGTAAACCTCTCCCCCCCCCCCAAAAAAAAAAATGTCCCCACACTGCCGTTTGATAGAAATTACTCACCGTCAACGTCTGGGCTCAGGTAGTGTCTTATCTCACTCAGAATAAACTGTATCTCGGCCTCTTTTGGTAAGGGGTTGTACGACAGTTCTGTTGGTGTATCAGTAGTGCCTGCTATCGTCTTTCCTGCAACATTACAAAAAACAATAACAATATTACAGCCAAAGTTTACTCTACGGCAAACTGGTCAAACTTTTCCATTACTGCAAAGAACTTCGGCTCACCTTCCCATGGGAGGAAAAAAATGACACGCCCATCGCTTGTGGCAGGGTCTAAAAGTCCCATGTCCGATGGACTGCGGTGAACGGAAAGAAAACAATCAACACACAAACAATTGTTCTTGATTCACAGAGGCATTCCTGTCTTCAGCTACTACGTGGTTATTACCTCTAAGTTTAAAAATAAAACCTCATTTGTGACCACTGACATGAAAGCTACGGTAGAGTACTTTCAAATACAGTTGTATTGTTTAACGTGCCGCAATAGGAAGCTTGAATTTTTAACCTTTTAATTTCCAAGATCTCTTTTACTTAGTAGTTCTCCTTACTGTCTGCCATACCATTCTTATGATGTTTGTTTCGGAGAACTTGGTATTGCATCGACTACATATCCCCCTAATTTATTTATTTGTTTTTATGTTTGTTTTAGGGGTAATACTGACAGGGGAAAAGATAGTAATCACTCTTAGCGGTTAAAGGGTTAATATTGTAATATTGTAATATTGTTGGCCTTACTTCCTTGTGGTACTGATGATCGTGCTGAACAAGGTACTTCTTACTTGATACTTTCAACACAACATTTCTGAGCACTACTTTAGCATGATTCTGATTAACATAATTGACTACTGTAGAGTTCTGTATTCAAAATACCTGTAATATTCAGGAAGGACAATATGTACTCCTGCACTTGGCTGACAAATGTTTTTTTCCGCTGGTTCATCCATCTTCCTGATGGCATCAGTGAAAGGACCAGTTGCATTCACAACACATTTAGCCTTTATGTCAAATTCTTCCCCAGAAATCAAATCTCTTACATGAGCTCCACAAACTCTTTCTTCCTCAGCACCTTCCACTGAAATACAATTTCAACAAATTTGAGTTCTGTGGTCTTAGTACAATTAGCCTGCATCAGATTCTCAGTCAAAGATGACAGGTGCAAAAGCAAGCATATAACTTTTGGCAGGGGCGTGGGAAGGAGTTGAGAATGATGGGTGAGGGGTTGGGTCCTTTCTTCCTTCCCCTGCATCCCCCTCTTGTTTTGTAATTATATTTCCCTGCTTTTTCTCTTGATAGGGACAGGATATACCCCTCATATGTAAATGAGCAGCGGTGGAAAATATGATTATCCTGACAAACCTTTGCCTTATATGTTTGCTACTTGCATACAAACTTTGAAGCCCATTTTGCAGGAAGGAGCAATGATTGATTGCCACATAATCAGGTTGTACAAGTATGTTAAACATAATTTTTCAGTCCCATCTCACTTAATGTAATAAAATTGCATATGGGAAATATTCAGAGCTTCCTAGGATAATCAGAGTCCACTGGGATATAAGGATTCACCAATCCCCTGCCTTATTGTAACAGACAACATGGTACCATTCTGAAAAAAAAATCCAACAGTGATTGCTAATATTTGAAAACTCACAGAACATACCCTTCTGTTTAAGGAGAGACAGGACCTCCACATGGTTGGCAGCTGATGCTCCATGCCTGACAGCTGTCAGGCCAATTGCAAGATTCATTCTTGCATCATTGTGCTGCCCTGTGGATGCAATCTTGACAATCTTTATATCAACAGAAATGTGTAACTAAGCCCTTTATACACTAACCTTTGTATACCTACATGTATTGACTTCTTATTATCCATACTCCTCTAAATACACTTTCTATGCTGCTGACAAGGAGAATTTGTTTAACAATCAACAGCTTCTTTAGTCAGTGATCATTTCTTAGTATATTCTTGTGACGTTATTGAGTGATTCAAGGGTGATATTGTCACAAGAAATTAGATGCAAGTCACTCTTAGGGTTAATTATCACATTACTTCATACTGCTATTGCAATCTGGTAAAGACAGTTTTGAAAGACATATTTTTAATTACTAACCATCGTAATAGATAATAGCACCACACAATTTCTCTTTCTTGAGCATTGGGAAAAGTTCCAAGGCCCTCTGCTTCCCAACAACGTAGCTACTCTTGAGAAGCTGTCGCCCAGAGACAAGATCATACATCTTAAGTCCAGCCCAGAAGTAAGGAAGCTGCCACCACCTAAGGGTCAAAATATTTGTTAATTTTTGGAACTTGTACCAGAAACTTAAGCCCTAGATTAAAAGCTTCTGCTTACACCCATTACAATAAATTTTACAGCTTCACTGAGCTATAAATACCAAGTATTGGATGATACCATTACATGTACTTCTTGTTAGAGACAAGGTTCTCTTGGAGAAATCTCTAACGTAAAACTTGCTCTACATTGAACTTGCCTGTAGACAGGTAACATGATTGGTAATGGTGCAGACAAGTGTGGAGCAATAGCCAGCAGGTTTGCTCTTTCATGTAATGCTTCTTTAACAAGACGATACTGTAAATTTAAAGACAAATTATGAATTACTTTGTAACCAAGGAGATAAACAACTTTATTGCATTATTTTTCAAAAAGCTAAGAAAAATAAACTAAATCTAAATGTATATATAAACTATATACAACATAAATTTGCCATAATATCTATCTTAACCTCACTAGATTAACATAAGATGAAATAATCCCTTTTGTTACATAAGAATCCACAGGTCTGACCTGCTCTCTGTCTAGCTTCATGATAGCTTTCTGTAGATATCGTACTCCTCCATGAATCAATTTAGTACTGCGGCTGCTTGTTCCAGATGAAAAGTCATCCATTTCCACCAAAGCTGTACTTAACCCTAAGAAATTAATCCACACAGATCAGTACTCTTCAAAGTGTTCATTATGGAAAAAATAACTTCAGGAAACTAACTGTTTGCTTCAAGGAAGGGCCAACAATCAAAATAGCTTTAGAAACTCTTCATGGTGGCCAATTTACTTTATCAACCCAGTTGATACAACCAAAATATCTTGTAATATGCCCCACTGATGCAGCACCACAGTTTCTTTAGAAATTTACTCCTTTTATTCATTTACTTGACATTGAAATGAACAACACAACCAAAACCCTTAACCCTTTAAGTCCCAAGATCTGATTGTTAATTCTCCCTTTCAGCTGCAACACATCTCCTTGAAAATTAGTTACGAGAATTTGGTGTTGGATCAAGATAACAACCTCCACCTGATTAGTTTAAGTATTCTTATTATCTGTGTGCAGGTTAATGTATGGATATTATTGGGAGAAGTTACATGCTAATCACTTCTGGGAGTTATAGGGTTAAATCAGCTGCATAACTCCACATGCACATTGTAAGGAACTAACTCTTCCTCAAAAATACATCCTGAATGAATTAGCTTTCCATAAAATTTGCCTTTCAACTGTTATTTCAGGTTTGTACCTCTGGTGACAGAATCCAGAGCCACTCCACATCCAGTGGCACCTCCTCCAATCACTAAAACATCAAATTCTGGTGTGTTTTTCAAGGAGTCAATTTGGACTGATCTGGATGGCAATGGATTGTTTGGTCTCTGAGCCACAGCTGACTCTGCTGCAGACACTGACAGCAGAGGATTCTAAATGACAGGGAAGATTTATATTAAATTAACCTTTTATATCCTAACATCAGTATTCAAATTCTCTATACTGTTCTCTTCATTTACTAAAGTGCTGACAAGGAGAATTTGTTTAATGATCAAGAGTTTCCTTAGTTGGTGATCATTTCCTTTATTCTCATGACATTAATGTGTGATTCAGTGGTGATATTGTCAGGAGAAATTAGATGCTAGTCACTCTTGGGAGTTAAAGGATTAACCCTTGGTATCCTAACATCAGTATGTATGTTTGGAAAAAACTGCTCTCTTTTTTTTCTCTTCTAACAGTAAATTTCCTAAGAAGCTGATAAGGAGAATTTTTTTAATAATCAAGAGCATTTTAAGATAGTGGTCACTTCCTTTATTCTCCTGACCGTAATTTGTAATTTGTAATTCAGGGGTGATATGATAGGAAGAAATTAGATGCTACGATTTGGTCAGTTCTCATGTAATCTGATCCACATCTTACATAACTACAATGTAAAACTAACACAGCCTTTTTTTAATTCTACATGAAACTTCACATAACCAATGGTTTCTAAGCACTTCAGGTAAAAGAAATAATGTAAGGTTTTGTAAAGTTTATTACTTCAACCTGGCTGTACATAATCAAAGAGGGATATATGCCGGGGAAAACGTTTCAGTGTCTTTCTTCCGTTTCAGTTCACCCTTTGAGGGATATGCCATCTTGTTTTAGCATCGTAAATTATCACTCATTTCGGAAAGAAAGGGGCTCGCATACACGCAAGAGACCTTACCAAGCTGTACCCTTGCAGTTCATGGGTAAATTACCACACAGCTGGAAATAGCAATAACTCCTTGCTACACGGGCAGTCATCTAACCATATTTTATTGTTTGCATCGCTAAATATAGGATTATTTGTGAGTGGAGTCGAAGTCATCGACATAAAAACGAACAATATTGTATTTAATCCCGGCCAAATGTAACGCATTCCTTTCAAAGGACGCCTGAATATTTTTTTAAGCAGAAAGAAATCGATTTATTTCACAAACCTGTCTTCCATTGTCACGAAATCTGTAGTATGCATAAAGACTGCAGCTAACTGCTGCTGTTCCACCCAGAATACGAACGTAGGACATCACCAAACAAGCTGAAGAACCTGTTGTTTTCCAAGTTATTAAACAACAAACAGAAGAGCAACAATGACTTAATTTTCCTAACAGCCGACAGCCAGCCAAATTGTGTTCGATCTTGTTCAGTGACACAAATGGTTTTTGTTCATTCACAACCTCTTCCAATAAGAGATTGTAACTCCCCCGTTTGTTGAGAAGTAGAGCTCCAAATACCAAACACAAGATTTTGATTTTAAACAAATATTAAGGGTACATTAATTCCGGTTCAAGAGGGATGAAACGACACCCTTCAAGAGACGAATAAAGTTAAGTTTTTAACATCAAGAACTGAAATGTCGCGGGCCTCTTTCCCAGACCTCCTCGAACAGTGAGGGGGTTAACCCATCCCAGTCCCAATAAGGAAAGGTGTTGTAGCTCAATTTTATCCTTGGTTCAAATTTTCTTTCCTTTGTTTCAAACTCATTATCATACATTTCAATACCCAAAAACAAAAGAAGTAAAATTTGAACTAAGGATAAAATTGAACCACTACAAAAGGTTGCGGTAGCATGCATAAAGGCTTTACCATAATAACAACCCTCTTTTTCGGGAGTGAAATGGGTTTCTACTTTCTTCCATCATTATTCTGTTGGTTTTTGTGAAATCATTTACCTGTACCTGCTTTGGAAAACTGTCACGCAATCGGCACCCACTGAAATATTTGGTCGTCACTCATGCTGTTTACGTAACAGCTACCCCATTGAAGTTCTGTGTTTTTGGTCTTTGTTTATTTTCAGTTTTTGCAAATGCTTATTTTTTCCACTAATATATTTACCCACTAATCCTTTTTTAGTCTGAGTTTATTGAAATCAAGAGTTTCTTCGCCTTAAAACAATAACTGGATGAAATCATCTCTTCATATTAACAAGATTCACAGGGCTCCTTGAGTACCTTAAGTACAGAATTTGCGTCTGTAGATCAGTAAGGCGGAGAATTTCTCATACGTATTACTTCTGAAATTATCACAGGTTTTGACCAATCAGATCAGGAGTTTTGATTCTTTCGTCCTCTTCCCAGATTACCCCCAAGTCAGAGAAAATTACCCAGACTTCCAAGGAAAGTTTGGACGACGCTTAAAATGTGTATTCAATGCATCAAGGGATTAATAGTCGATATGGACGTCGCCCAGTGTTAGGAATGATCGATTTGCTTAAATGGCTATGGAAGATACAACCAAGTACGGGACGTCGACCGTCCTTTTAACAAGCGTCAGTGATGCTGAAGAAAAACCCAAAGAGTTGGAAGGATTTCCTTGTATTTCGCCCATGGATGACGGTGAGTTAACTGTGTATTGATTCCATTCGTGACAATCTCGGCGGGAATTTGTCAACGATCGGACGATTATTTTGTTTTGACAGCTGAGAGGGCTAATTTCGGGCCACTTTTGTGAAAGTTATTCAATAAGAATTTTATTGCTATTCAACAGCTTTCGATATGCGCCATATAAGTCTGTACCAGCCTAGATCATGCCGAATATTTTGCAGAGAAGTTGGTAGATCTGTCTATGCTTGAAGCGCTAAGATTCGTGTTTTTCCTTGTTTGCCTCTTCAGTTTTCACACTTCAAAATATGACAGTCATATGATTGATGCTTCATGATGCACCAGGGACGTTTTATTTATTATCCACGGAAGAGAAAATTTGAATGTTCCTGTTCTATTTTAGGAAAATATCCAAATGGAATAATTTAGTCTAAATTTAACATAATTGCACTTTACAATTTTAACCATGGTTAGTTAATTCTGATTGACCCACTCAGGAACACGCAGGCTTAGGAAAATAAACGAAAAGGATAGTGTTTTTGGAGGCCGATTCGGAGCGAAGGAAATTTTATCTCCACATAGTCTTTTTTTTTCGCGAACAACACCTGTTAGAATCCGGCTGATATCGAGGTCGCCTTCGATTAAAAAAAAGTCAATTCTGAATAATATTATAATTGTGTTCATTCCGAGAAGATGACGTTTGAACGCCCTTCGTAAACCACATTTAAAAATTAATGAAATTTTATTTAACATTAATGCTTCCCCAAAGAGATTCAAGTGGTTTTCCAGTTAAAATGATAATTAACCTGTGTGCAATTTGACATTTCTCCAAAACGCGATAACTTTATTTCAAGCTGTGGTCTTCATATTGTAAAATGTTTTTCAGAAATTTTCCATCTGTTTGGAAAAGCGAGGCGATAAATTTTATCTAGTGTAAAAGTTGTCGCATTACAAGTTATTTAGCAAGTTTCTTTAAAAGCCGGAACATTTTTTCTATAAGGAAGTAATTTTTTTTCCTATCTTGGTCATATGCAAAAATTTCAATTTTTGTGATTTGTTTCTGTTGGGCTTACTCATTAAATGACAAAGCTTAAAATGTCCTGATAAAAGCTGAGTTGGATTAAAATTAAACCAGTAGAAGCTGTAACATCTGTTAACCAAATGTCTGACTTCTCACCAGATTTGTCAATTCAATTTCATTTAAACTCTTTCAATTGTTCATGGTGATGTGGTCAAAGAAGCTTTACTCATGGTTGGTTTCCTTTGATTTGTGATATTCATAATTAATGAGTTTTCTTAAGCTGTGATAAGTTGGCAGATTTATTGCAAAAATTTCTTTAGTTTGAGGGAAGCCTTTTTCCTCTTCATACTGTATAATTTATTTGGATATCTGTCCATTACTATGTTTGCTTTGTATGTTTTTTCATCTTGAGGAAAGCATATAATGTTTATTTTAATTTTGAATAAAATACAACAAACATCTAGAACCTTTGTAATTACCATTTCACTCTGTGATGTTATGACAAACATATTTCTACCTACAATATTAATAAATTTTAACCCTTTAACCCTCCCAGAAGTGATTAAGATGTAAATTCTGCCCAGAGTATCCATACATTATCTAGCAGACTGGTAGTGAGAATACTCAAACTTATCAGGTACAAGATGTTATCTTGATGGAACACTAAATTCTTGCAACCAATTTACAAGGAAATGTGTTGCAGCTAGAGGGGAGAAATAACCTTGTAAATTAGTGGGCTGTCAGTAGCACTGACTCTTTTTATTCATTTTCTCTTTGCAGATTATCTTCTCCATAAAGAAAAGCAGATGCCAACACAGTTGATGGATAGGTGGAGGAAGGCAGCCCTTGTGATATCATATGCTTCTGTGTTTACAACTTTTGTGATTGGAGTTTGTGCATTTGGTATGAGTATGTTTTATAAACAAATTTGATAACTCCCTGATTTTATTAGTCTCCTGTCTTGCTGAATTGCCATTATCTATTTTCACAGTCATCTCTACCTTGGCAAGAAGTTCAGCTGCTTTTGGTTTTGCTGTAAGTTGTTTTGTTGTTAAGCAAAAAAACCATTTGTTGCACCATCAGCATGAAACAATCTTACTGACTGTATCTTTAATTTTCTTTTTCAGTTTGATTCACTACTAGATGTTTGTTCATCATTAGTTGTAATTTGGAGATTCTGTGGTTTAGCTGGACAAACTTACTCTTGGGAGAGAGAAAGAAGGTAAACATGATCAAATCTATGTACATGTAAATAATCATGTTAGAAAATCAAAAAATTTATTTCTCTGAGAATCTTTTTTTTCTTTTTAGGGCATGTATAGCAATTGCTGCATTATTTGTGTTATCTGGTACTGGAATATTTATTAGAGCAGTCAGGTCATTGATTGTGGAAAAGCATCCTATAAGGGTAAGGTAACAGCTTATCACCTCATTCAATTACCTTCTTCGGTTTTGGTTTTTAGCTACATCAGTGTGGGAGTTTCACAAAGTAATTTGGTTGTTTCAACCGAGTTGAAAATGTAAATTGGCCTCAGTAGAGTTTCAAAGCTGAGGTTTGCAAGCAAGCATTGGTCCTTTGCAATTCACCCTGACCAAAAGATAGCACTCAAAACATTACCAATTTACACTATCAACTCAATTGATAAAACCAAATTATCATGAATGCTAAATTCCCCTGCCTATTCAGCACCACAGTTCTTTAGAAACTTTTATTACTCAATTTTCTTATTGACTCGGCTCAGAGGAACAAAGCCAATGGAAACTAACTACCACCTCAGTTGGCATATCTCTTCAAGCTGTGGGCAGGTATGGCCTGCCTTGCTCACCTTGTTGTCTGCTTTTCTTCTTTGGCTATTCTGGGAACAATCTTGACTCCCCATCCCTTGTGGGTTCTAACCCAGTGCATGCTTGGTAATTATAATAATAATAATAATTATTATTTTATTCTTTTTACTTTTCAAGGCTGTACCTCATCCAACCCCACGTAATTATACTTAAATTCCTTTAGAAATGGGTGAATGCCTGAGGCCTTTTTCAGATGCCCTATGTGTACTTCACACGAGTGTATAATTTTATGGCATCTGCATCCCAAACTGATGTAAATTTGAAATAAGTGACTCTTCTTAAAAGATGCTGATCTTAATTCTGGAGGACTTACCTTATACTGAACAAAAAGTTCATGTGCTGTACATTTGTTTAATGTAGTTCACAGGTGTTGAGGCAATTTCTGGTGTCAGTTTAGTGGCATTTACAATTTTAGCCTGGATAAAATTTGCTACAGCTGAAAAACTACATAGTGAATCTCTACGAACTGATGGTATGGTTAGAACAAAACACTATGGTGTATTTTATTTTTCTTCTGACTATTCCTATTAATAGAAATATCTTGCATCCTTCTGACTCTGTTTTCTTAACTTAGTGAAATGAAATTGTGCAATTTTTAAAATGCAAATTAAATTTGCATGATTTCCAGTTCAATAAAGAGAGTTTTAAAATGGTTGATTTAGAATCAAGGATTCTTAATTGACTAACATTTTAAATAGGAGATCAAACCTTTTAAAAGGTTCAACCCTGCTATCAAGAATTAATTTCAATTGGATTTGTTGTTGTTGTTGTTTTTGTTGGCAGGGTATGGGGAAAGGATTCAGGACAAATGATTATGTACTTTCATTATCTAATCAGCAAGATTGAAAAAAATCCTGAAATATCAAGCAGGTGTATTTCATACAATACTATGCAAGTGCTAAAGGCAAAATCAAGCTTTCTGGCTTTCTGGGAGCTATCATCTTGGATCAGTTACAATATTTATGTGATTGGGTTTATGTACGGGGGAGGGGGGGGGGACAAAGTGAGTGCCACTTAAGTACTAGGCCCAGTTTTATAAAGGGTGGATAACGTTATCCAACGGATAAATCGTCATCTAGCGGACAAGTGATAGCAAAACGTATAGTATTATCCACGCGATAGAGATTTATCTGGTGGATAGGGTTATATAACCTTTGAACAACCAGGGCCTGCAGTCCACTTAACTTTTGGTTCCAACTGCCTACCAAGACGTTAGTGATCATTGTGTTACAATACTGACATCATTGCATCTCATTTACACCACTCTATGGTTTCCTTTTCAGCTATTAATTCTACAGCGGGTGCAATCATGGCACTGGGTATCATTATAAGTACAATGGTCCATCAATACAGCAGCAGTATATGGTATCTGGATGCATCTATTGCTCTCTGCATTGCATTAGGCCTGTTTGGTTATGGTATAAGGTAAGTAGCACTCTGTAACAATATTATGTTCTACTGTCATGGGCTATATTCGCTATTGATGCATGAGAGCTAAGTTTTCCTTGGCAGGGTATGATGACTCCCATTTCTGCAAGGGTTTATCTTGGTTACATTACTATAGTGGGTATGAACGGATGAGGAGTATTGCTCTTCACCCACCTCAAACCTCACCCTTTAATAGCCCAATAGTTCCCGACAGTTCATCAGTATCCATTTATACTCCTGGGTAGGGAGAGGCTATGCAGTAAAAGAGCAATACCCCACCCCCAACAGTTTCAAACAGGAGCTACATGTAGGCCAAGGTATATTCTGTATCTAAAGCTAGACTTTATCAACCAATCTCTCTCATTTTTCTCCTATTAACAGGTTATTAGCAAATCTTCTTTCTTCAAAAGGAAAAGCAGCTCCCCCCGCATGGGAAGGATTCGACTAGTACACTGTAAGCACCCTTAAATAGTGGGGGAACCTTGACCAGCCAGGCAGGAGAATTTTCTTAGAAATTAGTTTTTACACAGTCAAGCTTCTGTTCTGTAAGGGATTAATTCCCTGTCCTGTTGCCACTTTTCTTCAATTAAAGACCAGGACAATGGAGAGGAATGAGAAGAGAAAATTTAGGAAGGACAATGCTCCTGAGAACTGTATGTTTTGCATGAATACCTTTGGCCCACAGATGTCACTTTGTTTCCTTATTTGTGTGTAAAAAGAAAGAGGAGTGTTAGAGGATCAAGTTGAAAAATCTCTAACTGTGGGGCTGTGCTTTGAAGGTGCTGGGTTAGTAAGAGCAACCTGTGGATAACTTTTATCAATTTTCTTATTAGAAAGCTTTTAAAAGTTAGCCACATGAATTTTGTGAGAGAAAAGTTTTCACTCACCTACTGATTCTTCATCGACTTTGGATCACAGCTTTGAGCTGATTATTTTCATCCCATCTCAGTGATGGGCCTAAAACTACTCTTTGACCCTTCAACCCTTAAGAGTGATAAGCATCCAATTTCTCCCAAGACTAGCACCCCTAAATCAAACATTGAGGTGATGGGAATTGTAAACTGATGTTATGGCGTTAAGGTTAATTTAAAGTCAGTGAATATAACTTTCTATTTGCATCGGCAAGGTAATTTATAACCAAGTATTTTGATATGTACATAGTGTATCTATTTATCAAGTTCAATATTTTTTGAATAAGAACTCATTTAGGCGATATTATTTATGAGTGATTTCTTTGCACTATGTGAGGTAATATATTCACAATTTGTGCCTTCTTAAGGCAACAAAAATTGCAAGAAATTAGAACTCAATGCTCATGTGTAAGGATGTTTTAAGTTATTTTTACACGTAAGAAAATTCAGGAAATGTGACGTAGCCTTATTTATTAAATATTTATTGTGTCTCCCACGTCAGTGACGAAAGCAAATTAGATGACCATTAAGTGTCAGCTGTTCTGCTATTTTTGGAGGCTTTTGTTGCCTGTTTTTTATTTTTATTAATACATTTTTTTTATTTTCGGTTAACTAGACTTATTATGATGGTGAAATTATCCCACATAAAGAGAAATATGTTGATTATGGAACTTGGGAATCTGTGAAAAAGTTCAATCAGTTTTGCGGCTTTTTTAAATTTTGTTGTCAATTTATGTTCGAAAGGATCCCTTTGACGTGTGTAATTTGTCCAGCAGCATGATTTTATAGCGTGCAACTGTTTGTATCATGCGATCCGATTTAATTTGATTGAAAGGTTGCTGGCAGTACTACATAACAAAATGACGGGGTGAAACTTCCTGTGAAAAATGAATCATTTGGCCGCAAAAAGAAGATACACCTTTCACTGTTGACATTTCAATATAACCTACGTCGGCAAAGGTTTGTATCAGTCACAGCGAGAATATATCATTGCCCACCTTCTTTAATTTCTCTTGAATGAATAGAGGAACCAGAAGCTTATCAGTAAACACCCTGCTGTTGAATAATCTCATGCTAAATAGCTGTCAGTTGTGATGCTCGCCTCGTTCATTTTACAAAATTAACGCCTTTATTAATTTTTGTCAGATGTGTGATACTAAATTGCACTCGAGACGAAAATTAGTCAACCAAGATATCGAGTTTCACACTTCACGGCCTAACTATTTTTCAGGAAAGGTGACGAAATAATCTTGTCAGCCAAATCATTCTAAGTAGTGAAGTTTACCTTCTTTCATAACAAATCTGCTGGTAAGTATGTAAACGAGGAAACTGGAAGCAATAGAAAATTGCGCCGTTTTAGTTTCGAAGTACTCAGTGATACAGTGTGCAACTGCAGATAGGAAGACTGGAAGTTTCGGGTAAGATGCGGGACTGATGTTTGCCGGTTGACCGTGAATTCGTACAGATAGTAACGCCACAAAGAGTAAAATTGAAAGAAAGCTTCGAGGGAATTTTTTCCGCTTTCCGCAGACACGGAAATGAGTAGAGGTAAGTAAAAACTTCTTTCATACATAGAGCAAACTTTAAAGTTAGGATAATTTTAGAAATGTATACTCGATATCAATTTCCATTCCGCTCATTTATGGTTCACTCAGGTTGTAAGTATAACGGTGTTGTGTTGACATTTGTGTCGAGGAAAGACAGAATTGTCGGCAAGTAAGAAAAGATCCCCGGAGGCTGTCCAACGCAAAACAAATACGAGAGGGCCTTCAAATGAACGCTAATTGCCACAAGGTTTAGCAGTTCTCCAGCAAGACCACGTTGTAGAGATCACCTTGAGTTGAGCCCCACGTTTTCTTGAACCTTTAAATTTTTTCAACGATGTCAAAACGTTTTGCGGCTAGCACCGAAAAAAAAAACAAAGAAAAACAAAAAAACATTTATTCCCGTCAACAACAATTTCATAAAATAAATTAAACTCTTTTGTTCTACTAATTTTTTTTGGAACCACGACTTAAGATTACACTTCGTTTTAAAGCTGCCCTAGATGGCTATGTGAACGTATTATGGTTGAATTAAGATGACGATGTCTCAAAATGTTCATCTTATTATTATGACAAGTTGCATGCCCTTGGCCTGAATATGCGAAGAAACTGAGTGGAGTCAAAATATCCGGGTCTCGTTTATTTCCAAAACCTACCTTCATTCAAAATTGTTTAATAACAAACAATATAATTCATCTCATTTTCACATCTCCAACAAAAGTGTACCATAAATGCAGCAGCATTGAAAAAATAACAAAACAGCAACTTTTCCTTTATAGAGATGAAAAGGCACGGTCAATTTCAGTATCTTAACAACTGCGCACCTACCCTTCCCTTAACCCAACAACAGTCAACAGCATAGGTGCTCAGATACGGACATTTACCCAAAAGGCCCATGGGAATGGTCACACTGTTCAACACTCGTTCAACTAGGTGCAGATTTAGGGAATTTTTATGGGGAAGAGGTGGGAACCCCGGACCTTGATTCAATAAACAATTTTTCCCCTCTAGATCCTGAATGAGCATGTAAATATTTCGACATGATAACATTTAATTGACTATAAGTCGAGTAGCAATATGCGATCCTGTTTTTGGAAGAATTTTGGTTTCATACAAGATGTTTAAATACTCACAGGTCTGAGGAAGGAGTCCGTAGCCCACAAAACTCTCTAAACTAATTCAGATGGAAAATATATTGTAGCGAGGTATAGGGATGGAGATAGAGAAATTAATTCCTACAATTTACGGGGTTTAGTCCAAAAATTTAATTCCCAAATGCCAAAAATGGGAAAATTACTAGCTTCCTTCAAAAAGTTCCGCTTTGTAAATTTGCTTTTATTTGCATTGATTAGTCTGTTGTTAGTCACGTATCCGTTACCTTGGTTACAAAAAGAAGTATGGTTATCCCAGCTTTTGATTATCTGTCTCGAAAATGGCGGAAAAGAGTGCTTTGAATACCCTACTTCCTCAGTCTATATCACACGCATCCCGCATCTGGAATTGGCAAAGTATTCTTTCAGTTTCACAAGCTCTAAAACAAACTAATGCGCTCTCCAAACAATAATTAGTCATTATGTATTCATTTGAAGATAAGTATTATAATTCTCTGACAGCTGATTATATTTTGACGGAGTGTGATCGATAACAACGAGAATTCTTCTCGGTACATGACGATCGACCTTTAAACAGGAAGATATCATATCATAGGAAAGTTTGAATCTGTTTTTAACGTTTCTTCATCGAGTCTACGTGGTTAAAAATTGGTAAGTTTTTTCCTTTCTATTAGAAGGTAGAAGAATCGATAGATTTAGTTGCTCTTTTTCCAAGATATCAAAAATGATTTATGGCACATAAAGCTATTGTGTTTCCAAGTCAGTAACTGAATTTAACTTATTTCAGCAATTTAAACATTTCAAAATTTTAAAATTAAAAACTTCCGACGAGAAATATGAAAATCCTGCTGTTGAAAACTGGCCTTCAAAACTGGCTGTTGCTAAGCCTTTATTAATTTCCTGATCCTAATTTTTTCACCAGTGCGGTATTCACAACCAATCCTATTGCCGGTAACTCTTTTGCAGTTATCCAAAGGAAGTATTACGAAATTTTAAAGAATTACTCTCTAAAAGTAATCTGGCATGACATGAAATTGATGTCTTCGTACAAATCAATCGTAAACACGAATTTCTGAAGCGTAATTTTCCGTTTTCATGAATTCGCTCGCTGGCTTGGCTGTCGCTATCTTTAACTGAGCTAAAACAAAAATTGACAGCATTAAACAAGCGTTTAAAATGAACGAACAATTTCATTTTTAAACTGATCTTTATTTTAAACTCAAAACGTTCCATTTTGAGACGTGATTTTATGAAAAGGGGATGTGGTGCATAGTAATATTGGATTAATTTTCAAGTTTCTGTATTGTCGGCTAGGCGCGAATTTCATTTCATTATTTATTTTGTGGCTATTCTGCTGTGGGCAGGATTTAGATATATTTATCATTTGGCCAAATAGCAGCTCGATGGCCAGCCATTTTCCTCTTCGATTAAATCACCTTTTCACTGAATGACGAATGCACAATACCGCAGCTTTTCTGGAACGTACCGAGTCACGGTAGAATTTTCGTTAAAATATTGCGATTACTCGATCAAAAGAAAAAGTTCCTCGAATGTTGGATACGGAACTAACAGAAATTCTGTCAAGGGCAGTCAAGTCGTGGTAACTATTACCAGGAAACAAAATTTCTTTAAAAAAAAAATTGCAAAATATTCACTACTATCACTGTTATATCAGCATACTAGACAGATTTCCAATCAAAATAGTTTTTGAATGAATATCATTCAGATTCTGCAATTAAAAATTCAAGAAAAAGAAAGTTATCAAATACTCTCATGTGACCAGGAGTGTTCGTTTGTTCGCAATAAAAACACAAAGTCGCAGCTTTTTAACTCATTATGTCAAGCAACGGGAAAGACAACAGATCTTTTCGATTAGTAGAACAATATTCTAAGTGAAAAGTGTTAACGAACCTCGAAAAAACAAAACAAAACAAAAGAAGTAATTTTGATGTGTTCGCCCAGACTGCGAACGCTGTCTTTGATTTTTCCTTCGGATGAATAATTATCAGTGTGCTTATCTGTGGAAAGGTTGTCGAGACAACGAGAATTCGTGAAAAATACGCTGTTTGTAGTGGATATAAATGTTAGAATTGAAGATGTCTTTCATAACGAATAGGTGGAAGAATAATTTTTAAAATAAACTACATAAGAACAACGTTTTTTAATAAAAATGCTCTTTTTCCTGTTAGTGAATTTTTTTTTATCAGATCACAGTTTGTCAAGCGTCAAGACATGGCTATTAGCGTTGTATTTGGCGCAGTGTAATGAGATATTTCTAATCACACGACTGATTACTTGAAGTGGGTTTTCTATACGACAAAGAAAACTCTCTGCAGGATATAAGTCACTGAATCTATTAGGAAAACGCAGGAAATTGTAATTGTACTTATACCCAGGGCCCAAAATCCTGATCGAAAAATCCGCCATCTTTAAAATCTTTTGTTTTTAAATGTTGATATTCTTATCGGTCTAAGAAAGATCATCGTAGTTGAAAAAACATCTTTGTATCATGACGACGTTCAGAGCTTCTATTTTGCTTATCTTAGATGTGAGTAGCCTGCTGTCGAACTCTTAATGCGCCGCTGTACAGTGATGTCGCGGTCCTCTCGTGAAGTCCGCGAGAGTTGAGCTGCGAGGGGTCTGGTCCTTATTGGCGTTGCCACCCATGCGCAATTCCATCAAAGGATATTAGCGCTGATGAATGCTTGCTTACATGCTTAATTGTAATTGGGGAAAGTCTCTCACATTGACTCTTAGAAGTAAAAAATAAGACTTGAAATCTGGGAGTGTATTCACCGAGGAAACCCTGTCATCAGTCCCACGGAATCATCAAGTATTTCGTTGCCAAGGCAACAAGTGCTCTATTTACACTAAGCACTGCTTACGTTTGCTGTGCTTCAAAGATCAAGTGAAGCTACAAAACATGTTTGTTGATGACCCTAAAGGTAGTCTTGGAAACTATAATTCATAAAACGCTGCATGTGGCTTTGTGCGACTGTGTATAATTAATCTGCGTTGTGTTTTTTTTTTTTTTTTTTTTTTTTTTTTTGTTATTTGTAGTAATGACAATTTCTGTAGTAATGACAATTTTTTTACATTACTGAGTCATCTTCCCGGCATTTCCAGTGATTTTCCAGTCCCACGTTTCCTTTGTTTACAGTAAACAAACTGATCCACTCTTCCTAACTGACAACTTTTAAAAAGGTTGCATTAATTTTAAGTGACTAACATAAAATACGTATTTGTTCAGCTGAAATTTACGCAAATTATTTTTCGCTTATTATCTATTTAAAAGAGGGTTTTTCTAGCGTTTATCGACGGATGAACGACAATTAAATAACAAAACATCGACCGATCTGATAAAATAATACTGAGACGTTTTTGCCCTAACAGCTGTTAGTATTATGGTGATTTCGTTTCTGAAATACTCTTAGCTAACGTGATAGTGCTAATGCAAAGACGGGTTAAATGCAATGCTCATCTAAAAACATTGACTTTAGGGTGTTGTTATCGCCAGTAAATTTGCATTTCAAAGGAAAGGACTGATCGTAATTAGAGACTTCCCAGAACAAAAACTACTGTTTTGAATTAATTGGGCCAACGTATGAAACTCGCTGCGTGGTCTCGGTTATATTATGAAATTTATCCATGATTTATTAATAGCGTGAATGTCATACAGTTCGTTTTCACCTGTGCTTTTTTCGTGAAATTTATCACCGACAAAACGCTGGTGAAGAAAGGAAAACATCGAAAGTGCTGAATTTATCTCCTTCACGCACATTGATCAACTCTATGTTTGTTTTCTTCGGATGAGGAACTTCTTACTTCTGACAAGATTAACTTCTTGAACGCGGTTTTAATTCATGGATGTACAGTAGTCACAAAAGATTAGCGTCTTTCCGTTCAATATGCCTCAAAGCAACGCTGTAAAAAACGCTGAAAATGACTGCAGAATACAATATATAAATGTTTCAAGGCAATTCGATCTCGAGCGACAAAGGAGGGCGAATCGCACTGCACATCAAGGTCTGTATTTGAACCTGTATCTTTAAACATTTTGACTTTCTTCCTACAAGCTGTCGCGGCCGTCAAACTAAAGAGCATTTTTAAGAATATTGAACAACCCTAGTCATTTAATATTCCAACCGGGTTTTAAAAGAATTGATATATTTCTTTCTTTACGCTATCTTCAAGGTCTTTCCAATAGAATTTCCTATTTTCGTCAAGAATCTCCAATGTGAATTTGAAATAGGAGAATTTTTAATCAGTTTGCTTCTTTATATCTTGCAGATGGGATGTTCCGTGAGTTTGATAAAGTTAACACTGATATTTCTGAAACTTGGCGAAGGGCAGCCCTACTTGTGTCCTTTGCGTCCATAACGATAACTCTAAACCTAGGAATAGCGTACTTTGGTGAGTATCTCAGGCATTTAACCTCCACAAATCGCCTACATTTATTAATATTTCACACGATGTTTTTTTAGTACAATTAAAAATTGAATATCGAGCTTGGCTGTGTCTGAAGAGAATTCGTTTTGCATGTGCGGTGAATAAATTTTAAACCTTCTCCAGTGTTTGCCTAGAAGTACAAAAAGATCATTTAAAATAAGCCGTCCCCTGAAATTGTTGTTTTAAATATAACATCGATAATTACATGAACGAAAGGTTATCTGTCAAATTGACAAAAACGATACATATTTAATAAAACAAAAACTTGGCTAAAATTAGCCAAAATTCAGTTTAAAATTTTAAATTTACATTTTCAAAAGCTCTTAACGTAAGAAACTATCACTGGCGCCATAATGTATATCTTTTTTAGACCGGCACTGTCAATGAATAATTTTGGAAGACAAATGAATCCTCGTTCAGATAGCAACTTGGTAAAGTTGTCAGCTAAAATATGCTTTCTGCTGATGGAAAAAATCAAATCATCTTCATCAGTTATCTTTGTGCGATAACGACAATTAAGATGGTCTCTCCTTAATTTCCAATTGGAGCATTGTATCATACAGCTTAGCCTTTTAACACCTAAGAGTGACTAGTATTTAATTTTTCCTTACAATATCACCCCTGAATCACTCATCAGGGTCAGGAGAATAAAGGAAATGATTATCAACTAAAGAAGGGTTTGATTGTTACACAAATTCTCCTTGTCGGTATCTTAAGAAAATGTGTAGAGATCAGTAAGGAGACTATGTACATCGATGTTAAAGTTTAAAGGGTAAAACTACGACAGGGATGAGCTCAACCTCTAGAGATTTCTTGCCTGAAACATTTTAGAAACTGAAAAACGATGAATGTAACATGTCTTTGTCAATTTAACATCAGATCCATTAGGTGGAAATCGAGATAATCCTTTATTAGGATTCTGTTGTAGGGATGCCTTAAAATAAATCCCAGTTTTCCGACTCTCGGCAAAAAAAAGGAAATTGTTTTCTACTGGTGCAAGGTTCAAAATATCGAGGGTTGAATTATAGAACTTGTTTGAGTAGGGGAAGACACTTTTGATTTAAATTGTCGTCGACAATTTAGTGACATTATTAGTGAAAAAAGTTGGTTCGATCTGTCGATGATGAATGCACTATAACATATGAATGAAAAGACTTGATTTTGTGGCGAGGGGAAGGAAGGGATACAGGTTTTTTTAATGAAGGCTTACCACGTAAATTAAATCTGCCTGGATGACCTTTATCTAAAAAATTTGAACGTTTAACGCCTTAGACTATCACTGAAAGAATCTTTTCCTTTTCAAATGTAGTATTGTCTACCTTGGATGGAAGCCCGGCAGCGTTTGGCTTCGCAGTAAGTTGTTTAATTTTAATTTAAAGTCAGTTCCATGCGACGGCTGAGTGTCCATTAAGATGTGAAGCACTCGCGAGAGATGCGGTGGAGTCGTAGGAGGCGCAGCTGCTAATATTTTCAGCATTATTTTTAAGACAATTTTTTTTTCGTCGCAGTTTGCCGCAGTCTTAGATGCCTGTTCTTCCGCTGTTGTGGTGTGGAGATTCTCAGGTGCAGCGGGACAAAAATATTCTTTCGAAAGAGAACGAAAGTAAGGCATGACTTACTTGCCATTTTATTATTCGTTTCCCCAGTTTCTTATTTGCAACTTTTCGATTGTTTGTCGTAAAACAAATAGCGAAGTTACCACAACAACCAATCAGAAAAAAAATGGAATGTCACAAGGAACCAATGAGCAGAATTTACCAAACGCGGGAAAAACGCCCGTGGCCAAGTCGTGATTGTCTTTTGCCTTTGAGTTAACATCTAATTTGTTGAGAATGTGGAGTGAGTTCTCAATACGAGTCACAAAGCGAGGTAAACCCGATCCAGAGAAATCTTCAATAAATTTTTGAACATTTTTCTGTAATTAAAAGACAGCTGCCTTTGAATTGTGCGAGAAAAGTGTATAAAAGAACTGCTAATGAGGCTGGTTGACAGCCAACTCCTCCCCTCAGTTTCCCAAGTCCACCTGGCCCAGTCTTTTACCATCCTCTCGCTAAGGTTCTCCTTCGGGGGATTGGGGCGAGGAGACAGCCCGCACTTCAGATTAGACAGTGGCCGGCGTAAATATTTGCTTAACGTTTATTTATAATTAATATCTAATATGCCATTTGTCGTCGTTTCATAGAGCGTGCATCGTAATTGGAGGATGTTTTATTTTGTCTGGCTGTGCGATCCTGTCTAAAGCTGTCTACATGTTGGTTATTGACAATGAGCCAAAAAGGGTGGGTACCTGTCAGTTCAGCGTACAATAAGTTTTTTGCTATTGTTCATCGCCAGCAATCCGTTAAAATCTTCTCCATCCTTAGACTTCTTTTTTACTTCCTGGTTTATGACTGCCTTTTCCTCGTTTTTCCCTCCTGTCAATCAAGTATTAATCAGTCTCCTTAAATATAAATCAAACTACTGTGGCTCATTTCCTTTAAAAAAAACAGCGGTCGAGTATTTACCGAATGAATGCCGAGTATTGGCCGATTGTTTGCCGAATATCGGTTGATGTTGAATGACCGAGTCCACATCCACCTGAAACTCTCAGTATATTTACTCAATCGGTTCGTTTTGTTTTGTTTTGTTTTTCAGAGTACTCCACTTTTAATAACAACTTTTGCTGCTTTTGGTTTCATGGTGTTGTTGGCCTGGTTTAAATACCTTATTGCTTATAAAGTGGACAGCAGAGCTCTTAGAACAGACGGTAAGCCTACACTTTCTCACTTGTCTCATTATTGATCCCACTATCTTCCACACGATAATATCTTGATTAAGTTTTTTGGTGGTTAAAAGGGAGTAAGTTTCCAAAGAATCTTTGATGCTGTGTCGGTGGGATGGAGGATGGAGGGGGGGGGGGTGGAACAAAATAATGGATCAATATCAGTATCTGGGCAACTGCCCACCTACCCCTCCCCTAGCCCAACATTAACCCTAACTTGTTATCAGTTGACTGTTGTTGAGTTAGGGGAGGGGTAGGTGGGCAGTTGCCCAGACACTGATATTGATCCCAAAATAATTTGATTTTATCAATTAAGTTATTAACGTGAATTGGCCACCGTAGAGAGGTGAAGCTGACGCTTCGAGCGTTCGCCCTTCACCAAAGCGGGGTGAACTTAGATCGATGTTTTTCTCGCGCCCGTAAAGAAACGAATCAAACCCTTATTTATCATAATTATTTTTACCCGACAAAAACGGGTTTGTGATTACCCTTAAAACACTCCTTGGTAACGCCCTTGAATTCATACAAGGTATGTTTTATTTTCACAGCCTTTAATTCGACAGCAGAGGCAGTTATGGCTTTTGTGATGGCTATGAGTGACGTCATTTACGATCAGAATCCAAACATTTGGTTCTTAGACGCATCTGCAGCAATTTTTATCGGATTCGTCCTCTTCGTTTATGGCATCAGGTAAAATCAACCCACAGAGTAACTATTTATATAGCATATATCTTGAGATGTACGTTTTTTCGGGCATGATTTTCGCAGAACATCAGTAATTGTCCATGAAATATTTTCTATTCAAAGTGGCGTCTTACATCCTGGAAATAAAAAATTTGAGGCGATTGGAAAATACTCTTCCCACTGTTTTAGAACCGAACTAAATATCTCGGCAAAGAAGGTCGTGGATCATAGTAATGCTAAGTGAAAGAATGTCTGGTTTACGGGAAATAAAAGTATTCCAGAATTCAAAGTTTGCATACGCTTAATCCTTTCACTCCTAAGATCGTATCGGTAATTCTCTTTACTGTCTGCAATACAATTTCTATGATGCGAGTTTAGGGAATTTGGTACTGGATCAGCTAAAAATACCCTAATTGATGTTTTTCTTCATTCTCATCATTTGTCTTTAGGATATTGTATTGATATGTGGAAGAAATTCTGTCTTGGTCATTTGTGGGAGAAAAAGGGTTAATTCTAAGCTTTTCATACTCTAGTATCCAAGCGCCACGTAAGACACAAGAGTTTGTCCATTTACCGCATTGAAATTTAAAACTACACCGTTTAATTTGCAGGACGATTGTAGAGTTACTTCTCACCAAGGGAATGGCTCCGATTCCAAACAGTTAACTCAATATTATGATCACATGTTCGAATATGGTATTTGATCCTCGAAGAGTAGCAGAAGCATCAATCATAACCCTTTAGTTACCAGTGCTCTCATGCGTACGTGAGAGAGCAAGAAAGAATCTAGGAACGAGTGCAAGAAATGAGTAGAACGAAAATGAGCTTTTACATATTTTGCTATAAGAATACAGAACCTTACTCGATTGCGTAAGAGAGCAAGAACGTTTATAAAAAAAAAATCTGGGAATAAGTATGATAAATAAAAAGAAAGAATAAGGAAAAAGGAATGAGCTTTTATATATTTTGCTAAAATAATACAGTACCTTTCTCGTTTACTCGTGTTTATATGTATGTTTAGGTCTATTTAAAGGAAAACAACAAGAAAATACGCAAACGTAAATGCTTTGTTATACCTGGAACAGGTTTTACAAATTACGAAAATATTCAAGTTAAGAATTTTGTGTGGTTAGGCTTGTTCTCGGCCAAGTGTCTGCGAGAAGTATGGTTAGGAACTTATGTTAACGTCATAGCTTAAATTAGTGCTCAGGTTTGACCGAGTAACTGAAACGCTTCATAAAAACCAGAATGCTATGTAACCTAACCTGAATTCTCTAGAATGGCATTAAGAGTATGCGCGGTCATTACGAAAGGCAATTCATTCGTTGAGTTTTGGAAAGAAAACTGGAAAACGATAACGTGAAATTGTTGCCTTTCATTCTCAGAATTGCACAGTATTTTTGAATAAGTGCACAAGACAGCTGGAAATGTTAATACTAATAAAGTCTTAATTATTATAGATTTAAAGAATATTGGACTGAACTAAATTATACAAGGAAAATTTTCTATCATGATAGGTCTTGAGATTTAAATAAATGTTAGGCTAACCGTGAAAAAGGTTGGTTAAAAAGAGAATGAACTTTTGATTCGTAAATGTTTAATTGCCTAAATATTAATGGTAGTTAACTTGAAATGAAAGCTTCTAGAATTAACAAGAATTACAACAATGTTGTTGTTTTGTAAATAAGTAAAAAAAAACAAGGATTTAAATAAAAAATGTAACAAGAGAAATTTGCAATTCTTTGTTTAAAGACATGCCTAGAAGCAATCGTTTTTAGGCGCTTTACAAAGGATCTGCGGGAAACTTCAGAAGCATTCATCATAAACATAACAAGAAATTATATACATTGTACAGGGTGGCCCCGCTGTCAATTGACTTCGACTAATTGGGAGGCCTTGTAAAAAGCTGGAGAAAAATATGTTGATCTTTAATTAAAGTTCGTGTGTTTCCTATTCACACTAAAGATATTTAGTCTAAATATTTCCACAGTTATTTAGTTCCAGAGGATGTGTTACAAATAAGTTTACTTGTTGTAAAAAAAATGTCTCAACGAAAAATCGTCTTTTACAAGATAAGATTATAACGAGAAAAACACCTTTAAAATAACGAAAATAAAGATATAAAACAGCTGGGTAGATGGGTAGAAAATTTGAATGTTATTGACCTTGCGGTCAATAGCAATAATCGGAACTGATGAGAAAATAACAGATGCTGTAGAAACGCACAGTTCGAGTCCTTAGGAGATGCCTTTAATTTATTATTATATTAGCATGGCCTACGAAAAAGAAGCAAGTTTAGATCTTTTGGGTCATTTCTAAAGCTCTTCTACCAATTCTGGATAACATTAATATGTTATCAAAGGTAAGAGTGAAAGGAATTGTATTATCTTAAGAAAACTCGACAAATCTGACTTGGGGTTCGAAGAGGTAAAAGTCAAACACAATTTCAAGTTTTAATAACAGTTTCTCATTATGAATTCTAACTTTGCATAAAGAATATTTTCGCTTTTCACTCTCTTGTTTCGTCTATGACAACTAGGGTTTTTGAAGAGCCTGTTTAATATCATTTCAGGTGTCAGTTTTTAAGGAATCTTCGCTGATCTAATGTTGTGTTCACGCTTAGTTTGGTAAAATGTCTATTAATTTTTCCTATGGTCTGTCAAACTAGCTAGTACTAGAAAACTTGGGATGAACTTCAGTAGTTGGTGAATTCTAGTCGTGTTCTGTTTGTATTTTTGGTATTACATTTCTTATTGTTCAAAACTTCCTTCTGATAGCTTAAATTTTCTGTTTCCGTGATGTTAATGTGGAAAAAATGTGACAGTAATTCTCCAAGACGTAGGCTGGCAAAAGTGACCTCTCTCTAACACAAATTTTTCATTGGAAAACATTTTCTTTAATATAACAGAAGCAAGAAGCTTATTTCGTTTCTCAACAACCATATGCTAAATTATAAAAACTTTGCCCACTGTAACCGAGAAAACACTATTATTCTTGAAACAAATCCGGCGTATTTTGAACATTTGCGCGACATCTATCGAATTCCATTGACCTATTTACTGCAAGACGCGTACAGAAATAAGGTGCCGGCCCTCAGCGAAAGCCTCGATAGAGAAAGACGGGTAAACACGAACGGAGCAATGATCGCTATTTTTGTAATAATATCTATATAATCAAACGTTTTTTTAGACTTTTCGATATAGAGAAGATCTTCATCTCGCAAGAGTCTGAAAACAAACGGAACTCTAAGCAACTTGCCTCAATAAGAGTTGGATGAGTTTGGGCAACTTAGATTCAAGTTGAATCCGATACACCTATGTTAGCTGACTACGTTTTTTGAACTAGATAAAGGAAAACACCTGCAACAGTGGTATTCTTTCATACCCGAACTTTTCTCACTGAAGGAAAGCTAAAAGGAAGTTCTCCGTATCTTGATTTATAAAACTCGTCAAAATAATTTGTTAATTTTCTTTAATTCTCTACCTTTGCTTTGTTTCAGTAATCAATTGTAAGTCTCGTTTTGAAAATTTTTTTGTTTTTAATTTAGTATTTGGAGATCTTCTTTCTTTCATCGTGACGCTTTTTGTTGATGTTTGTGTGATTCATCGCTAAATTCGAAGTTTATAACTTAATCTTTACATAAATCATTTTTTGGGAAGTGTTATTTTTGTCTTCGATCATTTTAATCCTATTTCAAACAAATATAAAATTTGCTCTTGTGTTTATACATTTGTCGTCTAATTCTTGCATATTTGTACCTGATATTTTCTTTCTTATCCGTAAAACTTTTTGCTATGTCGGGGGAATTTAATCTCGCAACTCCTGGCAATCTTTATAGTGGTTCAATATATTGTTTCGATGGAGATATCAAGTTAATATTATTTTGATACCTTTCGAGAAAATTCTCTGTTTATAATACGAATGTGTATCAGTCTTTTTGGACGAGAATCAGGTAGATGGGGGAGGGATGGGTGGGGAAAGACAGTGAGGATGCATTAATCACTTAATTATACTGTACAACTGTAGAACAAATTTTCAACCAAACTGAGTATTTTTCGCCATTAGGTCTTGCTGGGTCTTGGAAGTTTGCAACTCTTTCTTTTCTTCACTTCTGCAAACAGTAGGGATATTGGTAAGTGAATGTTTTATTTCTTATAACCAGTTTGTAATCCTCTGGAATGAGTTATGATCGGGTTTTAAGAAACAGGGCGTTTCAACTTAATGACGACAGTATCAGGCTTACTTTGGCAGCGCTAAATGATCAAAACTATGCGCACGCATCTATTGCCAGGCACGCGTTTTAGTGGGCAAATTCTTGTGCGTGACGCTTGTGTATGCAAACAAACCACAGCTCACAGCTGACGTATCTCGTGTTTGATTAGCTTTCTCATCTCCGATGTAGCAACATTCGACAAATAATTTCCAATCTTCAGGGTTTTTTTAGAGCGCTTTTTTCCCATTAGCCAAAGACTGTGTGGACCTTCTTGAAAAAGGTTTCAAACGGAATGGCGTGTACCTCATCAAACCCGATAGCCAAGAACCTTTCCACGTCTTTTGCGATCAAAACACCAATGGAGGAGGCTGGATTGTTTTTCAAAAACGTTTCGACGGATCTGAGGACTTCGACAGAAACTGGTCTGATTACAAGAATGGATTTGGAAACCTTACACAAGAATTTTGGTTGGGAAATGACAGAATCTACCGACTGACTGATCAACATCACGAACTACTGGTGGAGCTCGAAGAGTATGCTAAATCAGTGACGCATGCGCGTTATAGCTATTTTAGCATTGGTTCTGAGGAAAATGGGTACGAGCTTCACTTGGGTTCTTATAGAGGGAGTGCAGGAGATGTTCTCACATATCACAAAAATGTGAAATTCTCTACAAAAGATGAGAAAAATGATGAAGGTTGCTCCCAAGAGTATCGTAGTGGATGGTGGTACAAGGGTTGTAATATGAGTAACTCCGGCGTTAACCTCAACGGCTTTAACTTAGGCAGAAGTCCAAGAATTTCCACGGGGTCGATGAATTTATTACCTAAAAAGTCTACCTCCATGAAAATCAGAGGATTGACAGGTGTGAAGGATCTCTTTTTTCTTGTAAAAGTTTTTCATATCGGAAATTATAATCATCTCGTTACTGGAGCATGCTTATTCATTGACTCTTCAAAATTCATATTTTCCAAACTGTTCTCAACTCATCTCCCCTGGCTAGTAAGGAAAATTGTTTGACAATCAATAGCTTCTTTAGTTGGTAATCATTTCCTTTATACCCATGAACTTAATGTTTGACTCAGGGGTGATGTTGTGAGAAGAAATTAGGTATTAGTCACCCTTAAGATTTAAAGGATTAACAGATCTCTGATTAAGTTTATCTCGATAAATCCGAGTACGGCACTGATCGTCTCCATTGCTTATTTTTAGATACTGAATGGGACTACTCTATAGATTTGATTCAAAAAGCTAATTTCACACACGCAGTGATTTCAAATATAACTGAACTCCATGAACTGTCAGCATGCTGGTGGATAAGACTGCGTGACCTCAAGGTCACGCAAAGTGTCACGGTGTTTTCGACTGGGGATCCATCACAAAGCAGAGTTGCGTTTTCCATCCAAGGCCCGTCTTTGTATAGAGTTACAGTCAATGGCAGTGACCAGTAAGTCAGTTTTGTTAATTTTGTTCTGCGTTCCCTTCTTCACTGAAGGCTGTTTGATTATGTACTCTGATCGTCGGGTTGGGAGTTGTCCTGGGAAAGACTGTTGTCGGTAGTAGTGGTTGACGTTTTGACAACCTTAGCAGAGCTTGTCATCAAATTCAAGTGTATTTCCCAGCGATACACTGAGGTCTATTGGTCCGCACACATGTGCGCTAAACCCCAGATCTGGAGGTCTGGGTTCGAACCGTAACGTTATTGCCTCTCTCACTTCGGAGTATAAATTGCTGCCGGGGAATTGGTAACCTTTTCCCCAGGGCTTCTCAGTAATACTCCTTGAGATAGCAATACCCCTAGGGACAGCAATATCCTTAGGGACAACAATACTCCTTGGGAAAGAAATACTCCAAGGGAAAGCAATTCCCCCTAGGGACAGCTATAACCCGAGGGACAGGAATACCCCTATGAACAGCAATTTTCCTTGGGACAGCAATACCTCTTGTTCAAATACTTGGCTCGTAATTTAATACCCCACTTTTTTTTTTTACTAACCACCGAGACAGTAATTCATCTTATTGTTTGCCAAAAATTGCTCATAATTTTAGTTTTCAGAATTTCCTGTTAGACCAAATGGTAATCCTGTAATTGATTTTTTTTATTCTCATCTTTTGTCTGCTTGATACTGTATTGATTTTTGTCAGGAGAAATTCTGTCTTGGTCACTCATGGGAGTTAAGGTCTGTTGCCATGATCTGCTGTTATACTAAACATAGCAAAGAGCTTCACTGATCTATTAATTTACTTATTTTCTAGTGATATTCACCTCTCCGCGTTAAATACTTTCGATAATCACTGGCATTTCATGTGTATCAGAGGATCAGCGTTTAGATATGACTGGAAATTCATGGTGGATGGTTCCAGAAGGAAAATAACATTTCTGAAGATGCTAAGAATACCGCGCAATAGCCTTTTAAGAATCGGATTTTTCTCCCGATCAGAGCACAGCAACGGAGAAGTGAAGGAATCTGTCATCGGGCAATTAAGTCACTTTAACATCTGGGACGAAATTTTAAGTACTGTGGACATATTTAAAATGACACGTGGGTGTCATGCCCAAACAGGCAACTTTATCTCATGGTCAGTGGTTCAGTTTTGGCTTCATGACAGCATCAATATAACATCCCCTTCATCATGCACAAGTAAAGGTAATTCGTTTTACATGCTTTATAACCTTCCTATGACTTGCTAACTTTTTGGAAAAAAAAATCTTTAATGCCGGTAGAGAGGAATCACTTGGATAACCCTGTTCCTGTCCTGAGGAGGGAGGGATTAGGGGAATCATATCGTGCACAAATGACACGATTAATGTCTTGCATAGATAACATTCATTGGAGTTTATCGAGCGCCCACGGAAGTGAAATCGCCGATGACAGTTTTCTGTGGAGAGGAAAGGTTGAGGGCGATGGAGTGGACATGGACACTAACACAATCAGCCTTCAAGGTGCAGGTCACGTGACTTTGGGACGTTTCGATGACAGTTGCCCAGGAAACCCAAGTATGTGCGAGAATGGTTTTACTGTGAGCTTCTGGATGAAATACGGAGGTAAGGTAACTTCAAAATGGTGAAAAGGTTAAGGCTTTAACATGGCTTGGAAAAGAGTTCACCAATTGGGAAGTATTTGCCCATAATGAAAAGGCGAAATCGCTAGTTAACGTCTCAGCCAGCATCCGTGATCTATAAATTCTGATGATATATGTTGAATCAAACTGAAGATTTATTGGTTTGATGTGGAAAATGAAGAGTGTAAAGGAAGAGATTGAAACAAAGAGAAGCTTCGTTTAGTTGTTTAAGTATTTGAAAAGCAATACCAAATGTTCATTAAATTAATATGAAAGACAGTGTAAAATGAAAGGCAAACAAAATACTAGTTAAATGAAAGAAAGGCGAATAAACCCAATTGAGGCTCTTTTTCATTTTGAAAGACGGTAAAATATATGTAGATTGTATTGATAGTGTTACGTTATTTGATTTTTATCTTTCTGTTCTTCTTGACCAGTGAAATTTGCATCTTACATCCTTGGACAAAACGAACTTTATCACGAAGCCATCGAGTCTATGATGTCAGCTGTAACCCCCAGTAGGAACAAATGGATTCGTTGTTACCACGCCAAGTCAGACGGCTTCACCGCGCATGCGTTTCACTCACGATGCGACAACAAAGGGCCCACTGTGACTTTAGTGCAAGTGCGCGAGTTCGTGTTTGGAGGATTTTTGGATCAGAACTGGGGAGGTATTGCAAACGAAATTTCAAACTTGACATCTTCATTGATTTGAATTGTAATCAATACATTTTGTGCTCAGTTCAATTGCTTAGAGGCGGCTAAGGTGTAAATAAGAGGAATGGAGGTCTACGGTGTTAGATGGTGAGATGGTGAGATGGTGCCACCGTAACATTCCAATGCCACTCAAACTTGGTATAGTGGCTGCCCTCCCCTCCCCTCCCCCCCCTTTCTTCTTTATCTTTATGGAAAATACTTTCTTAACCCTTTTAACGCCGTTAATGACCAGGAGAGAATTTCTCCTTACAATATCAGTACAATATCAAGCAGACAAGTCAGGGGATTCTTAGTGGATCTAGTACCAGTTTCTCCTCCACTAACATCATAAGAATTGTATGAGAAACACAAAGGAGAGTTACTGATGAGATCACGGAAATTAATGAGATAATAACTTTCATTCCCCCTTTAGGCCCTGAAGGTACAAGAGCAATATCTTCAAACTCGGCCTTCCTCTTTAGCATCAAGAACGCATTTGGGCTGAAACCTTTCAAAGTCAACGTTAAAGAAAACCATAAACAGGCAGCTGCACTGAATGATCCGACTTCCGGACCAGTTTTTGGACAAGACGATTTAAGGGTTACTTTTGACAACAAAAGCATTCCCTTTATATGGTGTGTCATATATTGGCCACGCCTACGACTTACCCCAGGGATATAATAACACGGATCAAGTAGATGGAACTGGACTTTTCGCTGAAACAAGCATTTTTACCTGGGACGACTTAGAAGTATTTTATTACAATGGTGAGTTGAAATCAATCAGAAGCATCACTCTTTTAGAAAGTTGTTTATTTCTTAGTGAAATTCTACGCTCATTTAAAGCGCTTAATAACTGAAAAAAAAAACAACTACTAAATAGCATACATAAATGAATAATGCTTGGAAGAAGAATTTTTGGAGGTGGACATTGTATTAAAAACCAAACTCCCGTAAAGCAATAGAAAATTGAAAGAAAAAGGGATTAATTAAACTTAATTCAAGAATTTTATGCATTGAAAACTTTTTCAATTTTGTGAGGAGCGCAGGACGAAGGAAAATGTCTATAGAGCATGATATATATATACTTACCAAATCTTCCGTGAGCCTGCCAGCGGGTTTCTATCGTCAGCGGTTCGGAACCAGCGTTTCTTCGCGCGGGACGTGAGAGGCCTTGAACAACGCGAGCCGGTGAAAGGTCTGCCAAAGCGTCTAACACGTGATCTTCCTGACTAGATTGAACTCTTCCCGCGGGTAGAGCGCGTTTCCAGCGCGCTAATAGTGACAGCCTGCTCGCAATCACACAAAAGGGTATTTCAGCGTTTTCTCACGTATTCCTTCCTTCGCTTAACCCTTAATTCTCCTTACTGTCTGCCAAACAGTCATTATGATGCTAGGTAGGAGAATTTGATATTGGATCAACTAGTAATCCCCTAATTGATATTTTTCTTTATTCTCTTCACTTGTCTACTTGATATTGTACTGATATTGTGAGGAGAAATTCTGTCTTGGTCACTCATGGGAGTTAAAGGGTTAACCGATAGATTTTTTAACGTGTGTTATTTACGTTTAACTTGTGTTATGTTTTTAGTGCCACATGCTTCCCTTGGTGTCAGCAACCCAGCTTTCGTTCAGAATTCAGAATTCAGTTCCTCGTCCGAAAAATTCTCTCTCACCTATTCTGCAGAAAATGCACGAGAAGGCTCCGAATGGTGTGCGTATTACGATGATGAACGTCAGTGGCTAGAGGCGACTATCAGTTATTACAAGCCAGATAACAGAGAAAGACTTAAATTGGAGGCGAAAGGCAATACAAAATCAGGGATAACTCATTATCTTCTTAATTCGAGCACGGATGGAAAGATCTGGAACGCACTCAACGAGGGCAAGGTGAGAAGAGTGCTTTCAGCAGTAGTCAAATAAACATCCTTGTAAGATTTAAGAGTTACACTTACGTTACATGGGTTTGATTTCTTCATTTTTTTTTCAGAGAATTCGTGAAGGTACGAGCTTCCTCCCTAGGGAAAATCTTTCCTATGTGAGGTTCATACCTGAGTCATGGGATTCTATTATCTGCATGAAAGTACAGATACATGCTACAGAAAGCGGCAATGAAGGTACACCTAACGCTGTAAAGAAATGTTTCATTGATAGCAGTTATGTGATTATTAATGGATGATATCTAACCAGTTGTATTTGGCCGTCCCGGTAAAATTTACCTGCCTCCCCTATATATTTTTAAGACTTGTTGTTTTTTTTAACTTGATTTGACAAAATAGCTTACATGGGGGGTCACGGGCACCCCAGGACCCCCACCCTAGTTACACCCTTGCAAATTTCCCTGTCGGTTCACCAGAACTCATGTATACTCCAAGGTGGAGAGAACCCTAGCGAGAGCAGAGTGCCTTGCACAAGAACACGACATGAGGACCTATCTATGGTTTACATCCAGACATACTTATTGCTACCGTTGTTTCCCGATTTCTAGCTGTCTTAAAGAGACTCACAGCGTCGTCTGAGAGGTGCATGTCACCAGCTTACTTCGCTCGACTTCACCTCACTGGGAGGTGCTTTTCTGCTTGGTGCTCTTCGCCTCGTTCCTCGGACCCTTATCCGTGGCTGCGCGTGAACTTGAGTAGCCCGCAGTATATTCTCTTTGTTGCTACGCAAGGTTCCGACAAAGAACAGGACAAGTATCATGTGTCGTCTTACTATCTCAGTTATCTTAATGAGGACGATGGAAAAGCGACAAACTACACAGAAAATGGGAACTTAAAGGTAGAAAAGTTGAAATCCAGAAGCTTAGGGGGTTGTATTATAGGCTGTTTATCAAAAAGGGTCGTGAACAATTGTAATGTAGAAAATGGTATGCGTACAATCTCAAGTTCCACTGCACTCAAGTTAAGGTGCGTAATATTTTGGGAATAGCTAGGATAAAGACTGAAAAAAAACAAGGCATTTGACCGGATCTCCTTCCTTATCCCAGGCCCTCCCGTTCTTTAGTCTCATTTGCATCCTTTGTTTGCTCCTGTCACGCAACGCGTTCTGTCTCTACAGCGTTGCGTGACAAGACCCAACACGAGTTACCAATAGAGGTCCTCCTTTTACTGCCTGAGTAAGAAAAGAGACAACCAATTCTTAGAGAGTTTACTGTTACTCTGTTTTATGTCTTAATCACATTTTTTTCAGATCTTCGAAGGGAACTGGGATGGATCAACTGTTGTTAAAAACGCAATTTTTAATCCATTCACCACCCAATCCTTGACGTTCCATATTGTTGGCTCGAGATCAAATGAATGTTGCCTAAGAGTTGAAATTTACGGTCCAAGTAAGCTATCACTTATCAAATGCCATATTGAAGAAAACTGACGCTTTTTTATGCGCGTTATTTCGGTGCAGTTGGATTTTATGGATTTGTAAGGTTTTAATTTAGAACAGCATGTGACGATGGAGTCCAATTTGACGATTTTTAAAACTTGGCCTAGATTTAAAACTTGAGCTTGTTTCCGAGCCAAATTTGTTCAGGTTACTCAAATCCTGCTTTACTGTGAAGCACTATGTAAAAGAGTGTCGTACAGAGGTCAGTTGAAAAAAAGGGGCACAGTCAGCCAATCAGCCGGTCGAAAGTGAAAGAAAACCCACGTGACCTATCTCAAAGCAAATTGCACCTAGTTTTAAAGTCATGTTTAATAAAGGGGTACAATCAATCGATTGATCGGTCGTTTTGGAACTTATTCTATTATTAAATAGAAGCTTTTGGTTAGAGTCATTACCTAGTTTATGTCGTGTCTCCTTACACTTGGTAGAATGTAAACAACCTCTTGGAATGGAAAATGGCGCCATATCTGATGCACAGATTACTGGCTCGTCCTGGGTGACTCCTTATGAGGCTTATAAGCCCAGCCGAGCACGACTTAATATACGACACAGTAAAGAGCCCTACATGGCTGGGGGTTGGGTGGCTTCCCCGCAAGATGCTGATCCATGGTTGCAGGTCCATCTCGGTAATGAAACTTTTAAAGTCACTCGGGTGGCCACGCAAGGGAGACATTCTTATAACGAGTGGGTAAAGAACTACAAACTACAGTACAGTCAGGATGGTGTGAACTTCAACTACTACAAGGCACGAGGACAAACAAATGACAAGGTAATGTAGCCGAAATTGAAATAGAACATTCCATGTGTATTACATGTGTGTAAGTATAGAGGAAACACGAGGAAGAGCGATTGAGTATGACATTTTAGTTCTCCTGTCTATCTGCGATGGCAAAAGAGTTTTAGTAAGCCATAATTGCACAAGATCTCTTGAAGCACCTCTCCCCCCATCCCTGATCTCCCGTGCGGCATGTTCAAACCGATCGTACAGGAAAAATCTAACTTGCCGAGTTTCAAAAGGAAGACCTTGAAAACCTAGAAACAAAGATCATGACATTTTATTCTATTATTCCAGGTTTTTAAAGGAAAAGAAGACAGCGACATTGTTGCTTACAGTGACCTCGATCCTCCAATCAGAGCGCGTTTTATCCGATTTAGACCGACAGCTTGGCATGGCTATGCAACAATGAGGGTGGAACTCTTTGGTTGTCCATCAGGTAACAGAAATAATTGAATCCTGACTACAGCTACAATATTACAGCAGCGCGTCGTTACTTTATTGTACGAAGGGGCCATTCTTTGATGTTCAACAAAGCTAGGAATCTATGGATTTGCTAAATCCTATTTCTCCGTCGTGTGTTAGACAGCCCAGACGTTGTTCTGATCTATGCTTTAGGGCATTGAGACAATGTCGGAGAAAACTAAAAAAATTGCTCTTAAAACTGCTGTTAGAAAACAGTTTAGATAAAATGACCACTTATGTTAATCTCGCGTCAAGTCGATCTTTTGGAATTCCTTCGGTCGATTGATAACGATTTATTCCAGTAGAAGACAGCCTTTTCTTCCAAAATGATTTTCACGGAATCTATGAACACGTAGATGTTGAATTGGGGTAACAAAATGGTGGTTTCTTAAAGAAGGTAACTTTTCTATAGTCAACTTTACTTTATTGTGTTAGAAAGCTGCAACTTCTCTCGTTTGTCAGATTTAGAACGGTGACAAGTCACGGCAAGTTGACTTGAACGAGGTGTAAGGATTCAACGGGAACTGAGTCTGTGCCTCTCTAAGGGGACTCAGCTATGATTCGCCAAAGGGGGAGGGGAGAGCCACTCACGACGGTGAATTATATTTCCCGCCCCTCAAGTGAAGTGGCTTAGATTGCTACTCCACCATGTTTGTTAGCAATTGAATGATTAGCACTGGAAACACCGATGCTGTGAAGATTATTCGCACACAAAGAAGGGCGCTGTTATGGACACCCCGCCCCCCAGAATCTTCCCTTTGGATCCGTGGATGTTTACTTAGGTCATTTTGTCTCAGTTTGCAGCCCTAAACCTCTTGGGATGGAAAACGGTGCAATCTTTGATAGTCAGTTAACTGCGTCGTCTTGGACCGTTAACGCCAAGGATGCGCGACTTAACTATCCCCGAGGTGGCGCCTGGGTACCAAATCTTGGCCCAGGTCAATGGCTACAGATAGATTTGCTTGACTACCACACAAGTGTAACCTCGGTGGCAACACAAGGAATATCTCTGGGGTACAGAAACCAGTGGGTGACGACTTACAAGCTGCAATTTAATAACTTAGACCACTCCTTCAAATACTTTAAAGAAGAAGGGAAAAATGAGGATAAGGTAAAATATCGCGCGGATAATCTCGTACGCAGATCCTACCGCGTAACTGTTACTGAAATATAGGTCACTCGACCGGGGAAGGTCTAGACTCGACACTAGCGCGCGGATCTAAATAAAAAACTTGAAAACAAGCATACAGTAGTAACTCTATGGTGAGACAAATGTATGAACTTCCATATCTAACGTGTTGTTATCCTTTATTTGGTTTAGATTTTTGCTGGTAACACAGACGGAAAGTCTACTGTATCACATGATCTAAACCCACCAATAACAGCACGCTATATCCGTTTTCTACCGATAACGTACCACGGATGGATAGCTATGAGGGTAGAGCTGTATCACGGCTGTGGACAAGGTATGACCGTTTTCAATCCTAACGGCTTTTGAATTTCATCAGGTCTGTATAGAACGTTTATATGAAGCCTTGTGGGAGGCCCAAGAGGAGACCCGAAAGCCCCAAATAAAAAAAATCCAAGTCAAGACCCAGTGGGGTAATTTCTGTTAAATTAAATTGAATTAATTTTAAGTTGAAGCTAAAGGTGCACTAACAACATAGGATTCAAACCGAAAAGGTGGGGATTGTAGGGGTGGGGTAGGTGGGGCTTTACATGCAAAGATTATACCAACATTTTAATGTCAGACTGGGGTTTGGGACCATAGAATGTAGGGAAGTATTTTATGAAAGTTATCTATCTAACGTAGCATTGACGTTCTTCCACAGCTAACGAAGCGCAAGATGATACAATCATTTCGTGGCGAGATACGAATTCCATCAGTGAAGACAAAGCGTTCGAGTTTAAACAAGTGAATGATCTGTTTGGACCCCTTTACCAGCTGTCCGTAACATCTGAAAATGAAACTTATTCTCTGAACATTCCAACAGTCCCCACAACCTGGCATCACGTGACATTCACGTGGAGCAAGGCGTGGGGATTAAAATACTATCAAGATGGCGCTCTTGTCGCAGAGACAGGGAGGTCAGAGAAAGGCATATCTGTAACAGAAGAGGGAACGAACGGATTGTTTATCATTGGAAAGAGGGTTCTGACCAGTATAGTAAGCTCTGCAGATAATTTTCAAGTTCAAGGACTGACTGTGTGGCCTCGCCTTGTCTCTCAAGCACAACTGGAACGGGAGTTGGAAACTGGTAATTCCCTGATGTTAGAAGCAAATAATCTATTTTTTTTTGGTTGATAGACAGTGCAGAGAATTGTTTTTTTGTTCTATGGAATAAAAGTTCGAAGACTTTTCGAGCAAAAGAGTCAGGACCCTCTGTTTAACGTACAACTATAGAACTGACGCTTTTTCTGTTGATGTAGTTAGGATATAAATTCACGCCAAAATTTCCAAATCAGTCAAATTGTGCTAAATGATTGAAAAACGCTATTTTTGTCGCATTGAGTTTTAATCCTTTGGAGGATGAGGACATCATCCTTTTTCAATCCCACAAATACCTTTTTTCCTTTGTAGTTACCTGTCACATTATGGATCAGTGTCTAAAGCAAACTTATAACGACGATTTTGATTGGTCATTCGGAATAAACTGTACGAAAACTCCCGGCACAGGTCCATGCAGTGATCACGTGCTCAGCAGTGAAGGTATGTGTTCAATTTCTTTATCGTACAAATCGTAAAAAGGTTCTTTTTCTGATCTTTCTGTTGTTAACTGGGTGCACACAGCGATTTTGACGTACAAATCGTGTAAAATTGAGCACCATGAGCGCCTGGGGGTGGAACGCAGGATTTTGATTCGCGACCAATTTGCTTGAAACCCGTACACCCATCTTCAAGTTCTAACATTGGTTGAAGAAATATATGCGAAACACGGACTTTACACCGGAAATGATTTAGGTGGCTGCTGAATGGTTGTTAGGAAATCATTCTCATAATAAAAATTTGTAACTTTTAAGAATGTCTAACCGTTGACTGATACCCTGTTTGTGCTTTTCAGTTCGGCGTTCATTCAGTAACGCAGCTTTCAAAAGAAAAACAGAGCAATATGACAGAGCCAACTCTTCTCGGATGGTGGTTGATGGTGACTTTAACTCGTGGAGTGAACTGGAGCGTGTCCAAAAGACATGGTGGAAAGTAGACCTTGGGCGTGAGGGCCTAGTGACTGGCGTGCGATTCGTACTCAAGCTTGTAAGCAATGGAAGCAACATAGAGTCAAGTCTTAATGTTATAATTGTGAGAGAGACTGGAAAGATTAAGGAGTCTTTGTGCGCAACCTTTAACAAAGGCGATATCGTTGAAAACGAGGTTGCTTACAAGGTGTCTTCTTGTGGTACGCCGTTACTAGGGAGATTTGTTAGGGTGGAGATGACGATGGAAGGTCACGTGAAATGCAGCAGGAACCCAACGTGTCCATCTCCAGTAATGAATCTGTATGAGGTGGAAGTCATGATGGGTAAGGATATAGGCTCATTTAGGGAAATATTCTTTCAATTGTACGTCCTGTGTCGACCAAACAACGTTCATTTTTCATCTTTCGCCCTTGAGGTGGCTCAAAATGGTTTCCTTAGTTTTTTTTCTCCATCATTTCTTTGATGGATCGTGTTTTCAAAAGGTTTCTGGTTTGTTTCTTGAAAATGCCATAAAAAATTGTTCAAATATTTCTGAGCAAGTTGTAATCGTTTTTCGCTAAATAAAGTTATCACAGCAACATTAAAGCGCCATATAATTACCTTGTGCAATTTCAATGATCCCCGTTTTTGTCACTGAATTGGAATCACCTTATCAGCATTTATCTGTCTGAATTTTTTTATCGACATTTTAAGATCAGTACTACCTTGCTCTTTTGTTGATACAAGGGTAAAAGTAATTAGGAACGTTGCTTGAACTTTATTACGGTTATCTTTTATTTTTCCAACAGTACAATCTACTGGTTTCATTTACATAAACACTACATCTCCTCGCGTTAAAGGAGAAAAGGCTCGAATGATGACTCGGTACATTTTACCCAGATACAACTGTCTGTCATTCTCGTACCATATGTATGGAAGTCACATAGGAAGGTTGAATGTATATTTCAAGAGTTACAAGAGTTCTGAGATTCTTTTGTGGAGACTACATAAAGCGCAGTCCAATAACTGGCATCATGGAGAAATCTTCATTCAAACCAACGACACCTTTCAGGTTTGGCTCTTCAGTTGAAAATTATTTTCATACGCAAAGTTTAAACGGGATTTACTTATGTATATAATGATGGCTTTAAGAAAACCGTATCATTTAGCAGCTTCAGAGACATCTATTAATGCGATACAGGACCGTAATATGCATGGATAGGCACGGTTGTCTGATAATTGGTGCACTGAACCACGGTAGGATCAACAGACCTGGGTTCGAACCTTGATCATGTCTTGCATCGTGACATTGTGTATCCCGCATGATCCTCCTTCCGTTTCGTAGACTGAATTTCGCTTATTAGGGCTTTTTAATTTTCTCTATTAGATAATATTTGAAGGAATTGTTGGGAATGGAAATGAAGGCGACTTGGCCATCGATAATGTGATGTTCACAACAAATAGCAACTGTTCAATCACACCTCATGACGCTAATCCGTCACTGATGCAAGGTAAGTACTGAAGTGATTAAGTCAGAATCAAGACCACAAAGTTTAGCTGCACAAGTGGTATAAATTCCGTAACAAGGCTACCTTTTCTTAAAGAATGTAACCTAAGAAATTTTTTTCTTATTTGTCTCTGGTTTTCCTTTTTTTCCACAATGATTGGACCCGCCGTTTGAAACGAGCAAACTTAAAATTATTCTCCCAGGTTTCAGATCTGATATCATCGGCCACATCCCAGCATACCAAGCGCGCCTCGAGAGCTGGTTAACGTCTGTTAATTTTCATGGAAAGCTCTGGAAGCCTTGCTACAGCGCTGCCAAAGATGGATGGGACAGTAGTATTTTCCACGAGAAGTGCGATGGAAAAGGAGCCACTTTGACAATTGCCAGATTTAACAATACCATATTTGGAGGATTTACAGACCACAGCTGGGGAAGTATGTTGTTAGAGTGAAATAGTCATTCATGGCAGAATTCATAAGAGGATGAGATAAGGGGGGGGAGAGGGTGGAGAAGGGGCATAAAAGACTGTAAAAACCGCTTTTCCTTACGCTCAAAGGGATGTTTTGGCGGGAATTATTTTCTACAGTAAACGGTTTAAAACCCTGGGTAACATTAATATGATCGTGTGGTCTGATCGTGTGGGTGAGGGTAGTCCTGTGAAGGACTGTTGTCGGTAGCAGTAACTGTTATGTCGACATCCTAAGTGGAAGACATCATCAGAGTCAGGAGAAGAGGACATGCCAGTTGAGAGGTAGAAGTCCATTTCGTGTAAACTGATTGGTCGGTTTCGAACGTGATGTTATTGGCTCAAATGTTGTAAGTTGTTCATGATTGGTCAGTTTCGATTCGTCGGTCGTATTTCGGTTCGGTTCGTTTTTTCTCGTGATCTCACAGAATTACGTCTTACAAGTAACCACAAGTGACCACAAGTTTTGACTAGGAGGTGGGGCGAGATAAAGCTATAATGTTATTCTGGATTGTTATGTGACCTCATGCTGACATACACATTTTCTTTTCTTTTCAGGCTATCCCGAAGGCTACCGTATCAGCACACAATCATTTCTATTTCGTTTCGACAAAAAGATAGGCCAACCATTCGAGAACCAAGTTCTGGGGATAAAACAGGTACATAAATTAATTCAGTGGAGAAAGGACAGAGGACCCGTATTTGGAGTGGAAGAGCTGGTCATTACATCGAACATGAAACAAGCTACAACCAGTAACTTGACAAATTACACTCATCCATCAGGTTCAGATAAAAATGGCTCATCGACTGAATACTTACTGGGGGAAAGATTCGTTTCTCTTCACGCTGTAGAAGTTTTAGCCATAGGAGGTAATCCTAGTGTCACTTGTCTACCTTATCGTATCAAATTGGAAGGAAAATGAAATAACTACACGATCAAAACTTAAACTTGTTTGTGGAAGTGACCATTGAGAATAACAAACCGTGCAGTAGTTGTGATTGGTTGATTCAGCTCCGGTTCGAATTGCGCATGCTTGCAGACAAGTCGTCAGTTTGGAAGGTTCGCTTCCAGACTAAAGCAGAGAAAAACCGTTTTAACTAAGCAAAAATCGCCTTTGCTAAGATAAATTTAAGGCAGAAATGGCTAATTATAATTCAACATGGAATGAGATAAAGAGGATATGATCTCCTTACTCATGTTAACTCTTATGTTGCTACCTTCCGTAAAATAAAGCCATGGAGTTTTCATTTTCGTGTCAAAATTTTTCACGCCCATCGATTAGCGTTTTCACGGATTTTTCCCATTTCTTACCATGATCGTTCGAATTTGCCCCTTTATCGTAGTTTCCTTAGATTTCACTTTACTCCTAAGCCGTAATTTATGTCCTTCAGTTTTTCCCGACACAAAAATGTCGTTGTGTATAATGACGGCCATTTTTAATACTTCCTTGCAGATACACTGTGTCAGAGTCAATGTCCATTGTACCAGTGCTGTGATGAAGTCATGGGTTGGTGCAAGTGGGATTCCGCTCTGAAAGAAGCTCGCTTTTGTGGTATTGGTAAGATGCCTTTCTCTCTTTATCACAAGGTCCGAGTAATACCTATATTCTCCTCAAAATGTTATCATATAGTCTCTTGCTGATGTACTAAAAAGATAAGAAATAATTTTTTATGAGTAACGTAAAAAAGGCAGTCTGAGACTGCCTAAGGCTTCATTGAAAAGAACCAGAGGTTGTATAGTGAAGCTAGCGGGTGGTTTTGCAGGAGTTTTGTATTTATATGCAAAACAGAAAACTTACGGCATCCACATATTTATGAGAACCGTTTCCCACAAGAGAAAGTTGATTCAGGAATATAGCAACCAATTATTAAATAGTATCAAATTATCATACTGACAATAGTCATTATGATAATAATAGTAACAGTAACCTAAAGGGGCTCGCTTTAAAGCCTCGCGGTTTTCCCATCCTCTGGGCCCCAAATAATGATTAAACTATTCTTCTTTAAATTCTGCCTCTAAGTTATCAATAATTTTCTTATTTTGATCCAATTCCATTTTTGTGAGACTTTTGTTTTATATTACAAAGCATTTCGCGTTTTAGGATATTCCGTCATTTCGCTAAGATCCTATTTTTAATTTGGAAACACGTGTGTCAAAGTTTGGATTTTGGTCACCATTGTCCAATTTGAGGTTTTGGACACTAGTGTCCGATTTTGGCTTTAAATCATTAGTGTTTGATTTTGGATTTGGACACTAGTGTTCCAAATTTGATTTTAGACACAAGTGTGATTTTGGATTTTGGACATTTGCGTTCGATTTTGGATTTTGAACACCAATGTCCGTTATTTCATTTTGGACACTAGTATCCGAATTGGCTGTTGGACAATAGTGTTAGATTTTTAATTCTGGACACTATTGTCCGATTTTGGTTTTTGTCCAGTATAGAAGACAGAAACCGAAAAAAATTTGAAACTTATTAGGGGAGCAGTCAGACTGGATGTGACCCTTCTTGTTAGATATTCCTGAATACGTCACCTCTTTAACGTAACACTTGCCTCTACCACAACAGATACCTGGACTTCCTACTGGCCTCTGGACAGTCACGTGAACATGGTCAACCTAGGTGGGGACGAATGGGGAACATTTGAAGGTGCTGTGAGTACCACGCAAGGGGCCCGGCTAGGAGCTGTTCACACCGGTGGGGAGGGTGCGGTCATAACACTGGGTGAAATCAACGACAAATGCTTCACTGAACCTTCGTCCTGTAAAAACAGCAACAGTTTTTCCGTAACCCTGTGGTTCAGACACAGGACAACCTACTTAAATCATAATAATACTGTACAACAAACATTCCTGTCCATTGGAGACAATGAAAACATAGTATTTAAAATATTCCGGCTGGCCAAGCAGACAGAAGAACATCTCGCTGTTGAAGTAGCTGTGTCGTCGAGAAATTGTCGTTATGTCTTCCCCGTTCCAAAGTTTTTATGGTCTCAGTTCGCTTTCGTGTGGAACACCACGGATTTGAATATTTACAGAGATAATGTTGAGGTGGAAAACTTTATTGTCACAGATTGTTTTGCAAAAACTGACTTTTCCCCTCAAAGGGCAGTAGTAATCTTGCGAGGTGATGCAACGTTTGACGATTTGAGGATTTGGAGCAGAACACTCGAAGCAAAAGAGATCGAGGAAATGTTCACATGTGTAAGAGGTATGCTAAATTCCCTGGGTGGAGTGCTCGGGTAGGTTTATATTCGGTAGGTATGATTCAACCGGATGTTCTATATTGGGCCAATATTAATTAAAGAATTTCCTCTAAAAATGGTGGAAAAATTGAATCTTCGTTCTAGATCAGGAAATTAAAAATATCGACCCGTTGAACGGAGCAGATCTATAATTATTTTCATGGGATTTACCGTTCCTCCAAAGGGGTAAAGACGACTAATTCTAACCCAGAACCTAAGCCGTCTTAGTTCAGTCGAAAATTGCTGTTCCTTGCTTCGTGTAGAGTGCTTCTTACTGATTTTCCACCTGATAAAAACCTTATATATACCTTACAATCAACTTCTCTTTGGCTCAATTGCTAAATTGTACATTACTGTAAGAGGGTCTCTGTGGGGTTAAACGTTAGCTATAAAACGGCCAAGATTATTGGCCGTTAGGCGGGAAAATTAACAAATTTATGCCGTTAGTCGTAAAAAAATTAACTGTTAAGCTGTTAAACTCTTCCCATCTTCGATTTGTCGTTTAAACCGTCACCCAAAGACACCCAATTATAAAAAAGCAATCCGCCGTTTTAATCTGAGGAGTGATTTTCTTGGTCTACTAAGATTCCTCCTTTGTTTCATCTAACTTTATACACGTATTAGCTTTCATTCTTTGTCTTTAAAATAGCTCCACCGTGGACGTGCAGTACATCAGACTGGACTGAAAGCATAAAAACACATGGATTGTCAAATTGTTCAGAGCCCAACTTCCTGCTGAATGGATTAATCAGAGGAGAGAACGGCGGCTTGGAAGATTACATTGATCGACTGGAAGGTGCAATGTGTTGCTCTGCGCCATTGGAATACAAAGACGACGACTTAAAATGTCGTAATTCTCTATACAGCAACAGTTCTGGGTAACTAATGACTAGTAACGCAATAGTCTTCAGTGAGAAGTCATACATTATGGAGACCTTACTCCATTGAGACCCTACCAATAGCGTAATCATAATTATATCTGATAGTGGAGTTAGTAACGTTAATAATACATTGAATACAGTTTTACAAAAACCCGAGAAAATTATGCTATTTAACTTTGTATAGCTCCCAGAATGTCTTCTCTTTCCGCATAGGAATTTATTTTTGGCACGTGTTGATAGAGTTGTTTCTATTGTTTTCGTTTTAAGTTTTTTTATTTATTACTTGAAGCTCTCTCTTACTCAAGCAATAGACCGCACTTCCTGTCGGTTAACCGGCGTAATAACCCATGGCGGGACCAATCAGAGCGCTTGTAGCATTTCATTTATTTTATAAAAATTGATAGACTGATTCCGTCAAAGACGCTAAGGTTATTTTTGACTCCATTTGCTTCAAAATTTATCCATAGCCTATAAGCATTTCTTTCTTTTACCCCTTCAGAAATAATTTACACTTCGACTGTTATTATGGCACCTTCCTCCGTGGATTTTACCGCCAGGGAAGTTTACCAGCTACCTTCGATGTCATCACAAAAGGCCAATGCTGCAAGCATCGTAGCGCCCCATCCACTTATCGTCAGTGTTACTCTTTTCAAATCAGTGACTTTAATAGACCCGGCCTGACTAAGTGTGAAGAACATTACTACATGGCGGGTATACGCGTGGGCGCCTGTAGACAGTTATACTGCATCAATCTGATTAGATGCTGCAGAATGAAAACAGGTAAGTACAGATTCTTCAGTTTATTGACTGACTGATTGGTTTATTAGTTGACTGATTGGATGTCTGATCGGCTGACTGACTGACTGACTGACCGCTGACTGATTCATTTACTGCCTCATTGCTTAACAAACCGACTCGCTCATTTGCTGACACTGATTGAATGACTGACCGGTTGGACATATTGACTAAGGGAGGGGCGGGGGAGGGGTGGGTTGACATAGGGACAAGGAATCAAGGAAAAGACAACCAAATTGACGAAAGTATGGACGGACAGACAGACAGATAGACGGAAGACGAACAGATAGCCAGACAGACGTACAAATAGACGAAGGGACAGACGGACAGACAGCCAGAAAGCCAGAAAGCCTGACAGACGTACAGCCACACAGCCACAGAAGACTGACAGCCAGACAGGCATACAGCTAGCCTGATGGCGTGATAGCCTTACAGCTTGACAAAGAAGAATAGATAAATGAATAGATAGACTGACAGACCGACGTACAAAGATACGGAGGAACTTCAGTAACTCTGGCTCTTTTAATTTCTTTCCCTTAGATGAACGAGATGATCGAAATCTTGAGATTAGTCTGAAAGTAAATTTGTTGGATGAAACATGGAATGCCAATCTATTGAATAGTTCGCACGACGATTTTAATGAACTGCAGGGAAAAATAGAAAATAATGTAAGTTCTGATCACATTTTTTGTTAAAGTAAGGGCACTATCTATTTTTGGGCTTTGTATCTGAACAGAGGTCAAAATTTCACGTTTAAAACTTTTGTGCGTAAAGGTGATCGGATGATACAATTATTTGAAACATTTGAGGCAGATGTATCTTACATCAACTTACTAATACACTTATTATATTTTTTTGCATTTAGATCAAGGATATTTATAGCAAGGCTAATAAAAAGCGTTATTTAGAGGGAATACCAACACCAACCTTTAAGTAAGTATTTTAAATTCAAAAGCGATAACTGAAAGCTCTCTAATATTTCATTGTAAATCAGGTGAAAGAACAAAAATTTGGTTTATATCAAGATGGGTTGATTTCCCACTTTTGACGAACATACCTCTCTATTTCCACAACCGGGCTCAGTCAAAATGCTTCTTTTCTTAATCTAGCCGAAGATCAAATTGTTTCTTCTCAGACTACTTTCCATTGTTTTATTTCAGGTCTGGCAGTCTCATAGCAAGTTTCAGCATGATTTTTAATGTTCCTCAGTACGATTTAATCTCTCCGCTCCTGGAAGTTATCAACAAAACAACAGGACCGAAAGAAGTGAATAAACTTGGAAATATGGCAATACAGCTCTTAGAAGTTAATCCACTCAACGGTGGGTTTAGATTCAAGCATGTTATAGTTAAATGGAAGAGTTTACTTTGTTCTTTCTACATAAGAACCTAATAGTCAAGAGACGACCACATAGTTTGTACACGTTCATCATTCATCGCGTATCTACAGCAAATTCGGTTTTGAGGTTAACCTTGGAATAACAAACCGTTCGTTAGGCTTTGACAGTCGACCCTTTCCTCTCTCCTATACTCAAGTACATACTCCCCTCCTGTTCGACTGCGACTCCTATTTTATACATTTAAATCTCTGATGACATTTCTTCTTCGCAGTTTACGGCAAATCTTTAAAAGTGACTGTCACCTTGGCTAACAGCTCAACCTTTCAACTACAGTGGCAATTTGCTGAGGACGATCCGAAGTATGGGACATTTCAAGGGTATCAAGTCTTGTACCGAAAAATCAGTGAAATTACTGATGAATTCTTACTGAGTAATGACATTAAGGAGAACATTACTCAAGCTCGGTTCTCTGTCAAAGAAGAATGCGAGTTATTTGAATTCAAGGTCCGTGCCTATTCTTTGGAGGGATATGGAAAACTAAGTGAAGCAGTCAACGCGTCGACTCCTTGTAAAGGTAAACGCAATTTTCTGTCGTACTTAGGGCGTTTTTGTAATAGCTTTGTTATCACAAAGCCAAAAGAATATCATCGGTCAATCATAACCGAACAATTTTCGAGTAAGACCCTGCAGCCATGAGTGGAATATTTTCCTTACGCGTTGTACGAAGAGGAAACTAACAAGTCAAAATCTTTGCCTTTTCCAGCCGTTCAAAATATTACTGCGACCGCGATTACATATTCAACTATCCGTCTTGATTGGAGCCCCGTCAAGGGAGGTCTTTTTACCTATTATAACGTGACGTATTCGATTACTGAGGCGAGTCTTACGTGGCACGAGGTGGTTGAGCGGAGTTACTCTTGGGTAGATCTTGTAAATCTTCGTGGAATGACAAATTACAGCATGAAAGTTGGTTTGATGTTAGAAGATGGTTTCACTCTCTGGAGTGAGGCTGTAACGAGTGAAACTCCTGAAGGAGGTAAGGAACGAGTCAATCGGTTACCCGCAAATACTCTTGGAAGGAGAGGGGGTTGGCGACCGGTATCTCCCCTTGCTTCGATTGCCGGAACCTGCATCACATTATCATCATTATTATCAGCAGTTTTACTATTTTTTGTTGTTGTTTTTATTCACACCAATTTTTTTGAAAAATACAAAAATCTGCAAGGAAAAGCTTTGTTATTCGACGAAAAAAGTCAAAGGTACAAGAGCTCAGAGACTACGACCTGCTGGCCCATCAAAAATAAGGAATCGCAATATATATGAGATTATAATCAGTTTATGAACTCATAGACTATGACCTGCTAGCCAATCAAAACTAAGGAATCGCAATGAACAGTGAATACTCCACGATATGATGCAGTAGAGTCAAGGGCGGTTTTTAAGGCAGAGGATAGGACAAAAATATTCCAAAAACCCTCACTTTCTTACCTCGTCATTTTGTGTTTTCTTTCACCAGCTCCGAGCGCTCCACCTGAAAATGTGATGTCCTACAACCTCAGTGCAACTTCTATTTACGTCACGTGGTCTCCGGTTCAAGAAGAGTTCTTGAATGGAATCCTTCGTACTTACCAAGTGTTCTATCGAAATTCGTCAGATACAATATCGTCCCCGATGGAAATATTCTTAACAGTTTCATCGCCATCAGTAAACATTTCAGATTTAGATAAATTCACGGTGTATTCTGTGTGGGTGAAGGCGGTTACCACAGCAGCCGGTCCCAGCTCTATCGTTGTCAACGTTACCACTGGCGAGGACGGTAAGATTTTCTTCTTTCATTTGCACGCTTGAAACTTCCACCTTAATTTGAGTTGTAAAGTAGCTATAGTTGGGAAGCTTGAAATATTTATGGTAGATTTCTTGGTTGAGTCGTGTGTAATCCGTCTAAATTTTCCGCCGCGCTGACGATCTTCTTTCTTTATGTTTTTGTCTTCCCAATTATTTTTTTCTACCTTACCAAAGTAAACGTGTGACTTTTTAGTTGCTGAAAGTAATCCTGCTCTTCGCTTACTTTATTCTTCCTTCAATTTCATTTAGTTCCCAGCTTACCTCCCTCCATTTTATCCGCGTTCCACCTGAGCTCCACTGTTATCCGTGTTGTTTGGGATCCTATACCTACCGAACATATCAACGGCTTGTTGTTGGGTTATCACGTGACTGCTCAAAAAGTTGGCAGAGTAAAGAGAAGTGTTACCATCGAGACATTGAATGCAACATCCACGTCAGTTGACTTAACAGGACTTAGCAAATTTTCTGAGTACAAAATATTGATCAGCGGATTCACTAGTAAGGGTGACGGGATTGAAGCAGAGATCACAAGCTGGACTGACGAAGACAGTAAGTGCTCATGGGTCCGTTATTGACTTTCTACTTATATACTTCGTGAACACGACATAATTTAATTTTTTCGTAAGAAGCAGAAATCCAGATGGCATTGAGGACTTACCAGTTGTCTAATAATAATTTTTCTTAGCCTACTTGGTGATCGATTGAGGGAGAATGACTTATAAAGTGACCCATCGACTTGTTAGCTGATTGTTTATCTGACCAATTGAATGTCTAAGTAACTGGAGAGACTTAAACTACCCCCTTTTAGTCACTGATTGACTGGCTAGTTTACTGTCTGAGATTTTGGACACTACATAATGTTTTCTCTTTTTCTGGTAATCAGCTCCAGACAGCCCACCAACAAATCTTTCTGTACGGAACAACGGAAGCTTGACTTTGGATGTCTACTGGAATCCAGTTACCCAAGAGGACCGCAATGGAATAATTCTTGGCTACAGTGTTTTGTTATTCGACGCCTTGGGCGTATTTTTAAGAAACGCGACGGTTATGAATTCCACCCAGTTATATTACCAGTTCGAGGACCTTGAGGCATGGACCAACTACTCAGTGAAAGTGAACGCGTTCACATCTAAGGGGGCTGGGCCAGTTAGCTCCAGCATTTTTGTACAGACAGGCGAGGACGGTATGTTGCAGTACCACCATATTATCAACCAATATTACGTCAGACGAGGCCAGTCAATATTTTTGACCAATCATAACACAATGAACCGTGAATTTATTGTCAGGGTGCACTGCATGACTCCGATGACGAGTTCCACTTGACCGTTTATGTAAACGTGAATATTTCTTTTTTTCAGTTCCTCTCGTCGCTCCAACTAACATAACTGGGCATAACACAAGCTCTACGTCTATCTTCGTTGCCTGGCAACCAGTTTCCCCAGAAACAAAGAACCTCCGGGGCATTCACCGTGGATACAGAATCTACTATATGCCACGTAAAACTTCCCGTCCGTCAGTGTTGAGTAACACAGCTGTCGATGTCCATACCTCGGAAGCGGAACTAGTAAATCTCTACAAATATACCCTATACGACATATATTTGACAGTGCGAACGAGATGGGACGGACCAAAAAGTGAAACAGTCACTATTTCTACCGATGAAGGAAGTAAGCTGTATGGTTTTTACATTTTTATTTTTACAGCCTAAATTATGATGGCCTAGGGCTTAACTAGCCAAATTGTAAGGCCCCGACCCAGCTCTCCCTGTTTCGTATTTAAACAAGGCACTCGCCTCCGTCCTCCTTTTGAGAAAACGAGACTAAAACATGTTTATTAACAATTTCCACGTCTTACATATCAATGGGGAAACATTTTCAATTTTACTGAAAACGGTATAGTTTCTACCCCGAATTAAAAAAAAACCTTCTCAAAGGTTCTCAGTTTACCATAACCATATAAGCAACATCTGTGCAGTTGCCTTTGTACTCATCGTTTTTACTGTTTCTGCTTTAATTTATCCTTTTTAATCCTAATCAATTCTAGTTCCAGACAGCCCCCCCACAAATGTCTCTGCACACAGTAACATGAGCACAGTTGTGGACGTTTTCTGGAACCCAGTAATTCAAGAGGATCAGAATGGCATCATTCTTGGCTACCAGGTCATCTTGTTCAATACTTGGGATGAATTCTTACAAAATGTAACTATCATGAATTCCAACCAGTTATATTACCAGTTCAAGGACCTAGAACCGTGGGTCAACCGCTCGGTCAAAGTGAGCGCGTTCACATCAAAGGGGACTGGGCCATATAGTCCCGGGGTTATCACAACGTTTAACGAAGATGGTAGGTTACTTTTCGATTCCACTTCTTGTCACTACTTCTAACAGCATCCGCCAATAATCTTCGGGCAAACAACCATCATTCACTTAGCCTCACCCTCGTGTTGCATTACTAGACCTTAAACTACTGTCTAATTTTCTCCTATCCAGTCCCCCTCGTTGCTCCTGCAAATGTTACTGGACACAACACAAGTTCTACCTCTATCCTCGTCACTTGGACACCAATATCTCCCAAGGACAAAAACATTCGAGGCATTCACCGAGGCTACAGTATCTACTATGTACCACGTAACACTTCACGATCGTCATTGGCAAAGAGTGCTGCGGTCGATGTTAATGCCACGCATGTATATCTGTCAAATCTCTACAAGTATACTTGGTACGACATATATGCGACAGTGCGAACGCGATGGGACGGACCAGAGAGTGAGACAATCACTGTTTCTACTGATGAAGGGGGTAAGTTGTGTCCTGCATTATTTGTTAATCATCCTACGGTCTGTTCCAATGGGTGAAGGAGACGAAGAGGCCCAAGATCCCTTTATCACTCCATCAGTTCCACGTCGAACCTCTTAGGATAAAATTTTTTTCTTCTTCGTCTTATCTCGCAACGGAAAAGAATTTGAACGGGCTAAACTAAGATTTTATTCTTGTGAACGGATCACCCTTAACCCTTTGAGTCCCACTAGTGACCTAAACAGAATTTCTCCTTACACTATCAGTACGATATCAAGCTGACAAGTAATGAGAATAAAGAGAAACATCAAATAGGGGATTATTGGTTGATATAGTGTTATGGTTGACAATCGCTTCATAAAATGAAGACGACGAATATCACCAGGTTTTTGGATAAGCTAACAGGGCTTTCAATAGTTTTTTATTGCATTTTCTTCATTTTTTTCAGTACCAGACCTCCCTCCGGCAGACGTAACGGCCAAGCTACTGGACAAGACGGAAATCAGAGTACGCTGGGGTCTAGTCCCTTTGGGTTATCGTTGTGGTATAATAACAGGATATAGGATCTCTTACAACTCCAGTAACTCAAATACCAGTTTTATTGACGTCCTAAGTGACGCTTCAGACGTCATTTTAACGTCACTTACAAAATTTACCTTCTATTACGTGTACGTTCAAGCTCACACCATAAAAGGAAATGGCCCGGCTCATTATCTGAAGGTTGCCACTTACATGGGAGGTAGGGAAATGACGTCACTTAATAAGGCTTTCTTGAAAGTCGAAATGAATGAAAACTTCATACAGCTTGTCCTTTAAGCATGGTATAGAAAAGCAAAAAAGCAGTCATATGGGAATGTTGATCTATTATCTTCCTGTCTCCCTTATTTAATGAGTTTCTCAAAATCAAAACCAAAGTTATTTCAACAACCAGTCAGAAGTAAAGAAAGTAACTCACGCGGCTGATGAAGCCTGACAGTAGGCTCGTGCTAATCGCATCAAGCGAGAGAAAACGATGGTGAAGTTGACTTATAAGTTACGATTGGTGATTGGTTCAAAGGATAGGGTTAGTTTTATTTTAGACTAATCGCAAAGCTTATCTCAACCGGTTGAAAATTTGCTCGATTTCCAATGCATCATTATGAGCAAATATCACAGCAAGAATTGACAAAGTCGAAACAAAAATCTTCTATTTTCGCACTCGGTAGGTTAGGATATTTTGGAGATAATTTTCGTCTTTTTCATATTGTTTTCAAGTTCCTAATCTGGGCCCACCAGGACTTACAGCAGACAATTGGAACACAACTCACTCAGTCACAATCAGATGGCAGCCATTTCCTCTATCAGATGACTACGGAGATCTTGCTGGGTTTCGAGTTCGGTATCAATTGGCGAAACTCGGAGACGTATCTGTCTCACAAAGTTCTCGGAAGGAGCTGGTAACTGGTCCGGGAACCAATCAGGTTTTACTGGAAAATCTGGAACTGTATGGGACTTACAGTGTTTGGGTGTCTGCTTTTACTCTCGATGGTCACGGACCCGCAAGTTTTACTTATGCAGGTTAGATCTTGAAAAAATCTTGCGTGAAAATTTGTTAGCTTTTTTTCTCCCTTTTAACCCTAAGCCGCGTTCGTTACTATCCCAAGGGGAGTCGTAATGCCTTCAGCTGTAGGGATCTCACAAACAATTAAACGCCAAAAGCCTAATGAGCATCCTTTTACTCGAATTCTTATGGATACATGTGAAAGAACTAATGGTTCTTGCCGAGTATCCATTCATTTAGTGTTGCTCAGATGTTATGAGTTGCATTTTCAAAGCACACTCTTTGATCCTTGTTTTAATCGTTATATAAATGATTTTATTAATCGCTTATTCCGGTGAACACTTTCGAGAAGCCATCGGCGGGACTCAGAGTTTCATAAAAAACTTGCAACACAATTTAATTTCTTTCTTTCTTATGCCCATAGAAACATGTCGCTGCAATAAGCACCTCACAACAAACTGGCGCCAACTGCCACCCTACGTCAGTGAAAAAAATGCGGACCTACCCCTTCCTGATGGAATTCTGGCTTCTGTCCTAAGTAAGATGGCAGTTACGTGTTGTCAAACCTGCCAAAGTCACGGTGAGTCATTCCTAGAATTCAGTCTTGATGGCGACAAGAGGAACGCTGAGAAACCCAGTGATGCAGCTTTGAAGGAAGCGATTTCAGAAAAAACTGAGTTTCATTTTCCTATCCCGGGATCCATGGATCAAGAGAAGTTCGGCGCGGAGCATGGGTACTGGCCGTTGGTCCAGACACCGGGCGTTGCTTATATCGTAAACACTGGTGACAGTTATACGCCATCAGATGCACTAAATGATACTTTACTTGACTGCTGGGCTGCTTTGCTTGTGGTTTTTGTGACTTCTCTGCTGGCAGGACTTATAATATGGATTTTGGTGAGTTGTTTTTACATTTTTTAGGGGACGAGTTCTACTTGCTTGTATTGCGCGAGAGCCTGGCTCAAAATATGTTGATGATAGTCAATGCATTAAGACTCCATCACACCGAGTTTAAGTGGGGGAGTGGGGAGGGGGAGAGGGAAGGGGAAAGGGGATGTTCTTTCAGCCCCTGTCTCCACTCATTGTATTGGGTCAATAATAGAACTGTGGCTCAGTCAGAGATTTGGCTGGTTACGTAAAGGGTTATGGGTAGGCTGGTCATACTTGTTTCCAATGTTTTGTATTGCTTTCGCTTGCGCGCTTCGTTCGCAGACACTCCACAACAATGTACGTATACCATTGTTACTGCTCGTAACCTCACAGGCAAACTAGATTGAAACAATTCTATCCGGAAAAAGATTGTTAGCAGTGGTAAGATTGATCAGTTTAAGTTTGGCATCAACCTAAATGAGCCAGTATTTGCAAAATAATTTGGGGACAGGAAATTTAACGCCTAACATGTTCTTTACAGGAAAGCGTGGAAAATCGAGAACAGTTTCCACGATCTATAACGCGTGGGCCTGGTGAGGGCTTTTGGTGGGCATTTGTTACCATGACAACAGTTGGGTTAGTACTTTCTTATGGTCAATTGCACAATTTTGATAAACATTTGCTTTTTCTTAAATATTTGTGTGATAGGTTCGATCAGATTCGCTTGTAGATTTGTCTATGAACGGGTGCAAAATAACTTCCAAGCTCATGCATGGAGTACGAGCACGTGGTCTGGCTAATATTCAATAACCAAACAGCCAATAGGCTTCGCAGATTTTTAGTATTTCATGGTAATTTAAATTATTTCTTCGCAGCTATGGCGATAAGTACGCGGTCTCTCCTGTAGCCAGAATATTTACCGTTCTTTGGATGTTAGTTGGCCTGGTTACTCAGAGTCTCTTCGTTGCCACAGTAACAACGTCGCTGGTTTCCAAGTCTCTAGATACTGACTATAAACTCTACGGAAACAAGGTAGCAGAGCACTGAAATTAAAATAATTGTCTTCTATGAGGGCCACTGACAGTTTTTCTCTGAGATATACAAAGATACCAGAGTTGCATGTGGTGCAATTTTCACCTGAATGCCAAAAGTAATCGATCCGAGATTGTTCTAGCTTCCATTTCCTCAGTCTGTGATTGGTCCAGAAAACCCCGCCAATCCCTCAACCAATTAGATGCAAAACTTGACTCAATTGTGCCTTATTTTCCTTTCTTCTTTTTTCTGATTAGCCGTCGCGATAACTTTGTAACTTTTTGTGCGGCACTCAATGCAAGAGCACTAATTTTAGCAATAAAATTTCCGGGTCATACCTTAAATCCTTGTTATCTTACTTTCGAACTTGCTAATTTCTTTTGTCTCTAAAGGTTGCTGCAATTCAAGACTCCTTTGAATATCGCTTTGGGTTGAGACGGAACGCTCAGGTTAATTCTGGTAAGTACAACAATCCAGAACGAAAAGGAGGCAAACACGAGGACGAAGATGTATTTGTTAGAAATGGTTAGTGCGTGCTCTGTACATCGGCTCGATTGGTCTGGTTTCGAGTGTCGGCCATGGATATCATGTCATGTTCTTGGGGTATAACACTTCACTCTCTCAGAGCCCTTTCCACCCAAGATTGAATCCAGGTTTTTTAAGGGTTACCGGGAAACTGTCAGGGAAGACCGATGTAAAGCTAAAGGGGGGGGGGACAACCTGTGATAAAAAAAGAACATCCTTCTTAGAAAGGGGGGTAATGCTCTTCATCGCTTTTCTCCCACAGTGCCCCTCTCCACTCAAGATCCAACCCATGAGTATGAAGGATACGAGAAATTTGTTGTGGAAACTGAAAGAACTATCGTGGGGGCAACCCGTGATACAAATTTTCCCGTTGGGATGAGAGTACAAATCCTCTCAGTCTCAGATAACCAGTTTACTTTTCTTTCTCATCTAGATAACCAGTACACGACTTATGAAGAGATTGTCGAGGCGTTGTTAGACGGTGAAGTGACAGGAGCCTTAATTGATGCATACGTTCTTGGTAGCAGAAAGGATTTGTTTGAAAATCCCTCTCTTCGAGTCATTAAAGTCTTTGACTATTCCTCAGCGTACGGACTGGTGCTTAGCGGTGAAGCTAAAAAGCTCAGAACGTGCTTTGGAAAATTTGCACAAAGCCACAAGAAAGAAATTTTTGAAACTATAGAGAGTCACGTCGAGTCTGTGGAGGTTAGAAGCCTACATTACCCACATATGATATGTGGATAATCTTTTGTTGGCCTTCTGAAGGCTTTCAGCGAGTACAGATGAGCGCCGGTAAAAGCGAGCGAGTAGTCTCTCGCTCGGCTTAAAACCCGATTACCAGGAGCAGGTTAATTTTCCGTGTTTTTGAAGAAGTCAAATGCGGAGCGATTTAAAATGGACGATTAAGCGCCAACTAGCAGTAGACCGACTGGTATTAATTACTTATGGGGGGGGGTGAATGTTCTCATGATTCCTCCCTCATTGGTAGTTAGTTGGCAATCAAAATAGCCTCCACTTTACACTCTGTTCGCGACGACTGATTCCCTCCCTGTTTTCCCTGAAAACCGTGTCAAAAATCACTCACACACCCCCCCCTTCGTTCCCCTTAAAAACCATGTCAAAAATCGCTCACCACCACCCCTGTTCCCCCTGAAAACCACCTCAAAAATCACCCACACCCCCCCCTCCGTTCCCCTTGAGAACCAAGTCAAAAATCACCCACCCCCTCCCGGCGACAAATAATGAATGGTATCCAAAGGTTATGTATTTAATAATAGCCTCTTAGCAACCTTCTCATATCTTACTTGTGTTTGTGGCATTATTGATCATTTTGATTGAAAGTTATCAATTGCTTTCTCCAGGAATCCTCGATACCACTTGCAGTGGAAAGAACTACTGGGTTGTTTGATATCGAGGGTTCAATGTTCCAAGCAGCTCTTATTTTATCGTCTGCTTTGTTGCTGGTGTTTGTTATAGCAGGACTTTTGTGGGAGTTGGTAAAGAGATTGAAAATTCGACGAATGGTTGCAACTGATGGTGAGTAAAACGAAAAAAGAAGGGCTTTCTCATTCTGATTTTCGAAATGAAATTGTTTTGGCTTTCAAAACTTAAATTGGCCACCGTAAAGAGTAAAAAAGCTGACGTTTCGACCGTTAGCCCTTCGTCAGAGCGATTGGAAAAATTGCTCCAAATATTTGGCCAATAAAATACAATTTTGGTGCCAGTCGTGACTAGTTCACGTGATTTCTTTCGTAGGTCATATGGAGTTGGTCAAGTGATTGTTTTGATTGGTTCATAGGATTGATATTGTTATACACCGGGTCAAAACAAAGCACGTATGACAAACTTTATTAAGCCAATTGTAAAGAAGCTTATATATTAACTGATACTGTAGCCAGTCAGACTCACAATTGAAGCTATTAAACATTCCATGCTCAGAATAAATTTTTTGGAAAATTTATTCAGCTCACCATTGATCATATCATTGTTTTATCCATTTAGGAGATCGTTTGAAGCTATTGACACAGAATACAAAAAGCGAAATGGGTGGCACTGTGAAAGATTTTATAACGGGAATAGAAGCTTTAACAGAAGAACTGAAATCTAAACACTCGAAACAGAGAAGAAATCTTGTAAAGACACTGAAGTCAAAGCAACAGAAGGGCGTATCTTATAATCTTAACGGGCGTTTTACAGAAGAATCTACGAGTTAACTAAAAATAAGTTGTGGCAGAAATAGAGCGCGTCATTCTCTTTGAAGTCATGCAGCCCTGAGTGAACACTCACAAAACGTTGAACATCAGAAATAAATAAATAAGTTAGTAATTAAATAGATAGATAGATGGATAGATGAAACAGCCGTAAACGTGCGTAAATACCAAAATACACTTTCCATAATTTTCCTCTATCTTCTCCGCCCTGTTCCTCCAAATACCACGGTTATCATTTTTAAAATAAATATTAACATCATATTTGCATCATATCGTGTCTCTTGGTATCAATTAAGAGCTTACCACTCTTGTTCACGATAGTAAAATGTTTGTTTCACGATGCAGTCTTGCAATTAACACTTCGGAAATTATAAAACTGTTGGTCGATCCTCGACTTCACGTCTGAGAGAAATTTTACTTCCTTAGATCACAACTGATCTTAGAGGATATCCTCTTCAGTTCGTTCCCTTTGTTACAAGCAAACGTGACTAAAAACCCATTGAACAAGCTCACGTAAGACGGCAGTTTTACAAGAATCTTAGTTACCTTAGCTTTGAAATCGAAACAGTAGCCCATTTCTCTCATCGATACTATACACGCTTTAATCTGTATCGTCAGGAAAATTCAGAGATTGTGTACCACTTGGAAAAATTATAGTTTATTGAAGTTAAGAAGAATAAGTCAAGTAACAATTTCTACGCCTCTTCGACGCTCCCTCAAACCCAGTCTTTGCTCTGTTGAATTGTGATCGCGCGGAAACTGGATACCGTTGTCTGGGGAGACCTGGCATTAGTCGATTTCTTTCGAAATATTTATAGCTCCTGCATACGCGATGAAGTTCTACTGCACGGATTGCTTGCTCAAGTAAGTGATATTCGCCTTGAAAATTTATTGAAAGCTTTCGCGATGGGAATGAATAACCTTTGTCGTTATTTTGGCATTTTTAGATTTAACTGGAATCAAGTAACAAGCGCTTTTTGGACACGATATCCAAACCCGTTCAGTCGACACGTGCTGTCTGAGGACATCGTAAGCAGGTGGATATCTCTTCGTATTTTCCGTCAGCTTATTGTTACTTTTTGTTACACGTGAAGGATATCTTATTTCTGGAATCATTTATGTTTTTGTTCTGGTTAAATCTTGGCACTTTTTAGTAGTAGAAACAGCATCGTGACCTACCACATGCAGCCTTGTGATCTAGTACATTGGTGACGTCAATTAACATTCAACGCGTTTAGATTACCCTGCCTAATTTGTTTTTTTTCGGCTCATCCTCGGGTAACTCAATAGATGAGCATATGTTTTACTTTCCCATGATACAGTCTTTTGCAGTATTCTTGAAACAATCGGCTTTAAATGCGTGTCTTTGCTAAGGATCGAGTTGGTCAAAATTGTACTTTTTTTCTCCTCGATATTGGTACTGTAATCTTTTTTGTCATTCAAACCTGAGCTTACAGGTACAATGCTTGTTGCTGTTTGTTTCTCAGGGTATCAATATTTTTTCACTTTTCTTGAACACGATAGTTGTGGAAAAATGATATGTTCTTACACCTTTTTATATGAGGCAAATCATTGCAGAGTTTTCTAATTGGAAACCATTTTGTTTCTGTCAACTCACAAGAAACCAAGTTGAATGGGGATTATTGAATTATAAATTTTACAATACAACTGGCATTACTGTATATTTTGCATTTTGCAAACATTCAGATTTGATGCCCTTAACAAGGAACAGGCCAGGAGTTTTATAATGTTGTTCATCAGGCTTCAAAGTCACAGAATTCAAGTTTGGGTCATGGAAAGGCATGGGAAATATTAAATAAAAACTAGTTCAATTTTTAAGACAAAAAGCAAATAGATTGTCTAAAAATATTATTTTTTAATTTTATTATAGCATTTTGAGTTGTAAAGCATGAAGAAATGCATTAAAGGTTTTTCAAGGCTCAAAATGAGAGCATGAGCTGAATATTTACAAATTTAACCCTTTACACCCTAACATCAGTATGCATATTCTCCATACTTTCTCTATACATTTCTTAAGATTCTGAAAAGGAGAATTTGTGTAACAATCAAGAGCTTCTTAAGCTGTTGATCATTTCCCTTATTCTCATGACCTTAATGCTTTATTTAGGGATGATATTGTAAGGAGAAATAAGATGCCAGTCACTTTAAAGGGTTAAGTAAAGTAGAGTAAAATCTGAAATCAATAGTCCTTCCTTTCTGACTATTTTCTGAAGTTATTTTTGTGGTTATTTGTTATTTTCAGATCAGTAGAAGGAAACAAGCTAGTTACTAAAAAACTAATCACAAAGACAAACAGTCTACCAAGATGGGCAGAGAGAGTAAGAAACATTTTTTACTTCACTTTGGTGACAAAATTTTCAATTATGGGTTATGCAATAACTCAAGATATATGAACAGCAAAAAACATAGTTCAGTATTGTTCATAACTGCAAATACACACTTTAGATGCAATCCTTGCAGTTTTGAATAATACTAAACTTTTTGAAATAAGGCCTGAAGAAAAATTCAAGCCTGTGCAGGATTTGAACCCATGACCTCTGTGATACTGGTGCAGTGCTCTACCAACTGAGCTAACAAGCCAAATGGGAGCTGGTCATTATGTTGGATCCAAATAAACCTTTCACATGGCGAATAATGACTGGAAATATGAAAATCATGTATGTGCTTATTTTAACCACTAGTTCAGTAGTTTTCATAACTGTGAGGATTGCTTCTATATTCTATATTCCATTCTATATTATATAAATCTAATTAATTATTTTCTTTATTCTCATTACTTGTCTGCTTGATATCATATTTACAGTGTAAGGAGAAATTCTGTTCAGGTCATCAGTGGGACTTAAAGGGTTAAATATCAGCTAGACTCTGCAATTGATAATAACTCTAAGTTGTGAGACAAATGATTAAACATTTACTTATTGGTTCAGTGTTATCATAACGATGATGGAACTAGATTAAGATACACCAATTATGCTCATTTTTAAAAATTGCTTTGCAAGCAGAGTTTGAATGGAATCAATCTTCATCATTTTTTCCCTTGCTTTGCTTTTTAGTTTGTAAATTCCAGGGTAGCATGTATTGTGGAGGAATCTGTTGTTGACCCAGGGGCCAAAACTCTCACAACATATACAAGAAATATCACATTTACAAGACTTATGGTGGTAGAAGAAAAGTGTGTTTATTCAGTACATCCCAACAACAAAGAATGGTGAGAATCAAATGATAATGCTTTTATTCTGTTCTAATTGTTAGTGGTCTGGGTAAGGGGAATTATTATATATGTCCTGAAGAGAACTGATGTAAGAGCAGTAACTTATGTTGCCATAACAGGAGGGAAAATCAAAAACCCTTTCACTCCCATGATCTCAGTACTAATTCTCCTTACTATCTGTCATAGAAAGTTGTTTGTTAGTTTGAAGAATTTGGTATTGGATCAACTAACAATCCCCTAATTTATTGGGGGATTGTCTTTATTCTCATCACTTGTCTGCTTAATATTATATTGATATTGTAAGGAGAAATTCTGTCTTGGTCACCCACAGGAGTTAAAGGTTGACAGAGAACTAACTACAGGAGTGTAAATTTTCAATTCAATAATACGCTGGCTTTGATACTAAAAAAAATTGAAATTCTAATTAATGAGTTAAGATTAGTATTTAAAGTTTTAACCTTTTTTTTTTATTAAGGACAATGTGCAAGAAAGAATCTTGGATATCGTGTGGTATTTTTGGTTTTGCAAGACCAGTTGAAAGATTTGGAGTTGAAAGATATAAATCAAATTCATCTAAGGTATGTTGTTTGATTACCACTCCTGTTACAGTTAACTGTATTTCTTGTCACAAAAAAGATAAACACGTTAACTTAAGTGTATTGGATGGAACATAACAGGGTTTATCATGTGACACTTATAGTACATGGTAAAGAAAAAGCTCTAGGGCCTATGAGATGAGCTGTAGGGCTGATGGCTCTTGTTCATGAGGCACTGACCTCTCTGCACTCAGTCCATATGTCATGATCATGAGCCAAATATTTTCCTGCCCAGCCCCTCCCACTCAGTCAATAAGTTTGTACTATTATACAGCATTGCAAAAAACACTTTTTTATGAATTTTTTTTATTACTTTTTTTATTAGGCTCTAAAAGGGCTGAATCATGTGCTGGAGAAGCTGTATATTCCTGAAAGACCTTCAAGGCCACTCTCAATCCCTGTGCCACAGATGAGTTGATATGTCAGGTCATCCTTCCTTCAAATTATGATATTTTGAATCCAAAATGTAGGAACAGGAAGTTTATACTTTGTAAATTTATAACTTGTCATACAGATGGGGCTGCTTCATTTCTTTACTGATGCAGCATAAACTAGACACTGCCTACAAGGGGCATGAAATTTTTATTTCTGCTGCAATGAGTGTTTTTTTTCACTTTTTTGTGAAGATCAGCTCGGAAAAAATATATGTATATATAATTATTATATAAAAAAGCATTCAAATAAAAACAAAAACAGGCAATATGGAGAACAGCAAGTTGCTGTGAGAATTTTGGAAGCGATTGCCTCCACACTCACTTGTTTGTCTTGGTTAATATTGGTTCATTTTATGAAGGGATTGTCATCATAGAGGAAAGCAATAAGGTGGATAGGTAATGTGCAGACTATCTTCTCTCCACGCAACAACCATTCAATCCCCATGCCATGTAGAAAACAATTTGGCAACTAAAATTCCATATTGGGGTGTCATTTTTTTAGATTTTAGGTTGACAAATGGTGACTTTGGAAAGAAGTGAACTTTGGGCCCTTGTTGAAAATGTGAAAAAGCTGTACCATGCTTCCCTATTAACTCAGAATTTATTCACCTGATTTTAATGATTTTACTACAATGCTTCAGGTAACTCCCACTCACAACTCTCAGCTCATTCAAAGGAAACACACACTCAATGTCCCATTATAAGGATGTGGAACGGTGCCATATATGGGGCGATAAAATATATGTGGCATACATGTTTGTTTGGTTATGTATAAAATAAACAAAATCACTTATAAATGTCAATCAAATTAAAAATAATTAATGCATCATACAGTGTCCAACACCCTTAATGACAAATGTTGTTTCAAACATTTTAATGTAGACTTGAATTTGAGTTCCTTTTTTTTCTTTTTTATTATCGGAGGATCGTACAGGGAAAACCAGTTTACATGATGTGTTAATTAAACTATGGGGAATTTGTACAAGTTAAACTCCAGGGTAATAGAGTGTCAAGGAAGGCAATGATTTCCATATTTCTCAGAAACTTGGTTTGAAATATTTTCATTTTTTGTCTATGTTTCTGTGATAATTTAAGTGCCAAAACATTGACATCCTCAATCATAATGTAATTAGAAAACTGGTTTTTGAACAATCTACAATTTATGGGTTCAAAGGTGGCAGGTAGTGAATTCATGTTTTTTGGATATTTCACCCTTGAAGAGTTCAATAAATAATTTATTACTTCTTTTCATTAAATGACAATTATTTCTTTATGGTAACTATCAAAATCATTGTCATTGGATACTGTCAAAGGATGACAAGAGTTAAAATGGAAAAAAGATGAAGACGCTATTTTGGTGTTGTCTTCAAAAATTTAACAGTTTGAGAAATTTGAAATAAAATTGTTGAAGAAGAATTGTGTCACATTTGTCTATAATTTTTTATATTTTAAATTTTGGACTTTTGAAATTTTCCTTTGTAGCCTGCTTAACCCTTGAATTCCCAGAAGTGATTAACATGTAACTTCTCCCTATAATGTCCATATATTATTCAGCAATCAGATAATGAGAATACTCTAACTTATCAGGCAGAAGTTGTTATCTTGATCTAACACCAAATTCTTGTAACTAAGTGGCAAGAAAATGTGTAACAGCTAGAGGAGAGAATTAACAATCAGATCTAGGTAGTAAACAGGTTAGTATACAGCAGGAAAAATGACCAAAGATTAGTTCTTTCCTTTCCTTGTACAAAAATTTTCAGATAATACAAAAACATTGAGGCATCTCATAGCTCTTGTCAGAATAACAGCATCTAACAAACATTAACGTCTTTAATGGCCCTGAGGCCACTTTTGTCTCGCAAATTAACCTCAGTGGCACAACAGTTTGTTGAAAGTAATGTCTGCCCCTCATGAGCCTCTTATTTGAGGGCTGACATCTACTATCAAGGGAAGTAATGTCATTTCATCTTCCTTTGCTGCCTTTTTCTTATGTGGAATTTTCTCTCAAGCCAATACAATATGTCACTTGAGCCTTTGCTGCTGAGCATTGCTACCTTTGTTATGTTGCAGAATACTGCCTTCTGTCCAAAGTTAATTTCTAGCTGGTAGTTTAGTGTATCAGTTAAAAAGCTTTTGGGAACAGGTACCCAGTGGTGTATAGGGATTCAGTGTCAGATCCAGAGAAGGGGCTGAGAAATCTGCCCTCCCCTCCCTCCCCTAACCCAACCCCATCAGCTCTTACTTATCTGAATCAAAATTCTCTTAACAGTAGAATTACATACTGCCGCTGGACTTTCAACATATTTTAGCTCGTTAAGGCTCTAGATTTATTGATTTATAAAAAATTCATTCTACAAAGGGATTCGTGCGAACTGTTACGTTACGTAACATAAAGATTAAGCAATATTTAACTAGTAGAAGTTTTCATATCCCCTACTTTGAAATTCCGGAAATGATCGAATGCAATTATGGTCAAATCAAACAATAAAAGAATGACAGCAGCAGTCAGACACAGGATGGCGGCTTATTTCAAGCTCTACCGCCAGAGATGCGTTACAGCACAGCGATTGGGTGATCAGTGGTTCCACCCTGTTGATTGCGAGGCAAAACAAACGTTCTGTTGGGATTGTGTCTGGGGGTATTTCACTGGAGGAATTGATCTTTGTAGTAGTTAGTTTATGCAAAGTGAGGATATTGCCATAAATTCTTACAAAGTTATGTTATCAAACGGATTTCCTTTGGAGGAAGTTGCAACTTCACGACCTATGGTGATATGAAATTGTGGGTTGCGTGTTACGTCCAGGCGACCACACAGAAATAACGAGTTCTACTTACAACATGGCTCCATATAACTCGTCAATGAAAGTTTTTTGAACCTGATGTAGTTAACACTCCAAAGAGAGGTCAGTGACAATTAGTTATGGGTTCTGGAAGTTCTATTACGAAAAAAGTGATCGTAGACGACGAATTTAGTGAAGGAGATTCCATGGTGACCAAGAATATTCCCATCGAATGTCCGCCTGGACGAAAAACTACATCACTTAAACCAAGTGGTTCGATTGGCAAGAAAAAGAGTCGGAGAAGCACAAAGGCAAAACCAGTAATAAAAAGCTTTAGTCTCCGCTCTGCTTTTTCTGTGGAGCTAGAAAGAGAAGCTGATGAACTCCGTAAAGAACTTGAAATTTACCGACAGAATAAAGCAACAGAAATTGCCGAACTTGAAGTTCGGAAGGAGAAATTGCATAGCGATAACCAGCGGCTTCGTGGCGAGATTAAAGCTTTACAAGCCACTTGTTTAAAGTTAAAGAACGAAAGGGCTATGGCATTGGAAGGAAGGGATCAAGCGCTTCAGAGAGCAGCAGCATTTGAGAAAGGTAAGACAAAACTCTGTATGTGCTCCAATTCAGATTTGTCTTACTTTACCATCGTGCAGCTGTGTTTACATCCGCTTACGAGCTTGTCAAGGAATCTATGAATTAACTGGTTGAATCGTGATCGAGCACACATACAAAATATTCAAATACTTAGATTTATGTTGGCATTTTGTGTTATAAATAATTGATTTTGTCGTAGTTACTGTGAGCGAGACAAGGGACAAACATGCCCAAGATTAAGGTCTGCAGTTCAAGTTACTAATTGTGAATCGCGACAATTTCTTTGTCCTTGATCGTTGACCATCACTTGGCTAACCAAGAACTTGAAACTTTCTATTGATAGTTAATTTGATTACTCAAGCATTTTCCACAACATTTCCGTTCATGATAATGTCCCTGATTTTTTTTTAATGCTTGTGGCGGATATTGAGGAAGTTAAGTAATATAATTACTCTCAGGTTTTCCTTTGGGTTTGCGATCATTACTCTGTGTTTGGTAAATTCAATGTTGCTTGACCTAAGAATACAGATCATTTCAGGGGTAGCCATGTGCAAAATCTAGAAATGCGTACAATCTATGCTTGCTTCCATGGGGAAAATGTCCGTCTAAAGGTAAGCAGCAGTGCCCATATCAGGCAGCAGTATTGGATTTTTATCTTGTGGGAATGTACATATCAGACCACAGAAGTTTATAAACTTTGTCAGCAGACCTTCTATCAGTTTCTGATTTTGTATTTCCACAATTTATTGGAACAAAAAACAAAAAATGACAAACTGGCCAGAATCAGCTGCAGTTTTGACAGTAGGTTTTCTAGAGAATTATTTGAGGAAAAATGTTTTTAAGGACATGTTGCACTGCAATCTTAACACAAACTGTTTTTTTTTTCTTTTTTGACCGGGATGCTTGCATTGTAACTTTACATAACCCACACTCTTACACTTTTTGTGCTTCTTGTAGTTAATTTGCTTTAATCACACCTTATTTCCTACACTCAGTTCCTGAAGTTTTTAGATCTTCAAGATCCAGCTTCCCCTTTTATTATCTAACTGCACAAAGTAACATACAAATAACCTGCAAATGAAGTACAGATATCTTGTGATATTGAGTGGTTATTTGGACACTTGGTTATTTTGTGCTGTAAAAAAACATGTTTAATCAGTTAGCTGTGCACACTAGGCTTCTTGCTTTGCTTTTCCTACCCTTTGAGAAATTAGTTGAAAGACTTAGCAGAAAAAAAAAGCAATCAGATAATAAATAACTTATTAGATATTTTTGTGTGTAGTATTGCTGAGTATTTTTAAAGTTTTGTTGTATTTTGACGAGCCCATAGGGCTCATCAAAATACAAACAACAAGTGAAAATACTCAATAATACTACTTTCCAAAATGTCTAATAAGTTATACTGATTTATCTCCTCTACAAATGGTTTTAAAGCATAATGTTTTTGGGATACCATTCCAATGTAATAGTAGTTTAAGAACTTTTTCTTTTGTTTGTTAATCTAATTCTTTGATTTAATTAGAAACTTCTAGATACTGTTAGTAGCTTCTTAAGTGCATCAGAAGAATTTCCATTTCTTGTTCAGACATTGTTATTGTCTCTTTTCGTGATCATCTCCCCAGTATGTGGGCAATTTACCTCAGGAAATGTTTTGTGTTTGTGGCTGTGTCTATGAAGATGACAATTATAATAATCTTGTTAAGAAGGCTTACAAATAAAAGTGTTTGAATAGTTGAAATAGCCACAGAAATGTACAGACTTATCAAAATATATCAGCGTTCACAATCTGGTGGATGGCTAATCAATTTAAGGTTCATGTGGTCACGGAATTCAGTCCAAGTAACTTTGATGTGATTCAGAGTTACATTAGATTTGTAATTTGTGACTTATCGCTCAATGCAGGTCTGTGCAGCCTTTTTTAGAGCAACCCAGCCATCAAATGATTCAGGATCTTAAGATCAGCAGCATTTTTGGTGGCATCTCATAATTTGTCATTTTAATTCCATCCAACCATCTCCTTTGGGAGATATTTCTTTGATGACGCAAAAGAAATGATCAAGTCTTTGTGTATATTTCTTATAGGAATATTCTGACAATGGACAGGTCTAAATTACTTTTTGAAATATTTGTCATTAGAAACCATTTCTATGGTACAGAAGAGGTGTATGTTATGTAGATGTCGTGTCTCTGGTTTATGTTGGAATTGAGTACAACTCTAGAGTAGTGGTGGCCTTTAATGATGTTGTCACCATGTTAGTCATGAGGTTAACATCTGAGTGTTAAAATAATAAATTAATAGTGTTAGTTTTATTAGCAAGGCTAGAATAAACATTGTTTACTTAATCCAATAGCAGTGTGCATGATCAAGTTCTGATTTAAGCTCAATTGTGGCTTGAGAGTTGTTTTTTTTTGGCTCCAAAATAGTGTGGGACAATTGTAATTTAATGCAACAGATTTTGACCAAGATTTAAAAATCTGTCAGTGAACATATTGATTACAGTCTGTCAGTTTTTGACATTAATCCTTTGATGGCTTAGAGTGACTGGTATGTACATACAACTTCTCCTTACAATATCACCCCTTAAACACACACTATGTTTGTGATTGTTGAAGAAACTCTCCATGTCAGTGTCTTTGGAGGTGTATGGAGAACAGTACAGAGAATATCAATACTGATGTTAGGTTTTAAAGGGTTACGTTAATGATTGTGACTTGAAGACTTCAAAATAAGAAACATTTCAAGTTGTTAATGTAAACATGCAAATAATTTACCAAACTTGACTGTGTGCCAAAAAGAACAAATTGGGCAGATTTCACAAAAGAGATACTGTGAAATCTTTCTGGTCCAACAAAGCATGAGGTGCTTAGACAATAAATTAAAAGTGAAAAAAAACAATGATCTGTGATTCATAGCCTGGAAGAGAACAGGGAGTGAGATATTTATTAAATATCTTCCATCACACACTGTTGGGTTTGGAAAATGATTGGGTGTAAGGGAGAGCTGACAAAAATGACTGATGCATGTCTAAACCAAAGTTAAAACCAAGCAAAGGTGAAAAAAACAATTTCAGCAGCAAAGACAATTCTAAATTTAAGCATGCAGAATGATAGGTGTAGCCAGCCAGACTGCTTACTGATTGCTGTAAGCATAGAAATGTAGAGATTTGTAAAATGATAACAATGAATGCTTAATATGGTCTTTGTTAGAAAGGGACAAAGTTCAGCGACAGTTCAAGATCTTCAGGGAATCCAGAGAACGTGAAATACAAGATGTACTGCAAGCAAAGCGTGACCTTGAGCTTCAGTTTCAGCAGTGTCTATCAGTGTGGTCACGAGATGAAAACAGGTCAGAAGTTGTAGGCAACATGGCCACAGACTGGTGGGCGTCATCTCTGGAGAGTGACCCAAGCATTGATAGTTTAACACATGTGACATCTTTTCGGGGACCCGAATTCTTTCACAGTCCATTGGAGAAAGAAGGACCTTTTACCAACATCAGTAGAGGTATGATATCAAGGAACCCTTTAACCCCTAAGAGTGACCAGGTTCAAATTTCTTCTAACAGGTTAAGCCCTGAATCAAACATTCTTTAAGGTCAAGAGAAAACAGGGTGTGGCTATCTCTAATGAAAAACAAATTATCCTGTCTTGTCTAGTGTCTTGCAAATGCATTGAACTGAGGACTAATATCACTAAATCTGTAGTATAGTTCACTAACCTTTAACCCTCCAGATCACTTATCTTTCAAGACCAAGACAACTCTTAGTCTTATGGAACTTTTCACCTTGATTAAATTTCAATTCAGATGACTGGAATGCAGTAGTGCCCTCAGTTCTGCAGCTTGCATCGTTAAGTCTCCAAGCTCCAGTCCAGCAGCAAACAATCAAAATGTACATATCTGCACCAAGTGGCATGCAACAGGAAGTTGATCTTTTCAAGCAGGTAAGTGCACTAGGTACATTTGCCAAAAAATGTGCTTCCTTTTTCTGGCCCTTTGACCTCCTAACAGTGACTAGCTAGCATCTTATTCCTCCTTTCAATATCACCCCTGGAACAAACATTAATGTCACAAGGGTAAAGGAAATAAATTAAATCACTAACTAAATAACCCCTTGATTTTAAATAAATTCTCCTTTTCAGCACCTCAGGAAATATATCTTTGCAGAACAGTATGAGGAATGTGCATACTGATGTTAAATTCTCAGGATTCTCCAGTGTGACCTTACAGGTTAAAGCCTATCTTACCATGAATAAGGAGCAAGACATGTAAACAAAAATCAGAGGGGATAGGTTTGCAGACTTATGAATGATTTAATTTTTTTTTACAGTTATATATTCCCAGGCTTGAGTGGCTTTGTGAAAGTCATGGAAAGTTCCTGGCAGTTGTCCATTTTGAAGACACAGAGGAAGACTTAAACGAAGAGGTACTATTTCTGTCATTAATAGTAATAACAATGAGAAATTGTTGGATCAATCTGTGCAAGCTTACCCAAAATTAAACCTAACTCATTATCAGGTGACTGTTATTGGATTAGGGGAGGGGAAGATGTGCTTTTGCTCAGATACTATCTTTGATCATATTATTTTTAATTCAATAACTGCTGTTAGAGCATTAACTACTAACACTGTGAATATAGGTTAACAAAGTCAAGAAATCATCAGTCTGTAACCCAATGAATCCTCTTGGCAGCTTTCTAAATTACTTTGAAAATAATCGAGTACTGTGATATTTAGAGGAAGCTATTGAATGTTTTCTTTTAAAGGATATAACGGCAATGGTCCAGATGAGAAGAAAGCAAATAAAGGAGAGTAAGGTGTTTGTTGCATTTTTGGGTGGAAAATCAAACAGGTTTGTCTAAAGATTTGTTTCTTTTCATTGCAGTATCAAGCTCAAAATTTGCCATCGTAATAATTCTATCTTTTCACATGAGGCTTTCAACATTGTTCATCTTAGCTGTATGCAGGGCTATTGTTGCTTATTAACCCTTTTGTTTTCAAGATCTCATTAGAAATTCTCCTTTCAATGTGCTATACAATTCTTATGATGTTAGCTACAAGAAGTTGGTTTTGGATCAACTAATAATTCCTTTTCTTTATTCTCATCACTTGTCTTCTTGAAATTGTATTAATGTTGAAAGGAGAAATTCTACCTCAGTCACTCAAGGGAGTGAAAGGCTTAAAATTATAGCAATTGCTCAACTCACCTTAGAGTTCTCTGAAGCTCAATGGTTGAAAATTGTCAAAGCATGGATTCAAAGGTCTGAGATTCAGTTCCTCATGGGAATTTAGATGTCTTCCTTAATTGTTCCATGGTTGTGTTTTAAGTCCTAAACCTGAACCATGAGTTTTTCAATTGGGTCTTCTTATTCATTTTCAACCCCACAGAAAAGGCATTTTCAACCCCCATGTTTGAAAAGTGTACTGCAGTCCTCAGAAATAAGAAATGACTCGGTGCCCAAGTGATTCACATTCACATTCACACACTTCTCCCTACAATATCTGTCCACTATTTAGCAAACTGGTAATGAGAGTATTCAAATGTATCCAGTAGAATTTGTTTTCTTGATCTAACACCAAATTCTTGCTACTAATTTACAAGGAAATGTGTAGCAGCTGGATGGGAGAATTAACAATCAGATCCTGGGAGTTAAGAGGTTATTGGCTGACATTCTCCTCTGGTTTTGAACTCAAACAAGTATTTAATCAACTTGCATTTTGTTTTCTCAGTTTTACTTATGAAGAATTTCACCAAGCACACTTGAGTAACCCTGGCAAATGCCATCCTATCTTCTGTTTCAAAGACCCAGACTGGGATAAGTAAGTGAAATATGTTTGACTTACTTGTTGAAGATATGTGAGAGACACAGGCACCTGGTACTGTGCTGGACTGACCACAGTAGGGGATACAGTAGGAGGATGTGGATGGGAGGGGGTGGGGGAGAAGGGGGTTGGTAACCACATATGAAGTTGGGGTCGGGGTTGGTTATGGGTTAGTCTAGAAGACATACCTCTGGAACAACCCCCCTTCCTTCCTCTATCAAATTCCTGGATGTGCTCCCGAACTTGTGTCATGTCTGAAGGCTGATGAATGGAAATTCTGACTGAACAGATTGTCTTCTATACAATGTGAAAACTGTGTGTCTTAAGTAAAAAAAGAATCCTTGTTTATTGTGAAATACATGGTTAACCCAAACTGTATATGAATGTATTTGAACATGCTACAATTATGTGAAATGAATGCTATAAACAAACAGAAAAATTTGAGTTGTAACATCTAGAATGAGGTAGCTCTAAAATTGTGTTACGTTTTCTTTGTGATTATTTTTCTGTGTAAATTTTCTTCAGTGATCCATCTCTTAAAGATGAAAGTATTTTTCTGGCAGAGCAGTTGAAGACAGAAATCAGAAAAACAGATGATATGAAGGTACTGTAATTAGAAATTATGGTTACTCAGGTGAATTCAGTTCCACTGAAAATTTTTACAGTAATGAGTCATCTGATGTGTGTAATAAACACCTTCTTTCAGGTTTTCTATAATTTCTTTTCTATGAAACCTTGTCTTTTAGAATACACCTCTATTTAATCATGATGTTGTTGCAATTTTTGTTATTGTAGCTGTTTGACAATTACAAGACATCAGAAAAAGGAGTAGAGCTTGCATACAGGGAACTTAAGAAATTCTTAGCAAAGGTGAGGTAAACATAGCAACGAAGGACACAAAACACTGAACAAAAAGTCTCCCTGTGCTTTTCATTTGCTTTGTTTGTACTGCTTCCAAAACGAGTCAATGTTGCAACTAATTTTATACCCCTCTGATGTAATTCTGTCCTAGGAGAAGGTTTGTGATCAAAGACCAAAACAACAGAATGCTGGAAATTATTTCTGAGAGACTTTCAAATTTCACATTTATCTGGGGGCAGACCCCCAGACCCACTCTAGATGGGCTTGTTGCTCTGTTATTCAGCTGCCTACTCTTTTCAGATCATTCAATTCTATTACATATTTTAATGATAACACTGGCAATGGCAACTTATGCTTTTGAAAAATTCCTTTAAGTGCTCCTGTGATAACTGGTTAGCCTTAGTTACAGACCCTATCCCTGCATACAGAGGATTTTCTTTGATAAAAGCTTTGCCTCAATACTTCTTCTTTCCCTCAGGAACTTGGCTTATTTGATGACCATTCATCACCTGTTGATGCTCACTTCCTTGATGGTTCTTCTTGGGATATGGCAGAGGACTGGGAGCAAGTTGAAACATTGAAGGCTGCTGCAGAATGCTCCTGTGAAATGGGGCTCAGTAAAGTATGTTGAGGTTTGGTACATGTACTTGTAAGTATCAAGCTTCAACTAAAAAGAAATTCCCACCCCACCAGTCAGCTAACTGATGCGAAATCCAAATACTCTGTCACTACAAATAAATTTCCATGGCTCAGCAGAAGAAGTGTCAACTCCTTTACTTGTAGAAGTAATTGATCTGTGACTCTTTCATACAGCAGCAAAACATTATCCATCACATACATGTGGGCATCATTCTCCCTAATTTAAAGCATGATAAGTAAAAGAAGAAATCCTTTTACAAGTTGAATGTTCAAGAATTCCAAGCAATTTTAGATGGAAAGTAAGAGCTACTACAGGCGGTAAATTTTACTAGTTACAGTGTGAATTACTCCTTCATTAATTACACTCATTTGATTGCAATAGTATCTGTCATAATTTATGACATTATAATTATTACTGCCAGTTCTATAGCGACCTCAATGAACATGTGTCCAGCGCAGGACTCAAAGCTCCAATGCTTGTAAAAGGCGATGCTGGGTTTGGAAAATCACTTCTCTTGGCAAAGTGGTAGGTAACTTTGTGTTACAATCAGTCAGCCATTCTATTTTATGCAAAGCTGTAGTTTAAATAGGAAGAAGCATGACCAGGCTTTAGTTGATGATCATTTCCTTAATTCTCCTGACCTTCATGTGTGATTCAGGGGTGATATTGTAAGGAGAAATTAGATGGTAGTCACTCTAAGGGTTCAAAGGGTTTATTATAGAACATGCTCTCCCAGGGGTTTGGTGTTATGCAATTTTGTGAAATACATGATTAAAAGTTTCTAATATTTAGATTCATGCATTCTAATTGCAAAAGGACCTGAAGAGAAGTTTACTGTATGTTTGGATCAACTTGGTGGTCTCTACTGACTGTTTTTTGGAATGAAGTAATTTCCTTCAATTCTTTGGTTTTAATCTTTACACACACATCCTCTTTTCCATTCAAGAGTTGCCCCAGAGAGTTCTTTGGTTCCCTCTCTGTAGTCACTGTGATGTGAAAGTAGTAATTAGTGGACTGACAATGTTTTAACAGTTTCTTCGTTTTCATTCATTCAGGATAGCTCTGCAACAAAGCAGTTTGTCTGGACGGCTGGTGCTTTATCACTTTGTTGGATCATCTTCATCATCCAGTGCTAATTCAATTCTGATGATACGAAGGTTTACTCTGCAGGTAAAGTGTGGTGAAGTGCATGATCACTTGATATTTTGTGGCATATTAAAATAAACTTTGTTTTCTGTGTGTAAGTGTGGTGGATTTCTTGCAAACCATTTATTTGGCATCCAAAAGTTTTTTGAAATTTGTTCTCAAACAAAGTGGCATCATTACCATCGTCATCATCATTGCATCTTAACCCTTAAACTCCCAGCAGTGATCAACATGCAACTTCTCCCAATAACATCCATACATTACATAGCAAACAGGTAATGAGAATTCTTAGTCTTATCAGGTAGAATTTTTCATCTTGATCTACTGTAACACCAAATTCTTGCAACCAATTTACTCAGAAATGTGTAGCAGCTAGAGGGGAGAATTAACAATCAGATCTCGAGAGATAAAGGGTTAAGTAATGGTGTCATGGTTATTGCAAAGACTATGCTTTCAGGAAAACTGCTTTTTATTATTCTGAATAAATTCGAAACTTACTTTGAAAAATTTTAAGGAAACATCTCACAATCAGCTCTTCTTTTGCTTAACAATAATTTTGTAATAGTTTTTTTTTTCTATAAACATCTTAGTTGATGAAGCAGTTGGCATCATCACGTGCAGTGCCATGTGACCCAGGTCACTTGGAAGAGGAGTTTCCACGGTGGCTGGAGAGAGCTGCATCCAAAGTCCATGGTGGTATCACCATAGTAATCGATTCAGCTGATAAACTACAAGTATGAAAATATTTGTGTGTTAGCATTGCATGCTTTTCTTCAGTAGGTTGTTGGATGTTAAATTACTGTCTCAAGTGAGGCCTTAACCCTTAAAACCCCAAGAGTGACCAGTATCTAATTTCTCCTTACTTTATTACTGCTGAATCACTCATTACAGTCCTGAGAATACAGGAAATGATTGCCAAACCGAGAAATTGTGTGGTGAATTCTCCTTGTCAGTAACAAGGGACATTTGTAGAGAAGAGGATGGAGAATAATGGATACTGATGTTAGGGTGTAAAGGGTTAAACTACAAGTTTTGGTCATTAACCTTACACACTGTCCTTGATCAATGGCATCAATTAGGTATTTGAAAACTTGCCACTGTAATTGATCAATTACAGTTAGTATAGGACCTCACTTTAAACAATAGCATGTCAGTTATCAAAGATTGCTTCCAGTGTAATACGTAGAAGAGCTGGCCAGATTGATATGGATAAATTGAAGATTGAAAGGTAGGAGGCTTAAAATAGTTGATGATGCTTTAGTTATTTTGTAAAGAGTTTTAAGACCACTTTGTCATTTTATGCTTCATCAGGGTGCACCTTGTCATATGAAGTGGTTGTTGGATCCTTTGCCTGTTGGTGCAAGAGTTATTTTATCCGTCACAGAAAGCACTTGTCCTCCAGCATGGAGGTCAGCCTGTTGTTCTAATTAAGAGGAAAAAACCCTTTAACCCTCATTACACTCTCAGAAGTTGACAAAATGTATTTTTTTTCTTACAATAATTATCAATACTTTTTTAAGGGTATTGAAAAGAAAAAAGAGCATGTTTACATGATCCCTTATAAATCTGTCTGAGAGTGTTTCTTGATATTTGATTGTTTTGACTGTAGGCCATGGTCATCACTGGAACTTCAGCCTTTGGATTTCAAAGGCAGTGTTGAATTGCTTGCTTCTTCTTTAAACAAGCATGCAGTGAATATACCTCAAGAACAGGTAGGAAAACGCATTAGTATTGGTCGAAACAGGGGCATTTGTTTCCACTTTGGGGATGTTTTGTCAGGTTTTAACTAATTTTGGTCCACCATGATTGCTACATCATTTTCATTATCATAATCCTTTTCTTTAAACGTCAGTGTCATTGTAATTATCATTTCATTATCATTTTCAGAGTCATTTTTTGAATAATAATAATTTTATTAGATGTTTTAATACTAGTACTAACAATAGTAACTCTTCAATTCTGCATTAACCTTCAATATGCATATTCTCCATACTACTCTTTCCACATTTCCTAAAGTGCTGACAAGGAGAATTTGTTTTCTAATTGAAAGCTTCTTTTATTGTTGATCATTTCCATTAATCTCATGACCTTAACATGTGATTCAGAGGCGATATTTGATGTTAGTCACTTTTAGGGATTAAAGAGTTAGTTTGGTAAAACATTCAGCAAAATCACTACACAATATAAACAACAGTAATGATTAAAATAATAACCATTTTAAAAATATTGTAATACTAATATTTATGATAAAAATTTTAGTCAGATAATCTATGGCTAGAAATTAAATTAAAGTTTAAAACTATGCTTAATAATTGTTCAAAAGCTGATAAAATCTAAAATTTCTAAATCAAATTGCTTCCTCTGTTGTCTTGATGCCAAAATCAGCGTTCCTTTGAATGCAGGGGACTCTCCTCATTGACTCTCCTCATTCCTTTTCTTTGTCATTATCAGTATTATTATCACTGTTATTATTATTATTGCTATTATTGCTATTATCTTTCTGGCTATCATTATCAATATCATTTTCAACAGGTCAGCAGAATGCTTTATAATTCCCCTTCTGAAGACAAGTTTAATCCAAGATTTCTAACTCTACTAGCTGCAGAGATGGCTGCGTAAGTAGCAATCACAAGCACTTTCCTTATTTGATTATTGCAGTGTTTGTTGGTACAATAACATGTAAACTCCTTACAATAGTGTTAATTTAGAGTAGCTTCAAGAGAATTTTGTGACTATAGTTCTTCAGAAACTTACCCCCTTTATTCATTGTGTCTTCTAGTTGTGAAGATAGAAAAGCTCTGTTTGACCACTTTGCAGATTGTTTATCCCAAAAGGTTTGTATTTTAACCCAATAATCAATATGTTCCTGTGGCACTGAACTTGTTCTGATTATTGTTGCTTGAACTGCAGTGTAGTTTTGCTATGTTGAAAATTTCTAGACTCACCCCATCCTGTCCTCCTTACCTCCCAAGGATTCACAATTTTCTCATGATCTCAATTGAACTCATTAATGCTACAAGCAATTTATTTATTGATTTATGATATCTTGCATGTTTGTACCTGAAGTGATGTTATCGCATGACTGGAATTGGATAAATTAGTTCAGCACCTAACAATATCACTTGTTACATGTCACTGAGCAAAGCAAATTTCATAGGTTTGATGTCACCCTATTCTTCCTGTCACACAACATTTTCCTTCCCTTGGTTGGGTTGACCAAGCAATGGCTGCAAAGGAGACAGCTGTCACGCAAGCATCAAACGTTTTTGTCAGCTTGTAAGCTCTCCTGTTGCAAAGAACCTCAGTCAACCCCCTGCCCCCCCCTGCCCCTGCCCCTGCCCCTGCCCCCCTGCCCCCTGCCCCCCCCCCCCCCCCTGCCCCTGCCCCTGCCCCTGCCCCTGCCCCCTGCCCCCTGCCCCTGCCCCCCCCATTTCTAGCTTATTGGAAGGTTCTCCTACAAAATTGGTGTGCCACATTAATTTCTTTTTCCTTATACATTAGTTGAGAATGAAAGAACTTTTAGTGTGATCATAGAGTATTAGGGAACTGTATGGGAGTGATATAATTCTCTTGCCTTGGTAGAGGCTTAAAAATGGACGATGACTTTGCTTAGCCACACCTCTTCTTTCTTTTAGGCACCATGTAGAAATTTTTGAATGTAGCAGCTTGTTTTATACTCTCTTTCTCGTAGAACACTGTTGGACCTTTTGTGTCATATTTTGAGCCGCATTAAGAAACAATTCAGTCATATTTTGTTTGAATGGAAGCTGAGAAGGGTGAGTGAATATTTAGGTTGGAGAATACAAATGCAAACACAACTTAACGTATTTGTTAACCCTTTGAACGCTTTAGAGTGACCAGCATCTAATTTCTCCTCACAATATCATCCCTGAATTATACATTAGGGTCATGAGAATAAAAAATGATCATAAACTGGAGAAGGTTTTGATTGTTAAACAAATTTTCCTGGTTAGTACCTCGGAAAGGTATAGAGAACAATTTAAAACTAAGAATATATCTCATTGAATCACAATACATCCTGTTGTGTTCTGCCTCATTCTTTAAGCATGGCGACAAGGTGGACCTCAGTGGCCCTGCCTTGTGCTGTGTAGTTGCTCCCAATATGAAGAGTAAGCATCCTAATTTAACGTGAAGGGGAAGATGTTCCTTTTGATTCCAAGCAAAATGTTGCAGCAACTTGTTCCTGCAATGTGTGAAAAGCAGCACTTGTTAATTACTATGTGACTGCCATAACACTTTGACCCCAAAGGCTGACTAACATCTAATTTAAGGGTTGAAGGTCACCAGAATGAAGGAAATGATCACCAACTAAAAATGCTCTTGATTGTTAAACAAATTCTCCATGTCAGCTTCATAGCAAACGTATAGAGAACAGTATGGAGAATATGCATACTGATATAAGGATGTAAAGGGTTAAATGACTTTTGATTGACCATCAATTATTCTTTTCATCCGTGTTTTCAAAAAGGTTATGGAAAGAGTAAATAGGGTTCACCTGAATGATATTTACTGCCTGGGTTTTAAAGAATATCTTATTTTCCTATCCAGGTATTTCTTCATATCTTTTTGGCTCGTAATGGGATCAGTGAGTGTGAGTTATTGAAGATTATACCAATAAAATGGACGGAGTGGTTATTACTGAGTCAAACCTTGCATCATAGCTGTATTGTCGTGACAAGAATGGGCCTTTTGACCTTTGCAAACAAGCAGGCAAGTAATGGAGTAAAAAAGGCTTTGATAGGCTTACGACAAGTGTGGCCAATTCTGTGCATTTTAAGCTGATTATAGCAAAAACTTTTGTTAAGGACCCTTTACAGACTTCTCGCACACTTGCGGCTCGCATCACACGAGCATCGCACAGCTCTAATTAAAAGTTTGTTACAGGCTATCAAAGAAAGAAGCTAGTCACTCCTTTTGTTGAGGTATGCTCAGTATTTATGGCCTTACTCGTGGTAATAATCATTATCTGTGTTATTTTCAGGTAATAAGAGCTGTAAAGGAAACGTTTTCATTTGAAGACAACTCGCAAGAGATTGAGGAATCGCAGGAATCTTTTATAAAATTCTTCCAGGAAAAGCTGAGGTATGACATCTTTCATAGTTCCACTTGAGAAATTTCCGGATGAATGTCGAAAATAATCCGAAATTTCAATAATTTGCTTTGCTTTACTCTAACGTCTAAAATCCAAATCGAACACCAGTGTCTAGTGAAATTGTTCACTTCTGTTGGATTTCAGACACTTGTCTCCGATGTTAGACTTTTATGTGAACACTTTCATCCGATATCGGACAATTCTGTCTGATTTCAGACACTTAATGAGAGTATTTCCTAATAGATTCTCTGGGGAAATTTAACGTTAACCATTAATTAGCTAATGTGTGTTTCTACTCAGTGTTAACCATATATGCTGGAGGTTGACTGACGAATTACTCTGGAGTTTGAAGAAATCTTGCAAGAAAGAAAAGCTGACAGAATGTCTTCTGAACCCAATTGTCTTTAAAGTGTTTTTTGAAAGGTATGTCTTCGAGGTTTCATGTTACCTTTCACCAGCCTGTATTTTCATTGATAGAATGTTAGTGGGCGGGTAGGAAAGAGAAGAGGTTTCAACTAAGTCCTCGGGGGAAAAAAAAGAAGTCGTTAGGACATTGCCTGTTCTCTCAGAACTAGAACGTAAAAAAATGGATTGAAATAGCATAATACTGTGAAACTAAATTTCACCCTTTACATCCTAATATTTGTATTAATATTCTCCAGACTGTTCTCTTTACATTTCTAATGATATTTACAAGGAGGATTTGTTTGACAATCGGTAGCTTTTTAAAATTGGTGATCATTTCCTTTATTTTCATGAGCTTTACATTTGATTCAAGGATGATACTTAATGGAGAAATTAGAAGCCAGTTACTCCTAGAGGGTAAAGGTTTACTACAGATGATTAACCACACTTTATATAGTTTTTGTGGAGCGGAGAAGAGAAGCGTTTAGACGGAATTCTGATAATTTCCCGTACATATATCGTGATTTGTTTACTGTTTTTCATCCCTAGGGGCCGCATATCTGAGCTGATAAGTTATTGGGAATACTTGGGAATTGATCAGACGTCGCTTGGGAAGAAATACGTGGATGTGATAAAACAGGTGGAAAATGGTGAGTGAATGACATGTCGACTGTTGTTGAGAAAGAGTTAGTTAAATTGTGTCCTTTAATGGGGTGATTTGGTTTTTTCGTTGGTTTCCACAGAGAGCGAACTGACGGAGGAAACTGCTGAGATATTTGAGGTCGTTGGTCTGTTTCTGAAATGCTTGGGGCTTCTCAGTCAGGTTGGTTTATGATTACCAGTAAGACTTTTCAATTATGATAACGTGAAATATTAAGTGTGTAGAGCGATCTTAAATTGACTTTCGAAAGTAATTCAGGGTTGCGTTGGTTTTGCTTCAAAACACTCTGTGATTGGTCCATAAAATTCGCTCCACTCTTTTAACCAATCAGATGCGGAACTAAATTCAATCACATCACGGTCACCCTTGCTTTCCTGCGCTTTTCTTGCCTGTTTTTTCTTCGATTTCTGATTGGCGCCTTTAATTTTCTTCTTTGTCTGATTGGCCATTGTCATTTCTTTGGTTTTGGCTTTAAGACGCCCAGTCGAAGGATGGTTATGTATGATGAGGATAAACGCAGGTTCCAAATTATGAAATTGCAAAATCAAAGCTGAATTTTTAAGATGTGCAAACCGTGACGTACTCTCCTTTGCTGTGTAATGCTCAATCAGGAGATCGTAGATCATCGACATCATCCCGAGGAACGGTCGTGAAGAAGGAGGAGGAGAATGCTATTTTTAATGTGTCACTGAATTATTTCCAGGCTGCTCCATTGCTGCAACGAGCCTTGGAAATCCGAGAAACGGTGCTCGACCCAGACCACCCGCTTGTGGCTCAATCTTTGCATCATCTTGCTGATTTGAATGCGCTGTGGGGAAAGTTCAGGTAACAAATATTTGATTCATTAATGATTCTAATTTTATAGGAGGTTCCTTACTTGCTTTATACATGAAGTTTTGATCATGCAGTCTGGTCTTCGAGGGAAGACTAGTCCTGAAAAGGGCTGTGGTGGGCAATAGAGACTGACGTTTCTATAACCTGAGCGGAAGTCGTCATTATAGTCACGTGATGAGTTGTTTGAGGTGTGTTTCGTGAAACCTGATTGGTCGGTTTTCATAGTGATGTCGGTGGCGGTGAGTCTCAGGAAGTTTAAGTCTGTCTTGATTAGTCAGTTTTCATCCTTCAGGTTGTTTTTGTGCCGTTCGTTGGTTACATTTATTTCGCGAACAAGTCGTTTGTTTGGTGCGGATATAGTTATTGACAACTGTGGAGAGGAGACTTAACAACATGAAATGCTCATGTATATTTTTTACTTCCTTTATAGCCCAGCTGAAGCATTCTTCAAACATGCTGTAGAAATCAAGGAAAATGCTCTTGGCAGAGATCACCCTTCTCTTGTTAAGGTAATCTCCCTTTCACTCGATTCATGGGTTTGTGATTTGCAACGCAGACAATTATTGAACTGCATTCTTTTTTTTTCAGGATTTAGAAGGTTTGGCTATTTTGTACAAGAAACAGGAGAAGTGAGTAGTATTTTGAATTTTTTCGTAGTTTTAAAATTTTGTTTTTAAAAATACATGATGTCGAAAGGAGCTGCAGGTTTGCATTTCAACCTTTTTTTTTTAACCCCACAGACATGCTATGGCAGATTCTCTTCGTAGACAGGCAGAGGGTATTAAGCAGAAGGCAAACTCATCAGTATGTAACAAAGTATAATATTCATGCGTAGAATGGCTTTCCGTTCAGGGATGTAGGGAGGGGTTAAAGGGTGGAGGGGGGGGGGGGGGTGGCGTTCCAATACCTATTTTTTGCTGCGTATCATTGAAATAGGGGTACCTGCCTGACATGTAGGTTACTTGGCTTCTGTGCACCAACGTGAATTGCAACCTAACGTTCAACAAGGTAAATCTTGTCTTACTTGTAGGAGTAGTAGTCTACTCTTATCTTTTCACATCACCTTCCCGCTTGAAAGCGCGCTGGTCTTTTAAGGAGTAGTTCCTCTTTTGATAGCCCTCCCTGGGAGTGAAAGAGTTGATTGGGATCCAACGTTGTCAGAAAAGAACATGAACTCCTGTTTGATGGTTCACTTCAAGGTTTACCCTTTAACCCTTAAGAGTGACTAGCTTCTAATTTCTCCTTACAATAGCACACCTGGATCAAACTTTAAGGTCATGAGAATAAAGGAAATGATCACCAACTAAAGAAGCTCTTGATTGTTAAACAAGTGCTCCTTGGCAGCATCTTAGGAAATATGTGGTGAACAGTTTGGAGAATACGCATTGTAATGTTAGGGAGTTGAGAATTTCTGTGTCTCTTTAGGTTGATTTGAGTGACTTGAAAAAGAAGACCCTGCAAGTGGAAAAACTCGCTCGTGGGTCACCAAGCGCAGAACTAGCTCGATCGCTCAATGAACTTGGGGTCTTGTACTTCCTTCAAAATAATCATGAGTAAGTTTTCTTTGCTCTGACGATGGGCTAGCGCTCGAAACGCCAGCTTTTGAATTTCTCTATGGTGTTATATTTACATTATCAACTCCGTTGATTAAACCAAAGAATCTTTCAATACACTTCCCCTTTCCCCCCCCCCCCATGACGCAGCATACCACAGTTTTTTTTTTTTTTTTTAAGAAACTTAGCCCCTTCAAGTTTTATTTGAACTGTTTCTTGTTCTGCTTTCACAAATGTGTTTAGATTTTTGTTTGGGTAAAATTTCCAAGTACAATGCAATGTGCAAGTAAACGTCGAAAGCCATGCGTGAAAGCAATGATTTTGCTTTAATTCACCTTGTAATTGGTGTGAATAGCGTCTCCCTCTCAACCAATCAGATACAAAACAAAGACCAATAACCTCTTAGTAATCAGAGTATTTGTGCGCTTGAGATGTCCAGTTTATGCTATTTTGATTTTGAGTTCTCATTGGCTGCCTGTGATTTTTTCGTTAATCTCAGTAGCCCTTGTTACTAATTTGATTTTGCTGAGTGTGTATTGTTCTCTTTATCTGACAGAGCGGCAAGTTCATTTTTCCAGCGTTCTCTTGAGATGCGCGAGGCTGTTCTTGGTCCTGATCACCCGGATGTGGCCCAATCTCTGCATAACTTGGCAGCCTTGTACAATGATCAAAAGTTGTAAGTACCAAGTTGTGCGTGCGTGATTTTTTAAAGGTAAAGTGTGTGTAGAGATGTTTACGTCTAAATGAACGCCTTTTTTTTGTAGGACTCTCTTTGTTCCTCGTCCATCCTTCCTTTTTTTCTTCTTTCCTCGCCCTCAACATGTTGCTTCTCAGTTCAGTTGGTAGTTGCGTCCAACTAATTTCTAGGAGGCATGAGTTCGAATCCTGTCAAAACCCGAGTTTTTTCAAACTGCCTTCCTGTAATTTATCTAAGGGTTGTTTATTTACTCGGAATCTCTTCCGAAACTGTTGACAGATACACCCAAACGTTCAGACATACTTTAAGATGATATTATGTTTTCTAAAAGATTAATTATCTATCCAGGTTTTTCATGGTGTAACTCTTTTGCGATTAATTTCTTCTAGGTATGAAAAGGCGGAGCCTCTCTATTCAAGAGCTTATCAAATTAGGCTAAAGGTAAGATTTTACTAACATGCTGAAACTTTAAGCGATCGGGTCATGGTGTTTTTTCTTGAACAATGCACTTTGCCCTTGGTAGTGTATAGATTTGCTGAATTTGACTGACAGGTTAACATACTTGCTCTGTTAAATGATTTTCATTCCTTTGCAGGCCTTTCCTTCAAATCATGGAAGTGTAGCATCTACTATCAAACACTTAGCTGTTCTTTACCGAAAGCAGGTGTGACTGTTGTTCTCTCTTTAGTCTGTAATGACCTGTGATAACTTCAAAAGAAGTCTCTCCATCTTAATGTCTTTAGTTGCAGTTTTCCAGCTTAATACACTAATATTCTCTCTTACCATCTCATCGCTAATTCACAGACAGTTTCTTGAAACAGAGAAACGGTTTCATTTAAAAAGAATCTCTTGTTTTTATTGTTAGGGTAAATATTCTTCAGCGGAGCCGTTATACAGGTGAGCATACAAACATTTATACGCTTGTAACTAAGTATTGTAGTGTGAAAACGGGCGCATGTTTGCACGTTCGCAAGGGAGAGGTTTATTTGTTATTGCCCTTAACCATTTCTGTGTTTACGCTGCAGACAAGACTTGGAAATCCGAGAGAAGACATTCGGTAAATCGCATCCAAGCGTCGCCACAGCCTTGAACAACCTCGCTGTAGTGTTATGTCTTCAGGTATGATAGTGACTGGCGTAATAAAGCATTACTTAATGCGCTTTTCGCTGTGCGTATGATTTGATGAGCAATTGTCTAGTACTCTTCTCCTGGAAAAACGCGAGTCAAAATCACGTGTCATGTGTTTAATTTCCGACACGGTATGTACTAAAGCAATTTTCAGGTTAAGTAGAGGATAATTAGCATTATTGACCTTCACTTCGACAAATGATTGTGAATTGTTGCTGATTTGATTAACAGGACAGACAGTCAGAAGCATTACCACTGTATGAGCGAGCTTTACACATCTATGAAGACACACTGGGTGGATCACACCCACGAGTTGCCGAGACACTTGTGAACCTTGCCAAGCTGTCTTACGACCTGGTAATTCAAAAGCTTTTTTTTTAAATATGTGTGAACTGTCTGACCTCAAAGCACTCCCGCCCAGAATCTCATTTAAATGGTTATACACTCGGATTTTATACACAGACTAGCTGTAGCCCAGTTTCCTATACAATTCCCATGCAACCTCTTTCCGGCCAGACTTTAGTTTGCCCAAGGCTACAAGCAGCCATGTAGTATTTTATTTTTTATTTAGTATTGTAACCGCCTTTATAACGTTGCTTAACTTTCCTGTTTCCATCAGGGATCCCCAGAGAAAGCTGCCCAGCTGTATAAACGAGCAAACGACATCAGACAGAATGAACCACAGCCTGGTCTCTCTCCTCGTTCTTCCTGTAGTCAGCTTAGTAACAACTATTTGCGCAAACACTCCCAGCCGCACGACAGTGTGTCAAGGGTGATATCATTATCAAATAGTTGAGGGTTCACCGTTAGAACGTTTCTATGTCACTTTCTAGAGTAGTGGTCACGATTCCTTTATTAGAGATGTTACAGTTAAATTTAGCCAATCATAGGAAGGATTTTAACGTTGAGAGCCAATCAGGTATAAGTATTTGCGATAGTTGTGCGCCATTTCCCGCGCTTTATCCAACGCATCTTCCACATTGTCTGTCTACACTCTGATTGGTTTATTTAATTGTGTAGGAAGCCTATCAGAAGCTATCACGGCCGTGGCTTCGTGCTATTTCTTTACTTAACATAAATTTTTAGTTCAATTCTTACTTCAAACGTGGATAACAATATTTTATCTCTGTGTTCGACTCGAGATGTCACACATGGTTTTGTTTAACAGTCACATCTGATATTGTAGTCAAAAGTGTCCTGAGAAGCCAGTTACGAAGACTAAAATCTCAGCGCTAAGATCTTCACTAGTTGATTGACTGCGACATCTCCTTTACTTGGCTGAAAAGGATAAGGGCACTTTTTGATTTAGTGTCAGTCGTAAAACATAAAATCCAAGGTAATCACAATGGCCACTCAGAAGAGAGGAAAATACCTTTAAAAGCCAATGAGAACTCAGTCAAAACAACCAAACTTCTTTAAGGGCGGGAAAACGCCAACAACAAAATCGTAATGGGTGTTAGTTACACATCTGTGGCGAGAGAGAGAGAGAGGCGTGAGTTTTCTGGACTAATCACAGAGAGAAGGAAAGGAAAAACAAGCAATCACATTCGGTTACTTTCGACATTCAATTGAAAATTGCCTCTACCTTCCATATCATCCATACTCAACCAAATTATTAACAACCCCCACATGACAACTTCCTAAAAAAACTATAGTTATAAGTAGATTTTACAAACATAAGTTGTGGACTTAATCTTGACTCAATTGGAAAGATGTACTGTAGATTCTTAGCAGTGTGTGCTCTGAATTCAAAGCAGAAGCCACGTCAACAAAATTCACAAGTGGCTTTATACGACTTTATACTAATTGACGAGCGTCGAAAAGAATATATTACCACCTTCGTGAACTTTAAGATAAATAATATATCCACCAAAGACATGTAGAAGAAGGCTTTTGCTTGCGTTTCCCTTTATAATCTCGTTTATCAGAGGGTTTATACGTCACTCAACGTATTTTTTAAAGATTTATTTAATATAAATGTACAAAAGGCTTCTTTCGGCTGGTCCATTTGATTTAGGAAGCATTTATAAAAAACTTCGGCAACTATTTTAAGCTTTTTTAAAGATTTTCAAGGGGTTAAGAACAGATATAACTACTCATTGAAGAGATTTTATGATATATATTAAGAAAGTTTTTTATATGTAAATAAAGTCAAATCATAAAAATCCTTTTTACATTTGTTTCAATTTATTTTCCTTTTTAACGCAAACGCTGTACCAAGTAATGTCTTTTCGTTCATTCCCCACAATATACGTGTAAAAGTTAAAACTCTCTTGTGAGCTGAGAAAGTCCTATCTGAATATTCAAACAATAGAATTTTCTTAATGAGTTTGAAAACTCGGTTTGCTCGCATTTTGTAGCTCGTGATAAAGGGCGTGATCAACTTTATTGTATGCAAGTGTCAAAGTAAGAGCCCTCTCGTGGGCTGAGAAAATGTCCTCTGAATATTGAAACAATAGAAGTTTGTTAATGAGTTTGAAAACTCGTTTTTGCTAGGGGTTCTTCCAAGTTGCCAAGAGGCTCATTAACCATTTTCTATTGTTTCAATATTCATGCGTTCATATCTGCGGAAAATAGGAATTCCTGGACATGTTATAGCTCGATAGAAAGAGCTTGATTAGCTGTGTATTGTGCACAAGTGTCAAAGTAAGAGCCCTCTTTTTCGCCGAGAAAATCCCCTATGAATATTAAAACAATAGAATTTTGTTAATGAGTTTGAGAACTCGGTTTTGCTAGGGGTTCTTCCAAGTTGCCAAAAGGCTCATTAATCAATTTCTATTGTTTCAATATTCATGCGTTTATTTCTCTGCGAAAAGGAGGAATTCTTGTACATTTTATAGCTCGATAAAAAGAGCTAGATTAGCTCTGTATTGTGTGCAAGTATCAAAGTGTGAACTCTCTTGTGGGCCGAGAAAATCCCCTATGAATATTGAAACAATAGAAGTTTGTTAATGAGTTTGAGAACTCAGTTTTGCTAGGGGTTCTCCAAGTTGCCAAGAGGCTCATTAACCATTTTCTATTGTTTCAATATTCATGTGTTTAAATCTTCGCGAAAAGGAGGAATTCCTGGACATGTTATAGCTCGATAGAAAGAGCTTGATTAGCTGTGTGTTATGTACAAGTGTCAAAGTAGGAGCCCTCTTTTTGGCCGAGAAAATCCCCTATGAATATTGAAACAATAGAGGTTTGTTAATGAGTTTGAAAACTCGGTTTTGCTAGAGGTTCTTTCAAACTGCCAAAAAGCTCATAAACCAAATTCTATTGTTTCAATATTCATGCCTTTATATCTCTGCGAAAAAGAGGAATTCCTAGTCATGTTATAGCTCGATAAAAAGGGCTTGATTAGCTGTGTATTGTGTACAAGTGTCAAAGTAACAGCCCTCTTTTTGGCCGAGAAGGTCCTCTCTGAATATTGAAACAATACAAGTTTGTTAATGAGTTTGAGAGCTCGGTTTTGTAAGGGTTCCTTCCAACCTGCCAAAAAGCTCATTAACCAAATTCTATTGTTTCAATAATTATGCCTTTATATCTCTGCGAAAAAGGGGAATTCCTAGACATTCTATGGCTCGATAAAAAGAGCTTGATTAGCTGTGTATTGTGTACAAGTGTTAAAGTAAGAGCCCTCGTGTTGGCCGAGAAAATGTCCTCCGAATATTGAAACAATAGAATTTTGTTAATGAGTTTGAGAACTCAGTTTTGCTAGGGGTTCTTCCAAGTTTCCAAAAGGCTCATTAACCAATTTCTATTGTTTCAATATTCATGCGTTTATTTCTCTGCGAAAAAGAGGAATTCCAAGACATTCTATGGCTCGATAAAAAGAACTTGATTAGCTGTGTATTGTGTGCAAGTATCAAAGTAAGAGCTCTCTTGTGGGCCGGGAAAATCCCCTCTGAATATTGAAACAATAGAAGTTTGTTAATGAGTTTGAAAACTCGTTTTTGCTAGGGGTTCTTCCAAGTTACCAAGAGGCTCATTAACCATTTTCTATTGTTTCAATATTCATGTGTTTATATCTCTGAGAAAGGGAGGAATTCCTGGACATGTTATAGCTCGATAAAAAGAGCATGATTAGCTGTGTATTGTGTACAAGTGTCAAAGTAAGAGCCCTCTTTTTGGCCGAGAAAATCCTCTCTGAATATGGAAACAATAGAAGTTTGTTAATGAGTTTGAAAACTCGGTTTTGCTAGAGGTTCTTTCAAACTGCCAAAAAGCTCGTTAACCAAATTCTATTGTTTCAATATTCATGCCTTTATATCTCTACGAAAAAGGGGAATTCCTAGTCATGTAAAAGCTCGATAAAAAGAGCATGATAAGTTGTGTATTGTGTACAAGTGTCAAAGTAACAGCCCTCTTTTTGGCCGAGAAAATCCTCTCTGAATATTGAAACAATAGAAGTTTGTTAATGAGTTTGAAAACTCGGTTTTGCTTGGGTTCCTTCCAACCTGCCAAAAAGCTCATTAACCAAATTCTATTGTTTCAATATTCATGCGATAATATCTCTGCGAAAAAGAGGAATTCCTAGACATTCTATGGCTCGATAAAAAGAGCTTAATTAGCTGTGTATTGTGTACAAGTGTCAAAGTAACAGCCCTCTTTTTGGCCGAGAAAATCCTCTCTGAATATTGAAACAATAGAGGTTTGTTAATGAGTTTGAGAACTCAGTTTAACAAGGGTTCCTTCCAACCTGCCAAAAAGCTCATTAACCAATTTCTATTGTTTCAATATTCATGCGTTTAAATCTCTGTGAAAAAGATAAATTCCTAGTCATGTAATAGCTCAATAAAAAGAGCATGATTAGATGTGTATTGTGTACAACTGTCAAAGTAACAGCCCTCTTTTTGGCCGAGAAAATCCCCTCTGAATATTGAAACAATAGAGGTTTGTTAATGAGTTTGAAAACTCGGTTTTGCTTGGGTTCCTTCCAACCTGCCAAAAAGCTCATTAAGCAATTTCTATTGTTTCAATATTCATGCCTTTATATCTCTGCGAAAAAGAGGAATTCCTAGTCATGTAATATCTCGATAAAAAGAGCTTGATAAGCTGTGTATTGTGTACAAGTGTCAAAGTAACAGCCCTCTTTTTGGCCGAGAAAATCCTCTCTGAATATTGAAACAATAGAAGTTTGTTAATGAGTTTGAGAACTCGGTTTTGCAAGGGTTCCTTCCAACCTGCCAGAAAGCTCATTAACCAATTTCTATTGTTTCAATATTCATGCGTTTATTTCTCTGCGAAAAGGAGGAATTCCTGGACATTTTATAGCTCGATAAAAAGAGCATGATTATCTGTGTATTGTGTACAAGTATCAAAGTAAGAGCCCTCTTGTTGGCCGAGAAAATCCCCTATGAATATTAAAACAATAGAAGTTTGTTAATGAGTTTGAAAACTCGGTTTTGCTAGGGTTCCTTCCAACCTGCCAAAAAGCTCATTAACCAATTTCTATTGTTTCAATATTCATGCGTTTATATCTCTGCGAAAAAGGGGAATTCCTAGACATTTTATGACTCGATAAAAAGAGCTTGATTAGCTGTGTATTGTGTATAAGTGTCAAAGTAAGAGCCCTTTTAATGGCCGAGAAAATCCCCTATGAATATTAAAACAATGGAATTTTGTTAATGAGTTTTAAAACTCGGTTTTGCTAGGGGTTCTTCCCAGTTGTCAAAAAAGCTCATTAACCAATTTCTATTGTTTCAATACTCATGCGTTCATGCCTCTGCGGAAAAGAGGAATTCCTAGACATGTTATAGCTCGATAAAAAGAGCATGATTAGCTGTGTATTGTGTACAAGTGTCAAAGTAAGAGCTCTCTTGTTCGCCGAGAAAATCCCCTATGAATATTGAAACAATAGAAGTTTGTTAATGAGTTTGAAAACTCGCTTTTGCTAGGGGTTCTTCCAAGTTGCCAAAAAGCTCATTAACCATTTTCTATTGTTTCAATATTCGTGCGTTCTATCTCAGAGAAAAAGAGAAATTCCTGGACATTTTATAGCTCGTTAGAAAGAGCTTGATTAGCTATGTATTGTGTGCAAGTGTCAAAGTATGAGGTCTCTTGTGGGCCAAGAAAATCCCCTCTGAATTTGGAAACAATAGAAGTTTGTTAATGAGTTTGAAAACTCGGTTTTGTTTGTAGTTCTTTCCTGTTGCCAGAAGTTCATTAACCAATTTCTTTTTTTTGATTATTCATGCGCTCATATCTCAGAGAAAAAGGAGAATTCCTGGACATTTTATAGCTCGATAGAAAGAACTGATTTACGTGTATTTCATGTAAGTGTCAAGAATATCCCTCTAAATGTTAAAAAAAAAAAAAAAAAAAAAAACAGTCCCGGGATAATCTGAACATAGTTGAATATAAAATTCAGAAGGAGGCAATGGGATTTTAAAGACTGGAGAAAAGATATCGACAGGTTTTTAAAACTTCCGTTTTTATTGCATTGAACTACCTTTACATCTTATACCCTATTCACACCAGCAAAACATATTCTGTTAAACTGGTTTTTACTGGATGAAAATCATAAACAGAGAACTGAAAAACTTAATTTTCCATAGGATTCAAGTACTTGCTAACTTTCATTTCCACTGTACTAAATTTAAGTAAAAAATTTAGGTTAAGTAGTTTGTACGAAGAAAAAAAGTAAATTGTGTTTAACAAAACAACTCTAAAACATTCTTAAGCTTTGGTGTGAATGGGGTATTAGACACATAAGTAAACTGATCATCAAGAACATAAAATAGTTTAATTTGTTATAAATAATAGCGTCGAATATTAAAAAAAGGCTTTTAAAACCTTCCTTGCTACTCTCGTCTCTATTGATCTATCCTTTAATTTAACATGTTCCAGAATTCAGTCTTGCTTAAGTATCGAGGTATTTGACAATGGACAACTTCTTAGATAGGAGGACACAACATTTTCCAACTGGTTCCGATAACGCAAGGCATGCCATACAAACTAAATTTAAGTTAAAAATATTAATGGCAAACAAGGAAGCGACTTGTCTTAAGAATGAGATGTAACATTCGTTTTAGTAATCTTAGTAAACCTGGACAGCAGAAAAAGCTTCAAGTCACACAATGCATGTTGCATTACATTTCACAAAAGGTGTCACACAATACATGTCAAAAAGTATGTCACACTAACGGAGGACATACTTGAATATTGCTGTAATGCATATTACTCGATAGGGAGTTAAGCACAACATTGAAAACGGATGGTAGGTGAAAGTTCAAAAATTTAAATTTTAAAAAATTTTTCCTACATTTTTCTACTGAACTGACGAAGGCATCTGAAGAAGAAGTGTATAAACTCAAAGTTATGTGACTTTTGCTATTGCCACTGCCGCAAGGATCACGCTCAAACTTGTTAAATAATATATTTATGTGAACATAGTGTAAGTTAATTTTTAGAAAGCTTTAGTTTGATTCTGGCCCTATATACTCTTGAGTTTCTTCATCAGGTCTTCCACACTTAATTCATCGTCAGCTGATATTTGACCTTCACTGCTGATCTCCTGTGATATCTGCTAACAATTTGGAACCAATATTCAAATCACTCCTGAACATCTGAAGTCAATGATCAAGATTACCTCCCACCCTACCCTCCCTCCTGTCGCTAATATACTACGTCTGACCCTGTAATTTTTCTTTCCATAACCCATTTATACTCCTGGGAGGAGAGGGACACTGTTAGACAACAGTCTTGACAAGAAACACGGCACATTGAGGCCAGTCAGGGGTCGAACCCAGACCTCGTTATTCTAAGTCCTAATTCCAGAGTGATTAAGATCAGGCCATTAAATCTCTTACACACCAATTACCACTTAAAAATACTGAGTACCCCTCAAAAAATTCTACGCTTTTCCCCTTGATAGAACACGAGTTAATGTTGCACCAAATAATCCGAGGTGTGAGCCAAAAAGGGTTGTGAAGAAATTTGACTTTACATTACCACCAAGTAACCCTTAAAAATTCTATTCGGTAACCCCAAGAAACTTTTTATAAATAAATCAACTCCGGAAAGAATGACCCCCCACCTGCATTAAGTGATAAAAAATATAGCAATTCAAACCCACATGTACCTTTCTTTGTACTTTTGGTTTAGAGTACGCATACTGTATTCCTGCTACAAGCTTTTGGGATGCTTCGTCCTCTTCGATATCATCTTTGGCTTCATCAACTAAAGTAATACCTGAGACAAAAGGCAGGTGCAGCAGTGATAAGAAAACATCCAAAACAAAATAAACGAATTAATAGTTATAATGCCCCGGAGAATACCAATAACTGAACGACGATGATAATGAAAGTGATATGGAAACAGTAACCGAAATGATATGAAATGACATCCTCAGAACTAAGAAGGGTTTGGAGACAATTAAAAAGAGTTTTACGACAACTAAGAAGAGTTTGGCGACAGTTAAGAAAGGTTTGGCGACAGTTAAGAAAGGTTTGGCGACAGTTAAGAAAGGTTTGGCGACAGTTAAGAAAGGTTTGGCGACAAGTGAGGAGAGTTTGGCGACAACTAAGAAAGGTTTGGCGACAGCTAAGAAAGGTTTGGCGACAGCGAAGAAAGGTTTGGCGACAGCTAAGAGAGGTTTGGCGACAGCTAAGAAAGGTTTGGCGACAAGTGAGGAAGAGAGTTTATTGTATATGTAGGCGAGTTCAATAACGAGTTAAATAACGAGTTAAGTAGCCCACCGATACAGTCATTTCCATCCTGGATGACGAAATCCACATCTTCTTTTATGGGAGAAGGTCAAAAGCTCATGCATTGACCTTCATTGAAAAACAAAATGCGCGATTCAAACACCTACCCCACTCGTTATCCTCGTGTTTCACTTCTTCTTTTTCTTCTTCAATTGCTTTTTCTTTTTCTTCTTTTTCTTTTTTAGCTGCGTCTGATTCCTGCAAAATTCAAGACACCGGATCATATTTCATATGTTACAGTGCTCGCGTGTATTGCAGCACGCTCACACACATCAAGCACCTGCAATTTATGGGAATATTACACTCGCTTCTAGTGCGTGTAGTTACGCATGCGCAGTAATAGGTACGCATCAGTTTTGTGTTTTTCTGTTGGAAGGTAAGCTTATTACAGCAGCTTCAATTATCAACCCCTCCCCGCACCCAACAGGAATAGCAGAGGTACTGTAACAGTCCATACCGACAAACCCGACGATGCAATAACAATAACTCTAACAGTACAAAATGATTCAAAAAGCAGCCATCACTTCGAAGCTTCAACAATTCCTTTCCTCGGCAACCCACGGGCACTTAATTACATCTGACACTTGGGTGGAGCATTTCAACACAATTTGGACCCAAGAGGCAGGAATTTGAACGAACCAACCTTCAGAAGTTCAAATGTCTGGGGGTAAGATTTTTCATACAGAAAAAAATCAATACCTGGTATTCTCTTTGTCTTTGCTGACAAACGACTTCCTCACAAGCGGGATTTGGTTTTAGCGCCATGCTAGGAAAGAAGTCTTGCATGGCGTTATAGCCAAGGTAATACGAGACAGAACCAAATTCAAGCAGGTGTCTTTACAAGAAAGAAAAAGAGAGGAATATCAATTTTGAAAATGCACATATACCACAACAAGACTTATTGGTATAAATCTAAATATAGCGTTCTATCAAAGAGGTTGCGATCTGATTGGTTACCTTACTCACTGTTTTTAGTGTGATAATTACGTGTAATGAGGAAAGTAAGTGGCCTACCACCGTGTGGTTAAAAACCAAATCAAATAAATATTTCAGTCTTTCTTGTTGTTGTTTAATAAAGTTTTGAATGACTAAATCTATAGTAAATCTAGTAGATCTATACTACAAAAAATACAATACTCACTTTTGATTTTGTAGGACTGATATTTGATTCAAGCTTCACTCTCTTCGACAAACACGCTATATAAACTTCTAGCTCACAATCTAATTGTTAACTGGAGTAGGAAACAGGGTAATTTAGTATTGTCAACTGAGTTGAGAACGTAAATTGGCCACAGTAGAGAGTTTAAAGGCTGACGTTTTGAGCGTTAGCCCATCGTCAGAGCGATTGAAGGAATTGCTTAGGGTTGGTTCCTCCAATCGCTCTGACGAAGGGTTAACGCTCCAAACGTCAGCCTTTAAACTCTTTATGATAGCAAATTTACGTTTTCAACTCATTTTTTAACACTAAATTACCCTGTTATACTCTCCCACCGATGCAGCACCACACTATCTTTAGAAACTTACCCCCTTTTGAGTAGGAAACACTTACTTGAGTGTATTTTGAACCAGAAAACCAGCTACAATTCCCATAGTTGTTGGAAGAGATGCAGCACAGACACCCTCTCTTTTGAGTGTTCTCTCGTCAATATTAGAGGCAACAACCAAAGGAGGGGCACACTATAGGAAAAAAAAAAAACAAGCTGAGAGCCTTGTCCCTAAAGCTAATTACCAGGAGTATTTCAACTCCCCTCTGATGGCCAGCTAGTTCATATCAGGTCACCCCCAGAATTTTGTCACACTTCTCAACAATTTGCCCTTCGCATTTATACTTTGAGACTGATAAAGTGATTGCTTTAGTAAAACCCTTCTACACCAAGCTTTCCCTCAGGTGACTTACCACCCATGCACAAAGAATGCAGGCTATGAATTGGAGGGGAAAAGGGTCAGGATCTATAAATTACAGTAAAAACCATGAAAACAAGGGTAACTGGATATTTAACTTAGAGATGCATCATTTAGTGTGAGGAAGAGTAGGGCAGGTACCTTTCTGGTGCGCCTGCCACATTACTTACCAGTAATTCAGTGGCAAGAACATTGGAAATTATATAGAAGAAAATGTAGCCCCCCCCCCCATTAAATGACCAGTCCCTTACATTTCTTTTCTGCATGTCTGACAGGTTCTAAAATGATCTGTAGCCATGTGGAACATGAGTGACCCAAATTGAGGGAAAGATCAGTCAATTTCCAAATGTCATTAAGTCCTTAGCGAGTTTTGACAAAATCAAGAATTAAACTTTCCTTTGCCTTCAGTTCTTTAGTTGAGAACATTTGGTGAGAGATAAACAGAAATTTTTGCAAAAAATCTTTAATCAGTTTTTATTATGAACCATAAAGGAGAGTATGGCAGGGTAGAAAACCAATCACAGCTTAGTAAATGAGATATCCAGTAATTAAAACACAATTATAACTGTGTTGATTATACATTCTTGTATATAATGTAATTAGACTAACTGCAAAACAAGCTGTTTTTCCAGGAGCAATGAACTGAATGTGACCAGACACAGCGTTTTCACTGACACCAGATTCTATCCAAGGTTGTTTTAATTCATTACATGCCTGAAAAAAAGAAAAATATTATGTGTTTGGAAATTAAGCCAAATAAATAAAATAACTACTAAAGAACACTATTGACTTGGACACACTTTCGATAGGAATACTCTTAGAGCCCTTTGGGTATACCCAACATCTCCTGGCCCCTTGTTGTTCAAAGGTCAGATAACACTATGTATTGGATAAATCACTATCCAGTGGATGGAACAGTATTCCTTATCCACTGGATACCAATTTATCCTTTAGATAGTGTTCACCAACCTTTGAACAACTGGGCCCTAACTGATAGATCTGTTTCACTTGTCTTTTTCATATTATAGGTCTCCAAGACCAAACAAACTATTGTTGATTTCGTAGTTTAAGACATGTAGTGTGGCTACCACAACTCCTTTTGAAAAATTGCTTTTCTCTGGAAAACCACTAGTAGACATATCTCTGGAAACAGATGGAATTGACCCTCAAACTCCCATAGTTGCAGGCATTGCCTTAGTTCCCTGGTTGAGCTGCAGAGGATTTTAAATGCAACTGGTACAAATAACATGAATCTTACTGTATTTATTGCCATCCTAGCTTCAAAATTATCCACACAACTTAGCACAAGATTTACAGCCTGGCCATCTTTTCCACCATGACTAAAAGAGGATAAGTAAACCAATTAGCTAAATGACGCAGTAAATCAATCCTTTGCAGAAAGAGCTGATTTATTCTAATGATGCATCTTCACTTTTTCTTATAGTGTCTTATAGTCTTTAAGGATCATGTATACTGTTCACTTTTTTGTAACATTTATTGTAAATATTACCCAATTCAGTTTATTAACTGCTATGTACATTTGTTTGCTTAATAAATCTATCAAATCTATAACTTAGTGCTTTGTTGCAAAGTAAACTTACTACTGTACTTTCAGAAAATGGTGAAAATTTTAATTAGCTCCCAGCCTCAAATGAGGGCCCACCCTCAAAGGTACAAAACCTTAACTAACAAGCGCCCAAGGGGACCTAACCTCTTGAACTCCCAGAAATGATTCACATGTAACTTCTCCCTATAAAATCCCTTCATTATCCAGCAAACTGGCAATGAGAATACTTGGACTTATCAGTTAGAAGTTGTTATCTTGATCTAACACTAAATTCTTGTCACTTATTTACAATGAAACATGTAGCGGCTAGAGGAGAGAATTGATGATCAGATTTTGGGAGCTATAAGGTGAATCAAATAAAATAGCTACTCACAGTACATTTGGATTGTAATCATATGGGCAATATAATTATTCCATTTCATTAACCCTTTGACTCTCCTTATCAACCAAGACAGAATTTCTCCTTACATTATCAGTTCAGTTTCAAGAAGACAAGTGAGGAGAATAGAAGCAAATTTCAATTTGAGGGTTATCAGTTGATCCACTACCAAATTCTCCAAACTAACATCAAAAGAGTTAAAGAAAGATTTTTTTTTTGTCTTGTCACAAGTGTGGGACAGAGAAAAAATTCTGAGTTCCCATGAAGAATTGAACCTCAGAACTTTGGATTCTACGTTCTACCTCTGAGCCACACAGACTCCATGGTGAGCAAGGTCTATTACAAAATTCATATGACACATGTCCTGCATACTGCTGGGATCAGCAATGTTGATAGCATAGTGTTTGTAGATAGAAATAAGTCAGAGATGGTAAGCGGTAAAGAAATAGAGAGAGATGTTTTTTTTGTCTCGTCACAAGCGTAGGACAAAGAAAATCAAAAGAGTTGTATAGCAGATGGTTAGGAGAATTAAATTAAATGAGATCTTAAGAGTGAAAGAGTAAAACAGCACATAATATTGTCTGAAGTATTCAGTACTTCCCTTACCTTATTCTACAAAGGAAATGCTTAAAATTTTCCAGTAATGTAATGTTGTAGTTGTATGCTTCAAATTCCACATCAGGATTGATGTCTCTGTAAAAAAAACCCCAATCATGTGGTAAACAACATTTGCAGAGCACACAGAAAAGCAAAAGCAATGTCCACCATAACAATTAATTACGTTTTTGCTTACTTACCTCAATGTATTCACTGCAGCTTCAACTTTACTCATTCCAGACTGATCAGGACGGAAAAATAACCTGACAGGAAACAAATTGTAACATGCATCAATAGAAAGACCTTCTTAGACCTGATTGTTAATTCTCCCTGCTAAGAACTACACATTTCCCTGTTAATTTACAAGGAGAATTTAACAATAGATCATGATAACAACATCCACCCGATAAGTTTGAGTATTCTCATTACCTGTTTGCAGGGTAATGTGCGGATATTATGGGAAAAAAATTACATGTTTATCATTTCCGGGAGTTTAAGGGTTAACCAAAATTTTGATCAGATTCCTCTGCAGAAAAGTTGAACCCTCTCTAAGATTTGCCATGCTCCAAACATGTGGCCTCATAACTCAGTTGGTAGTGGTACCTGTCTAATATCTGGGAGGCCTGGGTTCCTATCCTGTCAAAGTCTTAATTATTTTTTACCCTTTTACATCCTAACATCAGTATCCATATTCTCCATACTCTTCTCTATACATTTCCTTTGGTACTGGCAAGGAGAATTCGTTTGACAATCAGAGCTTCATAGGTTGGTGTTAGTTTTCTTTATTCTCATGATCTTAATGAATGATTCAGTATATGACTGTAAGGAGAAATTAGATGCTAGTCACTCAAGGTTTAAATGGTTACTCAGGGTTCCTATCTGCAGTCAACCTGTGAGGATAATTTCTTTGCTTAATTTTCATCTGCAGGTCAAATCAAATAAGTTTCAATAAGATAGAATATCAATAATGATTATGTTGTGGGTAATTACTGATAATAATGAGAATGATGATGACTGTGTAAAGTGCAGATGGCAACACAGAGAGAAATAGTAAGACATACAGAATATCACATGAAGAAAAGACCAAAAGAAAGACATTCATGCATAGACAAAGTGTTTGATTAAAAGACAGAGAGACAGAATGATGCACACTTCAAGGGAAGATTCTACAAACTAACTTCAATTAGTCAATTTTTTACCTGTTCATGTTTGCAAGTTCCACTTTGTCATAATCAAAAAGTAAAAGCTACAGACAAGAAACACAGTTTTATAAATCAAATAATTCTTTACATGCACAGCTTGTACCATTATGATACCAATCACAATTTTGAATTTGCTGTACAGAAATCCTTAACCCTTTAACTCCCAAGATCTGATTGTCAATTCTCCCCTCTAGCTGCTATACATTTCCTTGTAAATTGGTTACTAGAATTTGGTGTTTGATCAAGATATATGTCTTGTACCTGATGAGTTTGAGTATTCTCACTACCTGTTTCCTGGATAATGTTTGGATATTATAAGGAGAAGTTACATGTTAATCACTTCTGGGAGTTAAAGAGTTAACCAAGGGACATAATAATCTGACTGGTTGAGTGATATAAGATCACTCAGATCGTGGCGTTTATCTTTAGATTCAAGGTATGTCTACTAAAAATAAAGTGCACTGCAAATTGCTTCAGTTCATACCTTTCCTATTCCACATCTTGTTAACATTTCAGCTGTGACACTTCCAACTCCACCAACACCAACGATTACCACAGTAAAGTCACGGATTTTCTAACATACAAGAAAATGAAAATGCTTATTCAGCTAGTGTCCACAACAAGAAAAAAATATAAACATTGCTGGTGGTTAGGAAAGGAACAAGACTACCATGCAAGTTAATCACTTCATGATCATTTAATACCAGTGATCTGATATTGCATTAAGAAGATAACAAACTCATCAGAGTACAGTGTGTATGTTATTACGAATATCATATATTTGAACTGAAAATAAATAAATAAATATGAGAGTGATCTTTGCAGTATAGAACACTACTTTTGAAGAAGTAAAAAAAAAAAGCCTGAAAAATTTTCAGCCAGTAAGAAAGTGCAGTGCAGTAAAAAAACTTAATATAAAGTTACCAGCAATTCTGCACACATTACTCATCACTAAAAGTATATAAAATTGTCCTTAATATTTTCACTTCCAAGATATTGCTTAATATTCTCCTTACTATCTACCATATCATTATCACTGTTTGTTCAGAGAATTTGGTAATGGACCAACTAATCATGCCCTCATTGATATTTTTCTTTACTCTCATTACCTATTTGCTTGATATTGTATTGATATTATAGGGAGAAATTCAGTCTTGGTCACTCATGAAAGTTAAAAGGCTAAGAGTACCAAACCAGCCACTCAAATAAATTTTACAAAATTATACGATAAACTATGAATTCTTGATATCAAGATGATACCTGCCTGTTTCCAACTGAAACTTACCTCATAATTATCCACTATTCCCATTCTTTTCAAGGCCATCAAACGACTGTTAAAAAAAAAAAAACATTAACATACATCACTATTTGGTTTCGCATTCACTCAACTTCAGAGATACCATGCATATTTTATTTATATACAGTTGAGAAATTTATTTCACATTACAGCTGCAAGAAAGCACTCAGGCAAATTTGCAAAGGACAAGAATAAGATCAGGTATCAATGACATATTGACATCTTAAAGTTCAGTGGCATATAAAATTTTAATTTATTAATTAACTTCCCCAAAACACAAGAGTGATGCTTCAAAATAATTCCAGAGCTTCAGTTTTTCTTGACTTTTCTCCAAAATGTAAATTTTTCTATGTCACAATAAAACTTGTTGATTTTTCACAATTCTCTGAGAGCAATTTTCTTTGATCAATTACTAGACAGTGGCAACAATGATAATTAAAGGCCATGGTTTAAACAGGAAAATACGAGACAACAACGATGAACCTTTCTTTGCATCATGATTTACGCAAAGATGCTACAATTTTCAATATCAATGATACCCCAAGCATTTGTATTTAATCTTTGAACACAACCGGCGTAACTTTCTAAAGAATCCTGCCACCAAAACACACGTCCAATGAAGCAAAACGATATAGAGAAACCACCAGGGTTCAAGTTTCCTTGAGTTCTGGTAGAATCAAACCCGATCGTACAAACGTGAAAATATGTAACAGAAATTTCATATCGGTGTTTACATAAAATGTTTGAATGTTTTGTAACCTTGTTGAACAAAGCTAACAACGGTCAACTGGGCGTTAAATATTATTTGTTTTCATGCTACTGCAGGAAAATCGACAGACAACTTAGTAAGTTAACGCGCTTTCAAGACACGTCTTTCACAAGGGGAAGGCAGCAACTACTTGTGATCACCGCTTTTCGTGATCTTTCGATCCGATTTTTTCGTGGGACCATGATCACCGGGGACTATGATTTTAAATATAAAAATTCATTTAAAACGAACAATAGCGCAGTATTAAAAGCTAATAACCACAGTGGGTTGCTCCTTAAATGTTTCATTTGGCTTCGAAAACTAATTCTCACACGATCGAAAAACCGTTTAGCAAAACGTTAACCAACTTACCTATATGGATTGCTATCCACGACTTCAGAGCTCATCTCCTGAATTTTTTCCCTCACGGGTCCCTTTCTTTTACGCTCATTTTCCAGCGCGATCTCAAGCTCTTTAATCTTAGCTTTCAGCCTTTCGATCTCCTCCGCCATTGTTTATTTCTACGGGCGCTTACTGCGTATCCACAGATGTTAGATTGTAATTAGAAGCCTTGCCTCTTTCTTCACGTTCTAAATTTGTTTGGAAGACAAAATGGCGCCGCTCAGCTGCTTTTATAAAGTGACACGCTGGCCATTAATATTTACCCGCGGCGCCGAAATCCTCATATACTTTGTGATTGGCTTAAAAGTTTTCGCGCGAATATTCACCGTACCATGATGCTATTTTTCATTTCATATGCGAGGCTGCAGTTTGTCGCTTGACCCCTTCGATATCGTCGAGAGTTTTGGTTTCTTTTCCACCTTGGTCGTACAAAGATGCCTCGAATTACTCGCAGTGCTCAGAAACAAATCGAATTTCGTTGTCAGAAGACTCGATCACAACAGAAGAAGAACGAAGGAACGATCGCGGCAAGTCGAAGCAAACACACACGAGAATGTTCGATCTCACCGAGAAAACGCCGCGATCCCGCGAAGGGTAAGCCTAGAATGTTATCTTTTGCTTCTTTATTAAACTTCTTTTGTAAGCCAATGTAAAGACCCCTGTAAGAGATATAAGGATCGTCAAATTTTCACTTCAGCGAAACTGACAACGGTGTTTAAAATATGAAATCTACTTATTTGCAATTGCACATTCGGCCATTTATTCCCGCGCGTGTGCAAGGTCGAACGTCAGAAGAAAAAAAATCAAATCCTTGGAAATGTAAGCACTATGAAGCCTTTTTATTATGATTTATATTTTATATATAAACATTTTGTTTCAAGTTTCATTCCTCATGCTTTATCTTCCGTCGATCTTCAATTCGGCACAAAGACTCTAATCGGATTTACAGTTTGCGACTCATTTGCATGCACTCATTTGCATGCACTCATTATAACGCTGCGCTACTGACAAAGCTATCGGCAGCGCTAGATATTACAATTTTGCATTTTTTTTTCATCTGTGCGCTTCTTCGAGCCTCTTTCCTCATTAAGTGTTAATTAATGCCTTTCAGAATTCGATGGTTCTTCGTTCAACTTCATTTTGTTAAATATATATTTCAAAACTTTAAGCTTGGTTTAATTTCATTGGCAATACCCTTGGGTAACGTCTTAATTGCTCTGTTGATAAAAATGATTTGCTTGAATTTTCTTTTAGCTTGTCAAACACCGGTTTCCGTATCCCCGAAGAAGAGAAAGAACAATGATGGAAAGGCTAGAGACGTTGTTTCCAGCGATGAAGAGAACTCTGATCCAAAACAGAAGCTTTCGTTTGCAGGTAAGGTTTTGTAAGAAACACTGAACTAAACATCAAAATATTTATCATGCTACCCTTTGAGATTTTTTCTTTACGGATGTTTGGGGGGGGGATTTATTTGTGTACCCCTGGTATCTCCAATTATTTGCCCTTCTTATAACAATAGTAACTGTAACCATATCCAATTTGGTCTACTGACACATAAAACTACCATGACACGATGGAAATTCTTATTGAATCAGTAAAGATACAATGGATATTGGATACCTTTTTGCTCTTTTCTATCTGAAAAATTCTTGAGTATTCCTTACCATCTCTCCAAATGGTATCATTCTTTAACATGGAAGAAACCTTTCATTTTTACAAAAATTAAGGGCTTGATTCACCAAAGACAACACCAAGAAACCAAGCAAGATGCAAGAGTAAAAATGCTGGTCTTAAAGAGGGGTCAGAACCAAGGAAAATAATCTCGCTTGCTCGTCAGGATGGTAAGTAATAATGCTGTTAATATCATAAATGGTATCTGTTAACCCTTAAACTCTTATACGCAATCAAGACAACATTTCTCCTTACAATATCATGCAGAAAAGAGTTGATAATAAAGAAAAGTATTGACAAGAGAATTGCTAGTTGATCCAATACCGCATCCTCCATACTGACATAAGAATTGTATGACAGACAGTAAGGATAATTATTAATAAGATCTTGAGAGTGAAAGGGTTAAAGTACTGGACTCTTAATCAAATGATAAAGGTTTGAAACCTGACTTTTTCAAAGTCATTGTGTTGTGTTCTTAAGCAAGATGCTTCAATCTCACAGTACACCCCCCCCCCCTCAGAAGTATCAATAGATAGCACCAAACTGTTTAGGAAACTTGAAAAATTGTGGAGGGGGGCTGAATTAAGATGAACTAGCATCCCATGAAAGGGGAGAAACAATATTCTCATCAGAGCCTGTAGTGTGGGCCACACCATGATAACCAATATTAATTATTATTGATAACTGTTATAACACTATTAACAGTACTTTACCTATGATCAAAAGCTCACACCATGGCTGTTTTACCAGGTCAGCAATATTCCAAAGTAAGAAGGGCTCTTCATTCTTCGCATCCTAATAACTTGCTGTGTCGAGAGAAAGAGGTCACAGAAATAAGAAAATTTCTACAGAATCATCTGCTGAAGGGAAAACCAGGAAGTCTGTACATATCAGGTGCTCCTGGCACAGGAAAGACAGCTTGTTTGACAAAGATTATGTTTGAAATGAAGGTAAGGTGAACTTTAAATTTCCTGGAGCAGAACTCTCAACCCAGAATCCAGTGAATTAGCCATAAGCTTGAGGCCACCTTGTCTATTGTATATCTCAGTTAGACTGTATAAGAATTTGAATGTAATTTGGTTTTTATCCCCCGAGTTGTTCATGTAAACTAGTCACTGTAAAAGTTTCTAAAGCTGATGCACTTGCTCTGATGAAGGGGTAATACCCCCCCTTACCAACACAGCACTACAGTTTCTTTGAAAAATTTCAACAAAATTAGCATGACATTACTCAAGATGGGCCATCCCTAAATCTAGGGGGGGTACCATCTACTCAAATTTAAAAAGGCTCGTTTGTTATGGATAACAAACCTCTGTTTTAAATGACTCATGAAGAAGATAAAGGAAACTTACTGTAATTTGCTGATTCTTTAGGATGACATCAGAAAATGCCAAGTTATCTTTGTGAACTGCATGGCACTTAAACAACCTCAAGACATTTTCAAGAAGATAGCAGTTGAATTAGTGGGAGAAGACCAGTGTCCAGCAAAAACTTCACAAAAATTCCTTGAAGAGGAATTTTCTTCATCAGCTGCAACAAGGTAACTGAACTATTCCCACAAATAAACCCAAAACAAAGAATTGAAAATTCATCATTAATTGGTAGTTTTCATCATCAGTTTTTTTTGGCCAAACTGTCCTGTTGAGTGATCTGTGATTGTTGGTTCTAGAATCCTTATCTTAGATGAAATGGATCAACTTGAATCAAAGCATCAGGAAATTCTTTACACTATGTTCGAATGGCCCTCTCTGCCAAAATCAAAGCTAATTCTAATTGGTAAGTAATCATTTCAATCATTTTAAACTTGTTTAATCTGTAAAAGAAGTAGAAAAGAAGTAGTGCACATCTATCACTACTGATTGATGGTGATAACTGATTCGGAGGTTTTTATCTGTAGGGATTGCAAATGCCTTGGATTTGACTGACAGGATTCTTCCAAGACTACAAGCTAGACCTAAATGTAAGTAACCCTTTTAACTTCCTAAAATTATTAACATGTAGCTTCTCCCTATAATATTCATACGTTATCCAGAAAACAGGTTATGAGAATACTCTAACTTATATAAAAGGTAGAAGTTTTTATTCTGATCTATCACCAAATTCTCATAACTAATTTACCAGGAGATGTGTAATAGCTAGAGGAGAAAATTAACATTCAGATCTTGGGAGTTAAAGGGTTAAATGTATAACTTTGGATTTCAATAAAAATATTTCAAATAAAAAAATTCATTAATATATAGATTTTGGCCGAGTACGAGATTGTCTGAACAATTTCTCTATGTCAATCTATAAGTAAAGAAGTAAGTGCTAACCCTCTGAACCCCAAAATTGATTAACATGTAACTTCTCCTTCCTGGATTATTACATTATTTAGCCAATGGGTCATGAAAATGGACACATTTATCAGCTGTAGAGAAAATTTTCCTAATCTAATACTTGCTTTTCCTAAGTGATTTGCAAATAAATGTATTGCAGATTTCAGAGAGAATCCCAAACCATATCTCTGCAGTGAAAAAAAAATTGAAGTTTTGCCATATAATGAACAAGAGATATTAAAAGTACTTGATTACCTCTCAAATTCCCAGAAATATTGACTGACCTCATTGCTTTGTTTTTGTTTTAACCTCAAGGCAAACCAGAGCTTCTTCACTTTGCACCTTACACAAAAGAACAGATTGTACAAATTATAAAGGACAGATTGACAACGGTTAGTTATTGCTGTTGCATAGAATTTTCCATTCCCAAACACAAAGATGGCTTGACTCTTACAGTGATTGGCTACTGTTTTCAGGTGGATGATAGAAATAACATTCTTGATGCTTCAGCTGTGCAGTTTTGCGCAAGAAAGGTGTCGGCCATGGCAGGCGACATGAGAAAAGCCTTAGATATCTGCAGGTAATGAGGATTACAAATTCCCTTCAAAAGAAATGTAACAGACCTGTATCAAAAATAGCCACCAGATTGAAGCCCTATGAGGACAGTGTGAGCCTACTCATATGATGATAGGCAGAATTGGAATCCACTAGCTCTTATTTCCATTAACCCTTTGACCCCTAAGTGTGACCAGCATCCAGTTTCTCCTTACATTATCACCCCTGAATCAAACATTTAGGTCACAAGAATAGAGAAAATTATCATCAACTAAAGGAGCTCTTGATTGTTTAACAAATTCTCCTCATCAGCACCTAAGGATATGTATAGAGAACAGTATGAAGAATATTTATTCTGATGTTAAAGCATAAAGGGTTCATAGTCAGACACTGTTGGCACCCTGGCTTGGGTCCACTAAATACAAGGTATCCACAGATATACCATGTGAATCTCAAGATCCAATTTGTAATTCTTATTACAGACTACCATACATTTCCTCCTAAATCAGACAGGAGAATTTGATGTTAGACCAAGATAAAACCCTATATTTAATAAGCTTGTCTGGGATAAGAAAAAAATTATGTTTTGTTCAATTCTGGGAGTGATATGGCAGATAAGTGGCATAAAATTACCTGAAGTTGAACATGACAATTTTAGGCAGCCCCCTTTGTTTGCTTGAACTAAATTCATCTAACCCTGATAATAAATACATGCAACTTCTTATGATCACGTCAAAATTAAAACTCCGAACTAATTTTTCAGGCGAGCAGTTGAAGTGGTAGAATCTGGAGAAAGAAAGCAACAGATTTTACAACCAGTTGGAAAAGGTACCTTTTAATTTTATGTTTATCACAAGTCTTGAGTGGCTTTTGATCCCTTTATCTATGTTTTAAAAAACCCTAGATTGAGAGTGATGCTGCTAATCAATCAATATTCTTGTTAGCAACTATTTGATGAGTGATAATTATCAATAATTGTTGATATTTTAGTGATATTCCTTCCATTGAATTATGAAATCACAAATTCTTCTTTCATATTGTTTCATCAGCTGAATCTCCCTCAAAAAAGCTTGAAACTCCACCAAAGCCAAAAAAGGTTGGAATTTCTCAGATTGCTAGTGTTGTAGCAGAAGTTTATGGATCTCGTCTGGTCTCTGGCCCTGGAAGTGAACAGCCAACAATACCACTGCAACAGAAGCTTCTTATCTGCACGTTTTTGTTGATGACAAAAGAACGCAACACAAAAGAAGTTGTTTTAGGAAAGGTAAGGAAAAACCTTCAGTTTAGGTTTCATTCTGATTAACCCTTTAACTCCCATGAGTGACCAAGACTGAATTTCTCCTTACAATATCAATACAATATCAAGCAACAAGTGATGAGAATTAAAGTAGATAACAAGTAAGGGATTATTGGTTGATCCAATAGCAAATTCCCCACACAGACACATAAGAATTGTTGGGCAGACAGTAAGGAGAATTGATATTAATACTAATTCAAGTTAAATTTCATTCAAACCAATCAAGAATGTTATGAAAGAACCCATATTTGAATGGCTGTTTTAAAAAAAGAGCTGTTATAAAAATCTTCATTCCTATATTTGCAATAAGTGTTGATTTCTTTAAGCACAGAATTTGTATTACCTTGACATGGGATCACATGCATCTTAAGAGTAAATAGAAATTTAAGGGAATTTGTTCAATTTTGTTCCTTTTAGTTTCACGACACTTACTGTAAAATCTGTACCAAGAGAAAAGTCTCCCATCTTGGTCAGGAGGATTTTCTTGGGCTGTGTAATATCCTTGAGACCAGAGGACTTCTTGGAATGAAAAGAGCTAAAGACACAAGGATGATGAAGGTGAGTTGGAAAGTTATTGAAAAAAAAAACATAGAAAGTTTCTTCAGAAGAATTCCTTTAACTCAAGCAGCTAATGAACAGAGAGCACTGAGTTAATGTGTTCAAACCTGGCCAGGATCATTGTTAAATAATAGATAACCTATCAGAAGTCTAAGGGACAAAACTTTTGTGCAATTTACTTATTATGTAATAGTAAATTATATTTATTATCATTACTTTTAGGTGACCCTAAAAATTGATGAAAAAGAGGTTGACTATGCATTACAAGACAAAACATTACTGTCTTCAATTCTACAGGAAGGAATGCCAACATCTTCTAAGAAATAAATTTAAGATGGCAAATTTGAATTTGAAGTTATTTGCACTTTTTTTTATAAAAACTTGTTAGATAATTTTCTCGAAAGACCATTTTATTTCATTCAAATGTTTTGCTTCAGTTTGGATTTATTTTAAAATTTCCCTTATTTAAACTGAGTCTTTGAGAGCCAGTAAAAAATTTTTTGTAACTATGTAAAGAATGCATTAATTTTATTTTCAAGTAAAAAATTTCTGTGATCTGAGGGACTGATCATTATTTATAGTCAGGGGGGGGGGGGGGGGGGGGGGTCAGAGGATTATGATTTGCCAAGGACCTCATTGGACTCTGTAGTATTTTGATGATTCCCCTTTGTTAGCTGTCAATTTTGTACAGCCCTCCCATTATACTCTGTTAGTGACAACTGATCTTCCCCTCAGTTTCCCCCTGGATAACCATGTGATCCCCAAAATCCTCTGACTCCCCCCCCCCCCCTCACCTCACTAGGTGATAAATCTTGACTGTTTCCTTATAGCAGCTTATTCATAAAGCCTCTTCAGTCTACCCAAACAGGGCTTATGTTTTTAATTGAAACTATTTTAAATCTAATTTTCTCCTAGCTATTATGAGTAGGTTCAAGATACTTGTGAAATACCATTTTATATAATTTATTTTAAAATTATATCAGTTTCAAATGTACATAATAATAAAGTAGTTTTTTGAAGCCATGGTGTTTTACTCTGTGTCCTTTTTTCCCCAACCTTTAGTAAGTATTCAAAAACTGAAAGATCAGAACTCCAAGTTTTAAGATTGATACCACATCTTTCATTTTTTTTAATTTTCAATCCTAAATTAACCTCTGTAAACCTACAGAACATCCACAGGAAAATACATGTTCCCTCTGTCTTTAAACCAACCAGTTCTGCTCTATAAAATTGAAGAAAGTTTAGGTACAGACGAGTTTCAAAAGTAGGAAACTTCATTCCACTTTCACTTGTATCTGTGTGGAATTTGGAAAAAAAGTGAGTGGAAGAGTTATACCGTGGATGAGAGACTGGAAACCAGCTGATAATTCCAAATTCAAAATGGCGGCAAAAATTCGTGGAGTTCTAATCGATCTTAGCGGCACGATTCACGTTGAAAATTCAGTAATTCCCGGTTCTATACAAGCTCTAAAAAGGTATGGTGGAACTGTGACTCATTTGGGTTGTTCAGAAGTTATATTTTTCCTCTAGAGTCGTAGATCACACGGTTAATTTTGTCCATCACTGCGCGCCGTATTTTTTGCACAATTTGTTATTTTATTTATTTGTTTTCGTAGACTTCGAGAATCTGGCGTTACTGTCCGATTCGTTACCAACACTACAAAAGAATCAAAGGGCACCTTACTGAAGCGTTTGACTAGCATAGGATTTGATATAAAAGCAGAGGAAGTTTTTACTTCACTGACTGCAGCTCGTCGCCTAATTGATCAGAGAAGCCTGCGTCCAATGTTGTTGTTGCAATCGGACGCCATTGAAGACTTTAAAGGCGTTGACGTGAATGATCCAAATGCTGTAGTAGTAGGACTTGCTCCTGATTGTTTCAATTATGAAATTTTGAACAAAGCATTCAGGTACAGATTTGTTGTTGGAAATCGGCACCGTGCCCCCCTCTCACCCCATTCTCTGTCCTCCTATTTCTTCCTAACCCCCCTCCCAACCAAGAACCAAGCTCTCTTTTATATTCTACATGGCCCAAGTGTTGGAAAATTATTTCAAAGTTGTACTCTTGAGTTACTGGAGAGTATAAGAGTTTTAAAAAAACTATGAAAACTTAATGATTTCAATGATGTACTAGTAAATTACTTTATTTTAGAAACAAACCTCATTTGCAGTTTCCTCTAAAATAATAATAAGACAAGAACCATTAAGTGATTATACCTGGGTTATTAAAAGCTTTACTGGCAGAATAATTCTACGGAGAGTGGCTCATAAAGGGAAGGGGGGGAGGGGGAGTGTAGGTCCAGAACAAAATTTTTCAGTTTTTATCATTATTATGGATCAACGGGGTGTGCACTTGTATAGTTATAAAATGCTGATATAGGACTTCCCCCTCCCCTTTCACTGAATAGTCTTGTAGAATAAACTAGTATACTTTCACTGTCACTCTGCTTCAATGTTACTCATTTAATTTTTGCAGGCTTTTGCTGGAAGGTTGCCCTCTCATCGCAATTCACAAAGTGCGATACTACAAAAAAGGGGATGGACTGGCACTAGGTCCAGGCCCCTTTGTCACTGCTCTTGAATTTGCAACAGATGTCAAAGCTGAAGTTGTTGGCAAACCACAAGCTTCCTTTTTTAGACAGGCACTGAGTGAAATTGGCTGTGATGTACAATCTGCAGTCATGATTGGAGATGTAAGTTGCTTAGCTTTTTACTATGAGCCAATGGATTAGCATAAATTGGCTCCTCATACTCAATTTTTTGACGATATGTTTGAAAATATTCTTGTTTCATCGCCCTGTGGAGTAAAATCTGAAAATGAACCTGCTTTATTTTTCCCATCCAATTTGAAGTACACAGTGGTCTGCATGCTAGCACCAAGAACTCTTTTATCAATTTTTCTGGAATTGAGCTCTGGCTGGGTTATTGTGTTGTGTTCTCTTTTAATCCCATATTACTTCTTAATTAACAGGATGCAAGGGATGACATTGGTGGAGCAGAATCCATAGGGATCAAAGGATTTCTTGTTCAAACAGGTATAAAAAAAATGAAACCCTTTTTTTTAAATAAATGTTTATAAGGTTGAAATTGATATATTTTTTCATCAATGTTTTAGGTAAATACCGAGATGGAGATGAACATCACCTTGAAAAGCCTCCCTTTGCTGTCTGTAAAGACTTCCCTGCAGCAGTGGATCAAATACTTGCATTGTTATGATGTTGCTAAGGGAAGATCAGTTAGGGCATCGTAACTCATGTCAAGCAGACTGAACTCTAATTGTACAAGAATTCAAGTTCTTGGAGGTGTTTCTGCTATTCTAGAGGTTTTGCGCCAATTTGCTGTTAGCACAAAAGGATGGACTGACAATTGTTGGCTCATGAAAGTGGAATGATATTAAAAGCGGTATAACATTATCAGCATATTTCACTATCCCTTTTACAAAATTGGAAGATATGGTGACTAAATAGCTGATTTGCTGGTGTGAGACCTGATCAGTTCATTTTGTTATGTTCTTTGACAAAACACTTTACAACACAACACTTTAAAACACAGTGCCTCTTCCACCCAGGAATATAAATGGCTACTGGTGAAGTGTCAGGGAAGCCTTATGAATTGTTGGGGATAACCTTAGGTGGTTCACATAATTTCTGAGTGTTAGCTCATGATGTCTACTTCCTGAGAATAGGCTCCAAAGCTCTTTTAGCAGAGGCTTGTCATCTTGAAAAATATTCCTCTAGGTAGTTTAAGAGTATTTGTACTTTCACTGTGTTTACACCAACTCCAAAGTGAGTTCCATCAAAACTGTGAACACCCATTGTCATATTAAAGCTATCAAACAGACTGATGTTGTGGCGATTGCAGTATTTTCGCAGATTTTCATTGAAAGACAAAATGGCTGGATTTCCTTGGTCACGGTGATAGTTTATTGGTTTTAAAGGACCCATAGAATGAGTTGATAACCATATAAGGTGTGGCCAACCATTTTTGGATGTTGAAACTAATTTTACTGCAGGCTCAAGGTAGGATTGAATAACAGCTGATGCGTTAAAGTTGTTGTGGATGCCAATTCCCATGAGAACAATAGAACCAACTTTGTTCAAGAGTTTTCTGATTGCAAGAAAGGCAAGTTGTGCCAGCTCAACTTTGTAAGCTTTCACATATGAAATTTGAAACCTTGCCCAGCCATCACAGAAGTTTGGATTGTCCATAATGTCACGCCATGTCATAGCTGTGTGAACGTGACAGATGCTGTCAACAAACTGGCTGTCACCTTTACAAATGTCACGCATTTTAGGTGGTGTTTTGAATTTCAATGCGCCATATAAGGGGTCATTGGTCAGAAGGATGACCATAGCTGAGAAAAAATGCCGCACAAGTGAATCGCCAACGAAAGTCACGCTACTAACTCCGCGTGACAATGACTCACAAGCCGAAGATTGCGTGAAGTTCCTTACTTGGCAACCATTATGTGGCTTCCACTGCGCAAGTTCAGCGGAGATGAATGATCTATAATCTATGCAGCTTGAACAGTTGCAGAATTTATCGCCATGACCACACCAGCCCGTGTTTCCATGACAGCAATAGTATTGGCTGTCAGTGTCACACTGTGCTTGTACATCTAAGACGTAAGGCCTTTCTGCCTTTCTTGTCCTACGCGGGAGAGGAAACAACGGTCCACAACGGAGATCGCCGTGAAACAAACGTTCAGGCCAGCCTTTGCGTTCTCTTAACATCATATCGTGTCTCCGTCTGTTGCGTATCACATCATCGCTAACGTTTCGTCGTTCCCATTTTCCTTTAGTCAACGTTTTAAACGCGCCTCGACAGCGCAATTGCGCGGACTGGGGATGAGGAGGGTGGAAGGGTGTTCGCAGTTCATGTTTCATGTAACAGGAAAAGTAATATACGTATAATAAAGTTGTGATGAAGAGAAATACTGTGCAACTCTGACGACAGCAACACCAGGGTTCCCCTAGGGAAAGAAACCGTAGTTAGGAAATAATTAAAACCGTCTACAAACGATCTGTTAGATTTTTAATCCTGCATGATGGGCCGACTACCCCATTGCTCCTTAATATAAGTTGATCAAAGTAGTTCTTTAAAAAGAGAAAGTGAAAGGGCTCTATCAACGAACATAACTTATCAGTCAAACGTTCACTTCTATTAGGAGAAAGAGTTAATGACCCGTTCCAAAGGAAATTTGAAAAATTTGTCGCTGATCAAAAACGTCCGCGCATTGTTCCATGTAAAGCTTTAATTGTCCAAGCCTTCGGTTGCTTCACTTGTCCGTAAAATTTCACGAGGTTAGCGTGCGAGTAGCGGAGGCGGGAAAATCTAGTTAGCGTTACGCGCACAGAACGCGTGTTGACCAATCAGAGTCATGATGCCGCCAACCGAGAGGGCCACTTGTGAACATAGGTTCGCCGGATTTTCCCGCCTTTCTAGGTGGCTTATAGTTGGTTGCACTCTCACACAAATTCTTATTGGTTGATTCAGTGACCTTATTCCAAACTGTTCGATGGCCACCGACACTGAAATTATTTTCTATGGCTAGCTTAAATTGCTATAAAATTTCACTGCACCGCCTGTATTCGTTTCGCAATGGCGAAATATTAAAGCTTGGGTTCATACCACTTCGGAGGGAGACAAACAAAATACGATGCAGTGATTGCAAAAATAGGCTAATAACTTCGCAATGTTTACCAATAATTGCTCAAAGACAACGCTTTTTACAAGACTAACTTCTTTTGCGTTGTATGGTTGGAATGAGCAGTCAGGTTTGAAATAAATGTTAGTAGTTATTTCTGCCTCAAATCTCTGTAAAAATGTTTTAAAGACTATTAATTTGTTTCATAAATTTGCATCTTTGGCCAGACGGGTTCAACTGATTAAAATTTAAACTGTCTCCGGGTAATTCTAGATGTTCGGATTCAAATGTGTGTCTATTTAATTCACAGATCATTTCCTGAACATACCTTCATCACACACCGTGATCTTCTGTGTCGGCATCAAACCAATCGAAGAAATTTCAAGCAAACGGAGCCCGATTTATCCTAAAGGGACGCGTAAATTCATGGCGATCGGTGAATTCTTTGAACGGGTTACTCATGGCTTTGAAATTTGTTATGAACAAGTTTTGAACTATGCATGATTTTTGAATAGTTTGCTCAGATGAAGCAATCAAACTCTCGAACTTCGTGCGCCTTTTACAACCGTTGATGCTTTTTGAAAATTTTTCGACGCCTTTAGACACTTGGTGTTCACCAGTGACAAAAAATTATGCACCCCATTTCACTCACCTGTTTTAAACTTTTTGTCATCCATCACAGGTCGATGCTTTTCCATGGGTTTGAATCCTTGACCGTTAACTTAGCAACGCCAGCTCTGCTAACTTAACTTGTTCATAGAACCGCCGAGGGCCTCTAACGTACCAAGCATCGCCAGTTTTCCCAAATGAAAAACCCGTCACAAGATAAGAAAAATTCAACTTTGTCAAACCAGCTTCGTCAAGCGGATAACAGCCAAACGTTCCGTGAAGGTTTTAATGTCATTTCACTGTGATTCACAACGAAAGGCTGTTGAATATTTTATCAAAACTCCCTATGTAAAACAACGGGGGTCTCTACGACCCCAGCCCTTGGCTGATGTGTGGTTATATCCTATATTCATCCCTGACGCAAGCTGCTCTTCTCATAACAGTTTGTGGTTACCTTCAAATAAACATGCTGGTTGCTGGTGTTTTCTCTGACAGTCTCCATGAATATCAAGAACCCGCTGACGGGAAATATTTCCCGATTCACTTGGAAAACCACAGCTGGTGCCTCCATGGTTTTCTAAGGACAAGCGAAGCAAAGTAAATGGTACCAGTTGACTCGTTGACGCTGTTTTAAAACAATCACTTTGTATTCAAAACAAAAACATTTTCGGAAGGCCTCATTGGTTCAACAAGGAAACAGACACTTAACGCTCAGTCTTGTAATGTTTTTAGTTCAACTTGTGATGAGGTACCGAGGATTCATCAGTGAACGAAGAAGGCGATTCTTTCCGACAAGTCTTCGTGACACTCCCGACCATCTTCGGAAGGTTACGAGTGCTTTTATTACAGGATTTCTGATCAATTTTTATTTCAAATTTGTCCATTGTGTAGCCATTTGTCTGCGAATTCAACTATTCAGTTCGATTGACTCGCAATACATCCTTTTATTAGCGAACGTGGTTCGGAAAGCCACGATTGCCTTGGCGAAATTTGCTAGTTTTCGTATTAAGTTCGGAAAGCCACAATGGTCGGATCGTGGAAGTATCATTATGGAGTCAAAAGGTCGGTCATAGAGTGTGTGAGTTTCTTTTTTTTGTTTTGTTTTGTTTCCTTGTGGGACAGAATAATCATTCCATAATTTTTCCTTTGCAATTTTCCACCGAAATTCTTTTATTCCGTCCTTTACAGAGCATAGGAGACTGGATGAATGCCTAATAATTCTTCAAGGCCTATGCTAATCTTGAATATTGTGAAGAGTTAAGTTTGTTTGCTGAAGCATTCTTGTCTCACTGCGTCACTAAGCTTTAGCGATGAGTCACGTTCGACATAAACAGAGCGGAGAGGTCAAAGCAAACCAGCTGAATTCTTACCGGAACAATTAGAAAGATTGGGACAGATGCGAAGATATTTAATTTTTTATTTTAAGTGCTTGAGAGAATATCGTAAACGATGTATAAACAAAGTAATCGATATTTCTTAATCTACGCGGCAAAAGAGCCAAATGCAAAAAACAGTCAGAGAATTCATCAACATTCCTTGCTTAAGCTGTAAGAACACAACAGATTTGTCTGTGTATGTTTTTAAGATTTTACCGTTTTGAGTGAGTGCGCTTTCAAATAAAATAAAAGCGAATCTCTCTCCTGTGTGGGTGTGTTTTAATTCGGGCGGAAAACCGAACTCTGTAAAGGAAGCAACTGATTTAAAAGGTGAGCGTTCATATGTTTTCTTTCAGCACTCCATGTACAGTATAAACAAAACTAGTGTTACGATCCAAACACAAATTGAATTTGCAGGTTCGAGCATTGATTGGCTAAAAGCGTTTACCTTTGGGTTAGAAAAAGACAGTCTTTAACCCTGCTTATTGAATGCTAAGCGGCGAAGGTTAATGCCTCATTAGGATCAGAAAAACTTTTATTCGAAAGATGAAGTGATGAATTTAACTGACAGAAATGGCTGGAGATTTCACCTCGAACCGCAGTATTGGAATAATCATTGTGGAAGTTTTGGTTTGTGCTCTGATTGATGGGTTGTCTCTCTTCGGAAACGTGTTAGTATCTTTGGCTGTGATTCGCAGCCCAAAGCTGCGCACTTCAACAAACATGTTCATACTCGCGTTAGCCATCGCTGACATTCTTATGGCATTAATCTGCATCCCTATAACTTGCGGGATACTTGTATCAGAAGCCTGGATCAACACAAGTGTCCTCTGTGATATTCAGGGATTTTCTATCCTCACTCTGGCTTTCATGTCAATAGGCACTTTAGCGCTAACGGCTATTAACCGCTTTTTTCGAGTTGTGAAACCTGTCATCTACAGACGCTTCTTCACAAAGAGAAACTCTCTGCTTCTAATTGGGACGATGTGGTTATTGATCATCGCCTTTTACGCAACTTTGCTTCTGAGCAAAGCGAGTTACATTCGTTACGAACCTAGTTACGCAACTTGCGCAGTTGCGCACAGATTTATGCAAACATTGGTGGAATTTGTGTTTGTTGTTCTAGCTTTCATAGTTATCGTTGTGAGCTACACTCTTGTCTTCAACAGAATACGAAGACATCATCTTTCGTTTGTTTCGTCTCTGGTCGGCCAACAACGGAATTCGAGTATCTCCGTAGAAGAGATAAAAATTTCCAAGCTTCTTTTCATGACTGTGCTCGGATTTGCCATTTGTTGGATGCCAAGTTTAGTAATTATCACAATGGACCGTATATCACCCGACACCACCCCCCCAAGACGAAGGACTTTGCTGTGCACATACCTCAACTATCTAAGCGCGGCGTTAAACCCTCTAATATACGGCGTCATGAATCGTTCCTTCAGAGCAGAATACAAAAGGATCCTTCTCTGTCGCAAGAACCAGATTGACGTAGCTCAGAATGGCACCAAAAGTCTTCGGACATTTACAAACACTGCACGCGCAGCAGTGATCTGGAAACGAGCCACAGAGAACAAGACGCAAACGGCAAAAGTCGCGCTCGCGTCGAACAACCAAAATGACTGTAAGAAAACGTCACACGAAGAAAGAGAGGATTCTCTCTTGCAGCGCTTACGAAGATCTTCAGATTGTTCAGGGGTGATTTCGTTTTCCCATATTTCTCGTACTTCTACACCAACGTTAGAGTGACGAGTTTCAGTAGAAAAAATATTGTATTGCGTTGCGAGACAAAAAAATTATGTGCATCCGTGGTTGCCTCGCTAGCAGCAATCTTCAAAGAAATTATAATTCTAGAAAACACATTTTGTGTAAATATTTTTTCCACAACTATTTTATTTCACTCGTCCTTGACCCAAACCCAACCCAAACACGCGGTTAATAAGGTTTACTACTAAACCACTATGAATCAGTACGCGATACAAAAGATTACAAATCACACTATTAAATATTGTTTGGTAACAGAAAACTTTTTAACCATAACCAGTTAATTATTATCAGTAGCGGAACAGTTAGTCCACATATTTAACAGCGATAATATTTCCTTAAATGAGATAAAAACAACAAATATACAAACTGCGCCTTGTAATGAGGCGAAACTACGGTTTCACAGTTTGCAACAATCCTCCCCTCACCCCCGAAATACTATAAATGTTTTTAAAAACCCATACTGTGAAGTAGTTTTTTTACGGTATATGTAAATAAGTTGAAGCAAAATCTTAGAACTATAACAATTTTTGATCGAGTGTACCCAACGACCAATCAGAACAAAGATTGGCATCGTCATCAGCCAATGAGGATTCAAAGTGAAAACAAGGAAACTGCTTAAAGCGCGGGAAAATGCGAATGACAAGGTCGCAATCGTTTTCGGTGTTGTATCTGATTGGCTAAGAGGCCGGCGGCGCAAGTTTCCTAGACCAATCACAAAGCAAAGTAAGGTGACACCAAAGCAATCCTGGCTGTCTTGCAACCCTCAATTGAAAATTACTCTGATCGGCAAATTCTGCCTTTTAACTGCTGTACATTTAAGAGAATTTGCTGCTGGATCAATATAACACCCTCTGGATGATAAGTTTTATGTTCTCATCACCTGTCTAGTGAGTGATGTCGAGGATTTACTGATATTTTGGGGAGAAGTTGCACGCTTGTCAGTGCTAAATGACTGTAAGTTTTACACAACAATGTGTTATAGCAAGGGTGTTTACATCTCGTGAACAAAAAGCTATATAAATAAAACACTAAATAAATTTCTCTACGCAAAATGGTAGCACAGTTTGCTTTAACAGTTAATAATTGAAATTTGATTAAGTTAAAACTCAAAATCATTTGAAGCCGTGACGTGCATGTAACAATCGCGTCGCGTTGGCCGATTGAGTAATCTGAACGACTCGCAAGAAAAGTCGAGCCTCAATCCTAACACTAAATGATGTGAGTATGGTGCCAAAAATTGTTAGCAAACACAATTATCACACAATTTTCGTTGTAAATATTTCTGTGCTTTCCTCTCTAATCTGTATTACTGGTTGAGTCGACGGCAGGCTTTGCAGAGTTTCCATAGTGTTTTATGTTCCTCCTTCAGAGTTAACTGCTACATGAAAGATGGTTAAGAGTTCCTCTACAGAAAACATGTTTATTCTTACCTTCATGTCCAAAATAAACTGTCTTCTCTGTTTACCTCTACGAGACAATTTTCACTCGAATAGAAGCTAAAAACTTTGCGCTGTTTTGAAGAACTCTGCATGGCTCGTGCAAAGCATGCGCACGGGAATATCGCGTGAGTACCAAACGTTGATTTGTTGTTGTTTTTCTTTTAACAACTGGTTGCGAAATTTAAAATTAAAGATTTTTTGATACATAAAGCCTACAGCGAAGAAACGTTTTCCGAGCTAAGTAACATCTATCTAAAGTAAAATTTTCTCTCTAACCACTTAGAGCAAACTCTTAATGCTACCGGACGAATGACAGAAACAATGTGACTTTTTTCCTCTTCCAATGTCATAATACACTCTCGAAGTGAGTTAACTTCAACTTCACTGTGCCCTATTTCGAAACTACACAAGCTATTCACATTACTCCTCTTTCCTTCCCGACACTGATTAAATAAGTGGTATCTTTTCATCATCATAGTATATTTTTAAGTCAACGATTGGTGATGCTGCACGTGACATGAGGTCGTACTTGTTTGTCGAAAGTTTAGTGAGTTTAGTCTTTTCACAGAAAATGAAATTCAAAATGAACAAATACATCATAAAAACTGATGTTTTAGAAGATAGTAATTGGAACTCGCTTATGGAAAAATGTCACACCTAAGGTTTTTTAGACTTAATTTTCAGAACAACTTTAGTTTCACACTCAGCTATGGATCTTTCCTCCGACGGAAACATTCATTCTGCAATTCCAAACTACGATTGTCACATCTCCTCTTTCACGTGTAAAGGAAAGATTTACTATCCCACAAAATGTATTGTGTACATCAGTGCAGTCACTGTACAGTAATACGGACAAAGTTTACATGAAAATTACTAACAACAACCTGGAAAGTATGTTTGTAACATCAGATTTTCTAAACGCACATTAACCCTTTCACTCCCGAGATCTAAATGTAAGTTCTCTCCACCGTTTTCCCACATGTTGCTTATAATTCAAGTTCTGAGAGTTTGATGTTACATGAAGCAATATCGCCTCGTTGATATTTCTTTCTCTTAGTCACCTTTCTGCTAAAAATGCGTGGATATTTTGAGGAGAAATTCCTTGTTGGTCACATCTGAAAGTGAAATGGTTAAGAGGAATCCCTAGACTTCGTAAAAAAAGAACTTTGAAAATTTTTACCTGGCGCGACAAACGCAACTCCGAAAGCGAGATACCAAATGTTCAATGTTCAAGTTATTTGTTTAACCCCTTAACTCCCATGAGTGACCAAGACAGAATTTCTCCTAACAATATCAATACAATATCAACCAGATAAGTGATGAGAATAGAGAAAAATATAAATTTGGTGATAATTGGTTGATCCAATACTAAATTCTCTGAACTAACATTATACGAATAGTATGGTTGACAGGAAGGAGAATTACAAATTAATGGTCATTTGTCGACTTACAGCATTTCACTGCCTTGGTCAAGTGAATCTTTCCTATCCGTGTAACTGACCACATCTGACCCCGGCGGGGAGGTAGACGGGGTGGATTCCTTATATTTCCCTGCGGTACGTAGTCGATCCACTGCCGACGGAAACAGCCCAGCTTCGACCAATCCAAGACCAGAATCATAACGAGGTAAAGTTACCCCATCCGTGTGTAACATGCTTGGCGTCGATGCATAGTTGTTCTCCTTGGGCACTTCATTCATCTCGTACTTCGGCGGCATGGACGTTCGGTACCCATTCGGACGTCGGCTCTTTGGGTCGAACTCTTCCGAAAACGACTCGGACAAATTCTCCATACTGAACAACTCTCCTCTCACGAAGCACTGGCATTTGAGGTAGTGCAACAAATGGCGCTTGAATTCTGGGTTGTAGATAAAGAACAAGATGGGATTTGTGATCGTTATTGCATACGTGAAGATGTACACGATGTTCAAAACGTCTCGGAAGTAAAGTTTCTTTTCGCCATTTGCGAAATCTAAGATCAGCCACATGATCTGGTGAGGGAGTAAAAGGACGGCGAACAAGAGGACGTAGGCCACCATCATGCGGATGATTCTGCAGTGACGTTCTCGCCTGGCGGCGCGTTCAGGATCCACGACTCTGTAACTAAAAAGTTTAAGAGGTACATGTCAGAACGAAATCCAGGACTGCATTAGTTTTGATTTAATTCGCTCCGTGATTGGCCGACCAAAGTCGCACCACTTTCTCAATCAATGAGCTGTAAAGCCCAAATTCCTCAAGAGGCTTGCTTGATTTTAATTTGAGCTCTCATCGGCTCCTTGTAAAGTTTTCTGTCTTTTGATTGGCCAGTAATGATTACTTTAGTTTTGGAGTAAAGACACTAAATCGAGAAACACTCTATTAAGCAAGCAAATAAATAATGGTGAATAATGACCAAGTGGAGTCCAATTCGGTCTGTAATCATACGAGTGATTTGTTAATTACGAGTATGATTATAGGCAAAATTGGACAACACGAAGTCCTGTTATCAATTAATCAAAACTGTGACAGAATTTGGGAAAGAAACTAGACATACGTTTTCATAAAAAAAAAACACAACAGTTTACTCCGCGAAATGCGAGACAACAGCGCGCGCACATGACGCTTTCTGTCCACTTACACAGGCATGACGTGTTAACTGTCACTGTAACTGTCCTATTCCTCTGTCCAATTACAAGCATGACGCGTACACTGTCCCATTAGTGCTCAAATCGGGCTGGTGATAACCAATCACGTTCGAGAATTTTGATTATGATGGTTATGATTTCATAATTCGTTTTAATTCATGCACACTGAAATAACTTTCCGAAGGAAAAGCAGCAGGTTTTTACCTTTGCATTCGTCCCCAGACCATCACGTACATGACCAACAGGGCGATAAGTGGCAGGGCATAATCCAAGAGGAACAGAGAGATGGTGTATCCCTGGCGGCTGCCATCAGTGCTCCATAACTCGTCACATGTTTTGTTGATGTAGTTGTAGTCCAAGCTCAGGACGTAAGGGACCACAATGATGATGCTGGAGATCCAAATGACGAATGTAAGCACAAGTGCAAGGATGAACTTCATTTGACCAAACAGGTCTCTGCAACAAAGAAGAAAAGTCAAAATACTATGCAGCTGTGGCGGGACATTCTTTAGACCAATTCCCATTCCCCCTTTCGGCCACGGTTATCGTTTTTCAGCTGAGAGACGACTGGGTCCAAGGCTGGAAAAAGGTAGTCCTCTCTCAAGACTCATAAGAGCCTTCGTGATTTGGATCGAATATTTTCGTACAATAATTAAGTGGAACTCTGGCAGTAATGTAGTTAATGCTGTGTAGCTATGCAGACGATCAAATTTATGCAGTTTTTTTCAGTGTCTTACGTTTAATGTGAGTGAAGAACGCGCAACTGAGTCAGCAATTCTCTCTAAAAGGAGCCTTTCTTCAAAAGTTACCATCTCGTGATCCAACCACAGCCCAAACCGGGCTACGTTTAGAGGATTATGGATATTTTCGTCCCGTATACCACCTTTAGAGAGTCACGAACTCACCTTGTCACACCATACCATCGATGATAAGCTAGAGCCACGTACGTGAATACCATAGCCTGTAAAGCAACTGTCTGTAACGGGTAAAGAATCTTGCAGCCCCCAGCTCCAAAGGGCCAGCTGTCCGCGTCTTGCGACACTGCATCAAATGGAATCGAAGCTACCACCAGAACGAGGCCAGATACGCCGAGATTCTGCATCAAAATAATAAAACTTTTGGCAGTTCTTCTGTGACGGCGAAACTTCCTCCACAGCGCTAAGAGCATAAAACTATTCAGCAGGACACTGACTATGAAGATCGTAATATACATGACCAGTTTAAAGACGCGAAGGCCTTCTTTAACGGTGGCTGACTCAGTAGGTGGAGGCTCTGTTGTGGAGACGACCATGGTGAACTGTGATCTGCTTGGAAAGACGAGACGTTTATTAGCTTCTTTAGGGATTTTCATCCACGAAGGGGGACAAAGAACCAACTATAAATAATCTGTCAGGTTCCCAACATAATGTTTCGTAGCTCAGTTGGTAACAGCACACGAGAGGTTATTGGAAAGTTAGTTTCCTGTTCCTTCGAGGCCTTGATTCTATTTACAGACTGTACCGTTTGTGGAATTTCTGTTATTGGAGTTTAACTGTCAGTATCAATTCATAAATCACTCAGCAAAACCTTTCCCACAGAATTAATAGGTTTACGTCTCAATTGGTTCCGTTATTGAACTTAATTAGCCGTTTACAACTTCCTCTGAATTAGGGCTGGATAAGTGAATATTGAGGAGGTCATACACGTGAATTATTTACTTTTCGTCTGGCAATTGGACTTATTTGACGGGATATCAGTCAGTTTACTACGATTACTAGGCTTATGACTCCTTATCTTCTGTTTATCAACGAGCCCTTGTCGTGATGTTCAAATCATCTCGAATGAATGGAAAAACTAAAACAAACAATTTTCTATTTCAAGGAAATAAAAATACTATTTAATTCATACAAACAGAAGGAAAAGAGCCGTAGAAAAGTTGGGTCACCTATCGTGCAAAAGTAACTCTTCTTCTAAAAATAAGATTTACAGTAAACCGGAAAAACCACCTGAAATCACTTTGAAATAATTCCCTTTAAATGTAATACAATATTTAATCGTTCTCTCCTCGACAACGTTAGAGTCTAAAGTCTGCATTATGTTTTGATAGATCACCACTTTCGGATCAGTAATACATCATTGTAAAAATATATGGCATCTGTGGTAAATTAAATCATTGGATAGGAAAAAAAATATCATTCTATCAGGCATCAATCGCAGTCATGACCACACAAGCAGCAAGAACATGAAATAACCGTTCGCGTTGAAGGTTTTTAATCATAAGTTATATAAATAGCACACCTCGCTTCTGTTGTTTTATAAAGCATAGGCGAGTTTCCGGAAAACATCGGCCCGAAGATTATCTGTTATTCCACCTACCTCAGATAAGGTGTAGACCTTGAATTTAACGAGTCCCTATGCCACAAAAACACAGTAGAAAGAGCGATCTATTTCAGTCGAATAATGAAAAATGTATTTTTAACTCTGATTGTCACAAACACAGTTCACGTTCGCTGGCACTCTCTAGAATCACCACAACGTATGTACTATGAGCCATTGAAAAGGTTTCAAAACTGCGCAGGGTTAGCAATTTTACATATCGCATATGAACGTTTTTCATTTCACTTGGCAGTCGATCAAGAACGCCTTTTTCAAAATCAATTCCAGGTGATTCAGGACCAAGAACCAACACGTCCACTTATCTTAATTCAGTTGGTTCAGTTTACCGGTCAAAATGTCAAATTGATTCGACGATGAGCACGTATAGCACAAAAAAAAACACAAAAAGTCTAAGTAAACAATTATGTAAGGGCGACGGTGACTTGTTTTAAGAGTTTTCTCATGCACGTATTTCACTTTTAAGTTTCTCAATTTCCCAAGACTCGTCTACAACCGGACGAAATGAGGATAAGGACGCAAATAAGCTTCTCTACAATTTCCTATTTCCTTATTACGCTTAAGAAAAGATTACAAAATACACGAGTTATAAACATTTCCAGATTTGAGCCCTCCTAGTGCTTCTCATTTCGCTGTTAGATTTCATCATCCTATCCAAGTCGCTTATCGCTGTCACATCAGGAAATCCAACTTGCTACTTTTCACAGTCTCTCCGCTGGCTATTACAGGAGAAAATTTCTTTGAATGCTGATGTAAACTTTATCTTGATAGCATAGTGTAAAGCAAAAAGTAAATATTGTTCTAATATATCGATGTTCTAAAGGTGTTTACAGACTGCATAGTTATCAAACATTAGTTATTAGCCTTTGCCGTGAATCCATAACACCGAAATGACGTGGCCCCCCCTACTCAAGGATAAAGGTCTGTATAACCACAGGACATTCAAGTTAGTTTTCTCTTGAATCCGTGGTACTAAAATTATGACCACGCGATGAAGCACGTCTAAACAAAACCCCCAAAAATGTCTTCCAATGATAAAAAAGCTGCCATCTTCCAATAGCAAAAAGGCCGCCATTTCGAAAATAATATATGGTTTTAATCTTCAAAGATTTTCCAACGAAAATCAATTATATAAATTGACACAAAATGACATAACTTTACGACTGAAGGTTGAAATGTAGCACCTAAAAGCACGCATAAGCTTCCATAACATTGCGTGATTGTCGGACTAGGATCGGTTTGTAATACAATCTGCGTGAATAACAACATGGAAAATGCGACAAATTTTAAGAATGTAGAACGATAAGTTAATCTTCACCAAGTAGCCGGCCTACGTGTGCTAGTTTATATTTTCAAACCATTTTTTTTCTGTCAAATAAACTGTATTCAAGATTTGAAACAAACCGTGTAGAGATAAAACATCTCATTTACGCATCAGGATGAATATTTTGCACAGCAAAATGGGTTATTGTTGATTATTGAGACTACCTGTCACCTGTATGGTGTCATATCCAGAGTAAATGCTTTTAGCAAAAATTGTAAGTTCCTGATTAACATCAACTGGAAAACTACGTTCTCATTTATAACGAAACTTCCTTCTTACAACTGATTTCCAACCTTACAAAGGCTCAAGAGAATTGCCTTGTTATGATCGTTGGTTAAAGCATCGACGTAACCTATGTTGAACTGCGAAGTACATCTAAACGCTTGCTGCTCTGAAAGCTTCTCGTAAAAATGTAAACTTGACACTTGTCTACGAGCACAGCATCCAATACCAAGAAATCCCTATGTTCTCAAAAAGTTAACTTCAACGAAACAAACCCGGCAAGTATACAAATATGTTGAGAGTGTGAGACTAACTTAACTATTGTATACTCATTTCGCGCGCAGTTTGTTAGATTCAAGAACAGATGTATTAGAGTCAGACTCATCAACTGACTGAAGCGCTCGAATTTTTTGTTTACCGCGACACCGGAACACCAAAATTGAACATAAAATGTTACTAGATGTACTCACGATTTTCCTGCGTCGAAAAGTTTTCGAAAAATAGAGGTATGGAGGAGATTCAGGTCCAACTTTCTACAGATTCTTATCACCATGCATCAGTACCTATACGCGTCAAATAATTCCATGCATGCATGCAGCGTTCAATTTGCGCGGCGCCAGGATCAAATAACAAGCTAAGACATTGACGAGGCAGTAAACCTGTCAAGTGTCATAAGGTGACGTCCTAAAAAAATTCGTGCATGACAAATGTGTAAGAAATTTATAATTCTTCACTGTGCGTCAAAAGAAAAACGCAATGAAAATCATGATATCTTAAATTGGAAAAGGTTTAAGCTAGTTACGGATCAAAGATCTTCAACAGCGCTACATTTTCAATGTTTATCATCAACCACTGGTTTGGCATTAGACATGACCTTAAACATTAAAAGCTTTTTAAATGAACAACAAAAACAGCAATCTCGCTAAGAAAGGAAAATATTTGTAAGGTTAAAATCTTAAAACTTGAATCATGACCTGCCCTTTGTACTTCCGGGGGGAGGGGTAGACAAATTCACTGAAGCAACACGGGTGGGTTAGGCAGCTTATTACTGCAGTGTTTGGCGTTGGATTTTCTCTAAATCTCTGCTTTAAAAGCGAAGTCATTTATCCATGTAACGCCATCCCAAATAGTCTCCCACGTAAATGATTGTCACACAAAGCTCTTTTTTGTCGCGTTGGGGGACAAGACGTAAGAGGTGCGAAGGAGACTACCATAACCTGAGAGTATCGCAATACTCGAAAAGACAGTCTTCCTCCCCCTACCCACAAACACTTGAACTTTCAGACAAAAAAATACAATAGGGAAGTAGTGATTGTTAACTGTCGCTCGATTCAATGCAAAAATCACGTTCTTTGGTTGAAACCTTAGCCCAACAGGAAACATTAGCCCTGGAATTCTCAGAGGTCGCTCCATCCTTAAAGTCTGCCGTCACGTTTTTAAATCAACAAAATAAATAAGGTATTTTACGATGAAATCTCTGAAAGTATTTTTTTTCCATTAATCCCAGTATCTTACGAAAATACTTCAACTACGCTTCAATTACTTAAATTGCTTCAATTTGCGTTTCAATTACGTTTAGTTCGAGCTATGTACGTAACTTTTGGAAGAATTCGTAATAGCGAGAGAGGTAATAAATGACCGATTTTGTTGGTTTGAAGGAACCGACGGCAGTCAAATTACTGATTTTTGTTACGTATGGCACTTGTTCACGAGGTAATGTTTGCACGAATTCGATCACAAGGAGGAAAACATGGCAAGGAATGACTACATCCTTGCTCCCAGAGCTGCTTGGTTAAAAACAGGAAGAGTATATTACTTTTCGGGTTACTTCTCAGATTGATACTTCCTCGTTCCCAGCACTCACTGTAAGAGTCAGAGAGTGAGCGACTGGTACAGAAAAGGTTTCAGTTCTCCCTGTTCACGATTCTTGTTTGTTAAAAAGGCAACTAAGTCGGTCTTCTCGGTAAGATGCCTCCTTTCTTCACACAAACAATTTTGCTTCGCGTAGTTTTTGTTTTGGTCTAAAGAAAATACCGAGAGTTTTCCTCGATAAATGTGAAGTTTCCTTCACCTTCTTTAAGTCATTATATTTTTGTTGTCCAAAGGTCATCGGCCAGCCGCATGGAATGTTTCTTTTCCAACCATCAAATTCCCCTTCGTCAGATAGGTACTGTTTGACTGACTTTGATCCGGCAGCACACTGCTAATTAGCTAGTGAGTTAAGGCCATCATTATCAGTACTGCGGCAGCAGTATTTGTTTTGCTCGTGGGAAGGTATGACGCTTTGAGTAATGCAAGTGTGAGACGTATAAGGGGTCTTGCACTGCAGAACTCTTCCAGAGTGGTCTCCAATCTTCGATCGGGAAGATCGAGACACGGTCGTCTCGTCCAGCAGTGCTGTTAAAAAGCTACAATACAGTTTGAGATCTGATTCATGCGTACACAACCAAGCCCGAATTCATTCATCTATTACGTAATTTCATCGATTTTGGATTTTATCTTTGTAATGCAAATGTTGAGCAAAAATCTTGCTAAAGATTCAAGCATGTAAGTTACACAGCTGTCTATAGCGCTAGCCGGGCCAACGGAAACTGTGATGTTCATTTGAAACCTCAGAAAGATTATGATGATTATGATGTAAAGAAGCCCATGACAAAGTCTTAGAAAATATTTTAGTCAAACATATGACCCACAAGACAGACACAGCAGTTTATTTGAAGAGAGGTCAGCCGGAGTTGTCAAGAGACTATTAACAGTTTGTAATCTCTTGGGGTTAATTGGCTGTTTATTCCTCCATCTTGCAGCAGTTCAGTAAACAGGTTGTTTATCTCTATCGATAGTTTTATCAACGAATTTAAAAGGAACAATTGGTGACTAATGTCATCTTGAGAGTGTGTAAAAACTTGCTGTATGCACAGCTTTTGGCCCAAGGGAGGAGACTCTAAGAACAATTGATTAAAAATTTCGTTCGAATCAGATCAAGACGGTCGTTTGTAAAAGCAAAGCCCCAAATCACTTCCAAAAATATATGATCAAAATCTACAAATTTTCTTGTGCATTTGGTTAAGAAAGAGTTCTTAGCCCTCTAAACAATCGTCATTCAAAAATGCTTTCCTCATGGCCAATCAGAATGAAGAAATTTGTTAAAAAAACAATCAAATACGGAAGACACGAAAGGGGTCTTGTGGTCGATGCGGCCGTGACAGTAACACAAACTTGGCTTTCGCTACGACTCTCTCTATTAATTCAATTTCTAGAACTGGTCGAACTTTCACTTAATGGAACTGATGGTGATGATAACATAGGAAAAGACTGCTGTCACCAGTAAACGAAATGTTTCCATCGTTCAAGAAAGCCTTTGTAAGTACTGGATAGCTCTCTTTGTCAATTTGATATTCGGCACGTTGTTTTCGTTGGTTTAGCAAATATAATAGCGTCAAGGATAGATTATAATGCTTCTTTGACGATGTTTTTTTTTCATGTTGGTCAAAGCATTGGCTCTAAGATAACATCAAAAATAACCGCACGAACTGATGTAAGTGAAATAGGTTCACTCGTCGCTCGCCGAAGCCAGTTTCCTCCAGCGAGTAACAGGGTGACTCGCAAGGTTGGACGAACGCGCTCTTGCGAGGATAGAAACTTTATGATTTCCTTCTCTTCCACTTTCAATTTCGACGCTTAGGTTCCGATATAAATTTGTTGGTCGGAGTCGCAAGCAGAAGCGAAAAACACTTGAATATTAATAGCGGTTTTTATTCCCTGTAAAAGCAGACGTTTTCACCAGATCCTTTATAGTTGCAGCCGTCGGTACATAGTTTTATTCCTGAGTTTATCAGACCGATTCCGTCGGTTTGAAAATGACAAGGCTTCTCTATGCTGAACAACTCTTTATCAAGATCTGTGAGATGAAAAGCTTAATAAGCGTCATGGCGAAAATATACGAGTAAAATACACTCCATGAAAAATATCTCACCCGGCTACTTCCACAGTGGATCGCTTGTTGTCTGAACACTTACTTTGTTAACTTACTTTGTTAAAACGAGATCATTTTAGCGAATTATCCATTTCTAGGTTTCCTGCTAGAAACCTGGAAATGGATAATTCGCTAAAATAGCCTCGTCTCAACCAAGTTAACGTTCAGATAACAAGCGATGCACTGTAGATGTAAGATGAGGTTTCGTTCGGTATTCCCAAAAGCAATAGACAATACCTGTTTACAGCAGCACTACTGAAAAGGATTGCCTGAGGGTCTCTTCAAAGCTTTATACACGCACCATTGCCGCCCATTTTGGCGTCTGATTGATTGTCTATTGTTAATTACATATAGCGAAATTGATCTTATTATGTTGGAATATCAACACCATGAAGACATATCCCACCTTTTAATTAATCCGTCTCATCTCTATGTTATTTAACAGATTCTTTTAATCGTCGTAACTGCCGCTTCGATTACTTATACACTGCTGAAAACGGATTTATCTTCCCTTCTTAATCAAATGTTTAGAAACCAACGATCAGGTAATTTTACAAGCCCAAAGGCAGGGATTAGAGGGATCGAGGAGGAACTTAGTCTCGTACCCAAACCTTCCACGGCCAAGTGGTTGTAAGTTCTGGATACGCGATTATATTAGGGGGAATCCCGGATTTTTTCACAAGGGGTTTCGCCTGGTTGCTCACGTTCTGAGCCCCTTTTTTGACCGAGACATACCAATTCCACACAAACTTTCAAACCTTGCCTGGCGAAACATGTTTTTTATACTTTAAAATGTTGTTTTATTTATGAGCTCTTATATTTTAGGAATCACAAACAAAATGCAATTATTCATTCCATTTTTTTCATTTGCAAATGTATTTAAACTTTTCCCAGGGGACAAGTCATTTACTTATCGCCAGGTGGTGGAGAATTTTTGTTTCTTGGGGGGGGGAGTCGTAGGGTCTGCAGTGGAAACAGAGGGGAGGTCAGTCGTCACCAACAGGCAATCGTATATAAATTGGAAAATACGTACTAACTATTTACAGCCAATGATTGAGGATCGTAAGAATAGTACTGAGTCTAATGGGGGTGGGGGGGGGGGGGAGATCGGGTAAATTTTATTGTGACACAGGAGATAAGTGACGACCGGTCTTAATGCCTGACGAGTTATTCTGTTTCATACGTTCGCAGATCTCAGTGAGTATCTTTCTTTGGATTTAAACGAGAACTCAGATGAACTCGACGCTTCGCTATCTTCAATCAAATGCAAGCCATACAGGTAAAACATGTCGGAACAATTAATTAATTAAATAAAAGATGGAGACATGTAAAGGTCAGGGAGTGCGGACAAATTTGGCGACATCAAATTAGCTTTATTTGGTTCTCTTTTCTGCTTCCTTCCTCACACAGTACGCAAAACACCGTTCTTCTATTTCGTTATTCTTCGCAAAATAGGCGCGATCGTAACATTTTTTATTTAACGTTTGCTATTTCAAGAAATAGAGAAATTTTCAACCGAGTGTAGAAAGTAATCCACGAATTTATTGGTTTACACGGTTTACTGCACTTTGTGATTAGTTTTAACATCTCGTGCCACTGTTTCAACCATTCAGATGCAAAACTTGTTCACTTGCGTTTTCCCGCGCTTGTAGCAGTTTGATTGTTTTTTTACTCAGAGTTTTGTTACCTCCTGGCGTCATATGACATTTTAATAACCTGGTTAATTGACCGTCTGCAGGTTAGACAGAGTTGATTATGAACAAGCCTATAAATATTATGGAAAACCAGACAAAGAAGAAAGAAGATGCGACGACGTTCATTTCCCAGACATCTGTGCGTTCTATGTATCCAAATTTGGAGAACATAAACTGTCATGTGACTCAAAGATTTGCGGCTCATCACGTGTTCAAATGGGCTGCATAAATCCAAATATGGGAAAAATTTCTGAATGGACGGATTTATCAAAGGAAACTATAGTTACTACGATGGAAAAAGCTGTGGAAACGAGTAGGAAAAACGGGTTTGGATTTCTGTTTCTTAGGTGTGGAAATATTCTTCAGGTCCTAACCTTTCCTCCAGTGTTGCAGGAAGTTGAAGGTGGCGACAACAGGAAACAGATCAGTGTAAATGTGATCAGCATGGATTCTCTATCCAGGCCACATTTTTACCGAAGTCTTCCGAGAGCAGTCGAGGCTCTACGCAAGATAAGAAATAATTTTAACATCAGTGCCACCGCCCTAGACTTTCAGAATTTCCAGGCTATCGGAGAACAAACTTTTGACAATTTGAGGCCGTTTTTTTGTGGTGTTGTAAAAGGTAAGTTCTGAAATGAACTTACTTACATCTCCCTAAGAAGACTGATGATATGGAAACCGCTAGTTGAAAATTCACTGGGCCAATTACAAATTGTGGTTTAAATCATTAACATGGGTAATTTTCTTGTAATGCGATTAAGCCAGCGATGGGGCACCCAACGCCGCCGCCGTTCTAGCAGCGTGCCACACTTAAATTTTGCGGTCTTCGCCGCTTGTGACGCAGTACCTCAGTCAGTCAGTCATAAACTAGATACGACCAAACGTCCGGGGAGAATTGTCTCAGTAGAGTCCTCTCGACAGGGCGTTCCTCGGGGGGGGTATTGGGACGGGAAGACGGCTTGTTCTGCAAACTATCTTTTCTAACAATGTTGATCTGAAAATTAACGGCTCTTGGTGTAGAAAACACAGTATACGTCACAGTAGAATTTCATCACAACCGGAAATAAGAAAACAGTGAAAACAATAGTGTGACGTATACTATGTCTTCCACACCAAGTAAGAGCCAAATTAACTCACTGATTGGCTATTTAGCTAGCTGGCTGATAGGTTGCGAGCAGGCCGACTAGCTAGCCCATTAACTGACCTACCAACTCACATTAAACAATGGAGCTCACTAGAGTTGCTTGCTTCTTAGATGACAACATTCTTACTGACACCTTCAGGACCTCAAAGTATTCTTTAGGCGTAGAGGTCTTGTATGGGACTTTTAAGAAATGGGGCTACCAGACGCTTTTTCAAGAGGATCTCGTTTGGTTTGACTATTGGGGATTCATCCTGACAGACCTTGAATTAAGATCAAAGCCGACTGTAGATTCAGGATTCATGGCAAGGTGAGGCTTTTAGAGCTTTTTAATTAATTTTCCATCAAATTGGAATCTCGATAGAAGACACGTAGCCTTATGTTCGCGCGGAGAGGTCTGGGTCTGAGCCCTAGCTGGATCATGTGTTCTTGATTAAGACAACTTGTTCCCACAATGCAATCCACTCGAGGTTATAAATGAATGACTACGAACTTTCAAGGAAACTCGACGAAATACCCATACTCCTTATCGCTGGTTGTTTTGGAAACCGGGATAAACTGAGGCGTTGTAAGCTTCTTGAAATGATTATGTGTGTAAACTACGATCCAATTGGCGCGAAAGTTGAATGTTGTATTGGCTACTGCGTTCGAAACCTCTTTATTCTGATTACTCAACTCTCATTAAAAAAATTGTTGATTGGTGGATGAAAAGTAATGAAATATTTTTATGTCACGATGAAATCTGACTAATATAATACCTGATCCCTATTAACCCCTCAACTACCATGAGTGACCAAGACAAAATTTCTCCTTTCAATATCAATGCAATATCAAGTAGATAGGTGATAAGAATAAAGAAAAATATCAATCAAGGAATAGCTAACTGATCCAATACCAAATTCTCCATACTAACAACATGAGAACTGTCTTGCAGACAGTAAGGAGAATTGCTAATTAGATCTTGGGAGTAAAAGGGTTAAGGGTCTGTAATATTCTTTTTATCCCTCCTCTCCTGTCAGTGGCAGTTAATTGGCAATCTCCCTCTTCATACTTTGTTAGCGCCGACTGATCCCCCCCTGTTTCCCCCTAAAAAACATAAGATATAGCTACCCCACAAATCCTTCTCCCACCTTCCCTCCCCCACCACACCCCCCTTAGGTGATAAATATTTACTGGCCTCTAAAAACTCTCCCCTCAGGTGGACTGAATTAAAAGAAAAGATGAGTAAGAAAAACATCGATGATTTTGGCATGACGCATTTTTCTGGGCCATTACTGAACCTAAGATATGGTGAAACAAACCATTTCGAAAGTCCCCCCAAAGTGTGCTTAAATGGTCAGTTCTTCAGTAAATATTTTATGGATTACATACAGACGGTTCACACCGCCATTAACAACGATTCTCGGACCAAACCACTATTTTCGTTCACTCACTTCAACACGGGACACGAACATACTGGTCAGCGGATTAGAAACACGGACGCCCATTTGGCAAAGTTCTTGACCAACATGGCTAAATTGCCGAACACTCTCACTATGTTAGTTTCCGACCATGGAAATAAAAATACGCGGTACAGCTACAAGACTGAGGTAGGAAAGAGAGAAGTTTATGACCCAATTGCTTTTATGATCATTCCCGATGGTGTCGCGAGAAGTCTGGGCGAGCAGAGGATGGCTGCATTGGCAGAAAATCAAAGACGGCTTTTCACTTCCCTAGACCTACACAGAGCACTTATGAGTTTAAACGATCCTAAGAAAATGCATTCACGAGATCCTCTGGTTGCAGGCATATTTGCAGTCTTACCCGCGAGTCGAACATGTTCAGACTTGGACCTTATGCCACAAGCCAGATGCAAGTGTGAAATCAGCGAAAATTATAATTCGGTAGAAGACAACTCGGACAGTCTAAAGTGGTTGGCAGAATTTGCCGTTGGAGCTTTAAACGAAGCCATACAAAAACAGCATATGGGAGGTATGATAAAAAGGGTGCAAAATAACATTTCTTAGAGCTCTTCGATTGAGTTTCATTGAAACATAAACAAAGTGGTATGGTGAAAAGGATCATGTAAATTAATTTTTCATGGGGCTCTTTGAATGAGTTTCATGAAACCATAAACAAAGTAGTGTGGTGGAAAGATGTAAAATTGTATTTGTCAGCGCTTTCCGATTGAGTTTCGTCAAACCATAAACAAAGTAATATGGTGAAAAGGGCATAGAATAACTTTACAAAGCGCTTTTCCATTGAGTTTCATTAAACTAAGAAAAAAAGTGGGCGTTAATAATTTAATTTGATTGGTTGAGAGAGTGGCGCGGTTTTAGGGGCCAACAGAGAGCAAAGTGAGGCAAACCAACGCAAAACAGAATTACTTTGGAGACCCAACTCAAAATTTCTCTTCCGACTGTTTGTTTTGTTTTTTTTTTGTCGTCATCCATGTTAGGTGCTTTTTGATTCATTGTTTTTAATTTTTCCTTTAAGGTGAAGTTGATAAGCAGTTGTCATCGAACAAATATGGATTCGGAAACTGTCAGCGTCTGGTGGGAAAATCTTTTGCAAACATTGTACAACTCTCTCAAGGAGACAATGTTACCACGACAATGGATTTACGCGTAGTCCCTCCAAATGGACACAAAGAGGATGAAATTTTTAAGGTTTCTGTCAAGCAGCAGGCTAAAACAAAAGACAAAGTTTGGTTAACGAGTTTCATCCGGGTCTCTAGGTACAGCAAATTTAAGTCATGCGCAGATAAGTCAGTTGACATTAAGCTGTGTGCATGCGTCACACATCAAACCGCTGAAGCTATGAACAGCAGTGAAAAGCTTGTCAATGTCGCCATTCCAACCGAAATGTTTGGTTCAAAAACTATCATAAAAGACCTCCACTCAAGATGTCTCTTAATCCTCAGACGAAATCACGGAATATTTTCTTTCGCGCTGGAAGTAACCAACGTGTGTTTAAACAGAACTTACAAAACTGAATTAGCCGGCTCTTCAAGAGAAATAGTTACTTCCAATAAACTGCCTATTAATCTTGAGATAAGTCCAAGGACGTTTTACTTCTTGACATCAGTGAAAAGAGAAACCTCTACAGAAATTATTTCTTTGAAATTTTATGCAAATGTGAAAGTCAGGTTTGCTAACTTCGACGAGTTTAAGGATTTGGGCAAAATCGACTTCTTGTGACCCCGAATTTACGAATTCCCGTTAATAACTGTTGTAATAAAAATACTGTAGAGGATTATATATTATCTACTTTTTTCGCCATGAAACAACGGACCCTAATGTGATAGTGACGTCAGTTTGGTATCCAAGGCATAGTTGAGGCGTTGAACTCCTCATGGGACCAACTTAACTGAGAGAATGAAATTCCTTTTACATTCGAAGTTTGAATCAGTTGAGTTCGTTCAACTGACTTTGGATTGCCCAACACGTTTTGTCCGTCTGCTTCAGACGAATAGAACGTGTGAAGATTGACTGAGGGACAAACGTCGATCTCTCTTTGAATCGAACTTGATGAATAAATTACAAATTGCTTTGTTTGAAATCCCGCTAAGCTAAAAATTCGTTTTTGCTGCTCTGAATTAGGTTTGACGAATGATGTTCGAAGCTTTCGCTCTGACAAAGGGCTGACGCTCAAAACGTCAGCTTTAGAAACTCAGTCGCCTTGACAAATCCGGAAAATTATATTCTCAAACCCTCCGTCGACGCAGCAACAAACAGTTACTTTAGAAACATTTCCCCTTCAATGCTCTAGGAATAAGCTCAACTGAACGCTATTTCATGCCGGATTTAAACGGTTACCTAGATACTAAAAACCTTTCGTGGACAAATTCACTTTCAAATCATTCATTTCATGAATACCTGTTGAAGACAATTACTAATGATGTCATAAAAACGTCGCTGCTTCGATGAACTGGAGCCAAACTAAGGCTCCATTCAGAAAGTACAGAACGACTTTTGAAAAGTAATTGTGTCCAAGAAAGGTAAGCCATAAAATTTTAGCAGCTTTTGTTATTTAGTTTTAAAGGATCGATACAAACACTATCTATTTCGTTCTCTGAGCTTTACTGTGAACCTGTATGAAAGAGTGCTGTGACAGTCATCCGTTTGACTAGCAGTTGACCGAAATTTTCACTTGTAATTTTAAAGGCCAAAGATCACGTCGACATTCTTTGTGCTTAACAACATAGAAAGGACGCCAAGTCCGTTTCTGTAAACTTTGCTGAATTTAAACACGCTTTTGATGTACTTCAAAAATCCTTAAGATATTAGTATATTTTAATACACTACCACTCTTTAGCCTTTATTTGAGTTACGTTTCATACAATTTCATAAACATCGACGCAAATCACTTGGTGAAAATCACTCTGATTTCGCTGTCCGCAAAGAACATTTGTATTTCATTTGACCGTTAACGTTTCTTAATTAAGACCCTACACATAACATCTGTGTCACTTTCGCTTTTCGTACTATACCACTACATCTTAGCTTCCATTTTATGCAAGGTTCATTCGACTGGCTACACATCACGCCTAAGTCAAAAGCTTCGCACCTTTCTTAATCCATTTCTCTTAATTTGCCGTCCTATGCAAAACAACATCTATTGTTCAAATGTTTCGGCAAATTACGAGCTGGAATCATGGAAACTCTTTGTCCACGTTTATCCAATACGCATCTACCAACTTGCTTAAACTTGAAGGTTACCTAAATAACTTGGACAACTGAATATAACTACGTACTCAAGTTAAACATTACGTGATCAGCACTAAGTTTGGGTCTTATTTGTAATCAACATATCATTGCGTCTTTCAAAAATACCCCTCTAAACTCCAGTATTACGGTGGAAAAAAGACAAGATTTACAAGCGCCAGTACCGCAAACATGATACTACTCCCATCTGGCCGGCTCAGATGAGGCTAGGTAAACTGGGAAAATTATTGGTTAAGCAAAGTCTTCGTCAGATTATGTTAGATTTTATGATTTATTTCTGGTAAGAGACGGAAAAATGTAATCTTTTGATCACGTTTTTGCAGAGAAAGGCACGTTTGAAAAATCCGTAGAAACCTTGCAGTACCCTTGCTTGCACATCAAGGCGACGATATAATGAACGAGTTGCCATTAATCGGATCCTCGTGTTTGCGCAAAGATTTCTGGGATCGCCATGAGTTAAATTGCAACTCGCTAGAAAGAAATGTATAGCGAAAGGTTGTTTCGACGTCCAAAGACACGATTTTGGTGAGAGATCATCGCCTTTTTACCGCTGTTTTAAAAGAAATGGGTGTGGGTAATAATGATACAAGGGTTGTGCAAGGTTTTGTTTGAGCAACCGTTAAATATGTAGCGAAATCTAGCTCGGGGATCTGGCGATTAACTTTTCTCTATGCGTAAGGGTTTAATGAAATTGACATCGCGTTACGATCTCGAACCTGAGATTTCCTTTTGTTTTCATCGCTTATTTCATCCTTACAAAGAGCAACAGCTCAGTAAAAACAATTTTCATCTCCGCTGACGACGATCCTCTCCTTTGAGGAGGTATACTTTCAGACATAGTAATATGTTTGTTTAAAACATTAAAAAGGCTAATTTTGTAATAAGTCGAGACCATTACAGGATAAAGATGTCACAATCATATTATCGACCTTACCCATGGAGAGAAGTTAATCGGTATATTTTATAACATACTTCGTGGTAATGACAACAAAAATTTACTCTTCCCTCATATCAACATTAACCTAATCCTCTTATGATATAACTACGGCGAAAAAAAGTTGATCTCTCTCCAAAATGGCCCTTTTTTGGACGTCGAAACGACCTTTTGCTAAATATTTACATATAACAACTTGCAATGTTCGCCCCGTGGCGATGACAGAAACCATTGCGCAAGCACAGGAATCCGATTAATTTCGCATCCATTGTCCCAACGAACCGTAGCAACGCAGCGCATTTGAACCAAATTAAATCTGAATTAAACTTCATGGTTAACTGCATGTGAGCTGAACTGGAAGCACTCGCCTCAGCCATTGTAAGTACAATGTTAATTGCCACTGCTTTCTATTAGAATGAAAATAAGTCAGAAAATTGTAAAGATAAGACGGCGGCACATTGTTAGAGCGTCGAAAAATACGACACGGTTTGATTTGAATAAAGTTCCGTACGACCTTTGAAATTTCATAGCGAAAATAAGTTTTCTAAGGCTACCTAAAAAAAAAAACTGCCCCGATGCTTTTGAATTTGCAGGTTCAAACAGGGCCAGGTAAAGCATATGTCAGAAACTTTGACCAGGATGTCATCATGGCGGGAGGTTCCTATCCTCTTGGGTGAAACAAAATCCTCGTCGATGGAAGTTTAAGCTATTTTTGTGAAATTTTTTCATACAGCTATGAAGGTAGTTCGTTTGTGGCTTTCAAAACTTCTTCGTAAGCCCAGGTTAAGTTTGATTGTGATAATTTGCGCGTCGACTCTTCTGTGGTTATTTGGAATGTTTGGAGAGTGGAATTACACGAAGAAGACATCGTATCGCATTATTTCACCAGCTGAATAGTAAGTCTTTATTGTCTTCTTTTTCGTTGAAGTGGTATTTATGCTCAGCAGCGGAACACCACGCGAATCTTAAAACGAATTTTCTTAAAATGGACGAATTCCCCGTCCGACAGTTAGAAATATTCCTCACAGCACAAGATGTTTGTTTTATTTGAACAGCGATTCCAAAAACGAAAAACGGTTACACGTGTCACTGCATTCTCAGAACAGAAAGTCTTTCCATTTAATCATTTTCGTTTTGACAGTATACTCAGTTTCAGGGAAGATACAGCTGACGAAAACCTGACAGTCGTAATTAGTTGTGTGGGTCGGGAAGCAAATGCAATGCAAATTGGTAGTACTTTCAACGATTCTATGCCAAATTGAAATAAAAGTGCATGAAGGTTTGTTTTGGAATTACAATCAATAATTATAGCCACCGCGCTGGGGACATAACGATTTCGTCAAACGAACCATTCGATTCGATTCTCTGTATTGAGTCAGAGCGACATACGGATTTTCCAACCCCATGTGATGGAAAATAGGGAGTAATTATTAGTGCTTCTATTTTACTACACTGTATTCAAACATTCAACCTAACGTTTATTTAAAAAATATGAATGACAGATCGCCAAAAATTCTAAAGAAATTTTCTTTTTCAAAAGCAAATCCTGAGCTATTTAGAAAATCTCTGGATTAGAGTAAAGGGGCGTATTTTCAAATAAAATGTTAATGAATAAATAACTGAAGGTGTCATAATCTTGGACTTGAAGGGATGTAAGGTTACTTCCCACATTCAGAGGCCAAAAAAATCGATTTTTCTTCTATTTTACTACACTGTATTCAAACATTCAACCTAACGTTTATTTAAAAAGAATGACTGAAATCTTTAAAAGCACCCGAGCTATTTAGAAAAACGTATTTTCAAATAAAAGTTAGTGAATAAGGAAGGTGTCATAATCTTGTACTTTTGCGAATCTCCTGGGGGAGTTATTGCGGTAACCTCTCATCTTATTTACATGAAAGTAACAGTAAAAGCTCTTTGATTATGGAAAAAAATCTTTGCTCATGGAAAAATCAAAAGCAGAAGAAAGTCGTTGGGGAAAAAAAAGGAAAAAAAAACAGGCCCTAAGAAGAAAGAAAGGGTAACATTCTGTCAAGAAAAGAAAAAATTTCCTTTGTGATAGAGACTGGTACTGGGGGAGCTCTTCACTGGCATCCAGATTTCAAACAAAGACGTTGCTGTTAAACCAAAATTTGCCATACATGATGGTCATTATTGTGTCATCCTCCTCAACGCTCCTCTAAGTGATCAAGATTTAGAAAAAAAAAGGAAAAAGTGTCTGCAATAGGTTACATGTCCCAGGAAATCTTGATCCCTCATCATTGACACCAGGAGGTCCTGTTGTCTTATTGGTTTGTGGTTTCAGGAGGCGAGATAATCTCCTGATGTGGTGTGAGTCATTTGCAAACCTTTATGAGCTAAAATCTTGCATTTGATTTTAGAAGGAATACACCCACTTTGAGGGAATTTATAGGGTATATGGATTTGACTGATTTTCATCACATTTTGCCAAAACATCCTAGGAGTAATGACAAACAAAAGTGTGTCAGGAAATTTTGATATTTAAAATAGTTGTCTTGTGACATCTATTTACACAACATGACTTGGATATTTTTAGCTACTCCAACTTTAGATGCCAATATCTACACAACCCAACAGAATATCCAAGAAAGCCTGACACACTTTTGTTGATTGATGCCTTGTGAATGAGACTGTGCAGTGACTGCACTGCAGCATGCGATACCAGATAAATTCAATAGACACCCACGAAGGTGGGAAGTAACCTTAAATGACATTGATACTATGAAAACACTTATCATTACTCATGTGAGACCTTTACTTAAATATTCAATTGATACTTTGAACCCTCATACTAAATGTAACATTGTTAAATGAGAGGCTGTCTGGCGTAGAGCCACCAGATGGATTACTGAGCCTAATGATGATTGTGATTCTAGATTATCTAAGCTTAAATTGTTGTCACTATCCAATAGGAGGTTCACGAAAGATGTTGCATTTTTGTTCAATGTAATTGATGGACATTGATAGAGATATTGCAAACAAGCTCCAATTTTGTAACAACAGAAATGTAAATAATAACTTGAGTGAAAATGACACAGGACCTTGCTCCAAATTTTAGATGAACTAATGGTTTTAAATATATATATTTTTTCTCAAATCAAAGTAGAGAATCAAATGGTATGGCAGCCTTTAAAAGGAATGTTTTAAGTTTTATCCCAAGCATGATGCATCAGTGTTTAATTTAATTCAATACATTGACTATTTGTAATCTAGTGGAGTGAATCTGTTTTAATAAATGGCACAACTCAAAAATATTCAGCGATACCACATACCAAAACATCTAACAAGTTACTCGATATCCAACTGCTTTATTTTATATGCATTTCTTTCAGAGTGGTTTAAGCAAATTAAATAGAGAAGTGGTGTGTGACAGGTGTTGCATTACATTAGCATCAGATTGGCTTATCAGAAGTCAACTTGTCAATTAAGGTTTCAGAAAGATTTAATTCAACCGTTTTTCTCAAATTGTACACGTTTAAAAGTACTGCAAGTACAAAAAAGATTTCTATCAATGAAAAGTGTTTGAATAATTTATCAACAGTGACAAAACCTTATCAATCAATCCTAAGACTAACCCTGACCCATATTTTTACTCTACTTAATGCTGTTGGGTAATAAAGAAATATTTTGACCAGGCATGAGGTCAAGATGGCTGGATATTGGCTTAAGTTCTTATTTTGCATTTATATGGACAGAGATGCTTGAATCCAACACCCTTGGACAATTAATATAACAAAATGGTGTTTGTTTTGTTTCAACAGTCACCAGTCCTTTCAGATGTTAACCAACATAGATATTGAGACTCTGAAGACTCATCAGAACTGTTCTCCAGAAACACACATCCTCTTTCTGAAGACACACAAAACAGGATCTTCTACAATATCAAACATTTTTTTCCGTTATGGAGATTCTCGTGGTCTTCAATTTATTCTTGGTTCAGACACACTGGTTGGTTGGCCAAGTCCTTTCAGAATTTCACACACCCTACATCCTAATGGATTTCAGCCAAATTTTCTATGTAGTCACACAAGATTTAGTAAGAAAACTATGAATTACTTATTTCCAAAAGACAGGAGTAAGTACATAACAATCCTTCGACATCCTGTGGACCAATTTGAGTCTGTTTTCAATTACATGGGGTTTGGTGAGGTATATAATTTAGGGAGTGATGCGACAGAATCTATAAAAGGATTTCTTAGGAAAGGAATAGAGTTTAAAGACATCTTTAGGGCAAGATCATCTGTTCTAGCAAGAAATCCAATGATGTTTGATTTAGGTTTGGACTACAAGTTTTACCAGAATGCATCAGCTGTGAAAGACTACATTGCATTTTTGGAAAAGGAGTTTGACTTAGTCATGATAACAGAGTATTTTGAGGAATCTGTGGTGCTGATGAAGCGTTTGCTCTGCTGGTCATTCATTGATATTCTTCACATTAAAACTAATGAGAGAATTGCCCAAGAAAGAGCAGAGTTCAGTGGAAACTTGAGAGAAAACATAAAACGCTGGAACAAAGCAGATATGTTACTTTATGATCACTTCAATAAAACATTTTGGTATAAAATAGAAATGGAAGGGAAAGAGTTTTATGAAGATCTTGCAACTTTTCGTCGACTGAAAGAGGTTTTACACAAAAACTGTTTTGGAGAAGCAACAGTTGTGGAGGTTTATCCTGGCAAGTATGCAAAGACATTGTCTTTAAATCCAAACGTATCAGGAGTGAGCAGAGAGGTATGCAAAAAACTTATTGTAAAGGAAAACAGCTACCTAAGTTATTTAAGACAGAAGCAGTTGTACAAATCACCAGGCCCTATTGACACAACAATAATTGAGGATGACCAACCTAATATCAGCTGGAGTGTATCAAAAGATTTTCAGTATGATCCTCTACCAATATAATCTAGTATTGAGAGTATAGTGCATGCTGTTAAGATAGAGTTTAAATTAGATACAAGTTTGAAATTACTGATGCTATAGACATTCATGTATTAAATACTATCACACCTACAAAAGACAAATTTGTAAATGAGTGTCTAAAGTAATCCAGAATTGCACTTATTTTACATTACTTTGCTCTCTAATTGGTCCAGAAAACTTGCACCACTGAACCAAGCAGATGCAAAACTAATACCGATCTCGACTCAGTCGCTTGTATTTCCTGTACTTTGCATGGTTTACTCGTTTTTACGTCAAGTTCTCATAGGCTCTTCAGGGTATTTGGCATTGAATGGAGAAATTACACTTCAGTCTCTTCTGGGAGTAACAGAAATATTTTACCATTAAGCTTTTCATTTGTAGCAACACTAGTCAATAACAAATAACTTTTTGCTATTTTTGCTGCATCCAAGGGATGGTGCAGCAATCATGAACACATTCACTATCAAACCTGACCAGTACAATACCAGAAACAGTCTAAAAATTCCATGTACCTTCCTCTTTAGCTTTGATTGGTACAACTGAATTTAGTTTGAACTGTTTGATAATTTCTGGATGGATAGTTTTTTATAAATGATGCATGGACTTACATTTCTAAAAATATTCCTTAAATATCACAGTGACTCAAGATGTTCAGATCAGAATTTTATCTACTTTAATCAATAGTTTGAAAGTTTCTCTTTCTAGAGTTTTATATCTTATTGCATTCATTAATTGCTATTTAAATGTGGACATATTTATTGATTATATTTAAATAGAATTTGAGCCCCTAGAATAAATAAAATATATCATACTATTTTTAAAAACCAGATCATTGTGTGGATCAATTTTTCCTTGAGGCACACGACTCTTTTTGCCAATTGTTTTGGCATCAACCAATTCTGTTTAAGAGGTCCTAGTTCGATACCTTGGTGGGTCATAGTGCAGTGTTCTTGGACAGGGCACCTCAAACTCAGACCCTCTTTCTAACCATTCCTATTAAATGGGCTTGGAGAAACTTGCAGAAACACCTGTTGAAGTGCTGAGGAGGGGGGGCTGCTCTGTGAGGCACAGGCAACCCATCCTGGGGGGGGGAGGGGAGGTAATTGCTTCATGCTACAGAAACTGGGATAAGCCCTTTAGCACGATGCTGACTTAGGGAATGAGTGCAAGAGGTTGGTCAAATATGTCACTCATATCTGAAACATAAAAATGTATGAAAGGAATATATTAAAAAATCTTTATCTAATCATGAGACACTAACAGTTCTTAGACTTGAAAATTCACTGGAGCCATCCTTCTTCACTTGTATACTTGCTCTCAAGTTCAAAGCTTGATTAACTTTTGATAAATATTTGAAGACAGATGTTAAGAAAAAGAAGGTCTTTGGTGGTAATACACGGTTGATTGGTAAAGCAGTAGAAAAAATCCTTTGATCCATAGAACCTGTCATTGAAAATTTGTATGTTCTATCTGTGCATACATTTGTCACTTCCAGTGTGAAGGAAAATGTCCCAAAATCCCTTCTCAAGAACAGCAAACAGTTGGAATCTAGGTTCTTCACTTTTGTTTCTGCTCCAAACATTTCCCGTGGAACACCATTCTCCAACAATACTCCATTTTTAGTATTGTTGGAGGTTTGATTTTTTGCACATGCACAGAGCTTGATATCTACTGACTTGTCTTGGCAAGTTACAAATTTGTTGTACTTTGTCACTCTAACAAAACTAAGAAAAAATACTCCTTGTCTTGGTTTAGAGTACTGTTTGACAGAGACTTTGTAGATTTCATCCTCTTGGTATCCATTTGGAGGAACCACATGTACATCCATTGTTGTTAGGATGAATTCTCCTTGGAAACGTTTTACAACATCAGTGAACGATTTTCCAACAAGGCGCTCACAGTTTCCATAACCTTGGTTTTTCTTTGAGTCTTTATCCTCTAATAAAAAGGTAACAGATAAAATATTCAAAAAGTGAGGTCATCACAAATGAAAGCAAAGCCTGTGGTGTATTCACATGCAGCACACAACCTTATATCTCTTTTTAGATCCCATGAGTGACCCAGATAGAATTTCTCTCTACAGTACCAAGACAATATCAAGCTGACAAGTTTTGAGAATCAAGAAAAATATCAATAAGGGTGTATTAGTTGATCCAAAACCAAATTCTCTGAACTTAAATCATAAGAATTGTATGACAAACAGAAAAGAGAGTTGCTAATGAAATCTTAGGAGTTAAAGTTTTGAGCCATGTCCCATTTCTTACTTTATCAAAAATGAAACAAAATTCTGGAACATGATTGGTTATCACAAGCTCAATTTGAGCACTTATGGGACAGGTTAAGTGTCATGCTTGTAATTGGACAGTGTAATAGGACAGTTGAAATGTCATACCTTTGAGTAAGCACTGTTGTCATGCATTTTGTTTAACTCTTTAACTCCCAGATCAAATTTGTAATTCTCCTTACTGTCAATCATACAATTCTCATAATATTAGTTCAGAGAACTTAGTACTGGATCAACTAATTATCCCCAAATTGACATTTTTCTTTATTCATATCTCTTGTCTGATTGATATTGTATTGATATTGTAAGGAGAAATTCTGTCTTGGTCACTCATGGGAGTTAGAGGGTTAACCAATGTTTAGTTTCTTTCTCAAATTTTGTCATAGTTTTGATCAAATGGTTACAGGACTTCATGTCCTCCAATTCTGTCTGTAATCATGCAGTGTTCCCATTATTACTGAAGTGGACTCCTGTTTTGTGTTCATCTGAATTTGTTTGTTACTCGTATGATTACAGACCAAACTGTACTCCCCTCAGTCCTATTACCATTAATTATTAATTAATATAACCATTACAATTTCCTTGAGTATGATTAATTGATGAGCTGCCTTTTTTTTCACTAATTCTGTATAATAGAAACGAGATGGTTACATCAGCCAATCACATGGAGTATATTCAAATCAATCCACTTATTAAACAATTAATTACAGTAATTGAAGCAATGACATGCCATTTCCCGAAATAGAAGGTAGATTTTTTTTCAAGGCTGTCATTGGAGTGGAGGCACAGGCAGTGAAAGTTGTGAGACTTGAACCACCAAGCCAAGTAAGCTGACAAAAGATCTTTAAGATAGATCCTCACAGACTTATCGCCTGTAACTCGTACAGGCTTCATCTCACCCATCTCAGCTCTAAAGAGAGCCAGCTTCCAGGTTACCCCTCACCTTTCTCATATTGCCTTTGTATGGCATCATTCATGTAACCAACTGCAGCTTCTGCAAGCCATTTATGGTCTTCTGCATTATCTTTGATGTGACCTTCTTCATCAAAACCCTCGCATTTGCATCTTGTCAAGGGAAGCATGAATAAGTCTGCACAAGTGCGGTTAGCTGGTATTTCTGAGAATATTCCTGTTACTAGGTAATCCCTGGAGTTCCTCGTCTGAGGATTGTGCAAACTCATAAATGCATTGTGAACATCATACAACATGAACATGCGTTTTTGGTTTGTTACCAGGGCTCCCATCCTTTCTGGACCTAGTTTATCTGCAACACCATCAGGGACAATCATGAAGAACACTGGATCAAATAATTCTCTCCTGCCTTCAGGAGTGTAACTAAATGGTGTCATTTTATGGCCATGATCGGAAAATATCACAGTCAGAGTGTTAGAAAACGAAGCCATGTCTATGAAGAACTTTGCCAGGTTAGCATCTAAGTTGATCATCCTTTTACCAGTTGTTTCATGTGCAGTGTTAAAATGCATGTAGGACACTAGTGGTTTTGCTTTCTCATCTTGCTTCAAAGCAGTATACACCTTAGTGATGTAGTCCATAAAATACCAACTGTAAAACTGTCCATTAAAGCAAACTTGAGAAGGGTAGTCATAGTGATTAGTTCTCTTTAAAACATAATGTAACACTGTGCAGGAGAAGTGTGTTAAGCCAAAATGATCGATTGTTTTTTGTTCCTCTTTTCCTAGAATTTCCTTCCACCTGTAAAGAAAACCATATTAAAGTCTGAAATAAACAAGGACAATTTTGCACTGCCTGGTGGGCCAGAATTAATAACTGTTTGATTGCTTACTAACAGGTACCCACATACTGGATATTTAGGCATGTGCAAGCAGGTATTAACATAAGGAAAGGGCTGGTGGGCCAACCTCACATGATTTTCCCTCCTACTTTGACTGAGAACTTACCAGAAATATTACAGAGAGCAAGAAACACATTTTGGCACAGAACACACACCTTGGATAAATTTCACATTATTATTTCAGAAGGCTGAAATACACTTTTAGAGATGCCCTTTTTAACATTTCCCCCACCCCAACAAACATGTAATTTTTTAGTGTAGTGTTCTTCACCTTGTCTTCCTTGCACTGAACACCCTGTATTAATACTAAGTACATGTATTCATTTTCTACCACACTTTTGAGAGTCAAACATGTCAAATACACTAACCTGGATTTGAATTCAGCATCTCCACTGGGTACAGCACGTTTTTGATTGTTTGTTAGTAAACTTCCCCAAATGTCATACCAACAAAGGTCCTCTTGAAAGAGGGTCTGGTAGCCAGCTTTCTGGAAGGCCCCATACAACACCCCCATTCCTATAGGGGCCTTTGTGTTCTCACCTGAAGCACTTATCTCATTGTCATCTGCAAAACAAAATACTTCAATTATAATCATACCCACAAATCTTCAGGTTGTTTAACAAGGAACCATCCAACTGAGACCTACTCTGAAATATAAGGTTAGGAAACTAGACCTCTTGAAATTCATTGAAAAAATTATCTCACTCATTGAGAGTGAACATATGATTAATATCCTTCATATAAATAGGATATCTCTTGTACATAACTTACTTCCTACACCCTGGGTCAAATCATGACAGTGCTTCTGGCTCAAGATTTTTCAAAGTTGCTATTTGGTGACAGAAAAATCAGAAAAAGTTCACCAGAAAAGGAAACTTTAGTTGACAACGGCTGGCGATTGTTATTGAAGGTTTGCGCAACATCTCAGGACTAAACACCTAACGCTTTACCTCCCACTGGCAACCAACATGTAACTTCTACTTATAATATCCATACATGTATATTATCCAGCAAACAGGTGATGAAAATACTAAGACTTATCAGCTAGAAGTTTTTATCTTGATTTAACATCTAACTCTTGTAATTAATTTACAAGGAAGTGTATAACAGCCAGAGGGGAGAATTGACACACAGATCATGGGAGTTAAAGGGGCTAACAAGACTTAAGGAGTGAAGGTGGTGACTGAGAACTACTTGATAAAATTTTATCTACTTGACTGCCAAACACAGCTTGCCTATTTGCCGACTTCCATTAACATTTAGTTGCCAAAGTTTTCTCTCTGCACTATGGCAATGGAAATAGTGGCATCTTGAAGCACTGCACAAGTTTAGTCACAGTATGTTTATTAGTCAGTGAAAGAAGAAAGAAGAATTCCCCAGCTAACTTTTGATGAATTGGGCTATTTTTGACTAAGACATGGGGAACACTCTCTTCTTACTTAGAGCTGAATAATCCTGCAGTTAATTTCCCTAGTAAAGAAACTCTTGTACTCACCTTTAAGAACTCCAGAAAAAAATGGCCTTATATTCTCAAAAGTCTGTTGACCAATACTCTGATCAAGTTCAAAGTCCAGAGCCCTGGCCTTTATGTTGGCATCCTCATTTATCTTTTTAAAAGCCCCAACAACTCTTGGCATGGTACGATAAAAATGGGGTCGTGAAATAGAGTCCAACATAATCACATTTACATTGATGTTATTTCTAGTTTTGCCATCTTCAACTTTCTTAAAAATTGGAGGAAAGGAAAAGACTTGGAGATTACTTCCACACCTCAAGAAAAGAAAGTCAAATCCTCTCTCTTGGTTGGTTTTCACTGCCTCTTGCACTGAAGCAGTGAGTCTGTCCTTTGATAAAGTATTCCAGTTAGTTGCAGATTTTCCCATTTGTGGATCAACAGATGCCATTTGGATGTCTGAGGATCCACAAACCTTTGCATCACAGGATACATTAATTTCCCCAGAATCTGTTCGTCGGTAGGAGCAAATATCTGGGTGACGTGTACCAGAACATTTTCGATCCTCCACACGTCCTGGCTGGCCATAATATTTCACAATCAGTTCTTGACCAGCTTTGTCAGGCCTATGAGAGAATTTAAAGTCAGTGTCATAAACTCTTTAACTCCCATGAGTGACCAAGACAGAATTTCTCCTCACTAAATGAATACCACATCAAACAGACAAGTGATGAGAATAGAGAAAAATATCAGTTAGTGGATTATTAGTTGATTAAATACCAAATTCTCAGAACTAACATAGGGAATTGTATCGCAGACAGTAAGGAGAATTACTAATGAGATCTTGGGAGTGAAAGGGTTAACCCTTTGATCATTAAGAGTGAAAAGCATCCTCCTTACATGATCATCCTCAAATCAAACATAAAGGTCATGAGAATAAAGGAATCTATCATCAACTAAAATAAGCTTATGATTATTAAACAAATTCTCCATGTCAGCACCCTAAGAAATGCATAGAGAACAGTGTGGAGAATATGCATATTGATGTTAGGGTGTGAAGGGTTAACTAGGTGTGATATTTAACCCTTTAACTCCCAGTAGTGATTCACATGTAACTTCTCCCTACAATATCTACCCACTATCCAGCAAACAGGTAATGAGAGTACTCAAATGTATCAGGTAGGAGTTGTTATCTTGATCTAACACTAAATTCTTGCAACTAATTTACAAGGAAATGTGTAGCAGCTAGATGGAAGAATTAACTATCAGATCCTGGGAGTTAAAGGGTTATATATACACAGTCAATAGCCTCCTTTTGGCATGAAAATACACTCGTCTGAGATTTGTCTAAGAAGCGAGCAGTTTTCTGTGAGAAAGCTTGAGGAAACCTGTGAGCTTTGCCACAGAGGCTAGTAATTTTTATAGATGTTACAGTAACATTCAACCAAACATACTTGTGAGGTATGCATGTCTTTATTTCCCTCCGAGTTGTTGAAGTGCTCTTAATGACAGTACCAGTAGTACTGTTATTGTTGCCTATACCTTGTGGCCTTGTAGGAGAGTGCAAATTCTCTGAAACAGAGGACAAACAGAGTATTTAAAATAAGGCAAACAATTACAGAAACCAAAATAGTATGCAGTTAACAATCACCTTTCAGCACTCATTGTCACTTTTAAGTAATTTCCACTGACATCTGACATCAGAATTCCCTCTATCCCAGACACATAAAGTTTTAGCACCAAACACAGTTCTAGTTTTCAGTCTCTCCTTGCAACCATCATTTCTGCTTATCTATTAACATTACTGCTGATACAAATAGCAGAATTACTCACGAGTTAAGTTTATTGTCAACAAATTCTGTCAAAATTTTTTTATAATTTGGTTTTTTGGTTCTTTAGTCAGAGAAATCATCATCAGACAAGGAGCAGTATATAAGATGAATTGCTCTGACTGCCACACCTCCTACATCGGTAAGACTGGCAGAAACCTCACAACTAGACTGACTGAACACAAACTAGCAACAAGGAAAGGCAATGTTAACAATCACATTGCTGAACACCACCGACTTACGAACCACACTATTGACTGGGACTCTGCGCAATGCCTAACCTTCAGCACCAACTACTTTCAACAATGATCCTGGAAAGCTGATTTACTAACTTGGAACAGACTCCCTTCAACAGGTGTCAACCTCTACCGGCACCATACAAACGACTCATTCACGACATTAATTCATGACAAATGAACCCAACAGAACGACCTAACTTCACTAACGGATCCAAACCGACCGATCATGACTGACGTACATCACTTGAGTCTTACAGCCAATAACATCACGGCAAAACTGACCAATCAGTTTCTACAAACCGGACTAAGTATATTTGACTTACAACAACCTTTCACTTGACTCTGATGATGACTTCTGCTCAGGTTGTTGAAAAGTCGGTCACCATTACTGACAACAGTCCTTCTCAGGACTACACACACCTGGATGATCAAACTACACTATTATAAGTTTAGTTTGCCAAAAGAAAAAATACAAAATCTTGAAATGAATGCGAGATATGGCTGAAAGAGTTTTTAAAGTAGCTGTTACAGAACAGTGAAACGTGTAATAATTCCAAAGTCTCCAGCAGAGTGTTGACATTTTTCCTGGACTTTCATCCAGGATGTTTATTTGCATATTTCCTTTGTAGTATTGCGCCACACAAAATGGGTGAATTTGTCAAATTTCCCAAAAATTGAGGATTGAGATTTTTCATGAAACGGTCAAAAAGAGAAGTGGCTTTGCGGCAAATCTAAAAGAAAGCCCCAGCCAAAGAAATTGATGGCAGACAATTCTGGTGAAGCAAAAAAGTCTGACCTTACTCACAGTTTAATACTCAGACAAATCAGAGTAAAGAAGAAATGACTGAACATTTGTATCTATAAATTTATCCAAAGGTTATCTCAGTTTGACTTGGATGAACAAAGAGAGCAACTTGGCAAAATAACTTGAAAATTTAGTTGCCAAAATCATTTCCAACTAACCACTGCAACTAAAATGGTTGCAGCTTGGAAAGCTGAAGAGGACAGATGTGAAAGTTTTTTTTTAATCAAACTTACCACTTTTAAAAAATAAAAATGATGTCTGAGTAGAGGTTGAAGAGAGGAGTTATTCCTTTTCTACCATAAATTTAACTAAAAATACAACATTTAAGAATCAAAGCAGATTTGCTTTGATACTCAATGTGTTATTTAAGTATCTACTTACTGTTCTCAGGAACAAAATTCATGACCTCTGGTAACTGAGCAGCCCATAAAAAAACTATTATTATTGCCACAATGGCCAGACAAACCTACAATAAAATAGAAAACAAAATGTTTAAACAGAATATAGAGACGACATTGGGTGATAGCTTAAGAATACTTCCTTCTCTATTGTACCTTGTTATGTCATGCTTTTCGAAATTTTTGAGGTTAAAAAAGCACACACTAAGCATTTAGCGATTTCACCCCATTGCTGCAGGCAATGACCTTTTGTCAATATTAATATTTGCATTTGATGCTATTTGTGTTGCTCTTTTCTAGATGCTATGCTAAACTAGCAGTCCCCTTCCCTTGATTTCATACAAGAGCTTTGAATCCTGCTGCTAAGTGAACTCCCATTGGTGGACTTGCTTTGGTCTAGATGCCATGGGAAGATATGAAGATAAACTGCAACAATTTGATCAAATGAAAGGAGTTACCACAGATCAGAACTCTACACTGTATAAGCTTCCAATCAATGTTCATAGATTTAATTATAACTGGAATTTGTTATGCCATGACAAAAATATTCATTCTAAAGCTAGATCGCATTCACTTCACTAAGCCATGATTACCCTAATCAATGTTCATAGAAACCAGTTTTAATTATAACTGGATTTTGTTAAGTGCCTGTGACCGAGAAAACAAAACCTATAAATATATATTTACACATCTAAAACTATATATCTAATTTGTTTATATGCATTAAAAAATTAGTGTCCATCAAAAAAAAAAAAAAAAAAAAGAGAGAAAAAAGAAAAAAAAATTTTTGAAATTCTTAAAATATTAAAAGATATAAAAAATGTCTAAAAATAAGACTTTTCATAAAAATATTATATTCTAAAGCTGTTTTATAAGGATTTGTTTGTTGAAATGAACTATTATGAAAGTACTTTAAATGATCTGGTAATGTTCAGTGTACATATTACTTTTTGCATGTAAATAAGCCATGATTACTCCTAGTTTGGTAATCTAATGGTTTCTGCTTCCTGTTTTCTATCCAGGGGCAACTCATCTCTATATGGGCTGAAAATACTAACCAGAATCAAGAAACCAGTTAACCTTTTAACATTATGCCTTACATTTCTTGGTTTGTGCAAGCGCACTACATTATTATTATTATTATTATTATTATTATTATTATTATTATTATTATTATTAAATCCTCATAAGCAAAGACATCAACTTACAAAACTTCTCCCATATTTTGTGGCTGACATGCCAAACTGCTACAACAAAAGCAAAACCTAAAAGAAAATCACATAAAGCTTAACAAAAGTTGGAGAATTATGATACATGTATATCATCATGAGTTACTCATTCTTTCTTGCACAGTAATTATTGAAATATCATTTCCAAAAGAAATTTAAAGACCTTTCAAAAACAACAACTAAATTGATTAATATTTTGTAAAAGAAATTACATGGAATTGCTTGGAAAAAACAGGATGATCATGACAATTAAAACATTTCTATCAAGACAAATCATGCAATAATAATGGTAATTTATAAGTGCAAATTAAATAAAAGTATGATCAAATGCACTACACAGAAAATAATTTTTCCAACAGTGACAGCAAACTAAAATTAATAAAAAGCTAAAAATAGTAAATACTGACAAACCTAATAATTCCCTTCAGAAGATTAAAATATTACTAGGGCAACAAACTAAAATCTTAGCTGAGAAAGTAAGTTTTGATAATTCAATTTGAGTGATTCAACTTGTTTTACAAAATGCAGGACTCAGAATGTAGGGACTACAGATTAACCCAAGAGTTCACGATGCAAAATTATAATTGGCTCTTAACCGAAGATCTGTCAACAAGCAGTCATGCATGTCAACACTTGTCAGCACCTCAATGGCTGATGACCCACAAGAATTTTTAGTGCAATTTCCAAAAATTTGTTTGCTGAAATCAGATCAGACTGAGGAGGTCAAAGCTCTCGGCCATCCCGAGGGGTCGACCCCCGGGCACCCACGGGCATTTGTCACAGCTGCCGTGACAAATACATGCTAAAGCCCCTCGGGTAGGGCAAAAAATTGGGACAAATACCCCCACCCCTGGAGCAACCTGGGCAACATATAGTCGGTGTTGCCTGTTCCTCGATGCAAAAGTACGAGTGATCATGGTTTACTGAAGCCACATCAGCACTAAAATCCACACAAGTCTCTATGGAGTCCTCAAATTCGAGCTTTCTGGGGCAAACTTTCTTGGCTTGCGGTTGTTCATCACACTGTCTCTTCCTATCGGCAAGACGCTTTGAATGCGTTGAATTGAATTGAATGAATTGAAATCTCAATGTCGCTTTCCTTAAAATGCAATGAACAGATTCTTGGATCGCTGAGTGTCTTGAATTTTTTATCCGCTCGCTTACAGAAAACCTCCCACTTCTTACGCTCATTGGGCCTTGTAGGAAAGCAAAAATAACTGAGATCAGGTCGTTTCTTACTCCCATTACGGCACAGAGCAACAGCACAATACTTGACCATGGTACACAGGAAAATAAACTGCAAAGGACAAATAAAAGACGCCAAGATTTCCCGATTTGTCAAATGCACATAGCTAGCGAGCTTGCTTGTCCTGTGGCGAAAACCGCTGAACGTTGAGACAGCAGATTATGTGCAAATCCAGTGGGTATGGCCCCGGGGTATTTTGCCAAAAACGCAAAAGCGCTCTAATGCCCCGCGTGCGGGGCATGCCTTTGCTACAAATCCCCTGCTAAGCCCGTGGGTTGCCCTTGGGTTGCCCGGGGGTCGACCCCTCGGGATGGCAGCTGATACCCGCATTATCCCTGCAAAGACTTTCTTACAATTTTGCCAACTGGCTTTAGAAAGAGTGTTATCTACCAGGCGTTTCGTTTTGTGTCCTTGTGATTTCACTGCTTAATAGCATTGTGGGGGAAAAAGTTGGCGAACTCCACAAACTTGGCTTCCCAGCCTTTCAGTTATCAGAAAAGGTTGAAGACTGTATGGATGCTATCTCTGAAGAAAAATTATATGCACCCACACAGCAAAAGTCACTCTGCAATGGTTCCTTGACCAGCTTGCCCTTCCTAATTATTTTCTTAGGAGTTTTGTTCATGAGAGATTGAGTGATAATTAAGATAAGGAATCTTATTGGTTAGTCGCCTTACTGAGTTTACAATTTGACACCTGAAACAACTCTTCCATGCCAGGTCAAACTCCTAAGCTTACTCTATAGTCCCTACTTTTTGCCTCACTCATGGAGCTCCTCCAGCACATCAATAGGGACCTTAAGAAAACCACAACAGTGACAGCAACAAGAATGTGGCAAAACAAAACATCTAATGAGCAGTAAAGTTGCTCAGTGTGTGCATTTTAAAACTGTGTACATTTTTTAGCTGTTGTCAGAATTTGCATGATCCGAGGAAGAAAATCCCAATGGCAGATTATTTAATTTTCCATTTGGAACTCAATGTTCTCATATGCTATATGCTGAGGTTAACTTGCAGCACTGTAATAGACAATTAACAAATCCAGTCATTCGTGTAATTCCAACTGAAAATATGTATCCATTTTTAAATCCAGGTCTTCCTGGGCGTTGCGGTACTAGCTGCTAAAGGTCCCTTAATGTCACCCCAAGAGCTCTCAACAGTGCTAATATCTATTTTTTTCACTGATTTTTTGATTCATTGAAAAGGAGGAACTGTTTGTAGTCCATTTTCTCGATGACCTGCCTTTACAGACCAAAACGGGTGACGCCTGCAGTATTTTTGTATTTTGCATCTAAACTTCTTTTGTATGAGAAACAAAACCAGAAATTTGTTCATGTAGTATTGCCACCAGGGAATTTTTAGTGACAAAAGGAAATTATTTGTCATGTAGATTGATTATCCATGTTTTCCAAACAAGCTTACTTTTTGCATAACTAAATTAAAGTGTGAACCTCAATGTATTAGTATCACCATAATAAATACTTGTTTCTCGTCATCATCTTCATTTGACTGGCAGAAGAGTTTTCAAAGGGGGAATATAATCGTACCTCTCACAATGTGTTCACAGTGAATGTGGATCGCAGGTTTGCAAGTCTTCCGTACCACGTGTTTCTCGTATCAAGAGAACCTTTCGAAAAAATTCACGCCGTTCATCTACACTTTCATTTGAATGACAAAAAAATATAGATGCGACGATTTCCAAATAAGAAGTACAATCTTTTGTCTCGTGATGTAGTCACTGAGGATGTGGCAGTCTCACCTACCTTTCCACAAAATTCACGCCGTTCGACCAATAATTTCAAATAAAGTTTAAAAACTCTTCCACTCCAAAGATAGGACTAGTGTAAAACGAAAGCTAAACAACAGCACCACGGAAACCTTAGCTGACCAGTAGGAACGTGATTTAAAGTATCAAAACACGATATCTGCTGAACTCTTCCTCTGGACCGGCTGTTAATTGAGTCGCGCTTTTGGAATCGGGCGTCTACGAAAAACCTAATTTTAGAACCTACGTCTCACAAAAAGCAAGATCTTCTTTTTTCGCAACATGTTTTAAAGATTGTCTATGCGGAACTGTTTGAAATACAGAATTTCGACGGTTACAGCTTAGCTAGCACTCACAGTGGTATGATTATTTGCGCAAGAAGAATGCAGACATGTTTAAACACTCTACAGGTGAAACTCTCGTAAGAAAGTTCTCTATTTTTACAATTTCGTACCAATTAAGTATAATTTTGTCAAAAGGTAGCTGATCATACCCGCACTGAGTATTGTCCAGGTAAACGCATCCGTTATTTTGAGTTTTTTCCAGCAACTGTGATATTGTCTACAAGCAACTAGCCGTGAAACCGAAACATATTGAACGCACGGTGTTCGAAAATCCTGGTGAATAACGTTGAAAGAAAAAAAAACTCACCGTAAAAGGTTAATACTCTCACGGAGTCTGAAATCGAAAAGCTTTCGTGTTTTTTTCTCTGGAACTATCCCAAGAACTTGTACAGTTGTCTTCGATCGACCAGTGGGACGTGTAACTAAGCACTCTAATCGTCGATATTCTGAAACAAGAAAGTTGCAAAGTATGATGGGTAAATCGACCCCTCAAAAGTTTTCGCCTCCTAGCAAGAAGTTCGCCTCCGACCACATTTGCTATAGACTACGAGCATTCTCTCCTTTTCGACGAAGTCCATCGCGCAATTTAAAAAAAATCAGTTAAAAAATTGTCGTTGGCGCGCTACGGGGAGCTCATGGTGTGACTTTGATGCGCCGCGGGAGCTCCATGAGTGAGGCGCTCCAAAAGTAGGGACCATAGACTAATACCCCATTCACACCAGCAAAACATGTTTTGTTAAACTGGTTTTCATTGAATGAAAATTATAAACAGAGCACTGAAAAACTTGATTTTCCATTGGATTCAAGTACTTGCTAACTTGCATTTCCAATGTGCTACATTCAAGTAAAAAATATTCGGTTAAATAGTTTCTAAAAAGAAAAAAAAAATTAAACTGTGTTTAACAAAACAACTTTTAAACATGTTTAAGCTTTGGTGTGAATGCGGCATTAGCTTAAGAGTTTGGCCAGGCATGGCTGAGTGGTTTTTAATCTCAATCAGGCATAACCAACAAAATTCCTTATTCCTTATTCCTATCAGTCTTCATGTCACCGCAACACACTGGTGTTTCAAATCTCGAGGCGCACGATAACCTGGAAATCTAGAAAAATGTTTCAGGATGACTCTAACGAGCAAAACTCCTAAGAAAATACTTTGGAGGGGCAGGCTGGTAAAGGAGCCATCGCGGAACGAATTTTGCCAAGTGTGTGCTTGCATTTTAAAACTTTTTACGGGGATTTCAATCGCCAGAAAGTAGCGACAGAAAATTTATTTGAAGTTCAAAAACGTTCAGGTGTGGAAAAATGTCCACTCGCTGATTTGGTTGGAGAGGTTGGTTTTACCTGTGATGGACACGCGTCTTCTTCCAACCGTGTTTGCTCGAAAGGTGCAGCTAAAATAAGAAACGCCGTGGAACTGGTAAGATACCTGAGATGTGGTCTACTTTTGCGAGTTCGCCCCAGCTGAAAAATAGGTTCACTACCACCTTAACCAGTTCGCCCTTGAATGTATTCTGAAGAAATCATAATCCGTAATCTGACAATTTGCTCCAACCAAAAGTTAGACCGCTCAACTCGAAAGTTAGATCGCTCCATCAAATAAATGACTTCGCTCCCAACATAAGTTGCTTCGCTCCATGTTGTAATGTGAAGTATTACTTACCAATGATCTTTAAAGTTTATAGGTGATTTCGAGTTCTGTCTCCGATCCTTCCTCGGGAAGGGGGCAGGGGGGGGGAGGGGGGGAGGGGGATGGGGGATTTAGCACAGGTTCATTTGTTCATTTCTCGAACAGCGGCCGGTAATCGAACCTATTTGGCGGACGGCGCTTTCGCGCACTAAAGGTTCTGAACAACCGTTTGGGATCGTTTCTTGTAGGAGAGCCTCGCCGAAAAGAAACAGGTGGTATCTAAGAAACATTGTCTTAGTCATTTTATACAGCTGTGCTCATTTAAAATAATCCCGTTATAAAGGTTCTCTTAATCTCTATCAAGATCAACCCATCTTCTCATTGACTCTCACACTATTATAAATGCTAGCAATTTTTTCACACTTTAAAGGCAAATTAGCTTTATAATTTTTTTGGTATAAAACGCAGATATCTTGAATCCAAAAAGAAAACGAAAGAGATCTCTTACAAATGTCAGGTTTTCTTGATATTCTTTTAAATTCCAGTAATTTATCCTCTCCGGTTTCGACTACTAAAAACGATCAAATTTCACTCAAAAGCGTGGCTAGGAGGGCTGATTTCCATGAACGTAAACATATTATAACCACGCCCTGGGTTATCAAGGTGGTCATCGGGTTTTTTTTACAGGAACGTATTTATAATCGCTCGCTGCGTCCCAACTAACTTTTTCTTTATCATCCTCATTTGGTGCTGCGCGGTAAATACCGACTAATTTTGCTGCTCGCTTGTTCCTTAAATATGCCAAATAGTTATTTTCAGTCCGTGTCATTCTTCCGCATTTTTGTTGTAGATCAGAAGGCAAATCCGACTTCAAAGTAAATCCTTTAGCATACTTGTTTCCATATATTAACTGCCTACTTGGTTTGTCTGAAAAACATTTAGTTTTAAGTTCTTGTTTCATTCGACGAAAGTTCGTAAGATCATCGTAAAAGTCTTTTCCTTCCCTTTCGATTCTTCGCCAAAGAGTCTGGTTAAAGTGTTCGTACATCAACACGTCGGCTTTGTTCCAACGTTTGATGTTCTCTTTTGTATCATCTGACAGTTCCGGAGCTTTATCTTTGTCAAGTCTTTCATTGCTTTTAGCATAAAGTACATCGTCCAATTCCCAGCAAAGTAATCGCTTCATAAGAACCACAGACTCGTCGAAATAGTCTGAGATTAAAACCAAATCAAACTCCTTTTCCAGGAATTCAATGTACTCTTTAATGGCTTTGGCATCCTGATAAAACTTGAAGTCCAAACCTAGATCAAACATTTGTGGATTTCTGGCTAAAGTTGATTTTCTTATGTCATTGAAACTTATCCCATTCTTCAGAAACGCTTTCAGTGCTTCCGTTGGGTTTGTCCCAAAGCCAAATTTTCTTCCGATTTCCATGTAGTTAAAAGCTGACTCGAACTGTTTGACGGGGTTTCTGACGATTGTCACATATTTGCTGGCGTCTTTTGGAAACAAATGGTTCATGGCTTTCTTATTGAATCTTGTGTGACTGCAAAGAAAATTCGGCCGGGTTCCATCGAAAGCGAGAGCTTGTCCAATACGGAAACGCGTCGGCCATCCAATTAGAGTGTCTGAGCCAAGAACAAAAGACAAATCTCGAGAATCGCCATAACGAAAGAAGATGTTCGACATTGTACTTGAACCTGCTTTGTGTGTTTTGAGAAAAAGAATGTACTGTTCTGGGGAACATTTCGTTTCTTCAGTGACTTTTTCACTCGATATAGGTGTGGTCGATGGGGTAATTAAAGTGGTAATTTCCGTTGTAGCTGCTACTTGTGTTGTGGTTGTTTCTTTTGCTGTTATTGTTGTTTTAGTTGATGGTTTAGTTGATGTTTTTCCTCTAGTTTCTTCCGTCCTGATATCAAAAAAGGAAAAAAAAAAAAAGTCGTGAATACAATAAGTACAACTCTCAAATTTCCCCCCCACCGCAGGGTCTGGCCTGTCGCGTGATCCTCCGTTGAAGTAAAAAGACATATGCTTAATAAAGAAGCCAAGAACACCAAAACGTCTCCAAAATAGATTTCTTTGATTGTTCCAATATTTGATTGGCTTGATTTGAAAATTTTTAAATCTATTGTTTTAATTCTGCTCAGTCATTGGTTTGACCGCATGGAAAGCCTAGTTTTCAGTAGATGTACTGTAGTACTATTGATTTGTGGAATACAGGAATAGCGCATCTCAACACATCACGAACGTCACGTCTTCTCCCTTAATATAATGTAAAGTCACGTTTCCTCACAACAATTATGATGTTTATGTCATTGACTTTTTAATTCCCAGAAGTGATTAAAATATAACTCCTCCCTATAATATCCATACTTTATCCAGCAAACAGGTAGTGAGAATACTCAAACTTATCAGGTCTATTATCATGGTATGGCACCAAATTCTCGCAACTAATTAGCAAGGAAATGTGTAACAGATGGAGGGGAGAATTAACAATCAGATCTTGAGAGTTAACGGGGTAAACCATACTTAAGAATGAGAAGTAAACAAGATAGGAACTTACCCTTCACTGGAATAAAGAACATTTTTAATTTCTGGACCTCTAAAAGATTTTCTCTTCTGGCCGTCAAACTTCAGTAAAAGGAAAATACATACTACACTTAAAAACAGGAGAAATTTCCACAATTTACCACTGCAAGTAAAGTTGTTACTTTCCGCCATTACATGAACGATAAGAAATTCACGTAAATTGAAGCAGAGTGTGCAACGGACGGAGAAGAATTTGCACACTGGTTAAGCCGCTCTAGAAAATCCACAGAATACCCATTTTTTGTTCGCCATGACAGTTTGAAGACCTGTGAAAAACAGTTTAAAAAAAAGGTCGTCAAAATAAAATCAGATCAGCAATTAGAAGTCACCCTAAGGGATTTCACCGATGCGCTTGAATTCCTCATGGACTTGTTTGGTTTTATACTTTAAGCGCCTGATTCAGCTCCTTGACGTCATCGGACGCCTGAAGTCACTTCCTTGTGAAAAATATCGTATTTCATTGCACTGACCTTTTACTGGTCTTGATGGGAGATTACTATGAATAAAGCTAACTTCCCTGGAGAGCTGTCCTGCTTACCGATTGCCGATACGGCAAAATTAACTTTTATTCTTATTTTTGATGCTTTAGAAATTTACAAAGGCTCTATAAAACGTTCAGATTGTGTTTTAGTCGAGAAAGAAAGCCCTTAAATTTAATGAAATTGGAGCTCAAATTGTCTTCATGTCGAATTTTACAACCTCGAAAGGTATACAAGAGTGCGTGACCAAACACCTTAAGATAGCGAAGTTTTTTCCGTCTTGTGATAAGAACCCAAAAGCCTTTTAGTCCGATTTCACAATGTTAATAATTTTTATTTCTTTATTGTCTCGCTCTCAAATTACTGTGGATGCCCACAAAAAATAGTTTCTGGATGAATTTTGTTTATGATGTCAAACGATTGCTTGAAACTGTTTAACTATTTGTATCTGACGCGAAGCATGTGACAAAATCATCACTCTTGTCACGCATTCCTTAAGTGGCAGCTTCATAAATTTTCAATAATATTCGGAAAAATACAGCCATAAACTCGAATATTTTTTTATTCAAGTTCGTCGCCTATTAGAGTTTACTTTACATCCTTTAAATTTCTCTCTACAAAGGACTTGAGGCATCGAAAACGCCTCATAGTTCGCTCATTCGCGAAATGTGTAAATCACTAACTGGACCCTACTACTTCTCGGCCGGCATAAAGATTTCATGAATTTAATACAAGAATGTAACAATTCTCAGTTAACCGGCAAGATCTAGAAGATGTTCAGAATATTCTTTCGAATTTCACGTGAAGACACATGCTGAACAAGACTTTCTGAACCGATGACACAAGCAGTCACTAATTTCGGACGAGCTTGAAAATAACCGCATTTGTTTACGGCATCATACTAAATCGCCACAAATATTGTGGCAAGCGAGGAAGCCGAATAATAGAAATTATATTAAAAATGAGCGAAAAACTAGTCCTTGTGTAATATAAAGTATTTGGCGATCGCGAAGTTTCTCATTTCATTTAACATTCCAATGTAAATCGATTTTGAAGCGTCCTGTTGTACACGTGTGGAACAAAGTTCGTAACGATGGTAATCATGGTTCAGCGTCTGAAGAAGCAAACGCAAGAAAATCCGCGTACTAAGTTTTAGCATTAAAAAAATACAGCAATCGATCGTGTATACAATTTATTATTTGTAGGTTTGAGAAGATGCTGTCATTCGAAAGTAAGTTGGCATCAACTGGATGAAAGTGCAGATTCAGAATTGTTCGATCGACCGCGTAGAATTTCCATAGTCCTGCTCTTCCTTCGATAGTTAACGGCGTAATATGTGACTAACAGTCTGTAGACTGTAAGATTTTACGCCACTATCTGCGTCGGTGTATATATATGTAAGATTTTAAGCCGTTAACTAACGGCGTAAAATCTTACAGTATATAATATACCGACTGGAAGAAATTACGCCGTTAGTTACTGGCGTAAAATCTTACAGTCTATGGACTGTGTTAGTCACATAGTACGCCGTTATATATCAAGCAAAAATCTATTCGCAACAATATCTATACAAAAGAGAATCACAAGGCCAGAAGGTTCAACAACCTTTCCGTGGAACGAAGCGGCCAGCATCGCAGAAAGTATCGATTGACGGTGGTGTGTTCATGTATTTGTGCTCGTTGTCAAGAACGCTATGTACAAATGTTAAAAAATAAAATGAATAGAAAACAACCTGAGTACTTACAAAATCCTCTCAGAAATCAAACCGTCCAAAAGGGATGATTTAGAGTCCAAATTACTTGTTTTCTGAGTGTATCAGTCAGTAACACTTTCCCTTCTGAGAATCAGAGGCAAAAATAGTGCGTGACATTTTAGAAGTGGTGTGGGAAGTGAAAGGCATTATGGGTAGATTCCCTCAACACCTTGTCCTAAGGGTTCTTTGTCTTCCGTTTCTTCCCAACCGTTCCTAACGATAGAGAATGTAAGCTGAGAGAAGGTCGTTTCTCCGAGATACTCGGCGCCGGAGACCTTCTAATTAGTTCAAGTAAAACTGGTCGGTTTTAAACCACGTGGCGCTGAAGCTGGTTGAGGCTGAAGCTGATTGAGGCAGAACTCGTCAAGGCCGAGCGACAACTTTCACTCTGACGCGGGGCTAACGCTCGAAACGTCAGCTTCAGAAACTCTTTACGGTGACCAATTTACATTATCTACTCAGTTGATAAAATCAAATGATCTTGTAATATAATCCCCATCATTTATAGGAATAAATTATTTCTGTCTGTGTTTTGCAAGGACCAAGTGAGTCGAGTGATTTGCCCCAATCCTCGAAAAATAAATGGAACAACTGTGGCCTCTCTACAGATATTTTCTAAAGGTAGAAAAGACGCAATTTTTTCCCATTAGGTATTTTTCCCTTTCAGTTCTGGCCGAAATTTGTGGGCGAAACGAATTTTGCACACGTTATTATTTGTGCCGGTTAGACCCTTTAACTCCCAGATCAAATTTGTAATTCTCCTTACTGTCAACCATACAGTTCTTATAACGTTAGTTCAGGGAAGTTAGTATTGGATCGACTTATTATCACTTATTTTATTTATTTTTTATTCTCGTCACTTATCTGGTTGGTATTGTATTGATATTGTAAGGAGAAATTCTGTCTTGGTCACTCATGGGATTTCAGTTAACCTTGTCGTCGCTCGTGAAAATTCAGCTCTAGTGGAGGGTAGCAAGATATAAATTCATCCCTGTACAAATTTAAAATTGCATCTTCGACTCCTATTCGAGTAAATGCTGTTAAGAAAAACAGTCAGATATGGCAATCTGAGCTTGTCGTTACTCAGGCAACTTCTGAACAACTTGTTAGATATTGAGATCGGTGAATTCGCAAAGAAAACGACTTAGAACGAAAAATAAATCAACAGGAATGGCAACAAATGACTTAGCAACTACAATAAATTGACAAGTGATTGATTAATGTTTTTTTAATGAAATTAAACCGCACAAAATAAAATCAATTTCTTTTTGTTTTGTTATTTCCTTCAAAAAGAAAAAGGTGCGAACCCACGCCGATCAACTTCAGTTACCCTTATGCAAAATATTTGCATACTGATGATCCCTATCAACGATTTCAATGCACAATTTTGAGCAGAAAAAAATCCGAACATCTCGCAGTGGAACTAGAACGGAGCCGTGGCACTTTGTATTTAAGCGCGTTATATTTCATAAATCACGTTTAACGCTTCACGCAAGTAGTTGTCACTGTATGGGAGCTAAGTCATCATAGATGCTTTGTAAATTTTACTCGTATCCCTTAACACTAACCGTGTCCCCGCTGCGAAGAAAATCTGACTGTTAATTTTTTTTGGTAGTTTCTGCAACTGTTGACTACACTTTTTCCGATCTCTACCTTGAAACAAACCGCAGCTCCGCAAATGCGAGACAGTTGTTATTGGTTGTTCGGTTTTGTGACCGGTGTACTAGGTCACAAAACCTAAAAGAGATGTACTAAAGAGACGTCTTCCTCCTTTCTGAAGAACTGAAATTAAATATGAACGGAGATCGAAGTCCGAGTCTGTGACGTAACATATAACCATAACACAAACCACGACAGCTAATGGCCCCGCGGATGAAATTTCCAAGCCGCTTTTCTGCCTCAGATTAAAGATTTAGTGATTAAACTGCAATTGCCTCAGGAGACTTGACATCTTCTCGAGTGTTTATGCGCAATGATATCGATGTCAAATCTTTCTATTGACACACGCTGAAGGCAGTGTTGTCTTTCTAGGGAGTTTGGAGAGTTTGTTTCCACCACCAGCCACCAGCCGTGAAGAACTGCATGGGACATCGCCAAAATATCTTTGAGGTTAACTGCTAGAAAGCCTTACAAAGATGAAAATTTTTCTTGGAAATAGAATTTACCAATAACATATAGGTTTATTATAGCAAATACAGAAATTATTATATCTAAAAAATGTAACTTTTCTAGGTATTTCAAACATTTAGTCACCTGCTTAAAAGCAGACATAGTTAAAACATAGTTATATCCACATCACTAAAAACAAAAAAGAACCTGTTCACGAATAACAATTTAGGTTCCATGGGACCTTATCACATTATAATTTATTTATCTTCAGTATTTCATAGATTGTCCCAATTTATTCAAGACTGTACCCAATTAATGTAACTCACGATCTTTGAATGCAAAATAGTGAGTCAAAAAAACCTATATTAATATACAGCAAAAAAATATATTTATTTTTTAACACTTTCCATCCTCGTCGTTCCATGGTTTCATCAAATCAAAAACATAGAGAATTCTTTATGACGCATTACAGATAGACACTTGCGAACCACTTATATGAGATCAAGAGGGATTGTCTCTCGATTAAGAATTATGAAATAGTAGCATTATTGAAAATAATTTTCAGTCTATGTGAAACGCATTTAAGGAGAATCCATAAACATGTCCCATCCATCAACTATTATAAAAATATTAACGTTTTTACCTGGCACCCTATCTTTCTTAAGTTTTTTAAAATATAAATGAGAAATTACGTTAGAAAAGAAGAGGTATCTAAATAGAAATCTCGTTTCCATGGCAACCAAAACAGCATTTTTTGTTTCTTACTTGTTTACCAGCCTGTTTGGAGCTCAAAATATGTCAAACAAGCCCGAAACGCCCCTTAGAATCCTTGTGCTGTCTTACATGAATGGGAAAATAAGAAATTGAAAGAGTAACACTGGAGACGAGTGAGAGATTTTTGTGTGAAAGTTGTCACAGTGTATTGCGAAATATTGAACTCCTTTTGTCTCTTTTGTGCTGGAATGACTGGAAAGAAGAAAAGAACCGTTTACAGGAAAACTAGGAAAAGAAAGGGGCATGGAGGAGATCGTAAAAAAGCGCAATTACTGAAGAAAAGCGGTTGCAACAGGAAGAGTGAACCAAACGAACCGACCCCAGGAACTTCGCACGATCAGTCTGATCTGTCAGATTTTGGCGAAGAAAGCGATCAGCTTCCTAGTTCTTCAAGGAAGAAGATGAGATTCCAGAGCTCAGAAGATGAGTCTTCTTCAAGTTCTGATGAAAACAAAAAAGTTTTCGAGGTAGCTGAGGTAGAAAAAGGATACAGGCTCGTTGATCTAAAGAGCTTCTCTTCTGTGCTCTCAACTTTACACAAATGCGAAGAAGGTGAGAAAAATATCACACATCATAAATATGCTTTTCAGCCCCTTGAACCTAAAGAAAAACGATAGTTAGAATTATTTGCAGAAAAGGAGTTTTATTATTGTTTAATCATTTTTTCTGATCTTTCTTCACTGCAACACTTGTACACATTTATGGAGGTGTGAACTAATGCTCCAACATTGTGGTTCTGTTTGGTTCAGTAACTATAGCTAATAGCATCCTTTTCCGTCATGTTTTTAATATAGGAGACCTTACTATTGAAGAAAATACCGCTAGCCGTTATGGACTGATGTCAGATCTCTCCATTCACTGCAATTCTTGTGATGAAAGTACTCCTTGGCAGACATCACCCAACCTTGCCAAGAAAGGCAAATCATTTGATGTCAACCGGAGAGCTGTCTACCACTCAATAGAAACTGGAAGTGGCTACGACGGACTCTCTTCTTTCTGTGCGATAATGAACATGCCTTGTTTGTCAAGAGCTGCTTACTACAAGCAAGTTGATGTAATTTTGGAAGCACTGGAAAGTGAAGCAAAAAGAAGAACTAAAAGGTGCAGGCCAAAGGCTCCGAAGCTAATCATGTAGGAAAATGGCATCTCAGACAGCACCACAATAATTGATGCTGCTGTTAGCTTTGATGGCACTTGGGCCAAAAGAGGTTTCACATCACTAACAGGTGTTGTTTTCGTCATCTCAATTGACACAGGAGAAGTTTTAGACTATCACGTGATGTCTAAATCTTGCCGTAAGTGCTCCCTAAAGAACTCACAATGTGAAGGGAATGTGGAAGAGTTTGAAGAATGGAGGAGGGAGCATGTTGCATCTGGAGATTGTGACATCAACTTCGAAGGAAGTTCACCTGCTATGGAAGCAGAAGGAGCTTCTGTTCTTTGGAATAGATCCATCGAACTTCATAACATGAGGTACAAATGGATGGTGTCAGACGGGGACAGTAAGGCCTTTAACACTGTTCAACATGCCTATGATGACTGTGAAGTTATTAAACTGGATTGTGTAGGCCATGTGCAGAAAAGGATGGGCAAACATTTAATGAATTTGAAGGCATGCAGTAAGGGTAAACTTGCTGATGGAAAACCTATAGGAGGGCGTGGCCGGCTTACAGAAGGAAAGATCAAGCAGCTTCAAAGGTACTATGGCCTAGCAATCCGGCAAAACACCTTGACCAAGGCAAATCCCTCTGAACGGGAGGTTGACATTGCAGTTTATGCTATGAAAAAAATATTATTGCCATTCTCCATCACTGTGTAAATTCAACTGACAATGCTAAACAACACCGCTTCTGTCCACCAGGTGATTCATCATGGTGCAAATGGCAACAGGATAAGAACACCCGCTCATATCGACATATTATTTATAACGCAAAATAATTAAAGCTTTCTTTAAAATGCTTAAGGATTCCTAGAAAATAAATATGATAATACATTCGTCCAATGGAACTGAAATAACAAATTAATTTTTTTTTTAACAGATTCTTCTTGCACTAGCTTGTCTCCTGGTGCGGTATCGACACCTCGGAGACTGCGCAATGGTGAGCCAAAACTTGACTAGTGCCCAATCTCCTCCTTTTGCTCTTTTTTTCTGAACATATCTGTTTGAACAATTCTTCACAAAACCTTTTTATGGCGAGATCTGTATCGGCGGCGTAGTGTGGGGTTTATATGCACACACAACACCACTAGATTACTGCTGCAAGGAAACTCGCGCTCGGCCAAGGCTAGCTCTCGGCCATTCAAGGCCGAGGCCGTACTGGAGTCCTTGGAGCGGCTGCTCATCCAGCTTCGACAATTAAATCGGTACTTGTGGCCATTTTTTCGTGATCCGTGCCAGATGTGCTTGAGGGGCCTGTAAATAGTTTTACAAATTCGTTAACGTCTACATATTTTTTCTAGACCTTTGTCACAAGGTAAGTTAGTTTTAAATTTATTTTTCTGCGTTTTGGCGTCAAGGGATCAGATAAAAGCAATCAAACTTACTTTCCTTTGTCTAAAAGACAGATGACACAATCGAATAAAAAGATGACCGTTTGGACGACAGAGAAGTTTGAAACTTTCCTTGTTCAAAGTAAACAGGCGTAACGTCGGCCAGTCAGCCAATTAGTGGTCCCGAAAGTCGATCAGTCAAACAGGCAGCCAATCAGCTAATGAGCTAGTCATTCAGTTATTCACTGAGACAGTCAAGAGGCCAACCACAGCAGACAATCAGTTATTTATAAAGTTAATCATCTAGTCACTTAGCTAAAACTCTACGTCAATTATTAATTGAAGGTTTGCAAAGGTCTATCGTCATCCATTAGATAAATATTTCACTTGCACTTGATGAAAAAACACTGCACTTTATTGGTCAGTCAGTCAATCAGTTATTTTGTCCGTCAGTCTGCTTGCTAGTTAGTCAGTAGGCCATCCACCCAGCAAAATATTCATTTAGCTATTTTATTCATTGACCAAAACAATTCACTTTATCAACCAGACAAGAGCTACCTGTCCAATTACTCACCAAGCTGGGTCTTTTAGAACGTTTGATCCATTGAATGAATATATTGGGATATCAGGATTAAATGCATATTGTAACTTGAATAAGGATCTCCAAGAAGGAAACAGCTGATCTCCCTAACAAAAAATTCGAGAAATACATTTTTGTTAACTACACGAAGTAGCTTGGAGCAACCAATTAGCAATGAAGTAGATCGAGAAAACTTTTGACGGGAGGCTATCATGCATGAAATATTATCGAGTAACCCAGTTCTACCTGAAGGTTGCCAACAGGGAGATCTCTGTCCTCTCTGTGGATGATCGAATAAACATGTTGGAGCCTGTTAGAAATAAAAGCTCGGTATGCTCCGGTTAAATTGGCAGCACGGGACTGCCGCCAGCACATTTCATCCACACCCCTCACGCTGTGCATCTGACCGGTCTGCGGTGTATCGAGGGCGACCATGCGCACCTGCAAAGAAAATCGATCCATACATTTATGTTCATAGTTGACACATGTACCACCATCACATGAAGTAGACTTGCATTGTTACTTAAGCATGGTTACTAAAGAGTTGATTGAGCTATTGTGGTATTTGCAGAAGGCAACTAGTCATATATGATAACTGTCAATGTTTCAGCTCACCCATACAATTATAGTCGAGTAATACGTAAGAGAGAATATGCACTACTTACATATGGTCCTCGTAGTTTGACGTTTGCTGGAGACAAAATGAGATTCGTAGGAGGCTGCGAAAGAGAAAACTTGCCAATAAGCACGGTAACTAAGCTCGATAACTAAGCACGGTAACTAAGCTCGGTAGCTAAGCGCGGTAGCTAAGCGCGTTAGCTAAGCGCGGTAGGTAAGGAGACAGGCGGTGTCTCAGCCGAATCGATGGAGGAAGTAATAAAAAAGCTGACAGTTTTGCTGTTCGGTTACAACGCAGAAATATACCTTATGTTATTGAAATACCTTGGTAGTGGAGAGTTTCGTCGTTTGGGAAGCCTCTGTTGGACCCGCGAAGATGGTTGGACCAAGCTGTGGGCATAAGGCAAGGGAACAAGATAGGAAAAAATACGAAAACAAGAAAAATTTTTACGATAATTTAAACGTTGTTAGGAAAACGACGAAGACGGGAGCTGTGCAATAGAACTTGACAAGCAACTAGGGGTCACTTAAAACAACTAGAAATGCTTGAAAGAATAAGAACAAACATTAATCTGCTCTCCCGGGATCTTCCCATGGTCTTAAAATGACGGTTGATAACGATCGCAATAATGACAACGATAATGATAATAGTATGACAATACTAAAGCTAATAACAATAGTAATGCGAATGACAGTGATGATATTCATGTTTTTCGTCTTGTTACGAGCATGGAACAAAAAAAAAAATTTAAGTCCCCATGAGGAATCGAACCTCAGACCTTGGGATCCGCGCTGCGATGCTCTACCACTGAGCCAGAGAGACTCTACGGTGAGCAAGATTTTATAGTTAGGGTTAGTTAACCCTTTAACCCCTAAGAGGGACCAGCATCTAATTTCTCCCTATAATATCACCTCTGAATCATACATTAAGGTCATGAGAATAAAGGAAATGATCATCAACCAAAGAAACTCTTAATTGTTAAACAAATTCTCCTTGTCAGCACCTTAAGAAATGTTTGGAGAACAGTATAGGGAATATGCATAATGATGTAGCAGTGTAAAGGGTTAAGGTTAGTCAGGGTTCTTTCTCTATCGAGCTCAAAACTTACCACCTCTCTTATTTTATTTACAAACATGATGTTAATGATGATGAAGAAAGTAAAGAAGAGATAGACAAGAAAGTGTGGAATGATTTCTTACCGTGATCGCTCTCCAGCCGCGTAAGGCCCTTATATATAACATCTGGTCGGAGATGACAAAAGCCATGGTGCCTTGTTTCACTTTCTCTACAATATGGATAAGTCTGTCTTGGGTATCAAATACCAGCACCTTCCATCGAAAAAAAAATTAATAGAAAAAAAAAAAATATATATATATATCGATATATAAGGAAAATATTAATAAGAATAAAGCTACTCTCTTTGAGATGCAAGAATCTTGAGAAAGGATCTAAAACGCTGAATGACGTGGGAGGACAGTTTGAACTGTGGGTAACCTGTAACTGTGGGTAACCTGTAGCACATATGAGATAACACGGACCTAAAGACCGTGAACCAATGTGGTAATGGAAATAATGGAAATAATGATAATATGAGTACAAGTGGTTTAAACATTGATTGACAGCTGAGGCAACATTCAAATCTTCTAACCTTACCCCTGAATTATCTGTCTGTCCATTAGTAAAGCCAATCTCTGCATTTTCTCCGGGGGGTCCTGGAGGTCCTGGTGGCCCCGGAGGACCAGAAACATCGCTATCTTTCCCTGGGGTCCCAGGAGGACCAGATATTCCGGGTGGTCCCTATGAAAGAGGCAAAGCATACATGCTGCTGTTGTAGGTTAAATCACTATTGTAAAGCTTGAGAAATACTTGGACCAATTAACATTTTTCGGATCAATATCAGTATCTGTGCAACTGCCCACCTACCCCTCCCCCAACCCAACATTAACCCTATCTTGTTATCAATAGGCTGTTATTGGGTTAGGGGAGGAGTAGATGGGCAGTTGCCCAGATACTGATATTGATCCCATTTTTCTTCTAAAAGAAATAACTCATTGGTCAGCAAGGTCATATAACAGGTTTATTTGTGACAAACATCCTGCAAACTGCTGAAATAAACGGCTCAAAGTCAGCATCTAAACGACTGCGCACCCACCCCTCCCTTAACCCAACAACAGTCGACTGATAACAACTTAAGTACAATGTTGGGTAAGGGAAGGGGTGGGTGCGCAGTTGCTCAGATAGGCTTTGATCCAGATAACAATGTTTAGAGCGTATTTTGATGTTTTGTTGATCTTATTCCTTTTAGTGATACCCACCGGAGGGCCTGGGTTACCAGGAATTCCCGACGGTCCTTGCGGTCCCATTGGTCCTTCAGTTGAATTCCCTGGCTCTCCCTAGGGAGTAAAAGATCGCTGAACTATAAGTGGTGTTCAGCCGCACATGTAACGTGTAACAAACGGATGGCTATAGATACGAGGTTAGTTTATGGTCGATGATTTCTTCCACTCTAGATGTCAAATGTCCCATTGTTAAGTAAAAACAGGACTCTGCAAGGTATAGTAATGCTAAACTAAAACGTGTGGATTGTTAATTGAACATTAAACCTGTCCTTACTCATTTATAGCTGTGATTAGTGATTAATAGCTAATTTGGCTCTCATAGTAGGTTGTATTTTCAGTGAGTGTTCTTTTCTGTCAAAAAAATTACCTTTAATCCTTGCAATCCTTGTATTCCAGCCTCTCCCTATAACAGATAACAGATAAAATTCAATCAAAAAGGTTTGAGCTTCAAAAATAACTGTTCAAAGATGTATGGAGGCAAAACAAATATTTCACCTTGCTTCCTGTTGCACCTTTGAGTCCGGGGAAACCTATGCCGCCTCTTTGACCCTTAAAAATAGTAAGATAAAACGAACCCTTCCTGAAAAAAGAACATCCTGTAAAACGATGTACTGTGGACAAAAGTAAAGGGTGGTTGAACTGAAGGCTTGACGTCTTGTTAAAGATCAGAGAGAAAACAAAATTAAAGTTATGAAATTTTGTATAAATGAATTGTAGTCCTATGAGGTTACCTACTAGTTACCCTCCAGAATTTTGAATTCTTAATCAAAAGCCAACAATCGTACGACGGAGTGAATGGACTGAGTGAAACCATTTACTGGAAGAAGTATGTGAATCTTCAAAAACGAATTAATTAATAGGAAAGTAAAAGAAACTAAGACTAACTGATAAACAGACAAGTTATAGCAATAATAATAATGGTAACAATAATAGTGATGATGATGATAATGATGTTAATGATAATAATGATTACAATAATAACGATAATTAGTGCACTAAGAAATATAACTTTTCCTGACCTTAATCCCCTTGGTTCCGTTGACTCCATCGTTCCCTGCTTGTCCAGGTTCTCCCTTTATCCCATCGTCTCCACTCTCCCCCTTCTGTCCTTTTAGTCCTGTATTCCCAGTCTCCCCTGGATCACCTGGTTCACCAGTCTCTCCTGGGGGACCTTGAGGACCTTCGGGACCTTCAGGCCCCTGTTTTCCCTGGATCCCTTGTTCTCCTTTGGCCCCCTTTTCACCTCCTACTCCCGCCTCTCCCTAAAATTAAACCTGGAGTCAGAAATTCTTTACAGAGAACACAAAGTCAACTTTAAGCGTATTTTGTGAGATGAAAACGTTCGATCTAACCTTCTTTCCTGCGATGCCATTATCACCTTTTTGACCCTAGGAGAATTGAATGTCATGATTTGTTAACGGCAAATATATCACGTAAATATGTGAATTATCACGTTATCATCTGACCCTGGTTGTTCAGAGGATGGATAACGCTATTTAGTGAGTAAATCCCTATTTGATGGTTAGTTCAGTATGTTTCGTTAGCAATTATACGCATCCGTCGGATAACGTTGTCCATCCTTCGAACAACTTTGCACTGGTAAATAATTCCGTACCTTCTCACCAACTCCTTGTTCCCCCTGTTAAAAATAAAATGAAATAAAATAAGGTCAAACTCTAGAATTAAGGTTGGTTATTGTAGTGTTGCCCTAAGGAGTCGTCTGAAGAGAATAGAGTGCACTTGGAAGCTCGTGAAGCTGTTGAACCACAGCAACTATGGCACCACAGAGTATGTTAGAAGCTGCGTCTTGACTCGCTTCCATTCGTTTTCCCACCAGAAAAGAATTAGTAAACAATGTTTGACTGTTCGATTCTCTTCTCACCTTTTCTCCTTTTATCCCGTTGGTTCCGTTTGTTCCTTTCTCTCCCTAAGAACAAGCAAGGTGCCTTTTAGCTCCCAAGATCTCATTAGTAGTTCTCTCTACTGTCTACCATACAGTTCTTGTGATGTTAGGTTAGAGAATTTGGTACTGGATCAACTTATAATCCCCCTAATGATATTTTTCTTTATTCTCATCACTTATCTGCTTGATATTGTATTGATATTGTAAGGAGAAATTCTGTTTTGGTCACTCATTGGAGTTAAAGGGTGAAAAATGTTTTTTGTTACGAACACTGATAATTTAACAATAGCTCATTTCAACCTTATCAAAGCTAAACAACGATGAAAAAGTTTGTTGTTGCTAATGATGTATGGCGGTATGAATTAAACTTGAAGGAGGACTCGACAACAAAAACACGTCGAAAAAGTTTAAATTGTCTCGCTCTCCGATACGCAAGCCTAAGGAGATGCTCACTTATCGGAAAAACTCACCTGGGAACCTGGTTT